GATAAGAAATAAAAAAATGTCATCAACTAACAATGAAACACCATCGTCTTCGTCTGTCGTTGTCGGAGGAAATTCTATTACTGATCCAAAGTCATTGTTCAAATATCCTACCTATGAAGATTATTTGGATGAGAAAATAACAACTAAAGATTTGTTTTACCTTGAAAATCAAGATCTTGCAAGAGCCATCATTGAGAATGAATTTAAGAGATATAACATTTTGTCAAGGGAACAATTTGAAGAACAGAAAAAAAAGTACATGTTGAGCTTGACTGTAAAAACTCCTTCTTTGAGCACTGGCATGATGGGCTCTGGAAACGATTCGAACAAAACTGATCGGTTATGTTCCTTTGGAAAAGATTTGAGGAATTATCCTCTGCTAAATGAACTGGCAAAGCGTGAAGCCAAAGTAAGAAGTGGAAGACTGAATACCATAATTTTCATTCGAGATTATGACAAGAAAGGGAATGAAGTCAGTGGATACATTGATTATGGACACCGTCTTAAATCTGAAGATTTTGAAGAGTATTTCAGTTTAAAAAAAAGGTTAATGCCGAAAACATCCGATCTCAGTTATTACAACTGGAAAACACAAACAGTTTCATATAACAATAGTTCAACGTTTCAGGTTATTGCGAACAGTGAGAACGGACTGTTCTTTAGACACAGACGAGATAGAAAAGTTATTAGCGTCGATCCTAAAAGCAATTCTGACGGCACCCTGAACGGGGACAACTCAATTCTTCAAGACACGAGCGTTGGTGACAACAGTGAGAGAAGAGTGATCAAAACCGATGAATATCTGCAGGTTATTCTTTACGAACACAGGCCTAGACGAAAAAATTAGGTATTTCAATGTCAGTTTGAATTCATCCTAGCTGTAAATAGTGTTTATAAATCAAAAATTCTTGATTCTTCTACCATTTTACGTAAAGTTAAAAAGTTTTTGGACTTCACTTCTGGTACATTCGAAGATCCTAAATGTTCATTATCATATTCTTCCACATGATCATGTGTGGATGACGTAGAGGTTGAAGTCCTCTTATTGCCAGATTTCAGCTCCATTTCATTAAACCCAGGAGCATATTTGATATTTTCTGTTGACATTATATTTTCAGGGGCGTACAGAATATTTGAGCTAGTGTCATGAAATTCATCATGATGCATGTGTTGTGCTGATGAATGGCCAATAAGTTCAGCCAAATAGGATGTAAATGGTGGAGCTGCAGCGGGAACTGCTTGTTCGTTATGTTCTGATAATTCTTCCTGTTGTTGATGATGATGATGAATTGCTTCAAAATGTTTTTTCATTATAGATTCTTCTATTTGAAGTTTGTGTAGCTGTTCTAAGAGTTTCCTATGTACATCATTTAGGTAATTACTCTCTCGTTCTAATTCCGAAAGCACAAAAACATATTGACCATTAATATTTAATTTATCGTAAAAATCAAAAGGTAATATATTGCTATAGTTTTTTGGCTCTGGTTGTTTTTTGGTTTTTCGTTTCTTTGATGATGGCGGTGGTGGCATTAAATTATTTGATGATAAAATGTTGGGCTCCAACGATGTGTTTGTAGTGGACGAAGAATTTCGATCTGTAGATTCCGAAGCATTTGAAGGTTGTCTCTTTCTCTTGTTATGATCTGCGCTTTTTTGGTTCTTCATTGTTCTATTTTTTTTGTGAGTGTTGTTCGAAAACTGAAAGTGAAGTGGACCTTTCAAAGCACTTGAATGATGTATTATCATTTCCTTGCTTCTTGATTTCCTTGTGTGGATACTGTTTGTGAAGAAGAAGTTGGTGCCTGTGCTTTTTTAAATCTTGTAAATTGCCTCGTATAACTCATCTTGTCAAACGATCCAGTGTAAAATTCTTTTTCTTTTTTTCGTTATTCATAAGGTTGATAACCACATACTATTACTTTGTCAATTCCATACCTTTTTGAAAGGATAACACAATTGCTTTTTTCTTATTGTTTGTAATTTTTGAATGAATTTCAATGAGGTCTTCCAACATCTTTTGTCTTACATGTGTTGGCGTATGATAAGAGAAATCAAAAGGAATCAGAGGTTTTTCGAAATTAACCTTTTCATACTCGACTGGAATTTCAAATGGCTCTTCTGTAAGTTGTGTCAAAGGTGTTGTCGTTTCATCTTTTATATTTTCCGTTAATTTAATTTTTTTGGATTTGGGTGCAATTTTTGGCTTTTGAGATGTGTGAATCACTTGTTGAATTTTCTTTGCTTTTTTAGAGAGTGAAACATCATTTGAATTATTTCCTGATGTTGTAATGGTTTCATACTCAAAAAGAAATTCAATATAATTTACATTCGTGATGGCATGATCATGTTTAAATGTACATTGAGAGCCTTTCATACAAAAACCATCCTCTTCAAAAGCTTTGCATGGTTCATCTCCTGCACTGAATGAACCATTTTCCTGTTGCTCCGATGATTTAACTTGACAAGTATCGGAACTAATTCGTGTTGTCCAATCGCTCATAATATTTTTTTTGAAGAATTCTAGCGAGTTGCTGCTGAGATTTAATGTGTGTGTAATGATACAAAATTAGTGCATGAAATCTTGTGGTTGCTGTCTGCTGCTACTACTACTACTACTACCACTCTTAACACAGACGTCTGCAATAAATTATTACTTGTTTTCAGAAGACAAATCTTCATCGTCTTGCATTTCACTTCCTGAAGCACCAGTTTGTAATCCAGCTCCCGTCTTTTTAGTTTGATCCTTTGCATATTGATTCAATTGCTCATACAAATCACCTGTAATTTTACGGTGTTCATTGTTGGTATCAGCGCTAATCCAACTCAATTCCAACTCCATTGGTCGATCCTTTGTGTCATCATGAACATGATACATGATACGAGCTGCTTCTTTGAGAGCATCATTGATTGTAAGAGTATCTAAATTCAACTTTTCAAGTTCTGATTTTGCTCCTTGTCTTCCCTTTCCAGTGGCGCAAGCCCTATATCCCCAACTCTCTCCACTTGGTTCAATTTGATATAATTGATAACCATCCACACGATCATAAGCTGCTAATAATGTTGTAATTCCGAATGGTCTGCTTGACATGTACAAGGTCTGAAAGTGAACACTTGCACTTAATCTTTCAGAGAGCACTCGTCCTGGAATACGATGTCCGAATTGATCCAAGTATCCTCTGGCTTCCGATCTGGCTTTATTGACGATTGGTCTTCCATCAGGCTTCCATCCAGTGATACTCAATCCAGCTGTTCTATCAACATTAAAAATTCGAGTATTGGTGTGTTCTTCTTGAAGTTTGGAATCAACCAGTTTTTCAACAGCTAATACAACTCCATCTTTACAACAAATACCGATGGCTGTTCCGCTTGATTCAACAGCCTTGTTTGCATATTCAATTTGATAGAGACGACCATCAGGAGAATAAGTGGTTACGGCCAAATCGTAGCCTGTACCCATGCCAGACATTCTTAATTTTTTTTTGAAAGTTTTTTTTAGCTTTGGATTCCTTCTTTGCTTGGAGTCAAGTGAGCATCTTGAGATTAAGATGATCCAGTGAAGCGAACACCACAAACACAACCATGTAATAATTTTCGTAATGTATTCATACAATACACGTGAAACACAACTGAAAATGGATCATGTATACATATGACCCAATCTTCTCGTGTCTCATCCAGTTTTATAATTGACCAGCAAGTCAATTATTGAAATAGTAGAGAGAAGTGTGATTTCGGGAGCAGTACTCGAATATGATTCAGTTTCATTTCTGTTTTTGTTCATACTCCAGTTCCAGTGCTCTGATTGTTTTTTCCTTAATTTTGCTTTTGAGTGTTTTTCGCATCAATTTTTCTAAATCAAAATCTGCGTCTATGAGATGGTTCAATAACATGGCTGATTCATCACATTTTGATTTGTTGAGTTGTCTTTTAAATAATCTCATAAATGCAACAGCAACACTGTGAATCACCTTATTTCCCTCTGATAAGAATAAATCCCACACTAATACAGCAATATCAAAATGAATTTGTGTAAGCATGTTTAACATGTACCATCTTGTGCAAAATGCATCTAAACGAATTCCATGCTCATTATTTTCAAATATTTTCATAAATTTCTTCATTCTTTTGGAAAGAATGTGAGAAAAAACATATGTGGCCTTATACACTCCTGGCAGACCAGCGAAATACATTTCTTGCATGTTGTAGTGATCACTCTCCATGATGGAACAAAACGTCCAAAACGCATCCTCTTCATTCATATACATTAACAACATGGCTGCAATAGAAGACATTCCTTGAGTATACCCCAGTCTTGTATTATAGTTGCAATAAGCTCTGAGTAAATTGAAAAGACACACTTGATGCTTGCCATATCTGTAAGCAAATAATCGATGTTCACGAAATTCTCTCTTAATATCTACATCAATTTGTTTTGCGTCTTTTGTTGAGAGTGGCATCTTTTTAAGTCTAGAATATTCACCTTCATTATTCTTCTTCAAAATGTGGCCATGAGTAAGATACAACCATGCCTCGCCTCGAACATCATTAGGAATTCCTTTCCTCACTCTTTCTTTAAACTTCCTAGGCAAGTATTCCAAATCCCCTTTGGCATGTTTTTCTTTAATTTCAGCAAACATTGACTTCCACTTTTTTAAACGACTTTCTTCTTTCATTCTTCTCTTATGCAATTCATGAAATAGAGATGGTTGTTTTACAGGATCTATTGAAACATATTCAGTTATCGAGTGACCTTCTTTATCAGTGATGGTCCATTTGTTTTGGGGATTTTCAACGAAAAATCCATATCGATCACTGGGTTTTGATTCTATATTTTTCATCTCGTCAACATTTACCATTCTGGAAATAGAATCGCCATACATTTCACAAATATCACCACCATATTCACACATACTGTGAGCAATTTGTTCTCTTTCATAAATTGCTGCTAATTGAAGTGCTGTCCAACCGTTGGCATCGGGAATGTTAAATGCTTTAGATCCATTAAGAACTAAAACATGGGCAATATTGGAGAAATTTTTGAGAGTAGCAATGTGAAGTGGGGTTTCCTTGTTAAAGTTGTATTGGTCAATATTCATGAAATCAGTATCCGTTTGGCCATTTTCACTTAAATTAGTTGAAGTGCTTGGTGAATCACTTCTTCTACATTTGCACAATAAACTTGCTGTAGTTGTTTGATTTGATAAAAGGGCAATATGAAGAGCAGTATTTCCAGTCTCTGGGTCGATGGCTTTAAGAGTCTTGATGTGTGGTTTGACTATTAACCTTGCGAACACTCCCTTGTTCATGAACTTGTTGTAAGCCTCTTCATAGAGAGAGTCTTCATCCTGGGTTGATGTACTCTTTTGTGCTTCTCCGTTTGTTGACGCTAGTAGTGATGTCATTTGAGATAAATCGGCCAGATATTTAAATAACTCTTTATCCTTTCCTTGTTTTGAAAGATTAAATATATCCGAGTACATGGGAAAATCATTGATTGTTATCACTTGTGAATTTTGTTGAGTTTGTTGCGTGGTAACTTGTGACTCCTCCAAGTTTAATTCAGAAGAGTCGTCTGATGATATCATTTCAATTGGCTGTTGTTGCTCTGGTGGTTGAATTAAATTATTTTGGATAATATCCTCCACAGTCTCTAAAAGAGATATTTGATGATTGTTGTTACTATCTGCTATCGGAGCTTCTATAAAATCAAATGGTGATGGCTCATAAGAGTTGATCTGATGAGAATGTGAGACAGTGAGTGAAGAGGAGAGCAGGGATGACAGAGCCTCGTTTTGCGTTGTTATGTTATTATTTTTGATTGATGACATATTTCCGTTGTTTGAAGTTTGCTCCAGGGAGGTACAAGAAGTCATTTGACTACTGTCTTCTCCAACAACATGAAACGAATAGTCAGTGTTGACGTTTGTAGTTTTTGATTCCGATTTTGCTGTTTCTATTGAGGAGGGAACTACTCGATGTTTGAGTCTTGGAATTTTGCTAGCTGAGTGTACTCTTGCCTTGTTTTGGAGCAAGTTGGTGTTCTCGGGCAAGGAGTGGAGTTCGAGGGGAGAAGCAGCCGTTTTCACGGATATTCTTCTTGTGGAGGAAGGCTTGGGAATTTTGGACGGTCTTGATGGAAAGCTTCCCATATTTTCATTCCTCGACGGAGAAGGATGTTTAGATTCAGTTTTTTGTGATGTCTGGAGGTTTGATTTTGTATGACTGCTTGTAAGATTGTTGGAATGCTTGATCTCTTTACTTGAAATACCTTTCTGAGGATTTTCAACGGCTCGGGTTGAAGACGAAATGGTTTTTGTCGTGGTTTTGGTCTTGCCGGACTCGGGCGTTGTCATTTCGATTGAGGGTGAGGCCTTATTTTTTAAACAAACCAACCATGCTTCAAAACAATAAATATTATTAATCTACATCATTTGAGATTGAATATGTTGATTGGTCTTGAACTCAAGGTATAACGTAAAAAGAACATGCAGCGACTCAATCAAATGGCCTTCATACACAGGTACGTCTAAAATACTACAGACTATTTTGATGTATTCGTCAAGATCTACGTCTAAATCTGCACCTGGAAGATCAGTTTTTGCCAATTCCTCTTCAAATGCGTCAGGCCAAGCTTGAATGAGCTGAGTAAAATCAACATTAACTTTTGAATACTGAACAGTTGGGGGTGGTTTCTTTTTGTGAAGTTCTCTGATATCATTAATCCATTTAAGAATTAATTTGTCATTGCCTGACTCAACACTCTTAATGATGGTTTCTGGTTTTTTCATTGAAATTCCAGATGACAAAACAGATTCTGAATGAGCAGTAGAGGAAGCAATATTGGTTGTACTCATGTCTCCTTTCATCTGATAAGTTAAATCTAATGTAACCACTGTAGGATCCGATTGCACTGGATTTGGTTCATCGATAACTTTTAGACCAAGGTCATCTAATTCATCTTCCTTAAGATCTGGTCGTTTAACTTTCAAAAAAGGATCCAATTCTCCAACGGAAGCCATGTAGTCAGGAATAAATGGCTTGAGTTTTGTATCTAGTTCAATTTCGTGAGGTTTGTATCTATTAATGTACGTGAATAATTCTTTAAGCTCGTTGGAAACATTCATTTTGCTGAGTAACACGTTCGATTCGTTTGCATTATACGAGGCGTGTTGTGATCTTTGCTGTTGTTGTTTTGTGTTGTTAATACTTGCTGAATAATGCTCCTCTTCCTCCTCATCATCCTCCACCTCTTCCTCTTCTTCTTCCTCCTCTTCTTCGTCTTCCTCTTCTTCTTCTGACTCATGTTGCATTCGATTGTTAGGAACTTCACTTTTTGTGGTGACTGCAATACCTGATGAAGGAATTGTGTTAGGGGCTCCAACTTGCATTCTAGGATCTCTAGGAGTATGTTCAGGAGATGGGATGGAATGCACTTCATCATCATTGGTTTCAAATACTTCATCGTAATGTTGATTTGGAACAACTTTCCCTTGAGCCGATGAGGGTTTTTGATTCGTTGTTGTGGGAGTTGGCCGGTTGCTTCCGCTATTACCTCTCTCATATCTGTTGGAAACAACTATTCCCTTATTACCAATATTATTCGATGATGATGAATTTCCAATGCTAGTGAATTTACCAGTTGAATTTAGATTGTCTGATTCTTCGTCATCTTCTCCTTCCTCATCATCGGAGGGCAAACCAAAGTCATCGTCCTCATGCCTCCTGTTGACAAGAGATCGGGACATACCTTGGTCATTTATTGTTTCTTCTTCTTCATCAGTTTCGTATTCAGTAGACTCGCCATCATCACTTCCACCTTCCATGCTTGTATTCATCATGATGAGTTTGTGTTATTTATTTGAGGACTTTTTTTGTAGTTTTTTGGCGGTTAACTCTTCCAATACAAAGTTACTGTTTCTTCGTCTCAAGCCAACATTTCTAAGGACACAATCTATGACTTATTGCAATAAGATGATTTTATAGGAACCAAGACAGCAGTTTGAAGGTTAAAAAGCACAACCAACACTCAAAAGCAATTGTAAACTTTCCTCATGCGTCAAAAAAATCGTTAAAAATGCCACACGCAGTACATTCTGCATCAACCCCAACCTTCAAACCTGTCTTTCCTCTTGCTCTCAAGTTAGGAGTTGGAGGTTTCCTCGGTGTGGTTACAGTTGCTTCGTATTTAAATAGAAATACTATCACTACTTTGATTGATAACAACATGTCTAGATCGAAAGACCTCATTGAAAATAGAAGAATTAGAATCTATGAAGAAGAGGAAAGAATTAAACAAAGAAAATTGGAATGGCAATTACTCTCATTTGCTTCATACGGAAGTTGGTCGCAAACCAGATCTCAAGTTAAATTCTTGCAAGACAAACTTGACCACAAAGACAGAAATACATGGCAAGATTTACTTCAAGAGTTGGATGAAAACAAAAAGTCTTCGTAATCATCATTATTCAATTTTATTATTCCTCTTACATCATCACGTGGCGATTTGACCCACAACGCGTTTGTAAATGTCATCATAAACCTTCTCTTAACTTTCAAATCTTTATTGTTGTGGGCATTGATGTCTTCATGGAGAGTAATTCCACTTGTTTTGCTCTTTCCTTCTTTATCACAACCTCAGGTTTTTGGTACTGTGTAAATGATGGACAACAACAACATCAAGATGATGAAAGGTGTCCATGCTCATCATTCTCGTCCATTCTTCAAACAAGTACTTACAGAAATAATGAGAGTATTGTTGTCCAATGTCCAACTCAAACATTGGTCTTCGAGTTTTATGGAAGGTGTACATTCTCTGACAAGTTCTGGAATGTTGAATCTCTTGTAGTACTTTTTGTTGGTTGTGCTAATGACAACCTCTTGCTTTTCATGATCCACGTTCACCCGATAGGTGTCCTTAGTGAAAAAACAATTTCGAATTCTCCATTGAAAATGTGTCGAAGTGTCTTTTCTCATGAATATTGGCTGATCACACATGGATCCATGTGAAGATTCATTGTCGAGTACAACATGTTGACCATGTCATATCGTTGTTGAATGATGAATGATAAACTCTTCACTTACATTAGTGGTCGAGGGTGCAATCCAATCATTGAAAGGATTGAACACTTTCACATCCCCTCCAATTTCAAAGTGCCATTCTCCCTCACCTCCCAATACGGTAGGTCTTCTTCGTTTGCGTACTAGTAATTGATTGGTATTAAGGTCAAACTCTTCGACCATTTCTTCCCCATCTTTGTAGGTGGTATGAAATTTTCTCCTTCCATCGGCAACAATGCTTGTAGTGTAGGGATATTTGGTTGTAGACGACTCTTTCTTTGTTTCCGATGATGACGATGAGGACTGATTCAAAATTTCACTCAACATGTTGTATGAGAGACAGGGATGCAGTGTTCAGCTGAAGAGAGAGAGCAGGACCTTGTTGCTAAATTTAAAAGTTTTTTTGATTTGACTTGTTCTCAATCCAAGGGTTGGGCGGAATCATGTCATACAACGCGTGAATACATTCATTCTTCCTGGAGATACCGAGAGCACAAGATACATGAAAATTAACAACCCTAAGATTTGAATACTTTCGAACACATTCCCAACATTGGAACATTATGATTCGTTGAGAGTCCTGAGGGTTAACTCAGGAACTTATCACAATAGAAACAACACATTTTGAAATTTGAACAATTGCTTTTTGTGAGCGGTCTGTCAAACGTCTAACCTTAATTTTAAATTTGCAAGGAACGTCTCTTAATGAACATCAAAAAGGAATCTAATTTAATATTCATGAAGGGCTTTCTGTTTTAGAATGCTTTTATTGTTGTGGATTTAAGAGTGCGCACTCTTAATCCACAACAGAAAAAGAACAACCATCGATTGCAATCAACAATTACTCTCAATTCTCCCTACGAATCCCAAAAATTATTTTAGTACTAAATATTTCAACGTTGAATCAACCATGATACAATTTGACGACGCAACAAGACATTTCATCAAGATACAAACATAATTGAAAGTTTCATTCTGGTTTTATTTATTATTGGCATTATTACTCGCTGTATATGACCATAACATCAACAACAACGATAGAATTGCATTCCAAGTTCAAGCCTCAACACTCAATATCCGAGTGCAGGGAGGATCTATCGCTGCTCCCAAACAATTTCCTCACATCATTTCAATTCAATATCAATCACAACCTGGAACAGCTTTTGAGCACACATGCGGAGGTACCATTATTTCATCAAAATTCATTCTCACTGCTTCTCATTGCAATTTTGAATCGGATGGTTCTGTGGTGTTACCCTCAAAACTTTCCATTGTCTATGGTACCAATGTATTGAGTAATTGTCCTTCACAGATTGGAACTCATTCGAATTGTCAGAGAGTGGCAGTGAAGAGAGTTATGAATCATCCTCAATACAATGAACAATTAGTGGTGAATGACATTGCTCTCTATGAATTATCGACTCCTATCGTAAATTTACCTCAAACACATATTGCAAAAATTCCAAGAAAAAATCCTCTCGTCAAAACACCTCACTATATCGTGGGATGGGGAATTACGAGTGATGCGAGTGGAGCGGCATCGAATGAACAACGAGCTGGAGTGGCACCCATTGTCGATGATGCCTTGTGTAACAAATTAGGACTTGGAATGTCGTCTGCGAATGGACAGTTATGTGCTGGTAATGGTGATGGTAAGTGCGTAAAATTCTTTCAAATGTGTATATATATTGAGAACTAATTCATCCATGCATCGACGTACGGTATGCTTCACAATGGATCGTATTCATGTGTAACAACACCCCATGAAAATGATTCAAAAGGAGTGGATGCTTGTGTTGGTGACTCTGGAGGTGGTCTTTCCTTCAAGCCCAAGAATGATACTCAATTTGTAGTGTCAGGAGTTGTGTCGTATGGACCAAGGTATGTAACACTTGTGAATCATGGAATCACCTTAATATGTAATATATTATTATTTACCTTATCTTTAACATGTTTGACAAACAGTGGATGTGGTATTCCATCGTCAGTCACTAACAGAGGAGTGTATTCTTCAGTGGCATATTTTAAAAACTGGATTGAAACTCAAGTGAATGGAGCCTCACCACTCTTCTATTATGATGGCACGGGTGGTTCAGATCAAACGGACACGACAGTGGGTGGAGGAAAAAATCAAATCAATGGAGCAGGAACCAATTCTCTCAAATCGATTCATTTTCTTTCGCTGACATTTCTTGTGTTGTTCTTTTTTTGCATGATTTAGATCTAAATTAAATTACTTAGATGATGTAACAAGTCTTAATAATTCCATTAAATAATTCAAATTCAAAAAAATGATTATTGTGAACAAAACAAGCACACGAATGACACTTTCACTCTGCGTGGTGCTAGCAGTTGTGATTATAATTTCAATTCTGACCGAGGGATCAAAAACATCATTCCGAATCCACAACGAAAGTCATCCTCTTCTTCGAAAGGCAGTAATTTCAACGATACAATTCAAACATGGTCGATATTTGAAACTCCCAAATTGTTTTCAATTTGATTGGTCTGCCATTTCATTTTACACTCAATTTTCCATTACTAACAACAAGTTACACGAGTCACATGCAAACAAGGGTCCTGTCAAACAATCCACAACTTCAAATGTGATTCTTTCACTTCAAGATCATGGAAATTGGTATAATGTTTATTTATGGAAAATGGCCAATGATTCTTTGAATGCTGAATCCTCTCGAATACTTGTCGATACTCAAATTCTTGTGACCAATCAAACATCCTCTCCAAAAAATTATACAGTGAGTTTCACATGGCAGATTCATCCAAGTGAACTTGGAGCTTTTACTTCTTATGAAATTGAAGTTGAAAAGAGAACAGAAGCATTCTTAGGAATTGTTTCATTATATGGAATGTATCTTGCAAATGATGACGATGACAACATGATTCACATCCATAACACAAAATCTCAAACTCATTCCTCATCTTTTTCTACGAGTAGTAGTAGTAGTAGTAGTACTTTTACCAGTCTCCACAATACAACTAAGGAAGATCTCATTGTAGAATTCTTGGGAGATTCTCTTTCATGTGCCTATGGTAATTTAGGTCATCCACCATGTGCTTACACTCCATCCACTCAGGACGTTCATCAAAGTTTTGTGATAAAAACTGCTCAATATCTTCAAGCGAGTGAATATCATGTGGAGTGTTGGAGTGGAAAGGGTGTGGTTCGAAATTTTGGAGAAAATTCCACACAATCCAAAGATCCATTTCCTTATTATTATCCAAGAACGATTGCAAATTCTGGAGAGTATGAATGGAATTATCAAACTTATATTCCTCATTTGGTGGTGATTACCTTAGGTAAGTAATTATGATCAGATGATTGTTTCATGTTTGATTCATATTTTTTGAAATGATATGAATTGATATGAATTGATCTTAAATATAATTAAATGATCTTAAATATAATTAAATGATACTAAATAATATATTAATTGATATTCTCAATAACCTCGACAATATTCTCTCTTGAATAATTACCATATGATAGGAGGAAATGATTTCAGTACCTCACCACGTCCTTCCTTCTCTGAATACTATCAAGGCTATCTTAAATTATTGGAATTTATTTTTTCAAACTATGAAAAGGCTCAACAACGGAACGTATTGAGAGAAACAGTTTTGAAACCTGTCACTGCAATCGATACCACCACGACAACCGATTCAGGAAGAATGAATCGTCTCAAAGTAGTGTTAGTATGTGGTCCGCTCATGTATGATTGTTATGAAAATTTCACAGAACGAGTCGCAGAGAATGCAAAACATAAATTTGGAGAACATTCCATTCATTTTCTCTCCATGCACAACTTGTTGAATGCTGAACACGATATTGGTTGTGCTGGTCACCCCAATACACGTGGTGATGAGAAGATGGCTCGCTTGTTAAGCGATTTTATCAAGAGTAACGTGTTGCTTTAGGACTAAAGAACGTAATCTAACTTCCACTCTCCCGAAAGGGAACGCGCCTTTATTTTCTGTTAAATTTTTTTTAAAAAAAATGTTCAGAACTAGTATTGGAGCCACACAAGCCTCGCAATGGGGTGCCGAGAACAATGATTTGGATTTTTCAAACATTTCCTTTGATGATGAAGAGGAGGATGATGCAACCCAGGTGAAGAGTCAGCCAAAGCCAAGCATTGGAAAAACACTTCAAGATCTTGCAGCTACTCCCTCTTCCACAAAGAAGATTATTCATCAACCATCACACTCCGAAGTGAATCAATCCAATGATATCAATAACACGAATAACAAACCTTCTTCTTCAACTCCGAACCAAATCAATACCAGCTCGGGAGATTCTCCAGTTCTTTCTCTAAAAGCCTCAACAACATTGCCATCCACAACCTCGACCAACCACAAGTCACCTTCTTCTTCATCATCATCTCCTGTTCATCCTCTATTGAGAACCAATGAACTAGAGGTCATGGACACTGATGATGAAGAGGAGAATACTCTTCATGCAATCAAGTCTACATTGGTCACACCTAAGGCACGAGTTGTATCGCCAACATCTGTAGTTGCAACAAACAACTCGCATTCCAATCACATTTCTCCACCCATTCTAATGAAATCAACATCATCCACGATCAATAGCACCACTACTATGACCACTACCAGCAAGAGTGCTCTCCCAACGAGTACAGCCTCTACGAATATTCTTCCAACTAGTACGACCAGCACCACAGCAGCAACAAGTCATGAACCAACAACAATGAATAAGCAGGCTACAAAGTTGGCTTCACAAACGACCAATATTATTCACACCATCCATCATGCCACTTTGATGAAACCAACATCTGGCCAAAATTCTACTGATAAATCAAAAACCCTTCCCGTGATGGATGAAATTAGCTCAGATGACCATTCTGAGAATGAGAATGAAGAATCATCATTGTCTGCAAAGAAAAAGACATCCTCAACAACCACAAGTCGTAGTAGCAGTAGCAGTTCAAAGAATCAAAGAATCAATCAATCAACGACCACAACAACGACGACGACAACAATGAGTAGTAGTAGTAGTACTAGCAATTCACAAAATCAAATCAAACAAGTACACGACCAACAAGTACGATCAGAAAAGTTATTTAAAGATTTAAGATTTACAGTAACTTCCATTTCAACACCAACTGAAAGAGAACGTGTGATTAAAGCCATTCGATCCCACGGCGGTGAAGTTATTGAAACACTTGAAGATATTCAAGAAGCAGAAAAGATTATTCTCATTGCAGATGATTGTACCACAAAACCAAATTATTTGATTGCACTCATGATGGAAATTCCACTCCTGAAAAAGGAATGGATTCATGATTCAATTTCTGAAGGTCGATTACTCGTTGATTCCATGTACAAGTATGTATTGAATCGAGGGTCATTCCTTGTTCGATCTACAAAACAGAAAAAACTAGTGAAACAACATGTGAGCTCTAAATTGTCTTGTTGTGTTCCAATGGAAGAACGAATTTTCAATTCTGTGAAAGTGAGAATTATTGGATCAAAGGATTTTAAGGAGAAATGGACTCCAATTCTAAAGGCTGGAGGTGCCAAAGTCATGACTGTTCTCAAATCACAAACAGACCATCTATCTAACTTTTTATTAGTTGAGGATTATGACAAGTTAGACGCCAAAGTAAAGAAAGAAGCCAAACAATTGAAACTTCCAATTTTAGATCGAGATTCATTGTTGGAAATTATTGTCACATTGGAAAGGAAATTATCATCGGATCAAATTTTAAATTATTCAGACCTCAAGTCTACTGTTCAAAAGATGGCAAAAAAACAAACCTCAAAGAAAAGAACTTTGAATGATGAAGATTCTGAAAGTGACAGTGATGATGAAGAAGAAGTGGAACATAAGAAGGATTCAACAGTTGAATCATCTCAAGAAATTGAAGAACTTGTTCAAAGAAAGAAATCAAAACCAAGTCCATCTGAAACGAAAGAGACAACAAAATCACAAGAAACCAAACAATTATCACAAACTTCTAAATCTTCCATCTCTCAAATTGGTAGTAACATTGAAAGTGTTGTGGCAGAGCATGTACCAAAACAAAAAGATGCAACAATCAAGCCCAAAGACACTACTTCATTAGAATCCAATTCATTAGCTAATGGATTTTACTTTAGAAAAAGTGAATATGAATCCAATTCATTCTCACAACTGTTGCAAATTCATGACCAATCGATGGAAGTAATCTGTGTTGGAGATGTGGTTCAAACATTAGACGACAAGTATTATCGTGTGGATTCATTCGGATTTTCTCGACTAGTTGCAACTGAGTACGTTTTAGCACAACAAACAAAAGATACTTTTCGATTATTACACGAGTCAGATCGAAAACATGTAGAAATTCCTCTTTGCGCTATTAGACACAAAGTGTTTGTAAGCAATAGTTCTGGAATGGGTGAGAGAATTTTCTTAATTGAAAGGCCTGAAAGACTATCAATATTAGATGACACATCCTTGATTTCTGTAGAGCATCGAGCGGTTAATATTTTGAAGTATAATGTCAACCATGAATTTCTGCCAGCAGCTTCACAGAAAATTCAAATACTTCAGTTTAACAATTGCCTGTTCCAAGAAAATGATGTTGTTAAAATTGTTTGCTCCCTAGAAGAAGGATCGAGGATGGCATGCGTTGGACGAATTAGATTCGTGCTTGAAGATCGACTTTTCATTGAGGTATTTAGACGGCATCCAAACAGCGAAATTTCAGATCACTATGTGACAAGTTTCACTGTGATTCCGTTTTCTATCAAATCCATTTCAATAATGGAACCTCTTCACAGTTTTAATGACATTTCCGTGTTCAACAGCTACAAGAAACATTTGACAACACATGGTGTGCAATCAATTTTTGTTCAGGAAGAATAAAAATTGTTTAATCTCAGCTCGTGATTCTTGGCAATTGCTTTCGCCAAAAGGCTGCTCGCTTTACGCTTCCGACCGATAGCATAATCTTAATCAAGTATTGAATGGTCCTTGACATTGTGTGTGGGTCCACCATAGAGTGCTTCTTGTATTCAGTAATCATTTGTTCCATTAAATTTTCAGCTTCTTCCAATCTTCCAGTTTTCAATAAACTTGCTGCTATTACTTTTGCTCCTGCAATTGCTTCAGGGTGTTGGCCGTAATATTCGATGGCTTCATTCAACCTTCCTTGTTGAATTAAGCATTTAATAATTAATGAAAAAGTCTTTGAATTGGGTTTTAACTTGCGTGTTTCCATGCTCTTCAAAATTGCATCAATATCTTGTTGTGTGTAATTTTTAGAACGAACTAATCCAGACAAAAAAGAGTTATATGTGGATGTAGACACGGTAACATTCTTACTGATCATTTCATCCACTAATTCGTATGCCTTATCTAATTTTCCATCTTGAGTAAATCCAGCAATTAGAGAGTTATAATAGGCATCATACTCTTCAGTACAATTTTCTTTGAAAAATTCGTAAGCTTTGTCTACATTTCCTTCTTTGATGTAACCTTCGATAATAATTTCTTTTGTTACGATGGGTGGTTTCATTCCATATTCAGTTGACATTTGATTATAAAGTTCCATTGCCATTCCCATATCGCAAATTAAAGCATATCCTCTGATCAGAGCAGTAAATGTAAATTCATCAGGTGGTACCAATACTTCATCGCTTTCATCCATCCAATTAAATAATTCCATTGCTCTCTTCATGACCACGGAATTGTGTTCACAGGTTGGTTTGAACACTTTAATTTCATTAACAAGCCCGTTCAACACAACAGTAAATGCACTAGTTCCAATGTATGGAGCGGTTTGACCATGTTCATTCTTTGAATTACGTAAAAAGGCAATAGCACCAGCAACATCATTGCCTTGTGTAATAATGATTTGTAATAATTTGGTAATTTTTGGTTTCAATTTGAGTTTTTTAACCACAACTTCTGGAGAGAGATCCATGTTCTTACAATTATCAATTCGAGAGGTCAATAAATTCAATAATGTTCTTGCTGTTTCAACATCTCCAACCTCTCGAATGGTATCTACTAATTTATCTAAGAGAGTTCCAACCACTCCGAGGTGATAACGTTCATTTTCATTCAAGAAAAATTTAACTTCTCGATACACTTCAAATAGTGGTCCTTGCGCCTTGTTTGATGATGAAGGCAATGGTACTGGAGTATTGGCTTTTTTCATCTTGGTATAAAAATCGAGAGTATCCATAATTTCGTTTTTTCTTTTCACTACCTCTTCATAGGTTGGAGGAATCTTTTTAGTGGATTCTTCGGCAATGATGTTTTCATTGTTGGAAGTATGACTCAGAGTATGGATGTTGTTATTGATGGAGGAAGTATGAGAAGTATTCTTGGTTTTGGACTTGTTTTTTGTTGTTTTTATAGTTTTTGTATCTTTGGGAGCTGATAAATGAGAGGAAAAGGAGCATTGTTGAGTCTTGGTGTGCATCATACCGAGAATAGATGAGGAATGATGATTCAAAGATGAGCCTTGTTGTTGTTGTTGTTGTATTGAAACGTTAAGAGTCGAGTACGATCTGTGAGTGAATGTACGAGTTGATCCCAAAAGAAGGCCCTCTCGGAACACACAGTATGAATGAGGCTTATGAGCCCGTGCGAGTACTCTTGTGCTGCTGCTGGCACATTTGTGGGTTGATGATGAAGCCAGCAAAAATAATGAAGACATTTTTTGTGCTGCAATAAAATTTTTTTGTTTTCCAATCGATTTTGATTGTTTCACTAGTAGCTCCTCCTTCTACATTCTTCCTTTGAAAAATACAAGGTTATTCCTCTCTCAAGAATGTACTCATATTGGTCCATATTCTCAGAGTAGATCTTCCATGAGGATAATTCCATGGTTGTTCTAATGAATCTAACTGACGAACAATTTTCTCCATTTCATTTCGGTTCAATACTGAATAGTTATTATTGCAACACATTACAATAAATATATATTGGAACACACACCCAGCATGCATACACCCAGCACACGCATACATCAATCTCATACTCTTATCACACTTACCTTGTCCAAACATGACTGAAGATCGACATGCCTTAGATGCTAATATTCGATTCACTTTCGATGGTTTCAATTCATTCTTAATACTTGGTGGCATGGAAATGTTTTCTGAAAGTATGGAAATGAGTTCTTCAAAATCTTGTAATGTAAATGTAATATTCTTACAGTAAGGAAGTGAAGTTAAATAAAATGTTGTATGTTCAATTTTAGAATGGTGATGATTCGTCATTGGATCTGAATGATTACTATTATTATTATTGCTATGATCCATCATGTGATATGAATGATGATGACTACTACTACTACTACTACTATTATTATTACTATTGCTATGATCCATGATTGGATATGAATTATTTTCATTCATTATTGAAATGTCATGGAATAATGATTCTTGATAATGATTCATTACTGCATCTCCTTCTTCAATTCTAATTTTAAATCCATTCTTTTCAAATACTTGTAAATGATCTCTCACAATGAATTGTTGTGATAATGTTAAATCTAATTTCTGTGGTACAATTAATGGTTGAGTGAATATCTTGAGAGTAGATTTAAATCTTTCATAATTAAATTTCTCATCACATGCATGTTGATCAAGTATAATTAATTCATTCTCAAATAATGCAATAATAAAACTCTTATTAAATTGTCCAATAATAGTCATTTTAGAAAAATCATCTTTTTTGATGAGTTTGGTTAATTGTTTTTCAGATTGTTGTTGAGTAGAGAGATGAGTGTTAGGAATGGAATGAAAGATGTTTTGATGGTGATGGTGGTGATGATTTGAAAAAGTAGTAGTTGGGGTAGTATAAGGTGTAGTAGTTGAAGTAGTTGGGGTAGTATACGGTGTACTAGTTGAAGTTGTTGAAGTAGTAGAAGTAGTTGAAGTAGAAGTAGTTGAAGTAGAAGTACTAGTCAAAGTAGAAGTACTACTAATTGTAGTCAAAGCAGTCAAAGTAGAAGTAGTACCATTGGAAGTGTTGATTGTAGTAAAAGTAGCCGTCGATGGCTTTGAATTCAAGAGACTTGGTATATTCTCATCAAGTAAGAATTTCCTTCTTTTCATTAATAACACTCTCTGATAACGTTCAATAATTTCACTCTCATTTTGAATGATGATATTCACATTGGTTGATGCATCAAACACATCACGACACAATGATTTATCATCATGAATATTCTTCACTCCAGAATCAAAAGATATTCTTGTAACTTTGGAATTCTTTGAAGGTAATGATTTCTTTGATTCATGATTGAATGTAGGAATATAAGAGATTCGTTTGTTGTTATAATTGAAACTATTCGATCTCAATAGAGTATTGTTTGTGGATGATTCATTAAAATTCTCAATGGATTCATCATTTTCATCATCACTCATGACATCATTACTACTCTCAATGAGTTCATCCTTCTCAATTTCTTTCTTTTCATTATTCACTTCATAATAATCTTTTAGTAATTCATAGAGACTTGATTTAGGATGAGAGGATAATGGTTGAGCATTGGCAATATTGGTGGAAGATGTATTCTTCTTTTTTAAATCCTTTCCTTCTTGATGATGTGTCATCCTTGACGATGTGTCAACCAATTGTTCCATCGAGTCGACATTGTGAATCTTTACATTGTGATGATTCCTAGAATTCTTTTCAAAACTATTCAAAGATGATGGATTACCATTACTACAACCATTCCATTGATCATTATCAACACCATCTTTTTGTTCATTCTCACTATCAACACCATCTTTTTGTTCATTATCAACACCTTTTTCATTCTCACTATCATCATCATTTTCATCATTTTCATCATTTTCATCAACACCATCTTCATTCTCAACATTTTCATCATCTTGTTGTTGTTGTTGTTGAATTTGTTGTTGACTATTGAAACTACTCGAACCACTCACTGGTGATGATAATTGTGAAGAATCAGAGATGGATATTTTCATTTCATTCGATTTTGAATATAATTTCTCAAGTTCATATTTCACAAATTGAATGATATAAGGTTCAGAGAGTAAATACATCCTTCTCTTATCAGGAGTGACATTAATATCACAGGTTGATGGATCAATTTGAATATTTAGAATATAAATGGGATATTGATTTCTACTACTAAATTGTTTGTAAATATCATTGATACAACGAGAGAGTTTGGGTAAATCAATGGGACCTGAATCACATATTATCATTGAAATATTATTTTGAATATATTAGTGTTGAAAATATATTATTTTGAATATATTAGTATTGAAAATATATTATTTTGAATATATATATTAATATCGTAATTCATTTAATTGTCATCCATATAATGTATCATCATTCATGATCATCAATAATATTTTTAAATATTCATTCACTTACGTTTGTTAATATATAAAAATTGTCGATCCGATGAACTTCTTCCACACGATGCATCTTGTTTCGAAATGTATCCATTCACTTGAATATAATGTGGTTGTAATTGCTCCACATGAAAGACCATTAATTTTTTAAATTCTTTCAATGTGAATATATTCACAATATTATCTTTCATAGATTTACCATGAGTAATCAAAAGTTTTTGAGAAGAAGATATGCTAGATGATGAAGGTCGAAGTGTTGATGAAAAAGATGTATTTGAATATGACAACGACGACGACGACGACGACGAATTGCATGTCATCATATTCACACAATGAAAAGTAATTCCTTCACTTGCCAATGCATAACTTTGAATCATGTTCATACATTTAGAGAATTCTCTCTTAATATTTCTTTCAAGTTCTTTAAATCTCACTGGAAAGTTTTTAAATAATTCACTCACTTTCACTGTCGTTCCATATTGAGATCGATGGACTCGATCTTGTTGTACAAGATTTTGAGAATGATCAAATTGTAAATAGTATGCATGTAACGATGGAGTGGTGCGTCTAGTCTTGTGATGAGAAAATGTTGTTTTGTGATGATTATTTTCATCTAAATGTTCATGTACTTGTTGAGAATTGATTAATGGAATGTCATGATCGTTCTCTTCTTCTTGATCTAATATAGGTCTAGTACAAATACTTAATTTACTCATACAGCAAATACTTGAGAGAGCCTACATGTGTTTCATTTGTAATGATCACATGTCAATTATTATGTCAATTCAAAAATAATTCAATCATTGTAATAATAACATTAAATAATAATATTAAATAATAATAATTAAATAATAATATTAAATTATAATAATTATGAACATCATAACATTGGATGAATATAAATAAAAAAAAATTCATTTCACTTACTTCACCTCTAAATCCAAAAGTTTCTACATGTCCTTGATTTAAATCATGAAGAGTGGACAATTTAGAGGTATGATGTTTTTTCACGAGATTTTTAAAATTATTTTTTGAAATTCCAATTCCATTGTCAATGACTTCAATACTTTCTAATCCCATATTTACAAATTTAATTTCAATAAATGTAGATTTAGCATCCAATGAATTTTCAATAAGTTCTTTTACAACACTTGTGAGTGAAATGATGACTTGTTCACTACATATTTTATGAATTGAAGATTCTGATAAGGATTGAATGTATGATTTGGATTGATTTAAATCTTGTTGTGAAATGGGTGTGTTAAATTCTTCTTCAGAATTTGTTAAAGGTAAGGAATTATATGGTTCCGATTTATTATTATTTGTGGTAGTAGTAGGAGTAGTAGGAGTAGTTGAAGAAGTAGTAATAGAAGAAGTGGTGTCCATATGGCTGTGCTTGTTGTTGTGTATTGTAGAATTTTGTTGTTGTTGTTGTGATGAAGGAATAATAATATCACTACTACTACTAGTTGTTGTTATTGTTGAAGATGACTTCTTCCGAATGGTCAATCGTGCTCGTTGTTGTTGTTGCTGTGGCATGGATGGAGCGGTTAAACCATGATTGGATCCGCTGGCACCACCAACAACGAGTGGCGGCGTTGGTTTCATTTTTACAAGTAGTAATTTCCCTGAGCGAACGCCACAGATTATGACACAGCATGGCAAGGCTGCTAACAATAAACTAATTAGATGATTAAACTCTGAGCGCGCATGCATAAAAGTAAAATTTTACATGTTTCATCACACTACACTCTGACCCTTCCAACAGTGACCAGCTTGTTTTCCAAGAAGAGTTCAGATGAATGAAACTTGAAAATCTCAAAGACTTGTTGTCCTTCTTGTTTACCATCTAATTGATCCAATGAGCAGTAAAAAAAAATAGTAAATCTCAAAACTTCATCATCCACACCAACCTCGTCATCCGTGTCACCACCTTCACTGTTGACAACACTTTTAACATGTCCTTCTCTTCTTCTTCTGAATACATTCATCATTTAATTACAAAATCAGAAATTAAATTTGTAATGAAAAGAGATCCATCCCATTCATTTTCTTATTATTTGAAAGCAGCAGAAGATATTATCCAATCCGTACGTAGGTGTTTAAATATTCCAATATTGGAATGATGATGGAATCTCTCTGTCACACCCACATGTGTATGGATCACTTTTGTGTGTGTTATTCTTCATCATTGATATTCTCTGTAAAATTTATTAATATGATCAATATTATTTATTGTTTTTATTTAATATTTACAATTATTGAATGATAATATTTAATATTTTAAAAAATGATTCATTACAAATAGGCCAATTCCTATAAACAAGAAAACAAATTCGAAGAATCATTTATTCTCTTCACTCGATTTATTCTTTTATTTTTAAATATCATTCAAAAGGAACATGTTAGAGTGAGAGAACAAGTCATTTATGTTGAAAGATTTAATAATTTAAAGAAATATGCATCCTATGCTATGGATCAATGTGAACTTTTAAAAAAGAAATTAATTGACTTGTATCAAATGAGTCATGGTAATAATAATTGTAATAATAATAATAGTAGTAGTCATACTAATAATAATATTTATAGTAATGATCATACTTTTAAAAATAGTCAAAGTAATACTTTAATAACAACAACCACTATGAATTCGCACACAAGTCACACGATCAAAAAAACATCTCTCATTCCTGTTCGAATTCACTCTCAACTCATTCAACAATTTATACAATTGGCTCAACCTCATTTACAACGTGATTTAGAATTTTGTGGAATACTTGCTGGATATCTAGTCACCTCGTCCTCAACATCATCATCATCCTCCTCAAGAACAACATCATCCTCAACATCACCCATAACACCATTATATTATCAAATTTCACATTGTTTCATTCCCAAACAATCATGTACTGCTGATAGTTGTAAAGCTCTCAATGAAATTACTGTATTTAACAAACAAGAAGAATTAGGATTAATTACATTGGGATGGATTCATACACATCCAACACAAGATGCATTTCTCTCAACGATTGATTTAAAAACTCAATATGGATATCAATGTGGATTGGATGAAGCCATTGGAATTGTGTATGCACCCAAAGCAGTACGAACACCTAAAATGGGAATATTTAGAATTACGGATGAATTTTCAACAAATCAGAAGGGTGTTCATCATGGTATGGAATGTATTCGACAACGATTCAGAGAAAATATTGAATGGGGAAATCAACATGAACCAATGAATGGAGACCACCAGTGGTTTGAAGAATGTTCTCATGTACAATTATTATTGAATCAGTGTCATGATGAGGAGGGTGAGGAGGTTGATTCATCCAATCTTGTGGATTTGAGAAATTGAATGTGTTTTAAGAACACACCATATAAACTGTTGTACCTTTGTTCTCCTCTTATTGTTCTCATGTTCTCGAAAGACTTTTTCAATCCTAATGGTGCAGTAAGCGTGTTGAAGAGGTCAGACATACTGAGACTTGACAAGTGCAATTTTGAGTTTTGAAAAAAAAAATGTCATCATCAGAGCTTTTTTCTCAGGCTGAAACAAATTGTATGAACGAGTCATCATCATCACCCTCATCCTCACCCTCATCATCATCGGAACCAATAGTAAATGGTTACAACAACTCGATTCAAGTTTCTGAAGAGGAACAAGTACTTGATCAACAAGCCTTGAAATTATGCGAACATGCATTGGCTGGTCCTATTACTTTTCATATTCATACGTGTCATGTAGAACCCATTCCATTACATTTCAATGATATCAATGGAATGACCTGTTTAGAATTTTACAATCAAGTCATGATGAAATTAGAAAAGGAATATCAACATTCTTGTTGTGACCCTCTTGAAAGATGTGAGTCTACTTCTCATAATGACAGTAATGAGTCTTCTATTAATGAATCTTCTATTAATGAGTCTTCTTCGTCTAATAATAACAGTAATGAATCTTCTTCTCGTCATAGTAACACCACTACGAATGAATCCTCTTCTTCTTCATCATTCACTACCATTCCATTATATTTAAAAGATATTTGTATCAATGATTATATTGGTGACAAACCATTGAGAGAATTCCTATCTGAATCTCTTTTAAAAATTGAACAGAATGTCTATGATTTACAAGTCCTGTATCAAGATCATCCTCCTCAATCTTTAGAATTACAATTACCCTTGCATGTTAAAAATAGAAACACTCAATCCATTGTCGATCAAATCGAACAATTCATATCAATGCCCTATGATTCTTCAAAACCACTTCATCGTACTTCACAATTATCTTCATATAACTTTTCAACTGAAATGAGTGTATTGGATCGAAAGTTTATTCATGCCATTTCATCCTTATATGGAATTTATCACAAGAGTGAAGGTAATGCTCAGCAGAGATTTATTAAAATCTCAAAAGAAGCCACAACCCAACAGACTACCAAGAAAAAACGTAAAGAACCTAATTTTCCAAGTGGAATGAGTACAGTGATTGAAAATTTTCTATATTTGGGATCTGGTTTGGATGCCAATGATGAAATTCAAATCAAAAAGAATCAAATTGATTACATTCTCAATGTTACTAAGGAATGGCCAATTGGTAAATCAATTCCATCGTATATTGTGTATAAAAGAATTTCATTGAAAGATGAAAGAGAGGAATCGATTATACCCTATTTTGAACAAGCATTTGAATTTATTGAACAAGCCTTAGAACAACAGAAGAGAATTTTAGGTAATTATTTTTAGTGTTTAATGTACATTGGATCATGTGATATATATGTTATATTTTCATATTACTCATGGTATGTCATGGATCATGTTATATATTTTCATATGGATCATGGTATGGCATATGGATCATGGCATATCATGGATCATGTTATATTTTCATATGGATCATGGCATGTCATGGATCATGTTACATTTTCATATGACTCATATTTTCATATGGATCATCATGGTAAATTTTCAACCACAATTTCTTCAGTTCATTGTGTGATTGGCAAGTCCAGAAGTGCATCTTTTGTTTTAGCATTTTTGATGAAACATTTCAATTTTAACTTAAAACAAGCATATGATTATTTAAAAGAAAGAAGAGAATTAATTAGACCCAATGATGGATTTATCATGCAATTGATGGAATATGAATATAAATTACATCAAGGACAATTTACCAAAGTGAATATTCAAATGGATCATGTCTCTGAAATGACTACTCGTAAGTATTTTGACTAGAACAATGATCGTAGTGTAATCAAAGAAATCAGTGAAATCCATCCACATTCCTCAATATCTTTCAACATCATTGGAATGGGAATTTAAAGAAACAAAACAAGAAAAGGCAATACGGGAAAAAGAAATGCGAAAATCTAAACTCAGTGAAGAGGAAGAAGCAGAATTAGAACGAACATTTCTAAATGATGAAAAATTGAATGAATTATTGAATGAATGTTTTCCTCCATCGAGATGTGATGAAATGACGAGTAGTTGTAATAATTTCATCACACTTGCAAATAATGAACAGAGACGACCATTATTGAAATCTCAAGTACAACAATTTGTCAAGTTTGTGAATACTCATCCCATTGTGATCAAACATCATTTATTTGAAAATGCAAATTTTATGAAATTTGTTCATCATCGATGTGCCAAATGGTTTATTTCACAATGTTCTTCACTACACGATCTTGATGATCAAGAACCAACTCATTGAATGAATGATCAAGAACCAACTCATTGCGAACTCATTGCGAATGAGGATTATGAACAAACTCATTGAATGAATGTGGTGTGGTCATGAATCATGTCCAGATGGTGTGAAGCGTGGATGGACACTGCAACGTTACATTAGTCCATTTAAAGAAATAAAAGAAAGTTAATGGCTGACTCAAAATTTTCTAAAAATGGGCAAAAACAAGTGACAGCATCTGAAAAAAAACAACACCCATGAAGAAACTTGCCACACTGTTCAAAGGCTTGGATACCTCCAAATCCGAAGAAGAAGAAAAGAAAAAACTATTCGGGAAGGGTGTGAAAGAATGGACCACCAAGGATGTTTCTCTTTGGTTAAAAACCATTGATTTGACAGAATATTGTAAAGAATTTGAAAAAGCGTAAGTGATTGGAATGGACTTGAACCAACAACACAACAACAACAACAACAACACTAATAATAACCAAAACAATAATTAAACTCTATAAATCCATCACCATGTAATCAAGTGATATTTCAGGTGCAGAATTGTTAGAACTTACCGAACAAGATCTGATTAAGGATTTAAAAATCTCTAAATTAGGTCATCGTAAACGATTTAAAAAACAATTAGAATGGTTGGAACAAGGTCGATTTGAAATTGGTCATGTCGTCATGAATTCATCAAACACCACAGATGATTCTGATCAGACTGATTCATCATCATTATCAGATCATTCCAATGTGATTTCAAATGGTACTTTGCAAAGTTCCAACAAGTGCAATGCAGACATGACGACGAGTGGAAAAGTAGTCCTCTCGTCATCTGTATCAAATTCATCATTGTTTCATATTCGAAATGATGATGAGACTGACTCGGTATCATCATTGAATGGTGTTGTTGTTGGTGTTGGTGGTATTGGTGGTGCTACAACGACTACTTTGAGTCACGTATCATCATCATCCTCCCTCTCTTCACATGTTAACACTTCATTATTACATCCTCATCACCACTCTTCACCTGTACCACCAGAACATGAGTTATGGATTAAGTGTTACGAAAAACATGGGAATGACCATGTTTGTGGTAATTCAACTACTACTACAATAGTATTGAAATTTAATCTCGCATGTCCTCTCAACCATCCATCTACAGATGTATCATCATCCTCAACACGGACAACTACAACAACAACAACAACTCAATTACAAGCACTACCCAAATTGGAACAAGTGAAACAAGAGATTCTTTCAAGAGTATCATCACATCAAGACATTTCCATCTCACAAATTCAATTGAAATACAAAGATGAAGATAATGATATGATTTTATTGAAAAAAGATGAAGATTTTAAGATTTGTGTTCAACAATATCTTGCCTCAAGAACTTCTACCACCACTCATAGATATTTAAAGTTATTTGTGAATTATAATAGTGGTTCATTTCATGGAGTGAATCATAATATGAATTTATCAAATCCAAATATGAACAGCAACAAATTGGACCATCTCACCAAGAAGAACCATACGTTATCTTCCATCAAGGATGAAAGTGAAGAATTGATTGAAATACTCGATGGCATGGTCGATGCATTAATTGTCATGACTGCTCACGACAAACTTATTAAATACGTGAATAAGGCAACAGAATCACTTTTACAATTTAAAAGAGATGAATTGATTGGATTCAATGTCACTAAAATTATGCCAACAGCGTATCGATCACATCATGATGAATATGTAGATTTATATTGTAAAACAGGCATTCCCAAGATTATTAACAAGGGAAGAATAGTACCTGTGAAAAGCAAACAAGGAAAAGTATTTGATTGTTGGTTGAGTGTGAGTGATAGTACATGGGCGCATCAGAGAGCATTTACTGGAACTTTGAAAATGATTTATACAGAATCTTCTGCAACTAGTTCAACCACTACTGCAATTCCTTCCTCCATTCCTAACAACTCTCCTCCTGTATTTCCATTCTTAGAAAATATGGTGGATGGTGTCATTATCATCTCAGGTAATGATGATATTGTGAGATATTTCAACAAATCTGCAGAACAAATGTTTGGATATACACGAGAAGAAGTGGTTGGACAACAAATTGGAATGCTTGTGTATGATGAACGTGTGCGACAACATCACAATCAATATGTTCAAAGATATATGCAAAGTGGTGATTCACACATTGTTGGAATTGGTCGACGAGTGGAAGCCTTAACAAAGGACGGAAAAAAACTACCCATTTACTTGTCTGTGAATGAAACCAAATGGAACAATGGCCTTAATGGACGATGTTTTATTGGTACTACGAAACTACTCGATCAGAACAGTCCAATCACCAAATACGTGAATGTCAATGACTCTCGTGATTGAGAGTTATAGCTATACATACTACCTCCCTAATTGTATAAATGATAAGCATGATCATCATCCAAATGGCTGCACACCACTCATTGTGTACATTTTCACCACATATAAAAGATATCATTATTTTACATCAATATTTACAAAAACAAATCAGAAACACCTTCACCTGAATCCATTTCAAACATAAAGTCGTCATTGGATTGTTGATGGACAGATCCAGTACCAACAATACCAACAGAGCCACCAGCAGCACCAACACCACGAATATTCGAATCATCGATTAAACTAGCACCATGTTCAAATGGCAAAGAAGCATGAACTGCTGTGGCCACCGCTGTGGTACCCATCTCTCCTTCACTAGCACCACCACCACCAGCACCACCACCACTGACAACATTCTCTTCTCGATCGACCAAATACACATCAATAGGATCTGCAGGTGATTTTAAAAATATTTGATATCTTCTCTTTCCCAATTCCATTCCTTCGTCAGGATCAGGAACAGTCAATGTAGTACCTGATGGAGCCTTAATAGCAATCACTGTTCTGTCTTTCAATGTTGGAATATCCAAAACATCATCATAGGTTACAAATGCTAATCTACGATCTGTTTCATTTAAACATCGAAGTGATTCTTGAACATGATAAATCAATTGATCGACTTGTCTTTCTTGAAATTCAATTGTTGCAATTTCATTTTGAATAATTTTAACTTCTTCACAATTTTCAGGTGCATTGACTGCAATTCCTGTTCCTAGCCATTGAATATTATTTTTTGATTTCTTTTCAATGAGTCCAATTCCTTCTAAAACGTTGGTAATATCATAAATTCTTCGTTTTTGTACAGAGAGTGTCTCAGCAGCATGATTTAAATCTAACACACCATCTTTAGCCTCTGCAATGAGATGAATAAATTTTCGAGTCAGTAATCGGAGTGAGGAATCATCACGACAATTCTTGTTGGATTTTGTAGATGCTGTCGAAGAGGAGGCTTTTGTTTTTCTCTTCTTTTTCGTTGTTGTTTCTTCTTGAGTGGTAGTACTGTTACTCAATATGGATTGATCCATAGCGTTATTACTTGTTGTATGAGTGGGTGATGAAGCCTCATCTTCCTCTGCTGCTGCTTGATGTTGCGAAAGAGAAAGTGCCGAGATCATGGATTGATAGGATCGTTTTTGAGAAGAAGAGGATGAATTGAGAGGAGGAGAGGCATCCTCATTGGAGAGTGATGCTGTAGAATCATTTGGTGAGGCTGGCATGATTCGGAGCGAGAGATGATGAGTATACAAAAAAAACAATGGAAAGATAAAACGTTGGGTATTTTTTTTTGTGTTTCTGGTTGGTGGGTTCATTTGTTAACAACACAACAAGTTGAAAAGGTGCTGCAAAATTCAAACACCGAGATGTGGGGAGTGAGAATTTCTATTCATCTGATGATATTTTGTCATGATTATTCGTATTTTCAGGAGCAACACAACTACATGGTTAGGAACATTGAATGTTCTGAAAAGAACGGAAGTGTTTTGTAATGAAAACAACAAGGTTGACTGAAAGTATGGCTAAAAATGTCAACAAACCCACAACCAAAACAGCTCTCTAAAGAGCAAACTAATACTTCTACTGCAGCTTCCCATCATGTTGTTAACATTTTATAACACTTTGTGAAGTATTAACTTTGTTTATGCTTTATTGTTGATTCGCACAACAACGTCACCACAAGATATGTTCAAGGAGTATGGTGTATATTAAGTTCTGTTTACAGGTTATTACACTAACATATATATAACAACAGAAAGCAACGACAGGAACATTCATATGTAGTGAAACAATACCTATTCGTTGATGGGTTGATCGAATAACAAGTTACTACTTTACTTAATCAATACTCCTACTTGTAATTACTATTCGCTACGATGTTCCAAGAGTAGTTTGGGTAAGTATGTACAATCCTTGAAGCTGTTGATAGGTACACATTCTACTGCGAACACGAGCTGTAATGAATATAATTGAATTTTCTTCCAGTATACTAATGTTATTTGTTTTTCGTATGAATACATATTTTACTTGCGTTGTTTTGAATTATGCACCAGTGTTACGATAGTATTACCAATATGTACTAACAAGTACAGCATGCGTTGTGTAACTTGTTATCATGGAGTATCAACCAACGACCTTTATTGTTGTACTGTTGTCCCGAGAAGTGGAATATACTGTGATGAAAAAAACTCAAACTGTTTTAAGAAACCGCATTTAATGGATAACAGCTCTGTAATGAATTTTTATCATACAAGTAAATTAATTGGTAATTATTCAATGAATCAATTCATCAACAAATTGTTGATTTTGACTTGATATTCATAAAAACAGGTTAGTTAATACAACACAAAGTGTTGTTGACATTTTTTAGCCAAACTTTTCAGAACATTCAAGCATTCGTTTGCGCTTTAGAGCTGTTTTAGGTTTGCAAATCTTCTTATTTATTGGTCATTGAAATCTTCTGTTCTAATTTCTTAGTAAGGTAATGCTTACTTATGTTGAATAACAGATACAATAATTTATTTCTTCTTTTGAGCAATAATTGCCTTCTTGACTACCTTGTCTGCCCTTTTGGCAAATTTAGCTTCATCCTTTGCAATTTCCTTTGCAAATTCTCTACCAGTCACAGTAGCATCATAGGCACAATCTTTCAATTTCTTTCCAGTCAAACCTCTCTTTGCACAAGCCTTCTTTGCCCATTTTGGAATTTCAATTTCTTCCTTTTCCAACGTTCTTCTTGGTTGATGAGTTCTGAAAAGTTTAATAGCCTTACCACCATCTTTACCATCAACAATTAATCCACGAGAGAATTCAATATGATCTGGTGCATCTACTTGAACATCCATATAGGATCTACCATCATGCAATGTGAATCTTTCACCAAATAATTCAACTCCATCATCGGATTTGACAATAAAAGTATTCTTTGACTTTCTTTTTAGCAAACCTCCATCCAATTCATATTCTTTACCAATTGCAAATCTTGCTCTCTTCTTATTCAAATAGAATTTACCATTTCTAGAATTGAATTCAATGACATCACCTCCAACCTTCACAGCAATAGCCTTATTGACAGTTGCAGTTCCTCTATTTCCTTTCCATTTGGAGATACGAACATGAGCAACAAAGGATTGATCCAAAGTTTCAGCCAAAATAAAATCACCAACACCATTGAAGAGAATATCTTCACCTTCCAAAGTGACGTAATGAGGATCACCTCTACCTCTACCACGTGGACGAGGAGTAGGTCTTCTTGGTAAGCGAGGAGTTTGAGGGGTTCTTGGCACACGAGGGGTTCTTGGTACACGAGGCACTCTTGGCACACGAGGGGTTCGAGGTGTTCTTGGGGTTCTTGGCACACGAGGAGTTCGAGGAGTTCTTGGTACACGAGGTGTTCTTGGGGTTCTTGGAACGCGAGGAGTTCTTGGCACACGAGGGACTCTTGGTGTTCTTGGCTTTCTTGGCACTCTTGGAACTCTTGGCTTTCTTGGAACGCGAGGTACACGAGGAACTCTTGGTCTTCTTGGCACTCTTGGCTTTCTTGGAATGCGAGGGACACGAGGAGTTCTTGGCTTTCTTGGCACACGAGGTCTTCTTGGTACACGAGGAATACGAGGAACTCTTGGTCTTCTTGGCACTCTTGGCTTTCTTGGAATACGAGGGACACGAGGTCTTCTTGGTCTTCTTGGAACACGTGGTCTTCTTGGTTTCTCTGGTGTTTCAGGATTGGTTGGTTTCTCTGGATTTGTTGGCTCCTCAGGACGTGCTGGAGGTTGAGTCTCTGGATTTGTTGGTTCTGAAGGTTTCTCTGATGGAGGTTGAGTTGGTGGCTTCTCTGGATTTGTTGGTTCTGAAGGTGTTTCAGGTTGAGAAGGTTTTTCAGGTGTATTTGGTGTTTCAGGTTGAGAAGGTTTTTCAGGTGTATTTGGTGTTTCAGGTTGAGAAGGTTTTTCAGGTGTATTTGGTGTTTCAGGTTGAGAAGGTTTTTCAGGTTGAGAAGGCTTTTCAGGTCTCGATGGTCTTTCAGGTCTTCTTGGACGTCTTGGTCTTCTTGGCCGTCTTGGCTTTTCAGGTCTCTCGGGTGTGGTTGGTCGTCTTGGTTTTTCAGGACGTCGAGAAGGTCTTTCAGGTCTTCTAGGTCGTCGTCGTTGTCGTCCTTCTCGAGCATTACATTTTGCTAATTTTCTAATCTCCTCCACTGTTTGCCAACTAATTCTTCTTCTCTTACATTTACGAGGAATTGAAATTGAGAATCTTCTTGCGAGTTTACGAATACGTTGTGTCAAGTACAATCTTGGATTCCATTTCTCTTTTAATTGTTTTTTCAATGTGATGAGACGAGAAATTTCATCATTCAACTCATTGGAGGAGTGTGATGCCATCACATTCTCTGTTGAGATCATGACAAGGAACAATGTCACGAGTAGCAGCAACAACATCAACACCGAGGTGGTGCGAGAGGATGGGCCATTTCGCATCATCATGTTTTTTTTTTTAAAATGATGTGTGTGAATGACCCTGACAGATGACGAATGAACATTTTTTCTGCCTCAAGCAGAACGGAGCTAAGAAATAAGGTAAAGGTGACCTTATTTATGAATATTGCCTCAAATTACTCTTTTAATCATCCCATGACTTTTAACTGTGGAAAATAAGTCTCTGAGGCAATGGTGATCACACTACTATTCTTGACCACCACTATTAACTTGACCACCATCACTCTCTTTCAATTCCTTTGCTACTTGATAAATAGCTCTACCAATTCTCTCGTAATCATTCAAATCGTTATAAATCTGTGCTGATATTCTACAATACATTTTAGAATCAAATTCATAAAATACCACATAGGATCTAAATGTTTCTAAAACGATGGATTGAACACGAGTCCAAAATGTTAAATCTTCACCAAATTCTAATGGTAATTTAATATTCACCATTGAACCACCCCATAATCTCTTATCATTAGTAATGACTTGAGTTCCAAATAATTTGGAATACAATTCACCAATTTGAATGGCTAATTGAGAATTGTAATGTTGAATCTTTTCTTCACCTCCTAACCATTGTCTATATTCAATAGCATCTTTGATTGATAAATATGATGAATAATCTCTTGTACCAGTATAAGAGAATTCTTTTTGATAACTCGATTGTGGAGTATTGGTATAATGGAAACTAATGACGGTTGGATGGATTTGGAATGAGGCTTTTGGATTTTTCCATAAGAGGCAACCAGTCTATATGAGTAGTCAAAACGTGTCATTGTAGTAAATAGATTAGATATGGATCGATCGATCGATATATATAGTTTGTATATATATGAATGAATAGATTAATCATGAGTAGATGTATATTCATTCATAAATAGATAGATTAATCATGAGTAGATGTATATTCATTCATAAATAATAGATTTCAAATAATATTCCTTCTCAAACACATATACACACTCAATCACATACCTTGGGTGTAAATAACCACTTGTGAGTATTGGTCAAATAATAATCAGAATCAATTTCAGAAACATTGAATGGAATATTACCAATAGTATGAGCACCATCAATAATTGTTGAAATGGAATGTTTTTTAAATAATTTCACTAATTCCCTTACTGGTAATGTAATCGCTGGTGTTGATACAATATGACACATGACAGCAATCTTAATATCATGAGTATTCAAATGAGAGAGTGTGAAGGATTGCACTTTGTTTAAAATATTCTCTTCACTTTGAATATCAGAAAGTGTAAAATTCAATTCTAATAATTGAACTTGTCCATAAAAATCATGAATAAATTCCAAAGTTTTTTTAACCATTCCATAGGCAGTATTGAAATAGAGAATGGTTATGGGTTTTTTAAGAGTGATCGTATGATCTACATTTTGACTCTTCTCCATATGTTGTTTCATTTCATTGAGAAATGGATAGGATCTAAAAATGGAATTAATGGCAGTACTTGCATTCTCAACGAGTACAACATCATCTTCATGTTGAGATCCAATCATTTTAGAGAGAATTTGACGAGATTGATTGTATTTTGGAATGACTTTAATTCTGAACCATTCATCAATGGATGTTTCCATTTCAACTATGAAATTCCAACAACACATGTTAAACGCTGTGCAATTGCACAACACTCTTGCACACACCTACCTTGATAATTAAAATTAGCTTGCAATACTTGCTTTGGAGTGCTTCCAAAGGATCCATGATTCAGATTGGTATAATTTAAATCGGTATAGAATTGTTTTTTCATTTCAAGAGTACCGAATGCAGGAGGTTGGTGGTTGGATGGATGTTGTTCTTGTTCACTCATCTTCAAAGTTGAGGATAATGGACCGCTCTGTTGTGTGCTTTTTGTTGCCATGATGGTGTTTGTGGTGCTGTGAATTTTATTTTTGATCGTGCTACGAATCGGAATAGCGTAGTGCCCTCGTTGTTGTTTGTTTGCCATGTCACTTCGAACTCGATTGTTCTCTGCTGGGAATGGAATCATTGGTCTGCAAGAGCAACCGGGCAACAACAACAGCAACAACAACAACAGCATGATACTCCAACAACACACCACCGTCATCATCCGTGTAGGCTTTACGATGCTTGTGCCGCTTTGGAGTTCGACTTTGAGTCTCAACCACATTTTTTGAAACGCGTTCCCATCAGACCTTCTGGGATCCCAGAAAGAAAAATTCAAGAGCTTATTCTCACTCTTTTCTGTCCATTCTCAACCGAATCATCGTTTGAGGTTCCATTGAGCTGGCATGTATGATAATGCCAACAACACGTTTGTAATAATACTACTCTTTCCGAATTGAAATGAACCGTCCAAGAAACAATCCTTCTTCAACCTCTACGCCAAGAATTCACTCATCATCCTCACCTCGAAACGTTGGAGGTAATAGCCAGAGTGTGGTTGCTTCTGCCTCTCCGCAACCACCACCACCACCCTTTATGAATACAAAATCTCCCAGACAAATTGTACCTTCACTAGCCTTATTATATCATGGGCTTAATGCCTTGCAAAACTCAAGGGACGAAATACCACCATCGACTTCAACTAGCACTACAACAGAAGGTAGTGTTGGATCCTCTTCAGAAACACAAAGTATCCTCAATCATGTAAAAGCCTCATCCAAAAGTACCTTGATGGACTCCTCATCTCATGATGGTTCACCAACAGACCACAAGATGTCTAATGGATCACTCACAGATCGACCCTACAAGCAGCAGCAGATGAATATGATCACGGAGGAAATATGCTGTCAAGATGATATCTTGTGTGGAGCAACCCCATATTCCCCTCGAAGATTTCCACGTGTGGAATTCTCCAATCATGCCATCAAATTTGAAAAGAAAGTTCAAGATTCAACGCAAACCATTAGAATTCATAAAGAGCATGAAGATCGACTGAACCTTGTTCATGAATGTATCAAACAAATACACTCACCAGTGAAGGAACAAGTACAATTGGGAATTGCAACTCTTAAAGAACTTGATTCCATGATGGATGATTCGATTCGATACGATCAGTATCATTCACCTTATGAGAAGAAGATGTTGCACTCATCTAAAAAATCATTTAATGTTCATTCAAGATATTTGGATCCAAAGAAACCAATATCACCCCAGAAACAAGATTCATTTTCACCTCAGTTCGTCTCTAAGCAATTCAAAAATACCTCACCACGTTATTTGGATTATGAGAGCAAACAGAATAGAGAAAAAACTGAACAACAATTGAGACCAGAAGATGCATCCAAACTTCAACATTCAAAGAACATTACTGGGTCCAAAGACACGCTTTCGAATCCTTTGACTGATCATGTGAAATCTCCTCAAAAGTTTTCTTCAAGCAAATTGTATCCTCAACATCATTCACGATACAATCCATTGTATTATTCACCAAAAAAAGGTGTTAAAAGATGTGAACAAGTTAACGAATCTCCTTCAAAACCTTCTTCCCCTTTGAAAGGTATTTCTTCTCCAATTACAAGCAAATCACCTCAAATAATACCAAAAGGACATTCGTTAAAAAAGGGTGCAAAGAAAATTAATGATCACGATTTGAAAATGTTAATGGAGTCTGGGTCACTTGATGATTACAATGATGATTTTGTGCTTCATAGGGTGACAACGTCTGCTACGGAAGAAGACTCGGAAGTTTTATCCTTGACTCTGGGAAATTCTGGCATTGAAGATGACGATCTAGTAGTGACAGATCACAACTCTGCTATTGTATTATCGTTGTCTCCTCCACCGCATGATGATGCCACTATAGTTCAAGACATGCTTGAACATGAAACGGATGTCAATGATATTAAGGCAGATTTGCCCCCTGTGACGCAGACCATCGAAATCACAACTCCAGCTATGATTGCCAATGTCTCAAGATTAAGCGAACAAGAAATGAGTCTTCAAGAACAGCCAGAAGACATTCTTGAAAGTGGGAATGAGGATGAATTCGAAACTATGGAAGCTGATCCAGAGATGGAGTTACAAACCAATGATGAATCTCTTTAATAATTCAAATCTTAGATTTTGGGAAGACCATTTCTGTGGGATTTTGCTTGATCATGACTGCTTCTTGAAGATTTCATGTATTGTGCCGTGTCACTAGGCTGGAGAATTGAAGAAATATCACTGGTAGTAGATCCAAATGTGGTTTTGGAATCTGCATTGAATGAAGAATTAAAGTCCAAGTTGTTGCGGGTCATTGATATGGATAGCTTTTTCCTTAATGCCTCAATTTCTTTTTTCAGCTGGTGCGTTTCTTTGCTGTATCGGTCATTCAAGTTATTGTACAAGGACTGTTGAGTTTCAATAAGCTTTTCAAGGGAAGATTTCTCGGTATCCCTATTCTTGAGATCAATTTTCAATTTGTCAATGATATTAAAGTTCTTTTTGTTTTCCTCTTCATAGTGATTTGAAATGCTTTGGTAGATATCTGCCTTGGTGTTTTTTTCAAATTTACAGGTTTCTGATAAATTTCTAATTTCCTTGAGGTGTTTCTCTCGATCTTCTTCTAATCTCATTTTATATTGAATAAATTCTGATCTTGTACTTGTGAGTTCATCCTTCAATGCCTCGTACATTGTTTTCGATTGATGAAGTTGGTCTTTCAACTCCTTCACTTGTTTTGACAAGGCCACTTCTTTCAACGCATTAATACTTTCAAGCAACATTTTCTTATCGGTTTCGTCATTTTCAAAAAATGTTTGGGTAGAAGCATTTGAGGTTGTTCTCGAAATGTTGGAGGTTGTTGTTTCAGAAGAAAAAGCTACATGAGGTCTTGTTTCATATTTCATTAGCCGAGATTTCATTTCATCTAATAACTCCTCAGAAAAGTCATCTTCAAATAATTCATCAGTTAATTCATCATCGCCATTGAAATTACTGTTTTCCCAAGGGGTTTGGGATAACTCTCTTAAAAATTCTTGTGATGGCTCCAAGGATGGTCTTGATCCTCCGTGGCATCTATGCTTTAAGACTTTTTGGTACATGTCATGTGATATTCGAATGCTTTCATCTTGTTTTCTTATATACTCTTTCAAATCCTTAATGAGCTGAGATTTCTTATTGAGCTCCAACCTAAGTTTTTGGATATACTTGCTATACAAATCCAATTTTTCATGGTTTGAAGATGCGTTCGTATTGTTACTAACAATGATGCTATATTGATTAGGGGTTGCTCGTTGATGGAAGTGAGTGGTGTTATTTGCACTTTTTGGCAGCGGAGAGTGAGCACGTCGTAGGAGAGGTTGAGAGTGTGATTTGTGGTCTGATGACAATTCCGTTGTTGAAAGCCTTCGTTGTAATAAATTAGAGTTTGAAATATTGGAATGAAGATGATGAGATGATGAGGGTGGTGATTCAGCAAATGCCAATGACGAGTGATGGAGAAGGTTGTGCTCCTCCGTGCTTTCAGAAGTGAGTGGAGGAAAGTGAGAGCTCAAAACGGACGATGAATGATATCTTGTTGTTGTTGGTTGATAATGAACAGAAGTGCTGGTATAGGATCTCTTCTTCACTGGCTGTATTCGTTGTTGTGCTGGGTGGCTGGAATTGGAATCGGGAACAACAGATGATTTTGTTCTAGCTCTTGTCATCGATGTGGTTTCATTATGTTAAGTTAATCTCATCCAAATGAATCAATATTGCAATGACTTCATTGTAGATTTTTTGGTGTCTTGGCGCGTTTTTGAACAAATCCTTAAATTTTTTTGTCTCTCTCACCGATTAATAAAAACTCAAAAGCATCAACGACGGATAGATCAGTCTTTGATTCAAAATATAAGAGTCTTGGATATACGTTCAAAATTCAATGCCAAGTAGTTAATAGATATTTAAAAACTAATCTAGCTCTGATATTACAAACCATCCTTCAAATTAATATAAAAGGAAATTTAATCTTCAGAGTTGATCAAATCAAGTTCTTCTCTCAACAATGCATTTTCTTTCTCTAATTGATCGTATTCTCTCAATAGTTTCATAATTTCGCTTCCATGATGCCCATCATCTAACTGATCTGATATCCACTTCTCGAGGTAAGGAATGGTATTGTTATTGAGAAATACTTGATTCATACATTCAGTAATATTTGACTGTTGCCAACTCGTTGAAGAGAGGCTAGTAGTTGTCAATGATGATGCATCAGTAGCACTTGTAGAAGGATGACCTTCCATCATACGTGATGATGACTGTAATACATTTGAGCCACCAAGAGTGTGTGGTTCATTGTGATGATGAGATGGATGGTAGGTTTGATGATTATTAGCAAGCATACCATGCATGACAATAACATCATTGGAAAATTGAGATAATTGACCAGTATTCACCAACAAGTTAATATCTTGTCGGTATGAGAATTGAAATTCAATGGGTGCATTTGTTGAACACAAAATATGTTCATATAACGTTTGAGTATAAGAGTTCTGAATGTATGGAGAATAAACTTTGGTGTTATAGGACAATAATTGTACAAATACTTCATCTTCACCTCCATAGATTTGATCTTGAATGCAATATTTGATATGTAGACCAATATATCGTTCTAAAATAGATTTAAAATTTAACGATTGATTGGAATGAGTACTTGTTGAATTATTTAAATAGGCTTGTTGGTGGATCAACCAATAATGTTTCAATACTGATTGATGGAAAAATTGAAATAAACCTTTCAATTTGGCAATATTAATATATTCATCACAGGAATGAGAAGAAAAGCCTAACAATTCTAAATTATTTTCATCATGATGTCTTTTGATGTAATCAATGAATATATCCGAGCTGTAAATAATTTTAAAAGATTCAATATGAATATTCTTGTTTTGATACGTATGCGTCCGATATCCAAAGAGTAAGACGTAGACTTGCTCGGGTTGTTGGCTTTGATTAATGAAAAAATTATGTAAGCGAATTAATAAATCCTTGTGAATATGAACCATAGCATTGGAATTGGAAATATTTAATTTGAGAAGTGGTGGTTGTAACACTGAAGTTGGATGCTGTGTAGGAAATGACTGTGAACTTGCTGATGATGACGTTGTGATCGGATTCATATTACTACTACTACTACTACTGATTTGATCCTGCTGTCTCTGTGGAATTCTTGGCGACATGTTTGAATATTTATTCAAGGCTTCAAGCAAGGCATTCTTGCCAGGGTTGGGATTGGAAGACATTTTTTCAAAATGTTCGTGATCTCTGGACCTCTGAACAACACTTGATGAAATCGGAACTCTCATCACTTGAAAAAAAAGAACACCACAACATGCTGCAGTCAATCGCAGGACGTCTCAGAGAAATTATTCAAAATGATTTACATCATGTGGTATTACAATTCGAAAAAAGTAAATTCATGGATGGCAATAGTTTCAATGATATTCAAATCATTCAATCTCCTTTCATTGAATTTTCATTACAAGAAACAAACAACCATGATGCACATGATTCAGAATCTTCTTGTTTCTATGAATTAATACCAAAATGGAAGAATCGAGAGGATACCATGTATCATTCCTATCACAATGAATTAGACAAGTTTAATCAAGGTGGTGAAACACTTTCACAAATATGGGCAGACTGCTTTCGAGTATGTTCCTTAGTGTTAGGGAGTGACATGGATATTATGAATTGTTGCTCAAAACAAAATTTACATCGATTTAAAAGAGTATCAAAAAGAAGTGAACATGCATCATCATCATCACATACTCTTGTAGAACCTGGTTACACTCTTCAAGAATTATTTCCTCAAACTCATTTATTTGAACCTTTAAATATTGGACAAGTATTGTGTTATTTCTATTTGAAACAATCCATCATGGAATCTTGTAGAATGATGCAACAACATGAGAGTGAACTTTCATCCAAAAAAGTGATTGTCACTCCATCCTTCTCTACTAACAGTAGTAGTAAAAAGAGCAATGATTTCCAAAATAATTCTAACTTGGATTTAGGAGAATGTATTCGAAATTTTAATTTGAAAAATTTAAAGCCTCAACACACCATAGTAAGAGGAACTCTGAATGGTGGAGGAATGGGATGTATCGATGATATTCAAATGACAAGAAGAGTGAATCATAATTCTACTTTTAATTCAATGACTCCCCAATGGTTACAATTCAAAGAATTATGGGATCGTTATGGTAAATGGTATCTAAAGAATGACAAGATATGTGATACCATGAATACAACTAGTAGTAGTAGTAGTAGTAGTTGTAAAAATTTCCACTCAAATACAACTAGTAGTAGTAGCAGTAATCATCTCCATATGGAACATTCCACAATGAATTTCCATATAGATGAATGCACATCCACTGCAGCACCAGTGGTACTACCACCAGATGTGGGAGATATTCTTTTAACCATTCCATGTGTTCATTGTTCTCAATGGACAAGATTTATTGAGGCATCGTATAATCCAAATTTTCATTTTGCCATTGTCATTCTCGTCGAGAGAGTGAGTGGTCTCTATATCACACTCGAGAATTGGGCTGTGAATGATGTTCATGCAGTGAATGGAGAATGGGGATTGTGTTGTTATCGATCCACAATGAATACTAGTAGTAGTAGTAGTAGTACTCGATCATCATCAAAATTACACACAAGTACATGCAAGAATGATCCACAAAGAATGGACAAGATCATGATTACAAATAATTCATCGAATATGAATTCTATGAAGAGTTATCATGAAACTTTAACAAGTAAGGGAGGTTATGGAAATATTGCCATGACCATTACATTGAAATTGCAATGATATCATGGTGGATTGGAATTCACATAAATTTTTTACTTTATTAAAAACATTCATCAAGCCACAATATGAATGGTTGGAGTGATTCACTCAGAACATTGTTGCTGTTCAGTTATTGGGTCGTGTCTTTTTGACTCGCACATCCTCTAAGAGCTCTCTTAAGAATAAAAAAAATGTCTTCCAACACAACTCAAGCAACTCCAGATACTGCCACTCTCCGTTCTCTTCGTTCTCTCTACAATGCCAATGAAATTACAGTTGCCATGAACATTGCAAAATCACGAGAGAGATGTAGATGGGCAGCTGGCTATTTTTGTTTCCTTTCTCTCGGAAGTTTAGGCTATTGGGGAATTGCAAGACGTTTTCCAATCGGTGTGTTACTTCCATTGAGTGCTGTAGGAGGCTATACGTTGTGGGAATATGATTTAGGATATGGAACGAAATTGCACCGAATGAGTCAAGAAGCACAAAATATTCAAACCAAGGAACGATATAAATATTTTGGAAAATATTAAAAGAAATAATAATATTGCTGAGAGAATTTTTCATAACATGATGATGAGAATAATTATGGAATAATTCGGGAATGACGATTAATATTGTGAATATCTTGTCATTCATCATTGGACTGATGAGACTATTATTGATGCAAATTTTGGTAAATTTTGATAAACACAAATAAATGATTCATTGAATCACTTGACACACACATTGTGGTTTATCGAGTTCTATGGAGTTGTTACCTTTGCATGCCAAAATAAGGTTTACTTCTAAACTTTATACTTGATACACCAATATATTAGGGTGGTGGTATAATGATGATGATGATGATGGTCAGGACAATGTGTGTGTGTGAACAAGAGATTCCTCTCTCGCTCTCTCTCAATCTTTATGTGTTCATTAATGGAATAACATTTTACTCAATAAATCACATCCAAACTCTTCATAATCTGCTCTCTTAATCCATCGATCTTGGAATGAACTCAAACTTGAAATAATACTTCCTCCCATCCAAACAGAATATTTACGTTCTGGTGGTGCAACAATACGTAATCTCACAGCACCACCAACCATTCGAGACATTTCTCTTGTGAGTCGTTCCTGAATTCCTTTCACCAATGTATTACCTCCACTCAAAATGATATTCTTGTACATGAATTTACGAATATCCATATTACATTGATGAATGGATTGATTTAAGAGTTGATGAATACCCAACTCTTCAGAACCAATCATGTTGGGTTGAAAGAGTATTTCGCACGATTGGAATCTCTCTCGATCAATATTAATGAGAGAACCATCAGGTAATTGAAATTGAGCATTGAAAGAATCTAAAGTGTCTTTTTGATCATGTCTAGTACTATGGCTACTACTATTATTTCTACTATTGCCATTGATACTACTACCATTGCCACTAATACTACCATTTCTACTATTGCCATTACCATTGATACTACCACTACTCGTATCATGACCCTGACTCCTCGTCTGTTTTGATTGTTCATATAATTTCATGGTATGATCATAATTGAGTGCAACATAACATGAAGATTCCTTGACATCTCGCACAAAATCCAACGATGCACTATTATGAGTAAAATCATAACCCGAGTGTTGAAGCATTAATTGAGTGAGATGATGAGTAATATCACATCCTGCCAATTCACTCTTTGCCATGGCATATGTTTGAGGATAACCATCAAATACTGGCACGACATGAGTACTTCCATCACCACTGTCCAATACAATTCCATCTAAATCTCCACTTGCATAAATGGATAATAAACCTTGAATGGTAAAAAAGAGAGAATGAGATTGAAACTTCTCAAAGAGTAATTCAATGTATTTCTGACGATGTGTGACTGATGTAAATGGTTGTTCAGTCAATAAAATTGGATGTTCTTTTGGATTCACACGTAAATGGAAATGATAAATATGTTCTAATAAAAGTTCAATTTCATCCCAATTTTGTACAGTTTTACCACCTCGTTGAATGGGATGAGAAAGTTCACAAATTCCTTTTCTATGATGTGCTTCTAATCCAACAAAATGTGATTGATTTTGATTCATCTTGTCTCGAGCACCAAATAATTTACGAGTATCAATTTGTGGTTTTGGTTTTCCAATGATGGTTGGAAAGACTGCTTTTGGAAATGATTCACCGGCGAGACCTGCCTTGACCATACTACTACCCAAATCACAGACAATGGCACCGTTATGATCTCGAATGAGATTCATGGTGTTGATGTGACCCGAATGGGCAACAATGGTATCTTCATTGATGGCTTGAGCACGTTTATTGTATGGAATGAAAGTGGAGGAGGATGAGGAGGACATTTTGTGAGTATGTGTGTAACAAGTCTATAGATGGGTATATGTGTAACAAGTCTCTCGATGGGTATATGTAGTGTCTATGAAGAGAGATGATTCTATGAATTTGAAATTATGATGATGACGAGTGGTTGTTGATACACGAGTGGGAAACAAGTGGTTGTAATAATAGTGATGATGAAAAATATACACACACCCGATCGTGTGAGTGAGGTCGATGAATCAAGTCAATTTTTTTTTTTTTGATGGGTGTTGTTTGACAGATGAATGGTCTGTCACTTACAGAGAGTAAGGTTGTTATATGCAACCAATCATAGCCATTCATTGACGAGGTTTTGATGAATAGTTGAGGGTTCAGAAATAATTCATATCAGGTTGGGTTATATATTTATTCAATCACTCACGCACTGAGGTTGTGTGTGGACCATAAAATCTTATGTACAACACAATCAGTTAAAAAAACAATGTCATGTGACACATGAGAAATACAAAAATTTTCAACCTGAGAAGAGATTTTTCAACCTCTCCCTTTACTAGTCTTGTTTCTTCTTCTTGGAAGTGTGGATAGATTTTATCGCTGCTGCATCATCACTCTCTTCATGATCACTCTCTTTCTCATCATCTTCTCGAATATCGCTCAAGTCCTTTCCAGCCAACTTTCTGAAAATAATCTTTGAAATCAATGAGAACCAGAAAATATGAAGAAACACTAAAACCACCAACAAAGCAACCAATAACCAATACGTGCTCAAACAATATTTGAATGCACAAACACCATAATCACTCACTTCCAATGGATAGATGGCATCTTGAACAAATCTCACCATATAGTAACGAGAAGGATAATCCCATCCTTGGAAATTCTCAAATGCCCTATAAATGAGATATGGCAAATACATTAACCTTAATAAAAAGTAACTAATTACAAACAAAACAAACAACACTTCCGTAATAAATCCAACACCCATGTGTTTGAAGGCTTTGGCAGAGTAAAGGAATATATCAACAATGTCATGTAAAATTAAAACCAATGTTCCAATACGATGATAGTGAGAAGTAATGCAAAAAACAATCAACGCAATGGTCACAAAATGATGGATCAACATTTCAAGAAAATCTTTCAACTTTTCATCAATAAATAATAAAGTAACAAGTGCTTGAGCATAAAATCCACCTCCAATGAGTAAATACAATCTCACATTTGAATATTCATATCCTGTATGCTCTTCAGGATATCCATACACCAAGTGAGCAAAATCCCAAAACCAAGGTGTATCTTTTAAAATTAAAACTCCAGCAATGGATGAACAAATATAATAGAGAGCAAACCAAGCATTTTCTTCAACTCTTCTCAATGCTTTAGGATCTTGATTGTGTTTCGTTCTTCTTCTTCCTGCAATAAATTTAACGAGTGCAACAATTCTCTCAATGACTAAACGTCTGATGATGAATAAAACAAGAGCTGAAATGAGTATAATGGAGGTATCTTCCCAATGCCAATTAATTCTTCGGGATGGAGCACTTTCATCACTTCCCATAAAAAGAGGGAAAGAATGGGGAGGACCATTCACCACATGAGGCTTTCCTGTATAGTAATGGGAGTTGTTGGAACCCATTCGTCCAAATAAATCATCAATGATATGATAGAAAATTGGAGAAGCCATTGGGTGCACCGAATTTAGATTCTCTTCTGAAAAACTTGTGGAATTACTCGCACAATGCAAAGTAGGAATGATGGTTATTAGTAGTACAAAAGAATCTTGGAATTAATTCCGATATATGAAGAAGTGTACACGGTGCTGAAAAACAAGACAAAGGCTTATGCAAATCCTTTTAATTTTTTTCTTGTTCTGAACTTGATGCATGTTGAACGGATACTCTGCGCAGAGTACGTGTTTCAAAGAAAATGGATAACACCCAATTTTGAATGAATGGATGAATCCATGCTTTATCATTCGAATTGAATTTATACTAACCACCCTTTGCTATACTTGTTTTTAACATGATGATGAAGGCACATGAGAAATCTTATTGCCATGTCTGCCTGTCAACCATCAAGTCGCGGTTAAACAATCATCTTTTCTGTTGTTCCTTTTTCAAATCACACACAAAAAATGTCTTCAAAACGCCCACTCTCCACCGAAGACAAATCATTCATACGGGAATGGTTAGAGACTGTGACAGGTTTGAAATTTGTAGATCCCAATAACTTTCATTCTTCTTTGAAAGATGGTGTAATTTTATGCGAGTATGTATTGTTGTAATCTTCTAATGATGATGATTTATGTGTTTTCATCATCAAATAATATTGGATATGTGTGGAAAAACAATGTGTGTTGATTTGTGATTCATTACTCGGATCAACACACATGTTCTCACGACAATCTCATAAATCATGACCGTCATCATGCCTGTCAACCATAATTGCCGCTCGACCATCATTGTGTGTCCTATTGGTCATTTCGAACCAATGTGTCACTATGTCCTATTGGTCATTTCGTTTGATCTCTATACAACACACGATTGTTGATACCATGGTTGATATCGACTTGTCAATGACAACTGGATTCTTCAATGTGATCATGTTCTACTGCTCTCTCAAATCGACCATGGTCATTCGGACCACATCTATAATGATGATGGATATCCATACGTGCTAATTCTATCATGCATTCACACATACTCTCTCTCTACACACACACACACGTATGAAACACTTATTGTACACACTTCACACTGCACGTATTTACACTCACTTATTATACACTTATGGTACACACAACACTCAAATGATACACATACACACTTTTCATACACTTTTCATACACTACACACATACACAACCAAACAACAGATTAATTGTAAAATTACGTGGACTCAAATATGCCAATTATCAAAAAGAAGTGCATGGTGTTTCATTCAAAGAAATGGAAAATATTGCATTCTTTATTCAAAATGTTCAGAAAATTGGAGTGAAATGTGAATGGACCATACGTGCTCTTCACAAGAATTCTGATCTTGATGCTGTATTGAGAACGGTCATTGATCTATCCAAACATTTTGAAAACAAATTTCGAAATTCAAATACTATTTCAAGTACTAGAAAGAGTAATAATACTCTGAGTGGTCTGGATTCAAATCCAACCTCAACAACAACAACAACAACAGCAACGACGACAGTGGTGGTGGACTCTGAAGAAGTATTTGCAGGTCCATTTCTTAAATTACCAATCATATTCAAACAACCTTCGAATCAAACAGCTGAAGTGAACACTTCAGTTCCATTTGGAAGATCCATGTTGAGAAAGGTCACAACAAAATCTTCACAGGATCCACAGCAAACATCCATGACTACCTCTGAAAAGTCTACCATTGTTTCGACTTTGAGCTCGACACCAACCACACCGAGCTCGACACCATCATCCACTGGTGGTGATACTCTCAATGCAACCAATGCCGCCGTTGCTGTCTCCTCGACCCATGTCTCAACACCACATAGCTCAGTATCCACTCCAAAAACACCTCGAAGTGGAAGTGGAATTGTAACCAACAGTACTACTTCCTTGACAGGAGTGGGCGTTGGAACCACTCATCCTCCATCTTCACAACTTGAAACGAAAACTACTATGACTCCATCTCCTCTCAACAATAACAACATCAATAAGGAAGAATTATCAAAAACTACTCAGAGTAGTAGTGGCAGTACAACTCAATCTCTAAAATCGAATCTTTTTCATAACAATGGTGCAAACACAGAGCCTCAACAACAACAATGGACATTACCAAAACTTAGACCCACCAATTCAGGAAACAATCTCAAAGAACAAGCCAATAATAATCAATGCACAACAACAACAACCACTCCATCTACTCAGGCAAGTGCTTCTACTACTACAGCTACGAACACCACCACCACGACTACAACTCTCAATCAACCTCAAACCACACCACAAGAATTTAGTGCAAGTCGTTTGAGACCTGTCTCTACACGAGTCTCTGTAGCCAATGTGAGTGAGTTACATGCTGTTTTGGATCAGCAGCAACAACAACCCTCACAAGGATCATCCTTTCCAAATGTCCAATTGAAGAGTACAAAGAATAGCAACAACAGTCAGTCTACTGATAGTGCAAGTACTACTGCAACTACTACTATTACCAATGGTAGTGCAACAACCATGACATCGAACAATACAGGTACTTCTAGTAGTGTTGCCAGTAATTCGAACAACAATACTATTCATGTAACTTTGAAACCCACTCAACCCAAAGATACTACCAATAGTAATAATACGACGACTACGACGACGACGAGTACTTCCAATCATACTGGTTTCAAATTACCAACCTTGAAACCAGTTGTGAAAGATAACAATGGCAGCCAAAACAATCACACCAGTCATTCATCTTCCAATACACTGCCATTCACAGCTGCATTAAGAAAAACAGATTCACCCATTCTTCACAGTGGTGGTAATCACACACCTCAAGAGTCCACTACTCCTAGTACTACTCCTAGTACTACTACAACTCCTACTAGTAATAATAATAACACACCAACGAGCTCTTCACCAGTCTTGACTATCAAAACAAATACTAGTAGTAGTAGTAATCGAAATCCAACTACTGCATCTCTCTCCTCACCCATTCTCTCTTCATTCCTTCATGCCAATGATGAAACCTCTTCATCAATATCTGAAGAAGACTCTGATGATGAAGATGATATGAGTAATGATCAAGGTATTGCTTATAACATTAAGAAATTGAAAGATCAAGTCACAAATCAACATCCCTCTGCTGAATATTTATATTCTCTCTACAAGTTATTGGAAAAGAAATCTGAACGATGGTCGCATCGTTTCGCCGATCAAGAAAAGGGAGTGCAATATTTGGGTGAAATTATTTCAACCATGAATCAGAAACGATATCGTAGTGTGAATGAAAAGACTGTTCAAGAACGAGCTCTCAAATGTTGTCATGTTCTGATTGATAAGGGAATCATGGAGCCTTTCATTAAATATCCAACGACGGTCGCAGCCATGGCCATGATGATTGACTCGAAAGATGGCGCCAAAATTCGAATGATGGCACTCGAAATATTGAGTCTCATCTGTACGCATGGTGAGCAAGGCTTTTGGGCTGTTTTGGAAGCTTTGAATCGATACAAGATTGAAAAGAAGGAACCAAAGAGATTTCATGATTTGATTGATTGTTTGAAAACGGAGAGGGATGAAAAGTTAAAGACGTTTTCTCTCATGCTCTTGAATTCTCTCATTAATACTCCACAAGATTCCTATATTCGAATTCTCATTAGAAATGAAATGAAACAAGTGGGATTGGAAGAGGTTGTGGATCAATTGAGTAATGATTTACAACATGATCGAATCAAAGATGAAAATTTGAAAGAACAAATCAAAGTCTTTGAAGAGGAAATGATGATCGGAATGATTGAGAGAGAACAAGCTCAAATTACTGAAGATGTAGACTCTCAAAATGGTAAACTCTCGATGGATCTCAAGAATGAATCAGATCCTCTCAAATTAATGAAATTATTAATTCTGAGATTGGGTGCTAGTACTGGTACTTCTCATTTGGTGAGCATTTTGCAACAATTTTTATTCTTCTCCATGCGAGATCAAAATGATCCCAAATTTGAGAATGCACTCTCAACCAGTTGGAAGAATTTAGAAAGTACCATCAAGACAATGGTACAAGCGTGTACCATGAAAGGAGATGCAGGTATCATTGAAGATATTGCTAAAAAAGAAAAGAATGCAAACTTTGAGAAACAAAAACAAACGACGAAAATTACAAACTTATCCAATAGTTTGGAAAAGGCAAATAAGGAAATTGAGGAGTTGAAGAAACAAGTAGAAACATGGAAAGCAATGAAAATTGTCAAGAATAATACTACTCTTTCAAGCCCACAATTGAATCAACAAGCAAGTCAAGATCAAACATCCAATGTTCCATCCAACGAGAGTGAAACTAATACTACTACTTTGACTACTACTACTACTACCAATAATAATAATACTAGTCATACAACGACCATTGAACATGTGAATTCATTGTCGACACATGCATCCTCCTCATCCTCACCCTCACTCTCACCTTCCTCATCCATTCCATTCGATCATACAGAACTATTTACCAAAGAGATGGAAGAGTTGAAACAACACATGAAAATTCAATCCGATCAAATTCATGCTCTCGATTCAGAGAATACTCATTTGAAAACACAACTCAAAGAGCTTGAAGAACAATTAGAAGAGGCAAGAAGAGTGAACTTTAAAGCCTCATTGCAACAAACAAGTAGTGGTGGTAGTGGTAGTAGCAACATGGGCACTCGATCACCCTCATTGCATCAAGTCGATACAAGTCTATCCTCCAGTAATATCGTTCCACACGTGTTGGATCGATCGAACATGAATCAAGATGAACATGGCTTTAAACCTCCACCACCTCCACCATCACTTCAAACATCGTCATCACCCTCTGAGCTTCCTCTCACTGGTGGTGGAATAGTGCCACCACCTCCACCTTCACCAGGATCATTTTATGACCCATCATCATCCATAGTGCCACCACCTCCACCTTCCTCTTCACCCTCCATGTGGAGCACCACATCAACATCTACAGGTCATATTCCTCTTCCTCCCAATGTTGTTGGTGTCCCCATCCTGTCCAAACGAAATCCACTTCCAGAACTCGCGACTCGAGTACCCAAAACAGCCGTTAAAAACTTTTATGGAACTGCCATTAGTAAACAAAAAGTATCCTCCACGTGTTGGGTCAAGAGTGGTATTGCAGCCAGCACCAAAGACATTCCACTCGATGCCGATGAATTGGAAGAAGTCTTTTCCAACGCTCCACGAAAGAACATTTCCGAAGAAGAAAAGAAAAAAAAGAAGGAATATGTTTCCTTTGTGGAGCCTCAAAAGGGATCCGCTCTCAGTATTCTATTGGGATACATTCGGTTGGATTACTCTGAAATTCGAAGAGCCATTTTAGAAATGGATGAAGAAGTATTGAATGCTCAAGTGGTAGATACTCTCAAAGACAAGATGGCCACCACTGAAGAATTATCCTTGATTGAGGCTTATCAAGGCGATGCCGATTTATTATCACCCGTTGATAAATTTTATTTGGCATTGCGTGAAGTGCCTCGACTCGAAGGAAGACTCTTTTGTTGGGCCTTCCGATCCAAATTTCAATCCGAAGTCTCTGAAGTGTTGTCCGATTTGGAAACAGTGTTAGCGGCGTGCACTCAAATTTTACAATCTCAAAAATTCAAAAAGTTACTTTCCATTATATTGGCCATTGCTAACTTTTTAAATGCCAATTCAACATCCAAGAGAAATGCCTATGGTTTTACATTGTCAAGTTTGTTAAAGTTACAAGATACCAAAACATCAGACAACAAGTCCACACTGTTGCAATATATTGCTGGATATTGTGCAAAACATTTCCCAGAATTATTGGAATTGAAAGATGATTTAGTATCGATTGAAGATGCAACCAGAGTATCTTTGATTGAATCGGATAATGAATATCGAAAATTGAAGAATGGATTTGAACAAATGGAAAGAGAATTACAAAATGAAGAATGGAACAAGGTATCATCACATTTCAAAACATCAATGAGTGAATTCATGGAGAGTGCATCTCGTTTCTTGGATGACATTGATTCCATATTATCAAAGATTGATGAAAAATTGAGACAAATTGCTGAAGATTTTGCAGAGGATGAAAAGACTATATGCAAGAATCCAAATGAACTCTTCTCACAACTCAATACATTTGTCAACTCATTTAGAAATAGTTATGATGAGCTTGTAAAGCAAAAAGAAGCTGAAGAAAAGAGAAAATTGAAAGAAAAGTTGAAAGAAGAAAAGAAGAAACAATCAGCAGCATTCTTTGCAAATCACACCAACATGATGAAATTGAAAAAGAGCAAAGCGAATGGTGCTGTTGCAGGAGGAGTGGCTATTTTCGAACAAAAGATGGCGTCATCGGTACAATCACCATCATCATCGTTAATGGTACCACCCTCTACAAGCAATGGTCTTGTAGATTCAAGTGATGCAGGTATGGACGTGGCTGCAATTTCAACAACACCTGTTGATTCATCGAACTCTGAGATCTTGTCAGAGAATACTCGAGCGAACGATCATGCAAGTGATGAACCACCCATGACGATCACACACGATTCATCGGCGTTGACAGTCACACAAAATCACTCGGATGACTCTTCATTAATGTCTGAGAGTGAACAAGCCTTATTACAAAGCAGAATCAGAGATCGTAAAAAGAGTATCATGTCAGGTGCTGCATTTAGAGAGAGAAGAATGACAAGAATGTCAGTGATGGAGAATAACGACAACAACAATTAGCATGTTACAACTATTATACCAAAACATGTGTTTTAGTTACAGGACAAACACTTGTGTATTATAACACACACAATATTGTAACACAATACAATAAAACAATTGTTCATTTATTGTACGTGATCACATGTAATTACATTGGCCTAATCTCCATATTGTTTTACATTGTTATAGTCCTCCAATACTTCTTGGATACTACGCCTTGCCTCAGGATCTTGAAAGCACTCTACGATACTTGTCTCTGTCACTGTACGGTCGCCAATAGCATCCTCGAAGGCACTGTACGCCACATCAGCAGTCACTCCAATGTTCTGATAAGTTTCACCTCTATACTCAGCAAACATTCTCTCAAAGAACTCAGGATTGATTTGTTTCCACTCGGTTCCAATCAGAACACTAGCAACTTTCAATGCTAGAGCATTCACTGTTTGTGTTTTAGCAAAACCAGTTAATATCTTACATAGTTTCAACTTGCATAAAAATCGATAGGTGATTGCATTTCTTAATACTGCAAGACAACTCTTTGTGATTTTTAACGCTCGTACTTCTTCATCTTCATCTTGTCTAAGAATATGTTTGGCTCTTCTTGCAATCTCAGCTCTTGAAATAGGTTGTTTCTTACCAACAATACTCGGTAAATACTTTGCAGAAGAGGGTGTTAGTTTCGTATTAGCAACCGCTCCCAACGGAATGACGAGCTTTCTTTTTGCATTTTTCTTCTTTTTTTCTAGTTTTTGTTTGTGTTGAGAACGTGTACTAACGGTGGTGTTACGAGTGGTTTGTTTGGATCGCATATTCTTTTTATCATTACATGAAATCATCATGATCGGGAAATGAGTGTATTTTGGATGATGGTGCACTTACCAGTGTTGTGAGTGGCTCTTTTTTTTTAATGTTCTATTGATGGATGGAGGCCCCTCACAAACAAGTCGTTGCACACGGCAGTCGAAACAAAATTTTTTGATGTCTCTCTTGAAAGTACGAAATATTTTGTTTTATGAAATGATACATTTGGATATAAAATTGGAGGATTGTTTGTTCTTTTCATTTTCCATATGTTGGATGATAAAACTCTCGGCTCGTGTCACTGCTTTTTGAAGCAAATCTAGAGCCATACTTTCAATACTCACATTCTTTTGATTCCATTCAGTGTAATTTTGAATAGCATGCACATCTTGATACTCTAATTCAAACATTTGTACAAGTTGAGTTTTCTTAGTGTCATATAAATGTGTGGCAGCATATAAATCACCACTTCCATGTGCATCAATTTTAGTGACAGCAAATAAAGGCTTATATCCATATTCTAAGAATAAATTAACAAAATCTTCCAATTCACTTGGAACATTCCTTTGATTGGCAGGCACAACAAATATCACTGCATGCGGTATGTCTTGAACAGTAGTATTATTTACAAGACAATCTGGATCCAAAATAGCAGCTGGATTTCTACTCAATAATGAAAATAAATAATCCCACAAAGACCAACTTGATTTTTGTTTCACTTCGACATCATCACCAGCACGACCATCCCTCATGGCCTTCACTTGTTCTAATTCTAATTTCAGAAATGTTTCAAGCCCTCTAGTATCATGAGCAAATATTGATTCTGGAATATTTACAGCATAGCCTTTCTTTTTCTTTGTAAAGGCGGAGGCTCTATTCTCACCAATGGCAGCTATGGGAGGATCACCATAATTTTCAAATAGTGATCGATGAAAAGTACTAATTAATGAACTCTTTCCAGCTCCTTTTTCTCCAATCAACAGTATATTTAAATGTGATACATCGGGAAGAATATCGCTGTTGACTTTATATTCATTAAGTTGCTTTTGTCGTAATTTTAAGCTGTTATAATGCGAGAGATTGTATTCCATGGAAGACGATGATGTTTGTTTGCTACTAGTACTGCCCATATCAATAGAATTTCGGTGATGATCGATATTCCGAGAGGACCCTGAAGAGGCCCGGACTGGTTTGGAGGTTGAAACATTGGGTTTTTTAGTATTTGTACTGGATTGCAAATCTCGTGAGTAGAACGGATGATTGACCATGTAATTATTATCATCTTCGTCCTCATCAAAGGATGGTTGTTGTTCTCGGGTGGAGAGCTTTTCGGCTGATTGTTTTTTCATTTTTATTTTCCGTTCAGGCACTGCAATCAAATAAAACAAATATTTGACAACCATAAAAAATGCAAAAAACAGTTCCATCCCAATTCTCACAGCTTGGTCATGCTGAATATTGGTTGAAGACCTGTGGAGCTTCGTTTCACTCTCTTCTTTCACTAGATGAGAGTGCATGTTGCCATGATGAAAACGGATAAGGTAGCGAACCTTCCAATTCCACAGACACTTCGGAGATTGATCTTGTCATGCATGACGACTAAATTCCGTCCAAAGATGGCTGAACAACAACATGTAACTTTTTGTTTGAACCACAATCCGATACAGGTAAATGACATGCAGAAATCAGCTTTTTGAGAATCTGTTGTTGGCTGTGATGGCCTGCTCATAGGTCCAAAGATTTTGTTCTTTGAGAATTTTTATTGAAAGAGGAGCTCTCATCTCACGATGTGGAGCACACTCTCACCACTTCAAAATAAGTGAAAGAACCCAATCTAAATTTCATTACGGCGGTCTATTTTCTTTTTTGGCGCCCAAATTCATTACAACTTAAGAAAATGCAAAAATGCTCAGCCTGGAAGTTCGTTTGGCTTGTGATGTCCATCATCATGATCAGCAGCCAGGCACAATGTTACTATTCGGAATGTGTCCATTGTATTCAAGGCAAGAGAGTATGGTGTGGCCTCTCTCAAACATGTGTTGAAACAGAAACAGAATGTCACTCTCCGTTCGGATCAGACCTTAGCAACTCGATGGATTTTGCATTTTCAAACGTGACATGGATGATCCAAACAAGTAATTTATATAACATCACTGAGAGTGGAACAAGCGACATGATCAAGAGATTATTCACCAATAAGAACAATAGAGCGTATAATATTTCCAATATTCGACCTTTGTATCAACTACCATCTCATTGCTACACTGGAATCATCACACAGACTTCTCAATGCTCCAAATTTAAACGTACGTTGATACTACAGTAACAATTCAATGCATGAACTCTCTTTGATAATTGCACTAGTGGAAATGGATAGAGATTATTCTCCAAATGTCAGAAATTACATCTACCCCATGTGGTATCAACCACGTCTTAAATTCAACAATGAAAGTAATTTATTCTATTCCATTGAAAAGTTAGCAGATACAATTCAAGTGGGATTCTTTTTTGCTCCTATATTTCCCATCCCTTCTCGAAACGATTCTTTTCTAAAAAGTTCGTTCAATGGAGAATATCTCAATCATTTATGGACTTTGCTATCAAACTATAACACAACCCAAAAACTTTCACAACTTTCATATTTATCAGGATATCAACACTCGTATGGGTCTTATTTATTTTCATATTTACATCACGTGTTCAATGTCAAGAACTTTAGAACGTATTTCAACTCGAACCACTCAGACAACATTCTTCAATTTTATGATCTTTCAATCGCAGGAAAACCAGATCGGTATTATCGATTAGGATTTGCGTTTGCTTCTCCAAAACATGATTTAAATGAAGAGTCTTTTGTTTATGCCGAAAGCAATGGAAAACTTAATTCTGAGGTACTTGGATCTCAATTTCAATGTACATTTGTACTGGCTAATCAAATTATATATCCTGAACCAACATGGAAGTTTTCAGTCACTGGACCTCACATGTACTTGTCGTTGGGGCTTTTAGTCATCATCACTCTGTGGGTGATGTTAATCATTTGTGGAAACTCGAGACTTGTGGAGGTTGATGGAAAAGAGAATAAGCCACGAATATTTGATAGGACTCCTACCACTCCAAAATCGAATTCATTGATCCACAAGCGATTAGCTTTTGCGTATGATATACTTAAAAACTATTTTTTGACAAATGATAATGACTTGTCAAAGGAAGTTGGATCTGAACCTTATTATTATTTTTGGTTTTATAGATATATATTCATCTTTCTTGGAATTTGTGGATTTTTAAACATTGTAACATTAATTCCAATATTTGCAACAACGAAAACAGATTTATCATTTATTGATTTTTCACAGTTCACGGCAGCATCTTTAACCATAGACAGAAGTAATCATCATGTGTTTTTCCTTTTTATTATTGCTATTAATTTTTTGGTTGGATTGCTTTCATTACTATTAGTGACCGCCTTGAAATATGAATCGAGGATGTACATGATTGATGAGAAAATTAATAGTGAAAAATTAACAGCTACTACCATTAGACACTTTGGTAGCCTTTATACAATCTTGGTGAAGAATATACCCAAAGAAATATTGTCTAATGAGGCCTTTGGAGACATGTTCAATGAAGTGATATTGAATGGAAAGTACCAGAATCATGAATGGAAGAATCATTACACAACACATGTAGCTATTGACCTGAACAGAATTTCTGAAATTACAGAGCGACTCCACAAATTGGAGAAAAAACTCTCAAAGATGGGAAATGAACCTCCAAAAGGATGCTCTCTTCTTTGTCTCCATCCAAAGAGGCCATTTTGGAAGAAAAAACGAAATTGGAAGAACAACTCGCTTTTATTAAGCAACAATTCTATTTGAACGAAGAAAAAACACAAGAAAATCGATCAGCAGAAAACCAATCCGATTGGCAAATCAGAGGTACTGGCTATGGATTCGTTACATTTTTCTCGCTCGATCATGCTCAATCTGTACTCAATGAATTCAAGGCAAAGCAATCCTTTTGGGCTCGATTCTTGACGTTTCTTGTTCCTTTTTATTCTCCATCTGGATTGCAACTAAGACGAGCTCCTAACCCTGATGATGTCATTTTTTCGAATTTTGTGATTGGAACCAGAGGACGTGCCCTTAGAATGCTCACATCCAGTGTGGGACTTCTTTTTGCAATCATTGCAGTGTTCACAATTTTAGGAATAGGAAGTGTCATTCAATGGCTGAAACATGAATTTGTGGCTACCATTGATGTCGCTAGTAGTGTGAAAGATACATCCGTGTCAGATCTCTTTCGATTTTTAGTGGACTTGTTAATGGAGATTCCAGGTTTATTTGTAGAATTATTGAAAATGATGGTTGTTGCTCTTTCCACCTTTGTCAGATACTATTCCAAAACTCATCAAAGTATTTTTATTGTTGGGAAGGTCATGTTCTTTATTATTGCCTCATTGATAGTATTTCCTGTTTTTACAAAATATGTATTTACGAATATTATCATTATATTTAGTGATTACACATCCCTTTACCCTCAATTTGACAATCTATCCATGTATGGTAATTTATTTGGAACTGATACCATTTCCTTGCTCTTAATTCTTTCTTTCATCACCAAAAGTATGGAGTATGGAATTCTTTTCATTGGCTCACTTGCAACTCTAGTATTTACGGGTAAAATAGTACGACCACCGTTTGATTATGAATCTAGTTATGGTTTCAAATGTAAGTTTTCTCGAATGTATATATTAATTACCATACAATTTTACAAAAGCTGCCATTCTCATTATTATTGTTCTATATGGTGGAATGAATCCAATGATTTACATGGTTGGACTCTTCTTCTTTCTGCTTTCATACTTTTTGGAGAGATTCTTCATCATGTTTTTATATCAACGAGGACGACAATCCAATGGAGATTTATTATCACACGTCGCTAGTAATCTTGCCAATTACTTTTCCTTATTACCATTGACATTTGTAGTTTTCTTTCCATTTGTGATCAAATACTACTCGGATTATTCTTCTGAAAACTTATCATTACCACCCTATTTATTATTATCTCTTGTTGTGTGCTCGTCTGTGATTTTACTGATCATTTCAAGATTCATGATGAAATATTTTCAGTTCAAAGCCTCAACTGTCTATTTAAAGAAATTTGAGGAAACAAGAGAGACTGGAGTGTTCGAACAACAGGCAGAAAAAGTACTGAGTGTTGAACTCAACTCTTTGGAATATCAAATTTCGAAACACTCAGTTACCTTCGACAAGATGAAGAGTTTTTTCAACAACAACAAGATCAAAAAGAATCAAATTGAACCAATGCAGAACTCTAAAGCTAAAGAAGTAATTTCTGAAATTCTAAATTATGGAAAGATTGAAACCTTGGAAAATGATGATATTGTCAACCATGTACACAAAACCCACCTATTGGATTTATATCGACATCCCTATTTCATATGGGAGGCCAAACGTCTGAAAAAGAAAATGGCCAATGCAGCTCGAGCAGTTTTTCTCATCCAAAACAACCACTCAGCGAACGCCAAGCAATAAAGAAAATTTTAGAAACATTTGAAACACAGCTTCTCGGAACCTGCCAAATTCCGAAAATCAAGCAAAAAAAAATGGCTGACAAAATCACGGTTAAAGTGAAGGCTATGAATGGCCAGCAATTAGAACTTCAAGTTGATCCGAATGTAAGTGGATGATTGCAACATCAAATTATATAAAACAAAAATACAACCATAGATTGATGTCGAAGAATTTAAAAAATTGATTGCAGAAAAGAGCAATGCTGCTCCGAATCAACAACGGCTAATTTATCAAGGAAAAGTGCTCAAAAATGGTTCTAAACTATCTGATTACAGTAAGTTTTTGTGTTTTCATAATTGAAAATTTCTTCACACATGTGTGAATCAGAAATTGTGAACGACCATGTCGTCCATCTTGTAAATATGCCAAACGAGGCTTCTTCATCATCAAGCTCCGAAGGCAGCAGCACCCAACATCAGCAACAACATCGCACTCAGCCTTCTCAAACTTCTTCTCATGGCGCAAATCAAACTCCTCAAACCTCAGGATTCCGTGCTGCTTTCGGTCCTGGAATCACTGTGGTGAGCGGAATGGACCTAGGTGGCGCCGCCAGTGGTGGTACAGGTAGAATAGATATTGGATCTTTGGTGAACAATGTGTTGAGTGGAATCTTTCAACCTCCTTCTTCCACTAGCACAACAACCCACGCACATTCCCATGGTAGTACGAATGGTAGCAATACTGGTGGTACTCCATCCACTTCCAGATCTACACGTGCTCCTACATCTGCTTCTTCAAGCCACGTTCACGACATTTTACATCACGGGCGTGAAATTGTAAATTTTTTGAACGGAAATCAAAGACAATCTGTAGTCGACGATTTGAATAGACTTGTATCCCTTTTGCAATCTTCTGCGTCTCAAAATCGCAGACAGGAATTTATACAGCTAAGACAACATGTATTGCCCAACTTGTTGCAATTACAATCGAATTTAAACTTGATAATATCTAGTTTAAACGGGCGAGCTTCCACTCATGGAACCAACAATGTTTCTGCAAGAGAAAACTCTGGAGCTGCTATTACAAATGTTAATTTACACTTGCACGTAAACTCTAATGAGCTTGATACTCTTCCAAATCAACTACAAAGACTTCATTCTATGATTAATGCTTCTCCTCTTGCTCCGAGAAATGGTCACTTGGAGAGACCTGTTTCTGTCACTTCTACCACTGAACCAATTTCAAACACCGATTTTGTAAATGAACTTTTTCCAAGTAGCCGAAGCAGCACACCACAAACATCAAATAGTGTTACCTCTACATCACCCTCTACTCAACCATCATCAACAACTCAATCAACAACAAGCTTGCATTCTCTTATTAATAATGTTATGGGTGCTTTTGGAGTTTCTCAGACACAAGAATCCGAGTCAGAAAGAGGATTTTTTGATCGATTGATATCTGTTGCCACAGATTCTCTTCAACTTCCAGATTTATTTTCTGTCATGTCTGGAAACTGGACTCCATTGGACGCCACTAAAGAAAAATTGAAGGCATTCTTGATTAATGAAGGTTTACAAAACGATTCCTCAAAACAAAGTAGACAACGAAAGATTGAAGAGCTAATGGTTGAGTTTGAAAAATATTTAGACCAAAATCATGACCTACAATTGGAAATTGCATCAAGAGCAAATAACGAAAGCGATGTTTTAGGACAGCTTGTAGAGCTTGCAAGATTTTATATTACAATGCTTTTCGATTTGATTCTTGAGGACGTATCCATGTATCCACAAATTACCAATGGAGTCATTACTTCCTCGTCTTTCTCGGCTGCTCTAAATAGATTTACCACTCTTTTCTTGGGTGAAACTGTAGAATTATTTGAAACTGAGTGCATATCCGGATCTTCAAAGATTTTAATTCCCCTTCTTTTAGATTCCATGTTCAAGGCCCTTCCAAATTCTGTACAGACATTTTATAGAAATCAAGGAGGTTCTTTGATCTCCAGTTTTGCAGAGAGAAGACATCAAGAATACAAAACACAATTTCCAAATCGACCAATTTCAAGAATGCCAAAACCAGTTTTGAAGAAGGTTCAAGAACCTTCGAACAAGGAAGAAAAGCCCATAACAACAACCATACCAAGCACTTCATCATCGAGCTCTGTGGTTCCACCACAAAGTGATTCTGACAAGTTACTCGAAGAGTTAATGTCCAAAGATGCTATGGACTTGTTGGAGGATGTCATTTCAACAAAAGTCGACACCAAACCATCTTCAGTTGCAACATCTACTGATTCTTCTCGGTCTGCGACACCAGTTGCAACCATGCCAACAGCAACCACAGCTAATGACGATTGGAAGAAGGGTCTTTCTGAGGATGAGGTTAAGGAAATTAATGACACCATCCATCAAGACGAAGTAATGATGGAATTGAACGAAAATGATAGGCCAAAGCTTAGTGATGCCTATAAATTGGTAAGTTACAATGAATTTTAACGTTACATTATTCATGGATAGTCATCAACGATTGAAAGTCAACAACACAATCAGGATATCTCAAAAAAGAGAAAGAGTCATCCGAATCCTCCTCAAGAAGAGCAAGAGAACTCCACCAAGAAGACGAAGAAGATGTAGAATTGGATTAATGTGTTTCAATATGAATAAATTGCGCAAATTCCCTTGCCTTTCGTTACTCTGCAAACAAGCGCATGTAATTGATTTTGGAAGAGTATCTTGCAAGTTTCTAAAACAACAAAATGCAATATCATACCAAAACTTTTCACCCCGTATCGTAAAAGATTCGTCACAGGGCGGAATTCATTGCAAGGTTACAGAATTTCTTCCTTCCAATCCGTGTGGATGAGGACCAGGTCATGAACTGGAATCAAACTCTCAACGTTGGATGAGAAATTAGTAACTTGGCGAAGACAAGACTTTGCGTTTCATTCAAAAAATTACAGCAACACATGTCGCTTCGTCCTTGTTTTGCGTTGCATGTCTCGTCTCACAAAGGTAGGTTGGAAAGGCTCTGCTAGTTGTTGATTGCAAGATCCTTTCCTTTATTGAACGTGCATGCCGTAACTCCTGCATGAATAATCGATTATTGTCATTGTTGGTCAATCAATGGAAAAGTGTTTTTGTGGACGCTCGCAGCATTACTACTAATGACATTGGTGGTTGGTCATTATTGTGCAACTCCATGTCATGCTCATACCATGCGGAATACACAAGAGCTTGACACCTTCTCAGAGTCCTTTGACTTTTCAAACACTGTGAACATTTCAGATGTATCACAAAACGGACTCTTGAATTATCCTCTTCAATTTGGTCGGCCATTCTTGAAGGGAGAAATTCCAACTGGTTATGTTCCAGGCGTTAAATTGAATGGAGTACTGATTGATTCACAAGCAGATATTACCACTCGCTATGAAGATGGATCTGTTCGTTTTGCTGTCCTCTCTGTAGTATTGCCAAAAATAGAGAAAGGAGGAAATGCTACCATGTGGATGGTTCCAATTCTGAAAAGTGCATCTTCCACTCCATGTACCATCTCTGAAATATTGACAGCATTACCAGATGCAGATATTTCCATCAGTTTGAGTGGAAATGGAACTGCAACTTTCACAACCGTGAGTGCAAGAAATTTTATATCTCAAAATTTATATTACTGGAATACCAATCGAGGTTCCATTCGATGTGAACTCGTTGTTGTGGATCATCTCACAAGAAGGGCAGATTTTGGTTTGAATGGTGGTCCCAAATCTTTTCGACCAATTTTTTATTTTCATTTCTGGAGAACAATTCATCGATTGAGGGTGAGAGCGGTTTTGGAAAATTCCAATTTGGACACCTTACAAGATGTTTTGTATAATGTGACCATTTCGAAAGGGTATTCAACATCTGCTACCATGGTGTATTCTCAAAATAATGTTCAACATTTATTTGGAGCAAGATGGACGAAAATATTTTGGTTTGGTGGTCAAGAACCTGAATCTCGAGTGAATTTCGATTACAATATCAATTACCTGAGTGCCACCTATTTCATTCCAAATTATCCTAAAAACAACACACAAACAGAGAAACAAATTGCAAGCTATTACTCGAATTGGTTAACAACACCAAGAGGATTGATGGAGGCAGGTGTGTGGACACCTTACATGCCTCAAACAGGTATGAGAGATGATATAGGAATCATGCCAGAATTCGTTCATGCATGGTTGACATTGGGAGATTGGCGTTATCGTGAAATTTCTTTGATCAGTGCTGATTTAGCAGGAGGTTGGAAGAGTCATTTTCGTGAAATTGATTCTCAACTCAAATTTGATCGAAATCAAACGGTGTCAGCTATTGGTAAACCAATTTCATTGAACGCACATCCTACTTTGTGGTTTCCAGATAATTCAGGAAAATATATGGGCGCCCTTAATGTTCCTCAATTACCCAACTCAAAGAATTGGGTATTCGATGGCGCTCATCAACCTGATCCATTCTCAATTCCTTATATTTTAACAGGTGACTCGTATTATTTGGAATCTTTACAATTGTGGGCTGCAAGTGGAATTATGAGAATTAGTAACGGACAATATGGACGAGGTATGACAGGCTATGGAGGAATTACTGAACAAGTCAGAGGACAAGCATGGACATTCCGTACTCGTTGTTATGCAGCTCTATTATCTCCCGATGATTCACATGAAAAACTCTATTTCACACAAACAGTTGAAGATGCCATTGCCTATTGGGAAGGTCAACGAGGAGTGAATGACACTTTGTTTTTAAATCATCCAAATAGACAATGGGCTGCTAAAAACTCTGCTTTTGTGTGGTCTCCATTGAGATTTTGGAGTCGTGATACCAACACGAAACAAGCATCGTTATGGCAAGAATATTTCATGATTATCGTTTTTGGTATGATGAGAGATTTGGGATTTTCAACTCATGGAATTTTGAAAGAATATCACCAAATTGTGACCACCCATGTAGGAGCACCCAATTATGATCCTCGTTATATGGGTTATTATTGGGCCTATGTGATGGACTCGAATCTCAATTGGTTTAAAACATGGGCTGAATTTAAAACACAAAATGATCTTGTTCAAAATGATAGTTCCATAGCAGCAGTGAATCAATTTCAGACAGGAGCATTTCCTGCAATTGCCGCAACCTGTGCAAGTTCATTTACTGCCATGTATTCTAATGGACCAGAAACTTGGGAATTCACACGTTCCTTAACTTTTGACAAATTTGATTTGAGTGTCAATTATCGTTCATTCAAAGTGTATCCAAGAAGTTTTGCACCTCCTCACCCACCACAACCCTCTTCACTTCCTCGACCTTCCTCAAAATCAAGTAATGGAACGGCAGTGGCGTCAGACGCTCTTACCACCTCACGTGTGAGCATGGGACAGTGGAAGAGTGTCATTGGAATCATTTTAATCATGGCATTTATTGTAGGTTAATCATGGCTGTAAGGATATAAAGTTTGTTGTTTCAATATTTGGCCATCGTCGACGTGAGAGGCGAAAAACACGACCTTTTTCAATTTACCTTTTTGAAAAAATTCATTGTTCTACTGTTGAAGATTGGTAGATCTAACAACAGAGTCTTACGGTCAATTTCAATTTGTTGATTGACCAAGTCTCAGGCTTGCTTCATGTTAAAACGATGGTGAAAGAATTGATTGGCAAGTGGAAAAATTTTGAAAAGAAAAATGAACAATCCTCAAGATGCTTCGAATTCCTCCTTCTCCGTGGACGATAGTGTCATCCACACACCACCCAACAACTCCTCTATTTATTCACCTCCTCCAATGTCCACTTTTAATCCACATGATATTTATTCAAAACAACAACCACCTTTGCAAGAACCAACCTCCTCCTACATTCCGACCAATAACTTGAATGCCCTTCCGTTTCATCATTCCAATGTCCCATCATCATCTATTCATCAAACGCCCTCTCAACCACCACAACGTATCATACGACCACCACCCATGTCTCTCTTTCTTGAAGGAGCTGATGCTGCTGAACAAATTCAAAAACAATTAGCCATTAAGAAAGCCATGGAAACCATGACCGAATCTTGTCTTTCAAAATCTGCGTTTGCAGCTGTTGCTGGTACAGTTCTGGGAGGAGCATTTGGTATTATTAGTACTAGTTTTACCCTAGAATCTACTCTCATGAAAACACCACAACAAATCATTCGGGAAGAACAAATGACTTCACGAGAGAAGATTCGTGAATATTTTAGAGAAACGAAAACAAGAAGTGTTTCAATGGCAAAATCATTTGGAGCAGTGGGAGCTCTCTATAGCCTTTTTGAATGTTCCCTTGAAAAAGTACGAGCCAAGAAAGATGTTAAGGGAAGTTTAATGGCTGGATGTTTATCGGGAGCAGTGTTGGCAAGAAAGGCTGGTATTGGAGCCATGATCTTTGGATGTTTATCTTTCAGTGCTTTCAGTGGTGCTATTGACTATTTTACTGAATATTCATAACTGGGGAGGAATTGTTGTTTGAAGCCTTGATTTCATTGCGTTCTGAGATGGGAGTTGTGAATCATCATCATTTAACATGGAATGCGAATAAGCCCTGTTAGGTTCTGTCGACCCATGAGCTGTTGTTGCATTTCACGGTTGAGATGCAATCCAAGATCAGTAAATTTTGTTTTGTTTTGGAAATCGGTGATCTTCTAAAATGTCCATCGATTTCCGCTCCTGTGTTTGTTGAAAAGGAAAGTATGTTAGTTCTCATGGTTTGAGGAAGGCTTCATGTCATCTCTTTCAAGATTCACAGAAAAAAGAACACAACATGCTGTGGGATCACCTGTTTGATTTCTTTGAACAATTCACTTACAGTCATCATCATGACCAAAACCCTTCCCTTCCATTGAAAGACAACTATTTCAACGTCTTCTCAACCGAGCTTCAACAAGTAATTCATCCACCCAATATTTTCGTAGACGGGTATGCCAACGTATCCTACACGCATTATCTCCCTGTATGGGTCAACTCGCTCTCTATGGCTAATTCCATATTCTATCTCATATGCTTTGGACTTTATTACCTATCCATGGCCTTCTTCTTGTATAAAATCAAAAGCAGAAAGATTGAATTGAAGCGAAATCACAAACTTTTATTCGTTTTGGCGATTGTTTTTGTCGCTATTCAATCCATGACTCTCATCATTCGAGTGGTTTACGACGGTTTACATTTATACGCTAGAATTTATACAGAATCCACAGGCAATTTGTTGAGAATGGAATTTCTAATCGCTTTGAACCTCATGGGAGCTCTAACAATCTTCTTTATGTTTTCAGATTTTATCTTTTTATTTATTGTGCTGTTCTACTTCCAAAAGATATTGTAAGTAGATTGATGATTATCAACAAAACATTTTTCTTAATGGGTGACGACCTTTGCATTTATAATTCAATCCACACTCAGTTGGACGACAGCCAAAATGATGGGTGCAATTTCAAGAAAAGCTCTCTCTAGAATTCAAATCATGCTCAATGTAACGACAGTCATCTTCTCTGTGACGAGTTTAGTGATGGTCCTGCTGGCGGCCATCTTTTTCTTTTTCCAGAAAACAGATATGGTTGGGAAACCTCCAACCACTGGTGTTTACGTGGGATGTTTTGTGGTTATCTTTACAATGCTTGTTTATGATGCTGTGATTACGATCATTTCAGGAGTGTTAGTGATGAGATCCATTAAGCAAACCATAAAGGCTGTGATGACAAGTTCTCAACGATACGCTCAAAGACATTATCAACCAAGAATAACCTCTCCATTGACATCCTCCTCATTGAGCGATCACAATGTAGACAAATCGAATGCAAACATTTCAAACACGACTCTTAGCGTTCAACAGCAGGTAGTAAATTCATCCCATCCACACAGTACCAACGATAACAACACCTCAACAACGATACTACGAACATCCATCGATGGAAGGAAAATGGAACAACGTATTCAATCACCCTTCAAAGTAACATTCGGATTATTATTGGGTCTCGTTGCATGTATCTTTTTTCAACTGCTAGCAGCAGGTATTGCCTCAGCGGCAGTTGAAATTGATGTGGTCAAGATGATTTGGTACTTTTTTAATTGCTTGGGAGTACTCGTATTTGCTGTTATCATTTTGTGTTTGTTTTATCCCATGTTTGTGAATACTGAAATTGCATTTAAGGAAATTGAAACTTCTAAGGCTAATGCTTTAAAGAATCATGAACATGTTCAAGAAGGATCTCTCAATCCCATGTTACGTGTGCCGAGCATGGAGTTGCAAACTCCATCTTCACCTACACTTGGTGGAAATGACACTGGCACCACCAGTGAGTGTATTTCTGTAAACGAACATTGAATTGTGTCAAATTATTAAATCATTCATGTATATATCATAAAAACATATGGATTATTGATACTTGAGCTGTTCCATGACAGCAATCATCTTCTCAACACGATCTGTAACTTTGTTAATAAACTTGATCACTGCTTTGAATTTTGGCTTCATTAGAGCGAATGCACGTAAATCCTTTTTTAAAATACTAAAATAGTCAATTCCATTATGTATAAAGTCATTACCACCCCTTTGTAGTAGGGTATTGCATATTTCTAAATGTATCTCAACTGCTGGCCTTACACAGAATAGAATATCCACTGGGAAAAGAGGGTATAGAGGATTCTCTGTGTGGTTGGTTATATTCAGTGCACTCTTTTCTATGAGCTCTCGTGTGATGGGAGATTGGGACTTTGAAAGAATGGCAATTCTCAAACTGTCTGACACGATTTGATAAATGGGCTCAACAAAATCTGCTCGATTCACTGTATCGGGTATTGTTAGTATTACTGATTTTTCTAAATGTTTAAATTTGTTGACAAGTAATTCTACAATACTCCAAATCTCAAAACAATTCTCATTTGAAACCTTCTCTTTGGTTAGTCTGACCCATTCTTCTGGCAAAGGCTCCTGGCAAAAAAAGGAATACATTTCAGGAAGACGAATCAATAAATCTTCAACTGTATGATTCTCAAAATCTTCAGTAAGACCTAGCTTAAGCACAGTGTCATAGTAATACATCCACCCTTCCAAATTCTTTTCATAAATAGTTAACTTAGATTGTGTAATGCTATCTACACTTGAATTTTCTGATAAGGAAAATAATTTCTTGGTTAAAAAGTCAAGAATGGCAAAATAGAATTTTGCTTGCTCTGTTTTTCCGATATATAATTCGTACACTACTAAATGTGCATACACGGCAGCAACCGATGAGCTTGATATTCTGTCAAATACTTTGGAAAGACAATCTTTAGCTTTTTGATTAGTTTTTTCTGACTGTTCGAATAATCCAGCTCGGCATTCACATAAAGCTCTAATGCTATAATACATGGCAAACATTTCACAGTTTTGCAAACTGCTAATGTCAACATCGTCACAATTAGGGAAAAGAGTTATAAAGTTTTCTAATTCTTCTCGTGACACCAGTGGATATCCGTCACAGGCAACGTCGAAATAAAAATCAATTACAGCTCTAGAGCTTAATGACTCTGAGGTTTGTAACTCTTCGTTGATTGGCTTTTTACCAAGCGGATAAGGAGAAAAAAGCGGGTTAAAGGAATGACTCTTTTCTTTGGATAACTGGTTTCTATTTTGTTCTTTCGATGCATTATTTACACTTCTAGATTTTTCTGAAGATTTCGAATAACTCTTGTCATTCTTGTTGGTATTAGTACTTTTCTTATTTCTTTTAGATTCCCTATACACACATTCAATTCCTCGTTGAGCGCATGAATAGCACTTGGGAAGTTGTTTGTCACACTTTCTATGTTGTTGTCGGCACTAGCATTTCATAAAAAAGCACCAAGTTAATCAATGAATTACATAAATATAGATGCATACCTGTTCGCAAGCAATTGGAAAATATTCTACACCATTGCCATTATTGTTGTTGGTTATGTTATTGTTTACGTTGTTGTTGTTGCTACTCTCACCACTACTACTACTGCTACTAGTGGATTGTGCTGTCACAGAGGAAGGTGGAGGTGACGTTTGTTGTTGTTGTGCGAGAGGTGAGAACGTATCGCTGCTGATATTGCTACCATGAGTGTTTGATTGGAGCTGTAATTGTTGGGAAATCCATGACATATCAATTTCGGTTGGTGTAGGTACGATAAAGTTGTTGATGAAATGGTGCAGGTGTTGATGGAGAGGACCATGGTTATTATTGCCATTCCAATGAATATGTTCAGAGGATGGAGTTGTTGGTTGGTTCATGTTGGTTGGTATCATTGAATTTAAAACGTGTTGTTCCGAATCAAATGAATATGGATAATTGGAAAGGCCATGCATCAACATGGATGATGGAGGCATTTGGGAAGCATTTGCAGTCAACTGAGTGGAAGGCTCATTAACGAGAAAATCTTCGAGATGTAAGAATTCATTCAAGCCTTGATCTAACAAACCAGTGTGTTGTTGGATACGATTAGGATTCTCTTTGAGTTCTTGATGTTCTCGGTTTCCTCTCAAAAGATGTTGTTGATGGGATGGTGGTGGATTGACATTGTTGGGGCCAAGATGGCTTTGTCCGTTGCGAGGATTCATTTTTTGAATGAAAAAAAATTTTAAATTGGAACAATTCTCGAATAAATTTGAAATAAAAAATGTCTAACTCTCAACCTTCATTTCCGCAACCCACACCTCCAGCAGCAAACATCGACGATGAAGAAGACCCATCTGATTCTTGGGAAACAGAAGAAAATGATGAAGATGACTTTGATGAGGACGAAGAAGATGATTTTGATGATGAAGACGACTTTGATGATGAAGAAGATTATGATCGAGTAGCGGACAAGGATGTAATTTGCTTCTCCGAGTCTGTTGATGCAACTTTGTATGAACAAAGAATTAAGACTAAAGGAGCCATTCTATTGCAACACACAGAAGAGTTTTTCCGAATGTGTATCTTCAATAATGAGGGAAAATTTAAAAGTGAAGAAGAGCTTCACCGATGCACTCTTTTGCTCAACAAGAGAAAGTCAAAAGAAGAATGTGAGAATTGCTTGACTGATGAAGAAAAGAAAATTGTTGAAGCCGTTAAAAACGATTCATATACATACACCATTGTACTCGTCACTTCGAAAGAGGATTACAAGAAAAAAACACCAATTACACAACTTGCCTCATTCCTATTTGAATACAGCAATACGTTAAATGGATCTATCGTGAATGTACAATTTCTGGATGAGTATTTCAATTCTGAAAGAAATGCTGAACATATCATTTATTCGGACGATAATGATTTCACTATTGGACTACCTTTTCAAAGCCACTCACATCCAGTATTATTACTGTATGGCAGTGAGCAATCAAAGAATGAAATGATTGAATATTTCAATGACCGTGAAGTTCAGATACTCAGTAAGGAAGTCTATGACTCACAATCCGTTCTATTGGGCGATTGTACAATTGTCTTGAGCGATGATTTCTTTTTAAAGAAGCCAGAAGAATTAACTTCAGAGGAAATTGACATTCTCCATTTTTATATCCACACCAATGGAGTTACTTTTACTCGAACAAAGGAACTATTCGATGAATGTAAAGATATTAGCACTGATGACTATGACTCGTGTGAGGAAATGCTAAGAAAGTCTGGATACTTTGAGCAAGTGTATAATTTTTCAGTACTCAAAAAACGAAAAGATAGACGTTATTTACTTGACAAAAAAGAAGTACAAGCCTATGCTGAGGATCTTGCTGGCTTACCTACTATTTCTGATCATCAACGCCTTACGAAAATGATTCCTAATGATTTGATTTACCACATTATTCAATTCTTGTTGCCTTCAGAGATTTTACAGCTGAGATTGCTGAATAACCTCTCAAACATTATGTGCTTGCAAGACTTTGTTTGGAAACAAGCGTGCTACAACACAGCCAAACGATTCAGGCAGTTCCTCTCTCCATTCTTGGAGGATAAGATTTATGACATGCCCTATTTTTTGATTTACAGAAATTATATCAATCCACTCTTGATAGATCTCAAGTACATTCATCAAGTATTTGATATACCATTAGTCGATAAGAAACTATTAGAAGAGTCCATTTCAACTGCCTTATTCATAGACACAAGTTTGTGCAAGGATGACCACATACCTATAGGATCATCAAAAATGGGAGGAGCTTTTGACATGCCATCACTTTTTGATACACAAAATGTTGTCGATCACTCTTTGATTTTACAATTGAACTTGGAAGAGGGTATGCAAGAAGGTTTATTTGGAATATCTTATCATAATTTGAGGAAACGACTCAAATCGAATATTATACCCAGGACAGGAGTGTTATATTTCTTTCACATGATTGAAAGAGGAGCAAAGGTGTTTTATTACAATGGCCCAGTTTCAAAGCTTAAACGATTTGGTTCTGGTGACAAGAACACGTTTGCAGTGACATTTTATGAGGCACTCGAACTGAAGGATTACTCAGAAGTACATTTTACAAGCGATTTTTTAAAGTTTGAAGAAGACTACAGCGAAGCATTGTCAACCTCTCTCACACAGTTCATTCATGCTCCTTATGTACAGTATGAACCACACAAGCTTTTTGGTCAATGCCCTATTATTCCTAAAGAAGATTTTTCAGAATATGACAGCGAAACTGACTCATCAAGTGATAGTGATAATGACGAAGATACCTACAGCTATTTGGACCTGAATGAATTTTTATTCCCTCTACTACAACTATCCAAAGACTGTAAAATTCAAGAAAACAATATTTTGGAGCTTGAACAGACTGACATTAACTTCTTGGTCGAAGGAGAACCGGAACACTTTGTGTTTGATAGGGACAGTACATGGAAGCAAGTACTTGATTGTGGGGATGGGCATGCTTTATTTGAGCTTGAAGAGTCATTCAACTTCAGTTATGGAATATGTGAAAGAATTTTCACCAAGTTCAAAAAGCTAGGCAAGGAGAGAATTAAGGCCAACACAAAGACCCGACGAGATATCAAGAACGAATAGATGACTCGTTGAAAGGTTCATCAAGAGATTTATGTCTCAACCGATTGTCGCCCCATTAAAAGGTTCATGACTTTGGAAAATTCATGCAAGTGTGGTGAACTTTTTCGCGCCTCCATTTTACTGGTTTGCGTTACATTATGGCATACAACATTAAAAAATGGCTGACAGTGTAAAGGTGGCAGTGAGAGTACGACCTTTCAAGGATTACGAGATTCAGGGCAATGCAAAATGTATTGTTCAAATGAATGGTCCTCAAACTATTTTAATGTAAGTTTCTTCTTGATCAAATGTATATCAACGCAATGATCGCAATAATATTCAGTGAACCAAAAACCGGAAAAGAGAACAAGTTTTCCTTTGATTATTCGTATTGGAGCTTCAACAAGAGCGATGCCAATTATGCCGATAATCAGGTATTGTGGAATGATTTGGGAGAATCAATGTTAGCAAATTGTTGGCAAGGGTATAATACATCAATGTTTGCATAGTAGGTTTTATTGTAATGCATTTGAAAAGCTCAAGCAATGTATTATTTAATTAGTGGCCAAACAGGAAGTGGTAAAAGTTACAGTATGGTAGGATATCCAGGACTGGATGAGGGATTGATTATTAAGGCCGGAAATCGTATTTTCCAAAAAATTGAAGAATCCAAGTCTCAAAATGATGTTCCCATTGAATACACTGTGGAGGCGAGTATGCTAGAAATCTACAACGAAGAAATCAGAGATCTTTTTAATCCAAAAAACAATCCCAACGGAGGATTAAAAATCAGAGAAGATCCTAGAACCGGAGTTTATGTTGGTATGTACATTGTTTGAAATTTCTTAAATCTAATTATCATAATTAGAGGATCTTTCAAAGCATGTGGTTGCCGATTACAGCGCTATTAACAAGTTATTGGAGCAAGGTGAAAAAGCTCGTACAACAGGCGCCACTTTGATGAACAAAACATCATCTAGAGCTCATACCGTTTTCATGCTTTTTTTCAAACAAACTGTTACACATCCTGAAACCAAGCAAAAAGTTCAAAAAGTTTCCACCATCAATCTTATTGACTTGGCCGGTAGCGAAAGAATGGCCAGAACCGGAGCAACTGGAGCTCGTGCACAAGAAGGAATCAATATTAACCTTTCTCTAACATGTTTGGGTAATGTCATCAAGGCTTTGGCCGACAAATGCACTGGAAAAAAGCCTGCTAACTTCATTCCTTACAGAGACTCAAAGCTCACGTATCTTTTGAAGGAGTCTCTAGGAGGTAACTCAAAGACAATTATGATTGCTGCTATTTCTCCAGCTGATGTCAATTTTGAAGAATCTCTGTCAACCTTAAGATATGCAGACAGAGCCAAACAAATCGTTAACAAGGCAGTTGTTAATGAAGACCCATCCTCGAAAATTATCAGCCAGTTGAGAGCAGAAATTGAACGCCTAAAGGCCCAACTTTCAGGAAGTGAGGGAAATACCATGGGAGATCAAGTCTCAGGCGCAACAATTGAGGGCATTCCTCAAGCTGAATATGATGCACTCAAACAACAGCTCGAACAGTCACAAAAGCTGATGGCAGATATGCAAATGACCACAGAGGAGAGAATCAAACAAACAGAATTGATGGCCAAGGAAAGAGAAGCCTTCTTAAAGGATCTTAATGTTGATTTGAACTTTGACAAGAACAAGCCACACATTTCCAATCTTAACGAAGATCCTTTGCTAAGCGGTAAATTAAATTACTACATACAAGACGAAACAACCATCGGATCTAGTGCTGAAAATAGTGTAAAGATTCAAGGAGTTGGAATTTTAGATAGACATGCTACTTTCAACGGTGGAAATATTACTCCAATATCAGGAGCCAAGATATTCGTAAATGGAGTAGAAATTAAGGAAAAATCAAAAATCAAAAACGGGGACAGAATTGTGTTTGGAACCCATCTAATTTATCAATACAATGATCCTAAGGAAGGTGTAATTAGTTTAGCAGACTGGAAAACAGCGTTCGATGAAGTTAGTAAGGCAATGTTTGATGAAAAAGCAGCTGAACTTGTCAAAGAGCACAAGAAGAGAGAGGCAGAGCTTCAGGAAACAATTAATTCAGTTAAAGGTGAAATTGAACGACAAAGACAAGAGCAAAAGCTTTTGATTCAAAAAGAAATGGATAATGCAAAGCAAAAAGAGGAACAAATGAAAGCTGACTATTCCAAGAAAGAACAATTATTGCTTGCAGAGCTTCAGGCTGCAAAGAACGATGAAGAAAAGAGAAAGCATATTGAAAAAATGTTGGCAGACGAAAAGAACAAGAATGAGGAACAAATTGTCCTGTTCCAAAAACAGCTTGAACAGTCTAAACGTGACATATCTTCCTCCTATCAAAAGCAGATCATGGAGTTAGAATCAAAATTGATGGCAGAATTAGATCTGGGTAAAAAACACAAAGAAGATTTGGAAAGAGAAAATCAATTGCTACAGCAACAAATTAAAGACAAGGAGCTGGAATATGAAAAGAAAATATCTGAAGAAAAAGAGTTCCTTCAAAAGAAGGAACAAGCTCTTCTGGAAGAAAAACAAAGAAGAGAGGTAGAAATAACAAAGATAATCGCAGAAAACCAGCATAATTCAGCATTAGTTGCTCAATATCAAGAAGAACTAGCAAAAGAGAAGGAACGAATAGACAATTTGATCAAGGTCCAAGTAGAAATGTTCCAGAAATCCGAAGAACGAATTAGATCACATATCAACTCGGAAGTTGTAGAGTTGAAGGCACAACTGGAGAAGTCAAAACAAGCCGAAGAGGAGGCAAGAAAGTACAAGGATCAACTTGCAAAAGTTGAAGAAGAAATGACCAAAAAATCTAAAGAGCATGACGAACTTATGCAAAGAGAAAAGGAAAAATTCACCATGAGAGAAAAGGAGCTTCTTGGAACTCTTCAAGAAAGAGAGAAAGAGCTGTTGGAGAAAATACAAAAAGGAGCTTCTGAGGAGGAGGTAAACGAGTTGAGAAAGCAATTGATTCAAGAAAAACAAGAGAAACAAAGTTTATTAGAACAAGAACGAGCTGAATACGAACGAAAAATGCACGAAAACAGAATCAAAATGACAGCTGTCAGAGCCATTTTCAAATCCCAAATTCAAAAATCGAATACATTAGCGGCTGCAGCGTCAACTAAGGCAGAAGAAAAAATCGCTCTACTACAGCACAAGTACCTAGAAGAAAAGCTTGTCCAACAAGAAGAAATTGAACGTCAAAAGCAAGAAATGGAAAGACAACAACTCGAAGCACAACGACAATTGGCTGCAAAGCAGAGCGAGCTACTTTTGAATAATGAACAAAATACTAAAGGCATGCTTGAACAGTTGAAGATGTTAGAGCTAGAAAATGAAGAACGAGAGCGTGAGTTCCAAAGAAAAGAATTGGAAATGTCAATGAAACTCTTTGATATGGAGTCCAGATTGCAAAACGAGATGGCTGAAAAGGCTCAACTTATTATCGACAAAGCCGTCAAAAGCACTGTTGTTGCATCTAATGAAAGTGCTGGCGCTGTTAACGTCTTGATACCATGGATACAAGAGGCTAATGTTATGCTCTCCGAGTTGAAAAAAGACATCTCTTTGGATCTTCGATTGGTTGGTTCTGATATAAGTATTGAGGTCACTGATAAGAGTAGTGGCCACACCGAAGTATGGAGCAGAGATAAGTTTGAAACCAAGCTTTTTGAAATGAGAAATTACTATTTCAATGTAAAGAACGGAATACGGATTGACCCCTCCCAAGATCCTTTTGTTTCAATCCAAAAAGTTACTATTGTTCAAAATGAAAACCCATCTGATTTGTTGGAAAGAATCAAGATTTTAGAAATTCAAAATCAGCAATTGCAAACTGAAAAAGCTCATGCTTTGGTTGATTTGAACATTGCTCTTGCTGAAAACGAGCAACTGAGACAAAAGGCAAAGAAAACAGGTACTAAATCAACAAAGAAAATCAAATCCAAGATTAAGCATTTGAAAAAACAGCTTGGAGAAATTACTTCTCAACACAAGGTCGAAGAGATACTATCCTCGTTTGACGAATTTATAGGAATCGACAGTGAAAGTGACAGTGACAGTGATAGCGATAATGAGGACTTTGATGCTATGATTAAAAAAGCGAAATCCCTTACAAAGACTGTCGTTAAGGGTGTAAAAGAAATCAAGCAAGAAATTGAAGCAAATATTCCACCTCCAAAAAGTTCGGCAAAGAAATCGAGAGGTGATGGAAAGAATCAATCTAGTGTCTGCAATGTTCAATAAGCTGTAAATAATATTCAATTCATTCATTCTTTTTTTATTTTACATTTTTCGATTTGGTAGTACAGGTTGTGGACAGGTGGAAAGTCCACATTGGGAAATTAAACTGCATGGATAGTTGTTTTTTTGGAATCTTTTTCCTTCTCTTCTTCTCAATTCTTTTTCCACTGGAAGTGAAGGTGGTATTGATGAAATCACGAAAACAAGGGTTGTTATTGGGAGAGGACTTCTTTGCAGATTGGTAGGAGGTGCTATATACACTCAAAGCATCTGCACTGTGATCTGGCTGCAGGGCAGGATCATTGATGACAGGTGAGGTAGCCTTACTTGAAGAGGGTTCCAAGTCAAAAAGTGGTTCCGTTATTTCATCCTGTTCCTCAAATAGAGCAACCTCGTTGACAAGTGGTTCATCCAGGAATGTTGTCTCGAAAGAATCTGAAGTTGCAACAACGTTGCCAGAGGTTGGGTCTGAAATGTTTAGCTGAGCAGGATCTCGAGAAGTGTTGTTTTCTTGATGGATCAACAGTTCATAGTACGTTTTGCAAAAGTCGTATACATCAAGATGAAGCATGGGTGGTTGTGGAGTTTCGACTTGTTGGAAAAGCTGGTCTTGCAATGTCGCTAAAAAACATTGGCTGATCGGAATATTTTGCCGATTGGAAAATGATCGAAATTCATTTTGTGTTTCAGTATCAATAATTGGGGAGCTCATGTCAATAGAGATAAAGATGAATGATGGTACAATGACTCTTATTTCGACAAGGATCTTGTAAGTTGTGATTTTTTGTTATGTTGTGAATATTCATCAAGAATCAACGGCTGATTTTAATCGGTGAGTAATTTGAGCCTGGCCGAAACAGAGACTTTCTAGGCATCGAAACACCGCTCTCTGTTACTAAATTGTTCAGGAATAGCGTTTGAATTAAATATCGGAATATGAGAACAGAAAGACTCCTTTTTTGCATGAAGAATGGGCTATCCATTTGTGTTCTGGCCGAACTATCTTGATATTCCATTTGGAAAATTGTTCTCCTGTAGTTGTCTAATAAATTCAATATAGACGTGGTAATAAAAAGATATTAACAAGCAACACTTGCTGGGGCACTCAACTGTCTCACTGAAGCAAGATCGACATACTTTTGTGCAAGCGTTTTTAGGAGAGTGAAGTTGAAATGTTAGGGTAACACCAAACTCTGATATGGAGAATGTTGATTTCTATCTTTAAACGAATAAAGCATTGAAAGCAATGAAGAACAAGAAAAAACAACTTGCTTTTTTTTGTAAGAGAGAAAGTTCATGGGTGTTTCAACTCGTCTTGTTCGAACCGTCGACCTTTGACAGGACCGTAATTACGGAGTGGGTGAGTGTGCTCAAACCGTATCAGTCTTCCTTGTCTCACTATTTCCAACTGTAGTATTTCGATATAATTGTCGTTGAAGGGAAGAGAGCTCCAGAAAGTCATGATTGAGCTTGTCAACAATTTTTTATTTAATAGCCCTCGATCAATTCTTGTCTAGAATTAAGGTTACGTTGGTTCATTGTGTTATTCTCCGAGTTAAGGTTTTGCTTAACGAGAGGTTGAATTTAAGGAAAAGTTTTGCGAGGATAGAGGAACGCAAGATCCTTCATTTCGAACATGACGTGGTGAAGCATTGACACAACCTAGCATCTCTTCTTTATGGAAGGTTATGATTGGGAAATCAAAAGACATTAATTGTTGTCTCTTGGGAATCTTTTTCTTTTGTTTGATCGCTCGCTTGGTAACGAAATTCTGGAATCTGATTTTAGGTACCGAATTGGCAAGACTTGAGTTTCTTTTTTGGGTTTTATATTCTGAACGATTCTCAAGTGGAATAATTTTCTCAAAATGTCTCTCTACTGCAGCGTTGGAATGGCTATGAGAAGTATTGCACAATGATTTTTCATTATTGATATAATTGCTTTCGAAATGAGAGAATTGCATGTTCTTGTGTTGATGAGTGGTCGGTGACGTCACAGGTCGATCATCGGATGGCAATTCTACTTGTTGCAGCTTTAACATTAAAGCATGGTATGATTTTTGAAAATCTTCTATATCTAATTTCAGAATCAGTTCATGACATTTACGATCATCGAAAGGTGAACAAGAATTGTTGAGTGTGCACAAGTTGGACATGTTTTGATAAACGTGTTTTGAGAGGTTTTTTTCTCAAGCATCAACAACCTATTGTTGCTTGATCTTTTTCAAAGCACAGAATGAAATCGGATGCTTTACATAAATGAGCCACAGTGAAATTCACTAGACGACAAACGCTTATAACACCGATGAGCGTACCCCTCTCTTCAAATGAAAGTAGGTATCGCTTTTGGAGTCTCTTATGTGAACTTGTGACGAAAACGTTCTTGATTCAATGAAAAGTGACACAATGAGAAGCCTTCTTCAGTGAGGTGTACTAACTGTCAACATGTTGATTCGAACTATTAACGTTTTATTAATACTAGTAGGGTGTTAAGAATAATTGAAACTACAAGGTGTGATAGGGAGAAATCTTTTGTGCTTTAAACTTGACGACATTGTTGGTCGATGAAGAAGGTGATAATCCTGGTAATTTTTGTGATGAATTTGACAAGGTTTTACAACAAGTTGGTGAATGAGTTTCTCCTTCATCGGGTGTGGTGGTATTGAGAAGATGGAACGTCCATGATGGGAATGTAAATTGCATGGATTCAATTTTGGGAACTACTGACGATGCTAATGATTTAGTAGTTGAATGATTGGATGAATGAGTATGTATGGAAAGTGATGAATTCTGATCTGGTTGATGTTTCTTTTTGTATAAAACTAATTTTGAGGGTTTTGAAATTCCCTTGTGGTTCGAATTCTTTTTTTTAGAGCAGCATGAGGATTTCAGACGAGAGCGATTTGTTCTTTTTGATGTGGATATTGTTGTTGTATTCATTTCATTTGTAGGTGGTAGTGATAGAGGTAAGGTGGGTGTGTGATGAATCATCATGGTTGAGTGTGGTGGTAATAGTGGTGGTGGTGATGAGATTGGACAGGAATGCATCATGTTAAACTCCTCATCCTTCTCCTCGTTGTGGATTTCAAAACGTTGAGGCTTCTCATCTTGATATTCCTTAGAATGATCTTGTTTCAATGAATGATGTACATTCATCCATTCCATCTCTTGTAGCTGTGGTTGTTGAGAATTCTCATCATCATGATTCACCAACAAGGGTGTGAAATGATCATTTCTATTCATCATCATTTTCATGTAACAAGTGATAAAATCTTGGACGTCCAAATTCAGCATGGGTGAAGAGGAAGAACAACTCACCATGTTTGGAAACAAATTGGCTTGAGAGCAGCTCCTCGTGTGAGTCATTTCACAATTATGAATGATGGTGTTCATGCTGTGGTGATGATGATCAAGATGACTCGATGATCTCGATGGTGATAATTGAAGTTGTTCTAATAGTGAGGTTTTATGACTCACAGTTGTCATGCTGTTGAGGTTGTAATTGATAGAGTCTAGAGTGGTTGATGGTTGAAATGAGTAGTGACAAGCCATGCAAACAAAGATATCAGAATGGAGAGCAGCCTTCTTCTTCTTCTTGTTGTTTTATTTCAATATTGTATTTCTTGCATCGCTTGCATTCAATAATATAACATGAAGTTTGCATCCCAGTACTGTCGACTACTTTTAAAGAACAAGATTCTTTGTTTGTAACTAGCCCCAACATTCGATCAACCAATCACATGCAGGTTAATGCACTTATATAATACTATTTAGAAATTTTGAGATGAAATGTGTGGTGTACTTCGACAGAGAGATATTGCCAAGTAACGACAGAATGCAAGGAAGACGTTCATCCCTTGTTTATTTCTGGTGGTAGGAAAATGTGCGGCAAATTTTGTTTTGTATTTCTGAAATGACAATTGACATTTACCAACTCTTTAGTAAAATTTTAATATAAAAGCATAGAGGTTCTTCCAAGTCGTGTTGGAACGGAGAATCCAGAAGCAGAACATATCTTTCTTCTTTTCATTTCAGCACTGATTCCATAATTGCTTTGGTGTTGATGTATTTGAAAAATAAAGTAACTTGGAGGTGCAGCAAGTTTTGCATCTAAGAGAGAAAACAAGAATTACAGAACTAGATGCAAGTAGTGAGAATTTTTTCTCGAGTGTATGAATGGAAATACTGATCCAAGAATTCTTGCAAGTTTATTGGTTACTTGGTACATACACAAACGATACATTATGAAATTTGTAATTATTTCCACTTTTGGATTTCTCTTTTCCACTCTCCACAAACGCTTGTTCTTTATACAAGGTCCATGATGCAAGATTTCGTTGTTTGTTTGATGAAGACTGCTGTGGACAAGTCGTTGAGTAGTGGCAGGACGTTGGAGATTGATTGGACTTTCTTGACATACATTCACTCTGAGGAGAAGAGGATGAGAAACTTTTCAATGATTCTTTTGGTAATTCAAACGAATGTTGAATTGAACTTGGAGTGGTGGTAATGGTTTCAGTGATGAGACGACCTTGTGGTTTCTTTGTCTTGTTCTGCTTGGTAATTTTAGAAATGGGAGAGAGAGATGGTGAACAAGTGCTTGGACTTGATTTTTTCCTTTTTTGTTTGGGTATCACATGTGAAATAGTGTCGTTGTTGGCCAACGTTGATAACAATAGTGGTGTTGGTGGTTGATGGTCTGTACTCTCGTCGTTTTGCATTGGAGGAGTTTGGAGCACACATGATTGATCAAGGACGATGGCAGTTTGGCAGTTGATCTGACATGTGGCCGGATCATGGAAATTTCTCTGTAAAGTTTCATCCAATGGAACATTCTGACAGTTCAGTTCGGCTTCCAACGAGGTTGCACAATAATTGGGTGGATCACAAGAATTTAATTCTTTCAACACTCCATGAACATCTAATCTGAGAAAACAAGGAGTGTTTGGTGTAATGCATGAAAGAGCTCTCTCCAAATCATTTAGGGTATGAATATCATCCGAGTATGGATTGAGAAGCGACATGGAAGAGAAATATGGTGTTGTTAATGATGATGGTAAATAATTATTGGTTTCAAGGGAGGGTGAAGAGTAGTACATGAAACAAATTGGCGCAACGACAAAGTGTTGTTGTTGTGAAGAAAAAGCGAATCGGAAAGTGTTGTTGTGCCGTGTTGTTGACCAAGAGGTTGAGATGCAATTTGTTTTTGTGAAAGTTCTAATGTGTGAAGGCTTGAATACGATCTAAAAGTCATCCGTGAATTCATCTGCTTCGAAATGGTAAGTATTTGATATAATGCCAATCAAACTGTCAGTTGTCAAATACAGTGTGCACAAACAATGATCAGCTAAAATTCAGCTAGCAATTAAAATCGGCGATTTCTCAGGTTCAGCTCTCTCTTTGAAGATATTAACCCACAAACTTAGAACAAGGCGCGTGCCCTCATTCCCTTGTGGCGTACAATTAGTTAACTGCCAAGTTCTTGTGTAAATAAGGATTGCTCGAGTTTGGGTATTGTCATGAAGAATTGCAAGCTCATTACGCAACGACATGTGATTTCCAATGAAATTTTAACGGATACTAACAAGATAATTAGCCAATGGATTCTCACAGGAATCTATCGGATTGTCATCAACATCACTGTGAAGATGGGACACAATAGATTGAAAAAATGAATTCATCACAAATTGAATATGTGTATCATCTTTTTCCGAACCCTTCTACGGTTGAGTTGAAATTTAAGAAATCGGGCGATCATTTGAGTTTAATCATTCATCAAAATATCGGAGTAGTATTGCTACATTATAAAGGAAAATCTGTAAATATTTTGGATGAATATGTATTGACTGAGATGGATCAGGTAAGAAGAAGTGTGTGTGGCTGATCGCATAAAATAATATCATGATGATGTATTTTTTGCGGAAATGATTAAAGATGATCGGAGAAATTGAGAAATTAATTCTTGATGGTGTTCTACATGGTATCATGTTTTATAGTTTGAAAAAAGATAGTTTTATTGTTGGAGCTGATGTAAATATGATTTACACGATTACAGATAGCCGAAAAGCCAAAGAGCTTTCCAAACATGGACAATCACTCACCCGAAGAATTGAATTATTACCAGTAGTTGTATTAGCTGCAATTCATGGTAGCTGCCTTGGAGGAGGTTTCGAAATTTGTCTTGCAGCTTCTCATCGGGTGTGTTCTTCTTCAAATAAGACTGTTGTTGGATTACCAGGTATGTTTTTCCAAAATTTGTGACAAATTCAATTTTCAAACCATATCTTCTATTCGATAGAAACAAAACTTGGCCTTGCTCCAGGATGTGGAGGATGTGTTAGGTGAGTCAAAGTTCGTACTTTCTTAGACCTGAAATTCTGAAAACTTGATATAATTATAGATTGCCTCGATTGATTGGACTTGAAAATGCGTTGCAAATCATCTTACAAGGAACTCATGTGGAAACAAAAAAAGCTCTCAACATTGGAATGATCGATCAAATATTTCCATACTCAGCTGAAGCGAAAATGCAGTCACAATCATCTCAAGAAAAATCTGAAAGACCTCCACAAGAAGATATTGATTTTTTCCAGAGATGTTTCGATTATACAAGACAACTGGCTCTTGAAAATACACAAGAACGAGAAAAAATTGTTTCAGAAACTGTTAACAATATTCTAGAGCTTGCAACTAAAGGAAAAGCTGTGTTCAACCAGGAGCCCTCATTCCAATTGGAAAAATACAAACGAAGAACCATTACACTTTCTGAATATTTAAAGGACAATCCAATTGGGAGATTACTGATCGGATTTTTTACAAATACAAGTATTCAGAAACAAACCAAGGGACATCCGTACAAGTCACCATTTCTCATACTTGATACGATCATGAATGGTTACACAAAAACAATTGATGAGGCTCTTGAACTTGAAGCAACAAGTTTTTCTGAACTCGTTATTGACCCTGTCTCTAAAAATCTCATTTCCCTATTCAACACTGTGGAGTCAGCAAAAAAGGCTGAAAACTTTTGCGACCCTAAATACTGCAGTGTGAAGTGTAAAGATGTGATCAAGAAAATTGGAGTTATTGGCTCCGGAACGATGGGAGCTGGAATTGCACAACTTTGCCTTTTAAAAGGTTATAACGTATATTTAAAGGAAGTTGAATTTCATTACTTGGAACGTGGATTAAAGAGAATTAGAAATGAATTATTTGGAAAATTGGTTGAAATTGGCAAAATGACTGAACACGAACGAGATGAAATGATGCAAAAACAATTAGAATCTGGATTAGGTATGTATTATCCTTTCTTTGATATTCTTTTTACACGTTAAGAATATGAGCCTCTTGAAAACTGTCAAATGGTTATTGAAGCTGCATTGGAAAGAGTGGACATTAAAAAAGAAGTATTAGAGAAAGCTCAATCCCTAAATAAGAACATTATTTTTGCAACCAATACTTCTTCCATTCCCCTCACGTCAATTGCAGAAGAAAGTGATTTCAAACAAAATGTCATTGGACTTCATTTCTTCAATCCTGTACACAAAATGCCGCTTGTAGAAATTATTTGTACTCCATACACCTCACAAGAAGTTTTAGCTCGATGTTATCAGTAAGTAGAAGAAAATTTATTCACACACAACCATGGTTGGCAAACAAATTGAAAATCTCTTTTATCACTAATATATTTTTCTTTCTATTTTTCACATAAGACTCGCGTTGGATCTCGGAAAGCTTCCAATTGTTGTCAATGACAGTCCTGGATTCTTAACCACTCGCTTATTTGCAGTTTATTGTTTAGAGGCCACCAGCATTGTGCTTGACGGAGTACCTTTTGAAGAAATTGATAAAAGATTACAGCAATTTGGTTTTGCTGCAGGACCATTAAGTACCCTCGATCATAGTGGTCTTGACATTGCCGTTCACGTCATGCCTATCATTGCAGGAAAACTTAATCTCAAATTTGATCATTATGAAGCTTTGAGCGAGCTGGTGAAAGGAGGAAATGTTGGCGTCAAGAATCATAAAGGATTTTTCCTTTACGATGAAAACGGAAGACAATTAAGATCAAATCCGGAGGCATTAAGAATCATTGGAAAACATCAATCGAAGAGAGAAAGAAGAGTTAATATTGCCACAATTATCGATGACCTCATTGATCGATGCATTTTAACGCTGATTAACGAAGCCTCGAAATGTATTGAGGAAAATATTGTTTCACTACCAGAAGCCATCGATTTGTCTCTCATACTAGGATTTGGCTTTCCTCCATTTTTAGGTAAGTCGAGAAGATCGATATCGTTATTCACAAACTCAACTCTTCTATTGAAAAACAATGACATTAATCATACCTAGGAGGATTATTAAACTTTGCTGATAGACTGGGTATCGCTAACATTGTAAAAAGACTCGACGAGTTGGCAGAACGATATGAAACAGTGAAGGCTCCTTGCAGATTATTGAGAGATATGGCCAATTCCAATCACCATTTCTTCCCTGAAAGAATGGTCATCCATAACATTCTGGACAGTCAAAGAAAACAAAACCTTAGTAAACTGTAAAGTAGTATTGGTGAAACATTGTTGTAGCCAAACATGTGATTTTTTCTAATTTTTATTAGAAGCACATTTTACTCTTAAAGATCCTCGGCCTTGTAAAGAAAATTGAACCATGTCGATCTTTTGTTGGAATCATCCTTAGAATCGTCTGTAAAAGCAATATCGAAAGGAAAGCTTTTTCCATTCATCGATGACAAATTTTCCTCAGAAAGTCCAGGAAGGTGCGGTATATCTTCGTGTGCTGACTGTATAATTAGCACCAAACGCTTCCTTAATTGTTCTTGTAACTTGGAAACGTCAGGTGGAAGATTAGGATTATTAGGGCTATTTAACATTTTGCCTTGAATATCGGTTTCTTTTCCATTCGACGTCACCTTAACGAGAGGCATACCTTCAAATAAGTGATTCCATTGAGTGTTCCAAGAAATTTTGAATGGTATGTTCCAAGATTCGAAAGGGACTTTCTCTTCTCTCTTTCCTCCGAAAATACCATAAAAACTAGAGTCTGTTTTTTTAAGAGTGTAGTATTTAACTTCAAAATTGAAGGACTTAGAAAGTATGCTTTCTGGTAATTTGATTATCGGAGTTGCTGATGGTGTTTTCTTGGTGTTGGTTGTGGATGGAGTTTTTGCACTGGGCGTTGAAAAGAAATTTTCAGGCAAATTCATGCATGCTCGGAGAAAATTCTGAAATGAATCAATTACTTTCTGTGTCTGTTGTGATATTGTTTGATTTAATTCCTTCTCATCGATACTAGGCTGTTGAATTTAGAAACTAAAATTATCAAACGTTAATTCTGCTTCAACTTACAAAACTAATTTGGTCCAAAACCTCACAGTCTGTTCCGAGTGGATAAACTTCTCCGAGAGCTCTATGAAATGTGATGGTCGATAATATAGACTTGATACAGTCTTTTATAATTAAAGTCTGGTCCGAAAAGAGCAGCTTCCCCTTGTGCTTATGATCTGGAATTACTAACGGTAATTGAATATTCAGTTCTTGGGAGTTATGTACTTTTCTGTTCATGATGAAATACTGTACAAAATTATGAATTGTTTTTATATTTATAAGGATGACAAGCGGCCGGGTAGATTCAAAAAGTTTTTCTCAATTTGTTGCAATGAATTATTCCAAATATTTACTTTTTGTTGGATGTATGAATTCCGAAAGTAACGTTTACTTCTGGTGTTGAGAATAGAGATTCGGTTGTGTCCCAGGAAATACAAAGAGCGACGGATGTTGTGAAAATTTTTTTAATCTATTTTTGAAGTCGTGTAATGTCCTTAACCAGGTTTGTTTGTCTTTCTTAGATGAGCATTTTGGAAGCTTTTGAAGAATGGCATGACATGGACTGATCCGTAATCCGAAAAGCACCTGCAAGAATTGTTGTGCGCCTTACAAATTCCAGTTATTTTTGTTTTAAAATTCAGATCAAAAAAAAGCCTGAACCAGTCTTGCCTCTCCTCATCAAACACAATGCCTCTGCGGACGATTAACAGGAACGAAAAGAAGAGCACAAACCCTCACACTCCCGTGTTGAAGCGAAAGTACTCTGATTTTGAAGATCATGATGAATTGTGTGATGATATTATGGTAACCAATTGCTGGCTTCCGATTGCGCAATATCAGCCACTAGTAAACACGGGAACGGAATTTTCAGAAATAGCACCAGTTAATGAGTTGCTAGACACTACCGAGTCCAGTTCGAAGAAGACTAAATTATGGACAACAACGAATGTAAAATCTCATGCAGGATTAATAGAATCAATTTTTGTAAATAATTATATGAGCAATAACCTGAGCACATGCAGCTCCGCATCAAGTACTATCAGAGAACACCTGAAATTTAATTATGAACGTTTTGAAGAAATTGAAGTAACAGAAGAATATGAAATTTTCAAAGCAACAAGAAAAAGTGACCACAAGTTTTGCAGAGTAATTGTTTCGAAATGCGTCTTTCCATCTGTGGAAAAAGAAAATATTATCAAATTGGTGACTCTTAAAAACAAACATATCGCAGAGATTACTAATTGTGGATTTATTCAACAATTTCCTTGGTTTGAATACAAATGGTATAAGGATGGATGCATTGCAAACCTCATCAAGCGAGGAGAGTATATTTCTGAAGACAACATCATTAACTTGATTTACGGATTATTAGACGCTATTCTTTTTCTCAAGGAAAATAGAATTTTGTTTAGAGATTTAAATCCACACAATGTCATGATTGTAAAATCAAAATTCGAGTACGAAGCATTCTTTAGTTTGGAATACAAAGGACAGGATTCAAATTGTACTCAATCTTTATCATCCAGTATGAAGGTACTTGGTGAAATAATTTTCATGCTCATTTCTAGAAAGAAAAACCCTCCGCTTTCTATCCAACGAGAAGATCTTGTAGAAAGCATTTCAGGTCGCTATAGCGAGAAAATTATTGATTTATCTTTACTTTTAATGTTTTCTGACCTCTCAATCTATGAAATCTTTCAGCTCATTCATGAAATGAGGTCTATGAAATAATAAAACCGTATAACAAGAATCTTGAAATTCTTCTGATGCAATCGAACTCGAGAACGTCCTTTCAATATTTTGCCGACCGCATAAAAGTCATCGAATCGTATTTATGAACATTTGCTGAGAGATAATAATTAACATGTCCAATAATTCCTCTTCATCCGTTAACAAAAGTATTTTTTTCTCCCACAATGGCAATAACTTTGGAAAAGCTCATTACTCGATACTGAAAATTTAAAACCAAAAGTTCAACCAGTGAATGCAACGACATTTTTCAAGTGCGTTGTATTACAATTTTGAGCTAGATTCAATTTCATTGCCAGAGTCTGCTCCGTTTGAACGGATGACAAGAAGCTGGCTGGTTAAAGCATACAATCCTTGCACAGCGATACAACATCCAAGATTTTGACAGGTTCAGTTAGACATTTTTGTATGAACTTGCTGATATTCCACTTAATCACGCAAAGAGGAAATTCCTAATTAACATTTTGTCAGCGTGATTGTTCTGTCTTCAATAGTGTGTTGATCACACCATGCTTTATGCATGGATGTTCAATCGTCGAACCAAAACTAGAGAAATCACCTAACAGTTTTGAAAATCTTTAACAACGACATTCATGGTGTAGCCTTATTTCATTGACCCCGCCCCAAAAAACCGTTTAGATTCATAGATTGTTCCAAAGCAAGAGCAAACGTACGCTCAATTTGATTCAATGAATCAATCGCAGCGCATGATGCAATTCTCACAAAGACTTCTTGTCAGTCGCCAACACGAAGAAGTCTTCAGCAAAAAAAACACTCAAGATCATAACGCATAACGATTGTTGCGTGTGGCTTTTTCTTGCTCTGCCATTGGAGTTGTAGACGAATTGGACTTCCAAATAGGAGTTATTTATATCTGATCCTTTGAATATCAGAAACAGAGTGATTTATCCTTCTGCCAAACAATTTTTTTGTAACCGCTGATTGCATTAGTTGGCCAACTCATCGGAAAGAAGAACAAGTTTGAGCGTGTCATTGGTATGTATAAGCATCAGTGAGGGTTCTATGGTTGATCGTCATGATCACCGTAAAGATATCCACTATTTGAAATTCTATTTATCGTTCGCCACTGATACATTATTCATTCATCACTGAAATTCATCAACTGTACTTGTTTTGGGTTTTAAATTCATCATCGTCAGCAAAACCTAAAAGCAGCCAGCCATTCAACATTTGTTCCAAAAATCAATTCATCATACCGGTCTATCCCAAATAACGAAACGTTCATCACCTGTTGCATTCCAGCTAGTTCTTCTTTCATTGTATACAACCTTTCATCAATTCTCCTTACATTATATTTATACACTCCGACCTCTGTCACTAATTGAAAATCCGACCAACTTAATAATAACACCAGCATTTGAAATGGCTCCACCAAAACAAAAGGCTTCCTTACCAATGCCCCAATGCAATCAAAACCATACTCTTGATCAAAATTGTACGTCGTTCACTTCCAACTCACTGTTGTGGCTCTCTCCGAATGTTACAGAAACAAACACTAGTAATATCGCAAGAAGAAATAGCACTGGTGGGTCAGCATCACACTCCATGAATACGGGCACATCGTTCGTTGGAGGAAAACCAATGAACAGCATGTCCTTTGGACTCACGCAAACAAGCTCAAAACTGTCAAACAATCAAAATATTGGTGCTCACTTGATGAACGATCAATCCTTTTGCTCATTGTTATGTGAAACATTCCCTCACTTGATAAGCCCTGAAATGGTCTTATCACCTCCTTGCACAAGCTGTGACCACACACACCACCATGCAAACAATTCTTCATGTCTCTTAAAGTTAGATGTTGAGAGCCTTGCCAGAGAGTTGAGAGCAATGAATTTCATGGAAGACGAACAAAATAACGAGTATGACCAAGCCGTAGATCAAGCACATACTGTTTCGAGCTTCTCTTCTCCAAACGTCCATGGACAACAATTAGCCTCTAACTCGACATCCACATGTGGTTGGTCACAACCAAATCAGTCGTCGTCTTCTTCTTCTCTTGCAATACCCTCTGTAACAGTAACTCCACAATCCTCACCCGAACCAGCTGGTTGCTCCGCGTTCAGCTTGAACGACCTAGATGCCAGTGTATTATCTGAATTATCTGGAATATTGAGTTCCAAACACGGTAGTCCAAGAAGAAGATCCAAATCAGATACAGGAAGAGCTCCACAAACATTTAGCCCAGATAAAAAGAAACAAAGTCGAAGATCAAACAGTGAAGATGATCATCAAGGATTACTGGTCTCTTCTTCTTTCATACAGAAAGAGAAAAAGATGGTGCAAATGAGAGGTGACAAATGGTTAATCCATGTCGAGGACGGAAAGAAGAAGGACAAGAAGCATAGCAGCACTAGCAGCGAGCTTGTTTTTCACACCGTCCATTTTGTTGATAGCCACAGAAAGGGTGCTCAGACTCCTGAAAAGCATTGATTTTTGTTGGCTTTATGGCACAGCTGTCCAGGATTGATCACATCAGCTGATATTTTGCACGCAATGCGTCACCACTGCGTTCATCACTCCTATGTGTATTTTTTTGTAAATTGTAATATTAACATCGGTAATGGACCTACATAAACGTCCTGAATACATTTCCATACACTTATCCATCTCTCAACCCTCTTTTGAAACACTATTTCCAACTTGTAGGCTTTATATTATTGGAGAGGCAGACCGAACGCACAATAATGATCATCACCATAAAAAAATGTCGGTTAAAAGAATTAAGGGTCCCTCACTCTTTTTAAAAATGTCTCTCTCCGTTCTTGTTCTTGTGATTACCTTTGTTCTTGTCGTTTGTAATTGTTGCCTTTCCGAGCAGGCAAAAACGCCCGACAATCAAACGAAATATTTTGTGGACCTTGAACATTATGGAAAGGATTTAAGAAATTACACGAACTTAGCAAATATCTTGAATACCCTTCCTTATGAAAAGGAGGCCAGATCATTAATCCGACAAGTCTTAAAGAAAGAGGACAAATTGTGGAATGAGTTCTCGAAAGCAAGATTACGTTTAATGATATGCAGAAAGACGATAGATGATCTAAGATCTGAATTACCTCGTGTGGATGATGAACATAAGTTGATCAAACATTTAGATTATATTGTACAGGAGGAGATTAAGGCGGATGATGATGATCTTACTGAGATGTTAACGTCTGCAGAAGATTCGACTAGAACTTCGCAGGATGATATTAAAGAATTTCTTCAAGAACTGAATCATGACCTCGAGCAGTACAACGATCAATATTTGAAGAAAGTAGTCATGTACGAATTCGGTTTGCAGACAAGAAACAGAACAATTACAGCAGTAGCATCCATTCTTAGAGGAAGATCATTCCCCACTGCCTTAGACATGTGTAAAGCTCTATCCAAGGAGCTTACAACCGATACACACATCAGTTGCAGAAAAATTAAAAAACATGGTCCCTCCCCTTAAAATATAAATCGTTGAGTTCAACTTCATTTCATTTCACGCATTTGTCTTAATCTCTCTCGATACGAGCATAGACAACATTCAGCTCGGCATAAAAAAGTGAAAGAATCAACAGTAATGGGATTAATTTGAGTATCCACACCTTGATGAATAATGTCTCGCAACAAACGACAGTCTTCATATAATTTCTGCCAACCGTTTTTCAGGTCCATATTTTCTTCTACTTGCTTCAACTTTAGAGAGGCGTTTTGTGTGGATTGTAAAATGGCAAGCATGGATTCGTTAAGAGCCTCAATACTTTTCTCGCAGTCATGCAACAAATCCACCAATAAAGGCATATGATGGATCTTAATGAGCTCCACTTTCTTCCAGTATTCTTCTTCTATTTTGTTTTGAGGCCAATGACGAATAGATTCCAGCTCTACAAGAAAAGTGTTAGTACTGTTATCATCTTGTTTTCCAAATGAATCATGTGAATCACCTTCATCTACTTCAAGTTCAATGGAGTCATCACTTTCCATTCTTGGACTAGCACTTGAAGACTCTATTTGTTGATATTTGGTCTTTTTACTGGATGAGGATGGAGAGTTTGATTTTCTCTTCGCTTTTGAGGCGTCAATACTTGGCGAAGCGGAAGGTTCTGCGCTGTCTTCAATAACTTTAACTAAATTTCTGGTATCTAAACTCTTAGTTCTAGCTTGCTTATTCCTTTCAATTAAATCTTCAATTTCTTTTTCAGTCATTGAGGCCAATCTTTCTTTTAGTTCATTTCGTTTACACACATTCTTGTATCGATTTGAAAGTTGAATATCAGGGAAAAACCCTTCATATTCTTTTTGTGCAATGAGTGACCACTTTTTATCATGCTTGATACAATAATGAAGCAGTTCCAAGTCTTCTTCATCACTCCATCTATGTTTTTTAGCATTAAGGGTTCTATGATATCGTTGATATAAAAAGTTAGAGGTATATTGATTGTTGAATAATTTACGATTGATTTCTTTCCATTGAATGGGATTATTACTCTCTGTGTATTGACGTACGGCTTCAATGAGCATCATATCTTGTTCTTTGGAGAGAGTCATCTTCTTCTTTTTTTTCTTATCATCGTTTTCGTCTTGAGGAGAAGAAGAAGACTTTTTCGATCGTTTTTGCTTGTTGTTGTTGTTACGTAGTGGAGTGGAGGAAGAGGATGATTTTTTGTCCATTGTTGTTGATGTTGGATCGGTAGTAGTAGCAGTAGTAGTAGTACTAGTGGTGGAGTGGAGAAGCAGAGAATGTTGATGATGATGATCATCGGAAGGAGATGAAGTGGTGGTGCTACTACTCATTGGTAGAGTAAATGAAGATCCAGCACCGGAGGAAGATAAGCGATCGAGTGAAGAGCTATTACTATGACTCATTTAGTTGTGGGTAATGATGATGATGATTCTAGTAATATTTCATTCGTCGTATTATTTACAAAATTATTACAAAAACAGAGAAACTAGAGCTGATGAAATCACAAATGATACAATCGTAGAATGATGATCCGTAATGTTAGATGAGCCTGATCAAAGAGATTTCTATTTACAATAAATGTTAATATTCTCACTTTGAAATTTGAAACACAGGCTCAATGCTGTGAGAGAGTCAAATTTTGTTTGTTGTATTAATTGAAATTGTCCAATGATGATGAGATGATGATGATAATACAAATGAAAATTGAATGGCAATCCTTTCACTACCTGTCAAACAATCAGTAGTGATGTCTGTGGTGGCCAATCTTTGAATCAAACACCACTTTCTTTTTTATTCAATCAACAGTTGTTCATGTCCCGCCCAACAAATGTACAGTTATTAGTACATTAAAAAAAATCCATCAAACTCGATTGCCTTGAATATTACTATCCTCATGTTGAGAAAAGGAAGTGCATCATCAGTTGTAAGAGCAAGGGAATGGAATGGTGATATCGCCTCTTCCGAATCGATGAACTCAACGACATCACATAGAAAAACAACGAAAACAACATCCTCAAATGCAAACGCAATTTCAAATTCAAAACAAATTTCATCACCAACACCTAGGAGTGGGAACCAAAAAAAGGTATCTCATCAAACACTTGAAAATTTACTTGACCATTCAAAAACGAATACAGTGTTGTCTCAAGCAAAACTAAAAACTAAGGAGACTACCAACAAGGTGGACAAGCTTGCATTAGAAACTGTAATTTTAGAGGAAGAACTGAACAGATTGAAATCAAATATTATGAAAGAAAAGGAAAATTGGAAGAATGTTCCGTACGTATTGTTACAATTTAGTTGCATCTAACTTTTTTCCAGAAAACAAGGTATTTGGAAAAGTTCCCAAAAAATACGAGACAACATGTCAGGCCATTCTCCATTAATGTCCACAAAATCGAATAGCTCCCAACGAGATAGACGGCCGTCGTCGTCAAGCTCTAGTTATACTGGAGAAGGGAAGGTCATTAAAATAAGGTCATCTGTGACAAACTTTCAGGTCATTGGTGAGCAATCCTGCAACAAAGATGCACCACAACCACTTAAAACAAAGCCCATACCCGGAACAGTTTATGAGGAAATTTGCGAATTGCCAGAAAATGCATCAAGAAATAGTGAAAATCAATTACAAACATACCCAAAACAAACAAAATTGGCTGAAGGTCAATACGATGAAGCCCTGCAACAGAAATTATTTCAAGAAGCTGTCAGATCTTGGCGAGAGGGTTCCCAAACACAAGCTGAGGAGATGCCTAATTCAACGACAGGAGGTGGCCTTCTGAGGCAAGGTGATTACGACGAAGAACTTCAACAAAGATTATTCAGAGATGCCGTTGCGGCTTGGAGAGGAGAATCAAAACCTCAAGTCACAAAACCAGCAACAAGCAATGCAGAGACATCATCTGACCCGTTCGTGGAAAAGAAATCAAGCGGTCTATCAATGTTTCAGACTGAGTTTGTGGAAAACTTATGTAATGCAACAAGATATACCTACTTTGACAAGCATTTTCGAAGTAAATAATGTTGTACTGTACAAAATTTAATTCATTCTCTTTTTTCTAATGTCAGCAATTTTCATCTTCTTTTGGAAGGCAAGTGTGGTTTTGAATCTCTGGTGAATGTCTAACATGACAATAGCAATTTCTGTTTGCAACTTGTCGAAAAGATCATCTGGAAGGTGATCATTTTTACCAGTATTGAAATGATCCAACTTGGTCTTGACCTCTTCACACGAGGTGCGAGTGATGTTGAGAGCCTTTTCACCATGTTCATCAACAAATTCAGTAAATATTTCAAAAGCAACTTCATACTTTCTCTTTTCAACATCTTCAAGCTCTACTTCTAATGCTGTCTTCTTCTTTGGTTGATCTTGCATCTCTTTGTCTCCAGATGAAGACGAGTTGGTTTGATCAAATAGACGTTCTTGAAGATCATAGGATCGATTGCAAAACTCCTTGTACATGGCAACCTTTTCCAAAAAGTCAAAAGACTCGGCAGCTTTTTCTAATTCACAATGTTTTCTGAATAGTTGACGAAGTGAAGGATCTGCCATTGTGTCCAATAACATGATAGCATTGGCCTTCTTGAGTCTCTTTTGTGATGCTCCTTCTCTATTGATTGCAAGAATGAATATTGTCAAAACAATAGGAACAACAAATAACACTGAGGTACCAATCAATCCCAAGTTTACAGAACTCGCAGTCAATAAATAATCATTCTTGTTTCTTGCCAACTCTTTGGCATAGGTAAGCAAATTGCTCACCACACTCTTCCATGCCAATTGTGTCGATGTGAAATTCTTACTTTCCATCAATTTGATAGCATCTTTTTGTTTTCCAGCCAGCAATAAATCAACCACCACTTGTTCATACGGATTCACAGGAATACTGGATGAATTGAAATACGCACTTCCGTTCAATAATTTTAAAAACACGTCTTCGGGTAATGCATCCACGATGGCTGCAATGGCAGATGTTGCTCTTGCTTTTGTGGATTGCCATCTTGGAATGTATGGGTTTGTAATATTACTGTAGACTCCAATTTTGAGAGAACTTGCAGCAACTTCACTGTACAAATTGGCATCTGCTCTCAAAATCAACAATTCAACTTCATTGGAAGTAGAAACTGGAAAGGCCACACTGATCACAACAGCCATAGCAATAAAAGCAGCAATATTCACAAGCATACCAATAATGGACAAGACTCGAATGCAATTCAATTCCACAGTACCACAACAAGTCGAAACCGCAAATCCTTCAGATTTGGATGTCTTGCTTGTTGCTTTACTTTGCAATGAGAGAATGGTTCTAGTTTCCATAATCACACTCTGAGATTCGGCCTTAGTCGTGACATCATTAGCGGAAGTAACCTTCTTAATGGAAACTGATTTTTGGCTCACTCCACCGGCGCTGTTGACTTTTGTGAGCGGTTGAGCGACGCCGGTGGTGGCGTGATCGATCAGACTGGTACCTGAAAACTCCTTCTTCATTTGCTGTATTTGTGGAGATTGACAGATGAATTCAGCCTCTGCACATGTAGAAAGTATATCATCTCCTCCACCAGCACTGCTGTGGCTGCTGATGTTGTCGGTGCTGAGTCGACTTTGAGTTGGTAGAGTTTCCACTTTGTTGTTGGGCTCAACAGTGTTCATTGAAGGATGCACATTCTGGGTAGAACACGTAGAAGCAGTAGTTGTGGTGGTGGTGGTGGTGGTGGTTTTGTTTGGAGGGTTTTGATTCATTGTCGTAGCAGTCTCGTCGGATGATGGCATTGTTGTAGTCGTAGTAGTAGTTGTTGGTTGGTCTGATGATGATGGGTCTTTTTGTTCTTCTGATTCAACGAGAGATGAGTGGAAAGCCTGCTCTTTGATTTCCAAACCCACAGCAGCGTCATCATTGGTGCTCATAGAAGGAATGGTGGTTGTGGACATTGAGTGTCTGTAACGGTTGTAATTGTTTTTATTACTCTTAGTGAGTTGATGATGATAGAATAGTACTATTATGAAAGAGATAACGGTTCTGTAATAGCTGCTGCTGCTTGGTTGGAATCTAGTTGTTGGGGTTTTTTGTTTGTGGAGTTTCTGTGAGTGGTTTGGTGAAATGGATTTTGAAATGAGTGCTCTGCTCTCTTATTGAAAGGACATGCTGACTTCGTTCACAAATTTCGGCAAAACTTGTCTTTTTGCGACGAGAGGCAAATACCGCAAAAAACCAATGCCTGTTTGAATTTTTGCGCTCGTATGACTTTGGGAAGTATCTAACAAATTTCACACTCGCGGAGCAACCCAAAACCTGGCGTTCCCAACTACCACTTCGCTGGTGTAACATTCCTTTATTTGGTTCATTCGGGCTACGTCTCAGTGTTTTTGTTACATTAGCTTTTTGTTGTTCGCCCAGCAAAAGCTGCTTTGTCTTTGTTGAAGGACAAAGGCTTCTGCTGGAGCTATAATGAATAATAAAACGACTTGAGGTATGTTGTTGTGATTAGAAAAATACGGTGTAATTGTGGTCGGAAGAAATAAATAGGTGAACAATTTTAAACGTGTTCCAATTTTTGGACGAACTTTTTTTGTGATGAAAAATGCTTGACATTTTATTGCATGTCTTGAGACGAAGCCACCACCTGGCTCAGCTGGGAATACGAAACGAGGTTTTTTGTTTTCTTTGCAAATACGTAAAAAGGAGGTGACAACAACTGATAATTTCCAACAATCACAGCAATTTGTTTTTGATAAAGCTTGGTGCTGGTTGTTGATGAAAATTGTCCAATTAATTTAAATTTGAATGGATCCGTCTGATTTGGTGCCACAAATATTTTAAATGAGTTAATTGGTTCAGAATGTCGAGATGCATTTTCATTGTTCTCATTGAAATTGCGAACCTCTACGGTTGCATTGCTCAAAGAAATATGATTAGTCTTAATTTCAAATTCTACGGGCTTTTTAAGCAAAAATGCCGCAATATGATTTTGAGCATGAATTAATGAGTCGTGTGTTTGAATAATGGTAAAACTGATGTCGTCGGTTAATGTAAGTCGTTCTGTTAAGTTTGGCAAAACTTCACTTGTTTCAATATGGAAAACAGGAAGTGAAATGTTGTAGTAATTGGAAATGCTTGTCTCCATGAAATCGGTGGCAAATCCGGCCCTATAGTCATGTCTTGACTGATGGTATGATTGACGGATGGAGTTGACACGATGTTGTAAACATCGCAATTGTAAGTCTTTCGCACAAATTAAATCTTGATCTGTAAAACTATAAGAAATGGATGTCACGCTTTCTCTAGCTTGCTTTCTTTCATTATTAAAGTCAACAAATTGTTTTTCAGTCATTCTCATCAAAATTTGTTGGTTAATTTGACTAGGGGCATCACAATATTTCCTCTTTCTATCGTTATTGTATGAAAGATATACACATTCTTTTTTCACTAATTTGATTTTCATGTTTGAGTAACTTCTATGATAGTCCAATACTGTGGTTCTTTTTGAATAATCACGTGACTCTCCGAAAAATCCTTCAAGAGAACGTGTTCCCAATAAAGACAAATCAAAAACTGCATCTTGTGGAATAATTCTGATCAATTTCTGAATTGTTTTGATGTTATGGATAATGATGTTTTTTGTGAGGGTTCCGGATAATGTAAAATTATTATTCTTATTGGAAATAATGACGTCTTGGAAAACGGTATCCCACTCATTCAAATAGTCCAAATTTTCCTTAAGAACTTGCAACACTTCGTGCAAATTGTGTGAAGATGTTCCATCATGATTTTTGTCATCGTAAACATGAAATAAATCATGTATCGCTTTTAAGTACTTATAGAATCCTAAATATCGATAGTTGGTTCTCTCGTTCAATAATCGTAATTTTTCAAGTAACTGTAAATTGCATACATCACGTAATACATCCTCAGATTGATCATCATATTTGATAAACGAGCTCCGTTTAACTATTTTACACCACTCTAAAGGTTGTTGTCTATATATTTCATCGAGTGTGTTCAATTCAAATCGTTGTAAAATAGAACAAGAAATTTTGGTGACAGCTATGTCTTGATTGCTAAAATTTGCCACACACACTTTACCAATGTTAGTATGAAGGGTTTCACTCAACAACGTAACACTTAATTCGTTGTCATTGCTGCTATGATAGAAAGAAATGCCTCCAGAGTTAAAATTCCGTGGTTCTTTTTCTTTCCATTCAAATGAAATTGTGTCTTTGTCATTCACTATGAAGGAAAGTGGTATGTTGGTCGCTTGTGTTCTTTGAATAACAATTTTCATCAAATGGCAACCGTTTCCGTTGTCGTTGGAAGAAATACAAGCAGAGGAATGGCGTGCAATTTGAAGGTTTGGAGCACCTACTTTAGTGGCAACCGGATATAATTTTGGTCTCCCATTAATTGCATTCCTCATGTTTTTGCAATGGTGACTGTAGCAAAAATGATGTAGTTCATTTGGGCTCGATGTGAAATATTTGTAATTAGCAGACCCTGCATCTGACACAGTACAGACGATGTTTCGAGTATATGTGTCACGAAATTCAGAAATCGTGTCTCTAATGGTTTGTTCAGTTTCAGTAGTGCATACTTTGAAGTTTCCAGGAATTCGAACTTCACCGTTAATACTGCAATATAAAGTTTGAACAATTTTTTCAGCTAAAAAACCCTTGGGTGGAAAATTCGGACTCTGAGCTAGTGCAGTACAATCACTAATCTTCAATGGACCTTCATTGGCACCGTATACAAGCCCAAGCTTGGTATTGATTCCTAAATGCGGTGTTACATCTACTGCATCAATTTGAACAAGACCAAAATTTTGATTTTCAATAACCTTCATTTTTTCTACTAGCTTATCAAAGTCATCTTTGTCTAGTTTAGTATTCCCTTCTCCATATGATGCGGTGTGAAAATGATGGTCGAGTGTGGATGAACAAGGTAGGACTAAGTTACATCTTTCAGAAGAGGGTTCAAATTCTTGTCCTCGTTTCAACCCTCTCGCCAATGCTTCATACGCATTGTATCCCATGATAACCAATAAATCTTGAGCAAAACAAAGAACAGATGGGCTCCATCTATGGCCTCTACTGTCTTTGCAAATTAATTGTGAAAAAGCATCACGAAGATATGTGAAAAAGAAAGTTCGAGGTACTAATTTGCGACTACCTAACACCTGAAAAAACAATTTTTTCAATTCTTGAATATCCTCATCAAATATATCACATTCCGAATAATAACTATCATCATCGTTATTTTGTGATTTAAAATCAGCATGGTCTACAAAATTATGAGAGATGGTGTCGGACTTGGTATTTACAATTGATGAGTGTGTTGGAATAAATTTGTTGTTAATTAGTTGTTGCAGCATGTAATACGGTGCTGTTTGTTCTTTTGTTGAATATGACAACGTGATGTAGTCTTCAGCAAAACCATGATCCAGGATTTTATGTAATTCAATAACGCCGACATTTTTTTCTGGTTCGAGTAATTTCATGATGGTTGAACTAGAATAACGTTGTGACGTTGTTGAGGTTTGAGGTGGGTCTTCGCAAGCTGTACTTGTTTTGGAGTGTTTACGTTTTTGACGAATTCGCATCAGCTCGTCATGACACTCTTTCAATTTCAAATAGCCTTGAAAATGTAGTTTGTTGATCCATTCTGATGTTAACTCTTGATTTTGTCTTTGATTTTGAAATTTTGGGTCAGAGTAAATGTTATAGATAGCACTATCCTCGTCCGGGTCAATGCAATCAGTAACATATTGTGCAATCTTTGTTGAATTGTCAACCTGGAATTTGCAACAGTATAGAACAAATGGGACTCGTTTGTTGTGTGTGATGAGGTATGAGAAATATAGTTCGAGATGGCGATGGATGGTATTAAAATCCTTGCGATGAAATCCACATTGATCAATAATATCTTCTATTAAATGTTCGACATTAATATATTGATGGACTGCGAATAGCATTGTTTTGATGGCAACATGATATTCCGGTCTCAACAGACCGACAAAGGCGTTTCGTTCATGTTTTAACATTTTTATTGAAAAAACCTCCAGCAAACACCAGAACAAAACTTCGACAGCCTGCTCGACCTTTTTTAAAATGGTTAGGATTCTAAAAAATAAAGTGCTTTCCAAATGCTATTGTAACACTATTTCTGGGAGTTGGGAACGCCAGCCCAAAACGCCATTGATTTTATTCAATTGGATTTGCGTGGCTTTCAACAACACGAAATGTGATCATGTTGCGAGCATGCATGTCAGTTATTTCTTAAAAGTTGTGAGAATCCTTAGTCAAAACTGGTCAATTCAAATGCGCGTTACGTGATTACAAACCAATTAGATCAACAACACAATATTAAGGAAGGAGTGTGCTAATGATGTTCAAAAGTAAATAAAGAAAAAGCCAACTACAATAAAAACGTAAACAAACACCAATGACAACCCGTGGAAGTAGTTCGAACGACCATCTCTAGAAATAATGTTCAATACAAAAACTGCAAAAAAGATGGCAAATAAATTGAATTGAGGAAATTCCAATGAAAACACCATTTTCTGGTTGCCACCAAAGAAAAAGAAGGATCCTAATACCAATATTGGAATTTGTAGGAGAGAAATTTGAATAGCTGCCACGTTACCAATTTCAAGAGCCAACGTCACATTGTCGTTTAAAGCAAACTGTGTTCGTTAATTGTTCAAGTGAAATGACTCAATAAAGTTGTTGAACTTTTAGCAAAAAACTTACTTGAATAGCGTTCAGAAATTCACCAAGTGAGGGCAAAATTGCAACAAATGTCAATCCAGCAAATTGCGAATTTACGCCAATGCTGTCGAATGCAGGTTCTAGAGACGCGGTCATAACTTCAGCAACAAAGCTATATGCAGCTGTGCAAACGATTAACACAAGTATCGCTATCCAGATAGGCCAAATACCCTCTTCAGTTTCTTGGTGACTATCTCCTTCATTTGATTCTTTTGTTTTAACGGGCACTTCTTCTTCTTCACTGTTATCATCTTTGTGTTTTTCTGTATCATGATTCTTTTCAGATGTACTTGCCTCGTTAGCGGTAGATGGCTCTCCAGAATAGGCTTTCTTTGGGGGTTTTTGCATTAAAAATCTAGTGAAACAAACTTGTTAACACTCAACACCGTTAGATCCAATACTAACCTATGTGTTCTTAGACTGTAGATTAAACCAAAAATGTAAGCAAATGGAAGAATTATGGCTGTAGTAAAGGCTAAAGGTCGCACCTTATTTTGATATAACGGATCATGAATAAAATCTTCTAAAGAAAGGTCGCACCCAACACATCTAATACTATAAGTACTATTCGAGTTGTTAGAAATGGGTGTAAAATTTGATTCTTGAACTATGTTTGGAATTTCAATGAAGGTGTGGAATGAGAGTTGATTTGTTCCCTTCGTTATATCTTCACTGTCAATATGGTATGGAACAATTTCTATATCTCGACCATAAATTGTGTTAATGGATTGTTTTTTTGTTACCTCTGATAGTTTCTTTCCATGCAATGTGTTGACATGTTTCTTGTACTTTTTTCCATAAAGTTTTTTAACCGTTTGTTGAGCTTTCTCAATCCAATTCCAAGCGGAATCGTGAGTCTTCTGATATATGCTGTTCACTGAGTTCATTGTCAAGTCTGGCTCCTCAATGGTACGATTATAGGGGAGACCACTCAAGCATTGCCCACACTTCAATTCCTGAGCACCAAACAGGAGAAAATATACACATGGTAAGAAAGCGCCAACCACAGCAATAAACAGTAAAATAGAGGATACACCTGCTGCATATCTGTTAAAGTATTGTTCTCTGTACCGTATACCTCCAAATATCATGGAGACACCAGGTGTTAACAAAATTGCAGCTAAAATGGCTCCAGTAATGGATTGCATCACCACACCTTTGATTGTTGTTGAGTACTGAAGGAACGGTATGGATAAAACACACTACTTACCTTGTAACTCCTTGTACAAAGCTAAGAAATACAATATCAATTCAATAATTGTACCAAATGTTGCGTTAATCATAGATCCAAATATAAAACTGGTTTGAGCAACAATAGACTCAACACAGTGTCCAATGATTATGGCTAAAGGCATGGCGCTCACAATTGAAAGTACAAATATGACCATGCTGTACTTGGATGTAAGCTCTTCTTCTAATCCATAATGTAGCCCTAATGTGACAGGTATTGTCACTAACAAATTAAGAAGAGGAACATTGATAGAGAAAAGTTTCCATTTGAAAGTTGAAAACGACAAGGGTGATGTCATCCTTATGGAAGAGTCGTCTTGTGAAGAGTCATCACTCTCCATAGTTGATTCACCATTGATGGAGTTGTCAATCTTCTCAAGTTGAGCTACGTTTCCATGTCTAAATCTCAGAAAGAACATGTGTTTGTTGATATCGAAAATTAGTTTTGAAATAGGTGCAGCAACTACAGAAAACCAAAATAATACTGCAATAGATCCTTGGATGAATGTAAGAGGAAGCCCGAACAGAATAAACCAAATGACATGAACTGCTTTTGCAGATTTTGGCTCAACTCTCGCATGATTACTGGTGCTATCAATGAGCAAACTGCTCTCTTCTGTTGTTTTTTCTTTTGAAATGTCGGGAAAAACTAATTTCTTCTTAAAAGGGTTTAACACAAAGAAAGAAAGTCGAAATAATGCCTTTCCATGATCTACTCCAAAAATTGAAATCCAACTCAAAACCGAGAAAATGTTGAACAACACAAATAATACAAATCCAACAGTGATAATATAAACAAATCTAGAAATGAAAAGGATGATCGACTTGAATTGTTCATAAAGTTTTTTAAGTGCCATTTTAGTTCTGTATGCAAATTTTCGCTTATCAGATTCACTAATCTCAGTATCATCATCAACTGAGCTTGCTTGCGCAATTTCTATCTCATCTTCATCGGTTCCAATGAATGCACCTCGCTCATGATCGTAAAATGGAAAATTGTGGTGTGACTCTTCTCGTCCAAAATCAAATACAGACTTCATTCTTCGAATTGAATTTCTGTTGGAGTGACAATACGTCAATAATATTTCCAGATTGACACACATACCTTCTTTTCATTTCCATGGTCTTGTGCTTTTTTGATGAATTATTAGGAGTAGTCAATATCTCACCATAAAAAGAAGAGGAGGGCCGCATGGGTTTTCGTGTAAAATTGGATCTTGTGACAGAACGAGGAATGGGTGAGCTGTTTTCTTGAGAGGATGATTTGGGCACAAATGTTTTTGAACTTTTCAATTTGGCAGCGCGCTTTGGGGAAGGAGTGGCATCAGTATTTTCTTCATCTAAATCCATCAAGCCTACGGATGTAGTTCGGATGGTTATGGTTGATGATGCACGTGCGTCATTCACTTCTTCTGATTCATCCTCTTCTACGTCGGAGCCTTCCTCTTCGTCTTCAAAATATTTCGTACGAAGAGAATTGTTGGCCATTAAATTCTTCGGTGGAGTCCTGGGAATGAAGGATGAAAGTCCTTCTTTTGAATGAATCAAGATTGGTTGTGTACCTTCTCTCTGAATTCGTGAGGTATCTTCTGTTGTAATAATTTCATTGTCTCGGAATGTAATACGTGCATTCTTTTTCTTCTTTGATGGCTGTTCTGATGACAGTGATGGGTCTTGGCTCATGGGATTATTTTGGCTGCTCATATCTTGGGTACACAAATACACCGCACCTCAACCTCTCATCAAGCAGCTTTTGATGTCTTTTTTCAAAAACAACCAAGCACTGAACAAGCCTTGTTACGACAAGCTCCTGGCACATTAGACTAAAAAAGGGTCTGTGGAATTGTTTTGGGAGTTCTTTTATTTTGGCCTTATTAATATTCGCTGCTCTTTTTTCAATTCTTATTCATTGCTGCTGCTGACAACCAAAGGTTCTTGTAACCAATCTCTTATTCCTCATTGTGAGGGACACGCTTCACTCGAACCCCTCTGCCACGAGTGCTTGAGCCACTACCTCTTTCTGAATGGTGGAGATGATGATGATGAGTGGTGTGATGAGAAGTGTATGAACCACTCTCTCCCAAAGCAATACTACTTCCTCCTCGTCCTCTTCCTCCTCGACCTCTGGATGAAGTAGGGAAATGAGGTCTTGAAACATGTGGTGGAGGTGAAGGTGCTGATATTGATTGCTGTTGAGAGCTTGTTGTTGTTGTAACAGCACTAGACGATGTTGGAGGTACGGTCTTCTTTCTGCTCTTCTTTTGCATGGTTTCAATGATATTTTCCATTTGTTTCACTTGAGCACTGACAGATTGCAACACTGCCGATGTTTTCTCATTCGTTTTAGCGTTTTCCTTAAATGCATTTTGTGAAGCTGCAGTTTTGCCATGCTTTTGAATCATCTTGGATGAAAAATTAGGATGTTTCAATTCTTGACCAAACTCCCAAATGTTGTAACACATAATTTCAATCGGTACTTGTCCTAAATTCACATCAATGTCCACCAAAATCTTTTTCAAAGGAACAAGTTCAATAGTTCTGTTGTAAGGAGTCCATGAAGAAGATGATATCGTGCCAACCTTACTTTCTGGTTGTTCCAAACTTGTCGCTTCTTTCAAGTGATCTTCATCGAGATCGACAGATGTAATTGGAGTTGTTGATGATGACCAAGTAATGATTAATTTTTCAATAAAGGATCCTCCTAGATGGCCATCTTCTTCAGCAGTTTCAGATGCAATACTCAACACTTTACGAGGTACCATACTTTCAATTTCTCGCTCTTCAAGATTTATGGTTGTAGGTGTTGGCGAAAAGTGTTTCATGGCATTGACTTGCAACTCCAATCCATACTTTGGAACGTAGATTGTGAAACTTCTTTTACCTAATGAAAGAACCACAGCTTCCACTCTTTCAACTGAAGCTGAGAGAATTGGTAAAAGGTAATAGGCCAGATATTGCTTTTCACACTCATCCTGCAATAATCTTGCTCTGTAGGCTTGGTCATTCAAATGTTCAGCAATGGATGAGATTTCATGAGCAGAAAGAGAAGCATCTCTATTTGCCAAAATTTCTTCTTTGGATGTTCCAAGCTCTTTTAGTCTATTTTCTTTGATCATTTGAAGAAGACATCTGTGAACAATCAAGTCAGCATAACGACGAATGGGACTAGTGAAGTGAGTGTAAAATTCTTTGCAAAGTGCAAAATGCCAAGTATTGTCAAATTTCTTCTTTGGAATTAATCTCTTTGAAAAGTCTGAATGAGAGAGATCTTGTTCTTCCTCATCACTTGACTTGCTCTTCTTACAATCTCCAACAGTAGCGTATTGAGCTAATTGCATTTCTCTAAGCAACATGTGTTGAATTGTGTGCATGAGAGTCTCATGTTGTTTAGTATTCTCAATGAGTAAATTAATCACATATTGAATGGTCACTGGTTTTTCATTTGCTTCTAAACCTTTTGTACGTTGTCTGATGCACTTCTCAAGCATGTCAAGAACAAACGCTTTTTCATTTTCGGCTTCACCATCAATTCCTTGCTTGGCCACATTCTCAATTTTCCATTTGCAAATACGATCTGCAAGCAAAGCAACAGTGACAGCCCATTTGTCAATTTTTGGAGAAGAGTGAACTCTCAAAAGAGTAGCATCTCCAAAGTGTTCATATAATGCAGTGGCAGCTAGCTCATTGGCAACTAACATCATTTCTTCGATAAGAATGTGAGATTCATTGTGCTCATCACACAATACTTTAAGAGGAAATCCCTTGCCGTTCATATCACATTCAAAATGCAATTGCTCGTTCTTGAGAAAGACACTACCTTTTTCAGCTCTCTGTTGTCTTAATTTTTGGCTTAACTCGTTGAATATTTGAATATCTTCGTAAATTTCATCCAGTGTAAATGAGCCATAGGTAGGTGGAACTTCATCAGCTTCAAGGCCAAACTTGATTTTTGGATCTGATTGCACAAATCCGTTGAACTTATTCTTATTGTAATGAAGAATCATCTTTTGAGCTCTGTTGTAATCAAGTCGACAGCAAGAATTCATCATACATCTATTAAATTTGATCGTTTCCTTATCAATTGTACATGTCTCTCTATCCATGATAAACTCAACAGCAATAGCAAATCGATTCACACCTCCATGCAACGAACACAAGTTTTGAGATAAAGATGGGTCAAGCATGTGTTCAACACTATTGATCATGTAAACACTGGTACCACGTTTTCTGGCTTCCTTATCGATGGGAGAGTTCAAAGGAACAAATTGAGAAACATCAGCAATAGCTACTGTGACTAAAAACTTTTGAACATTCTCATAGGGTTTTCTGTTCAAATCAGTGATTTTTGAAACGTTTTGTTCGTAAATTGGTTCAATTGCAATAGCATCATCTAAATCTTTAGAATGTGTTGGATCAATTGTGAAAATACGTCTTGATTGTCTCCAGTCTTGTACTTGAATTAAATTGTCAGACGAAGCTCCTCTGTCAAAGTTGATGTCACTGATGGTATCTCCAATGTTGGAAATTGAATTATTACTAAAATCTTGTCTATTTTTGAGAGTTTGTGAGTTTTCCTCAAGCGCAGACTGTGAGACTAAACTTCCTGCAACAGAATCAGCCATCTTGACAGATTGAGATAAAATAGCGCTTGAACCTGTAGAAACAATCTCTTTTTCAGCCTCTCTATCTACTTTTCGTTCTGAATAAATATTATCGAACATAATTGGGCAATATTGAAGAAGTAGAGCACGTTTTAAGCTCCATAAATCTTTTTTGAATCCTAAACATCCAATGAGGGATCCCTTTGGATAGTTAGAGGCCTTATCCCAAGGTTTCATTTCTACAACAAATAATCCTTCCTCAATGACATGAGATTTAGCGTTAAACTTCTTTTCGAACTCTTCAAATTTAACCATTAACTTTGGATAGGATTTTTCGAGAGGAATTAGCCATCTGTAACCTCTAATTTCATCTTGGGCCATTAATGTACATGGGAAAATTGTGGGAGATTTCTTTTTCAAGACAGCAACTACAACACCAGTGAATATCACATTTTCTTCGGCTACTTCCACAGTTGTAGTTGATGAGATTGGTTCTACCTTGTCTTCATTAGTACTGTCTTTGCTTTCTACTGTTTCCATCACGGATCCAGCAACTATCTTTGTCCTTTCAACCTTCACAGCCACAATGTCACCATGCATGGCTCTGTTTCTATTCTTGAGACCATCAATGAAGATGTCTTTCTTGAAAGGTCCTCCTTCTACAGTGACATAGGCTTCTGTCATTCTCTTCTTGTTCACTCTCAATTCACCTTGAAATAGTTCTCCCTTTTGAATCAACTCCACAACTTGCTCAAGTTGCAAATGTTCATCATAACCTTTTCCGAAATCTCTCTTCATTTGATAAATATTGACAGAAGAGATGCCTTCTCTTTCCTCTAAAAGATCGTGAACAGAACCTCCACTGCAAAGGATTTCAAAAGCTCGTCTAAACTCAGACACAATCACAGGTCCCAATTCATTTGAAACTACACTTCCCAAATCACGAATTTCGAATGGATCTTCAATGGATATGATGGTTTGAGAATTGAGTGAAACCTTCTTCTTTGGAATGGGCGATCCATTTCTTAATGACACAGTATGTGTGTCAAAATTAAACTTCTTTGCATAGAATTCAAAGAACATGTACACTAAATGACCCAGTGTGTACTTGGAAACCTTTTCAATGTCAACGGCCTTCCACAATGAAGGGAGCTTTTCTAGATTTTTGAAATATTTAGTGTTGTATGCATTAATCGTTTGAGGTTTGGAAATATCTTCAATGTTGATCTGTTTGGATAGAATGTTCTCATCGTCAACCAATTGTTGAAGAGATGGCAACACTTCAATAGTTTGTAAGAATTGCAAGGCAAGTAATACATAGCTGTATGAGGATAGAGATCCAGCTGGAGGATCATTAATATGACGCCTCTTAGCCCATCTCTTAATAATGTAGATTAACATTTTCACTCGATCAAGCAAGTACATATCAGCATTGACTCCATAATATGTTAACATCTTTGGATCTACCATTAAATATGTGGAAATCATCCTAGTGTTTACAACACCCATATAAGTAGCAACACATAAATCACAATCTAGATTTCTCTTGCTATCATGAATTTTCAAGATTGGAACTCGACTACTTCTCACCACTTCTTGATTTTGAGATTTCAAATGAGGGAAAAGAGTGTTGTCATTCTTACTTTTCCCATCCATTTCTTTTCTAATCATTTCAAGAATTCTTCCTTGAAGTTTGTTATTTTCTTGAATATTTTCAAGTCCTTCAAAAGAAATGCACATGTCAATATCGCTAGCACCTTTCAAGCTCAAATCACTGGCATAAGATCCATATGTATAAATCTTTGGTTCAGAAAGTTCTCCAGCGTTTTGCTTTTGGGAAAAGAGAGTTGAGATGATTTTTGAAACCTCTTCAACAAGCTCTTTCTTTGCAAGTTTTTCCTCATCTGAAGGTTTAAGTTCAGTCTCATATAAATGAACACAATCATTGGTGAGTTGTGTCATGTTGATCAATTCAGCCTCTTCTTTCAATTTTTCTGGTGATTTGAGTAATTCCTTCTCAATACTTTCAATTTCTGCATAAACGTTTTGCTCTTTCTCAAGCTGAGACTGAACTTGTTTTGCCACTTCTTCCATGCGTTCATCACTAGGCTCTACCTCAGATTCTTTCTCAGAAGATGAGACGTAGCCATCATTGGCCTCAGGAACAGCAAGTGTTGATGGGGTGGTTGCTGGAGTTGTGGATGGTGTTTTGAATCCTTTCTTGATTAAAGTTAGAGATGTTTCTCTAAGACAGAGATTTCTGATATCTTCCCAAAGATTTAACCATGTTAAAACTTGTCTAGTATAAAATGAAAATATCTGATGAGACAGTATTGGGTTAGCCATGACGAGAGTGGCACAAAACGCTTGAACTTGCCAGAGTTCAACCAGTTTGGTTCTGTCTGAAAAATTGGCATTCGTTTTAGATGGCTTTGATACTTCATGCGTCATTAAAAAGGTCACAAACTCTGGATCGGTGTGATGTAAGGACTGTACCACTTGATGCATGATTTTCAAAAATAATTCCATTTTTCGAATGGTAAGATATTGAGTGAAATGCGTCAAAACAGAACGATACACAGCGAAAATCTCCTTCTTCTCATTAACCCTCCTACCTTTCAACGAGAGAGATGAAACTTGAAGAAGACAGGAAACCACGCTGTTTGGAATCTTTTCAGTATTATCTTTGAGGAAATTAAGCAACGAGGTAATGATGGTTACAGGAATGGTTCGCGCTGGCAGTGGCACCACTTGTGTCAAACCCACATTTTTCTTTGTATTGTACAGTGAAGCATGCAACAAATGAACTGCATCAGAAAAAAGTTTGAGCTTGTTGGATTCTTCTTCAGATTCAATCAATTTCAAAAATGCATCGACTTTTGCAATTAATTGCCTTCTCTTTTGGTCAATTTCTTGCAGCTCCTCAACACTTAGATTTTCTTCAGGGATTTGCTCTTCAAGAGTTTCTTTTGGTTGTTCTGGCTCCTCTATTTCAGGTTCTTGTTGTGCTTTAGATGACCTAATTGATTCAGCAAGTTTACCAATCTTGTCAGACATGTTGTCAAGCGCTTGTTGAATTGCAAGACGTTGTTTCATGCATTCGTTATCCATATTCTCAATGTTTTTCAATTCATGCGACAACTGATCAATCTGGCTTGGTGCTTCTTCATGAAAGAGTTTTGTAAGAGTTTGAAACTGAGAGGTAACATTCAGCAATTGAATGTTGGTAAATTCATTAGCTTTTCTCCAGACATTTCTAATTTCATACTCAATCAAATCGAATAGAGTTGCTTCCAAAGTTGGAAGTAACAATACTGGTTGATCTTTCACACGCACAATGTGGTGCTTGTCTAACAAAAAACTAGGAATGTAATCTTCCACATGATCTGCATTGTGGATATCTTCCAACAATTGATCAATGGCCATTATTACTTGGACCAGTCTAGGATCATCCGATTTTAAATAACTTGCAATATTATTCATATTTTGTGCGCTCAACTTTTCCATCAAGCTTGGATTCAATTCGGAAATGATCGTTGGTTGAATGATACCATTCCAAATTGTTTTTGTAATACCTTTCACATCAATACTACAACTCAATCCATATACCTTCTCCAAATTTTCTCGGAGTTTACGAACGTACATGGGAATGTAACTTTCTTCTGTGGAGGCTCCAGGACTAGCTGTAGGAGAATTTGAAGAATCACCAGTAGGAGTGATCGTCGATGATGATGTAGCTACTATGGTCATCTCTTCAGTAGTTTCTTCTGATAATTGCGAAGTTGTTGATTGTGTCTTGACAAATTTCACTGCAGCTTGCTTTCTGGATGGTGGTGGCTTATGATGCACTTTTACCAATGTTTGACCATTGCCTCCTTTCGAAGCATTGCTTTTTTCATTCTTGGAATTACTAGAAGCATCGACGCTACCCTTCGATGATGATCGGCGGTGTTGTTGTTGTTTCGGAGCCGATGGTTTCTTATGCCTGGCTCCACCGGGTTGATTGGTATGGGCAGCTTCATAAAATTGATTGGAAGTACCTCCAACGATCGTGTCATCTTGTTGATGGATGTTGCTCGTAGCGCCACTTGGTGGTGGTGATGATTCAGGAGGAAATGACATGATGTTTCAATCCTAGAGAGATTAATCTTAATTTTTTTCAATAAATAATACAATAAAAGGATGTTTGCGCACTTCACTTGGTTGAAGACTTCCCAACGCCAATTTGGAAATTGAGATTCAAGCCATGGGTTGTGCACAAGATTGAAGAGGTAAAGGGTGGGCGAAAATATATTTTACACAATGCCAACCTGTCAAGACATAATGGTTGAATCTTATATTTGAGTTATCCAAGTACTCTGTGGCATTGTACAAATACTTGACTTGTTTTCCAAGTAAACTTGTTCAGCTTCTCGAAAATGTTCAACAAATCCTCGTAGTAATTTCTCAGAAGTTACTTCTTTGTAACAATCGTTGCTAATGTGACATTGATTGGGTTTTCCAGTTACTGTCAAAATTTTGGAAATTTCCACCCCTTCTCCAAACAAGTCGAATGTGGGCTTTCGTTTCCCAATGGTTGCAGCCACAATGTCACTGGAGGAGTGAATGCCAACCTTTAATGCAATTTCTTCAATTTCAAAATCATTGTCATCTTGATGCTGTGCATGTTCATTTAGTTGAGAAGCATAGAGCCTCACAAATCGTATCATTTCAATGGCAGCCTTAATTAACTTTTCTGCATGTCCTGGTTCACTTTTATCAATTCCTGTTGCCATCATATAACCGTCTCCAACAACTTTCATTTGTTCTATTCCTAATTTGGAACTAATTTGTTCAAATTTTGAGAAAATCTCATTCAAAGACCGAACCACAGTTCTCGAGGACCTGCATTAGCATGACCATAGTATGTCTTTTTCATGGCCTAAATTTAACACTTACCTAGCTTTTACCAAGTCTGATATGCCTAACAACTCACAATACAGAATTGAGCATTTGGGTATTGTGTCAACCACTCGCTCTTCTAACTCTAATCTTTCAGCAATGCTTTTTGGATACATTTTACAAGCAATCCTCACTGCAGATTCTTCTGCTGTCGCTAGTGTTCGGTAATCTCTTAAATAAGCAACAAAACTAGATTTACCATGAGGTTCCAATACTTCAGCAACACGAATTTCAAGAGGAATTACTTTTCCTGTTTTTGTTTGGCCTTTTACCCTAGTTACTCTATCTAACACGCGTTTCTCTCGCGTATGTCTATATTTTTCAAGATAACTGTCATGCCTTGCTCTATCCTTGGCGTTGCATATCATTTTCACATTTCTTCCCAGTACTTGATACGATTTGTATCCAAATGTGGAGCATGCTGCATTATTAAATGTTTGAATAATGCCATGATCAGTTATAGAAATGATTGGAATAATCATTAGATCAGTAATGACTTGAGCACAGCGAGAGATGGTCTGCGCTTTCGAATCCTTTACAATGATTGGATGCTTTTTCATGTAAGCTGCAAAATGAATTTCCTCGCATTTCACTACAGGAACAATTCGGGTGGTGAGAACGAAGAACTTGTTTCTTAGTGAAGATTTTCCTCGTAGTGTTCGAGATTTCATCAATGCGTTCTTTCTTTCCAATTGCTTTTCTAAAGGTAAATTGTTATAATAATTGAGGTCTGTTGATGCTGTTGAGGGAGAAGATGAGCCTTGTTGTGAGCTATGATGATTGGAAGTTTCTTCCTCCGTTGAATTGAAAAACTCATGAATCGCTTGATGAATTTCACTCACCGAATTTTGCAAAAAGAACTCGTGTAAATTTTCTCCCAGTGCACTAAAACTATATACTCCAAACGTTTTTTCTGCTTCATGATTCAAGTATTCAACAGTACCATTCTTGTCAAACACCATGATTGGAAAACCACAAGCTAAAAATTGAGATACCAAACAGTTGACTTTAGCCAATTCGCTATTATGTGTTATTTTGACTTCGGTTTCCATTTCATGCAGACTAACCTTATCTGTGTCTGTGGTCATAACGCTTGTCGAATCGTCAATATCATGCAGAGCGTTTTGAGAGTAGTTTGTTAGCAATCTCTTACTGATTGCTCTTCGTGCTGGTGATACCTGCGAAATAACAGGCATACTTTGATTCAAATGTGAGGACTTGAGTTGATTGGTTTTCTCTACAGATTTTCCAACAATACTGTTTTCACGATGGAGCACCCCTTTTCGTGTTCCTGCATTTGATACTTTAACCATTGGTTGTTGTTGTTGCTCACTCGTAGATTCCATGGATTTTAAGGCGTGCATGGAACTATTTTCTCTTCGTAGAAGACCAGGTTTTCTTGCAAGACCCATCGAAGAATTCACTCTCAATAATGATCCTCTGTCTGAATTGGTAGAGTCTTCCTCCGATTGATGAGATGTATTTGAAACTCCTGATTTGTTGTTGTTATTAGATCCAATCATGACACTATTCTCTCTTCGCAACATGGGTCTTGCATTCATCATGCTTGAATTTTCTCTTTTGAGCTTGGGAGGAGCAGCAAGGAGAGAACCATTTGTTGATGGTGCTGTTGTTGTTGTTGAAGATGATAACGACGACAAGTAGTTCGTTTCCTTTGCAGCTGTTGATGTCTTGTTAGAGAGACAAGACCAATCGACTCCAGCCAAAATATTCCTAGAACTTGTTGTATTCAGACTTGCTCGAGTGGCGAGATCTGTCCCTTTTTCAGTTAAAAACTTTTTGTAGGCAATAGCATCTTCATCATTGTCTTTCATGTAGGTTGGAAGGGATGAATTGTTGTTATCACTGATGAGGGATGATTGAGGGGTTCGGTTTGAAAAATTGGATGTTGATGGTTGTGGACGGAAATTGGCTAGTAAATTTCTCGTACTAGAGGTGTTGTTGCTTACAGTGATGTTATTGTACTTCTTTTGAAGGAACTCCCTCAATGCTTGATCATCATCTTCGTCGTCACTATAAAGTGCATGAGCCATTGGTATTGTGTTGCAATGATGAGAAGATTACTTTGAATGCCAGCAAATAATTTTGGTGTTTGAGGTTTTGAAAGGTCTGTTTGTTGAATGAGTGGAGATGGTTGAAAGCTCTGCTGTTCTGTAGAGTTGTTTTTTTGACACGTGGAGATGTTTTTTACATACTGAATTCTTTGGACTCAGGGTCAAACCGTGTCGTTTTACTACGAGAGATACCTATGTATGTAATACGCTTTAAGGAAAGTGTTAATGGCATGTGACAGAGCGAGCTCTTCTAAATATGAAATCAACCAATCTCTCAACGTGTTGTCAATTGGTCATTGTCAAGTGATCTGTGGTCGCTTAACAGATCACAATCATTTCAAATTTTCATAATTGGTGATGAAGTAGTGTTGAAATATCACATGTATGATATGGCCAGTCATGGATCGATTTAATTTCTTGGTGTTGGTGGAGAGCCCAGATCATCATCGTCATCCCCTTCGATAATAGAGACATCATCAATAGATTCGTTGAGATCCAAGTTGAACTTGGTTTCCTTTTTCTTTCTTGGTTCATCTCCTCCAGTTGGTTCCTTCCTGAATGAACTACTAAGAATGGTTTTGTAAGGCTCTTCTCCAGTACTCTTCTTTCGTCGAATCTTCTTAAGGTTTCGATTAACCAACAGTCGAGTAAGTTTTTCACTTAATCTCTTTTGTTGAATAATTGTTTGAGGATCTTGGTCGTCTGGATCGCCAAGAAGTTGACCACTTCTCAGTTCGCTCAACAAGTTGATCAACTCATCAATTTTGAATCGTTCTTGTTGAAGTCTTTCCATATCGTCATCGACGTCATCTGTTTGCTGAGCTATTTTGCCTTTGCTCATGGTATCTGAGTGATGTCCAAGCATGTTTGTACTATTGTCCTCATTATTATCATCACCATGATTCGTATGACTTTTCTTAAACTCCTCGATAGCTTTAGCAGCTGCTTCTGCAGCCTCCTTTTTCATATTATTTTCTTTTACGCTAAAGTAAGCATCCTCCATGATGAGAATGAAAATGTTGATAACACTGTAAGTAAAGAGGCAAACAAAGGTAATTAGATAAAGTCTAGAAAAGTAGGCAATAACAATATTTTGTCCGTAGAGGGATGAAAACACGTCAATGAGGGAGTCTCCATTGGCTGCTGAGAAGAGAGTGACAATAGAATTCTGGAATCCTTGAAAATTGGAAGTGTAAGAGCCAAATAACACCATACCACAAAGAGCGTAGCCAATTAATAATGGAGCAGCACCAATAATGAATCGTCCAATATTTGGTAAACCTTTTCTTAAGGCCTTGATGAGAACGTAAAATTTAGGGCTGTGTGAAAGGTATTGAACAATATTTGCCCATACAAATATTGAGCTCAAACCAAGTAGGATATTTGTTGCATCCAACGAGAAGTATTGGTAAGCAACATTGGCAAATACCATGGCACTTGAAACAAGGCATAATACGTTGGAAATAATTCCCAGAATATGCCACGGGTTAAAGAACTTGAGCTTGTGTTTAAGGTCAGGCTTGAAATTCATTCCCATTTTTTGGGATGCCGCAGCAATTTGGTCTGCGCTTGGATTACCAATCTCTCCTGTAACAATTCTACTTGGAATTCCAGGACTATGAGCTTTTCTTGTGTTTGCAGTTTTTAACAAGGAATCTTGAACATCCTTGTCGTCATCCTCTTGCAACTCATGTAATTCTGATTTGTGTTGTTCCAACATTTGCTGATAATATTGACTTGTAAAAGTCATACCGCTTACAGCGCTTCCTGTGAAACTATCATTAAAAATATCATTGTCATATCGCTTCAATAAAGAAGATTTGACGGCAACAGGCTTTGTTGGTGGTGTTGAATTAATACTAACAAGAGGAGTAGATTCGTTGACTGCTGGCTCGCTCTGTGGTTCATCCAAGTTGTCATTACTTTCTTGATAAACTAATTGGAAAATACTTCTATCCTTTTTCATGGCTTTTCTAATAAATTTGAATGACCTGTAAAAAGCACGTGCAATTAAGAACAATGAAAATAAGGACAACATTATTATAAGTAAAGAAATCCAAGTCAATGGGGATGATAGAACAGAAACTGAAATATCTTTTGTAGTTTCTGCGCCCAGGCCAACATCATAGCTTAGAGTGACAGGCACTATTCCTGCTCCTGTTGCAAAATCGTATCTCAATGTAATATCCCAAATCAGTAATTCGGGGAAAATACCCTTCGTGTAAATATTCTTGTAAGTAAATTTCAAAGTCATTTCTGTAAAACTGAACATGTACTTTTGCAATCCCTCTCTGTCAATAATCACCACTTGGTCGGTAGCAGCTGTTTTTTGAGCAGTTCTCTCACTTGCTTGAACGTATTGCTTAAAGGGTCCATATGTATCGTTTTTAGAGAGGAAAAATGTTGCACTTGTTATATCCTTGTTCAACCTCTTCACATAATCGTCAATAGGATAAGTAATGTTTTGATATCTTGTGATTATCATTTCAATGGGAGAAGAATAATTTAGTTTAGTATCCATTAATGCTGTTGGTGCATGATTTCTAGACTCAAACAATTGCTGGAGAGCTAATTGTCTTTTGGTTTCCTCGTTACTTTTCGCCTTGCTGTTGTCTGTGGACAGTTTCTCCACGTTGAATTTGGAATTCGAGCTAGCAACGGATTTTGAATTGCCTAAAACAAATGAACCGCTACCATCTCTGGCTGCAAACTCTAAATACGTCGGAGCTCTTTCTTTCAAATCATAATATTGATTCACAGTCCATCCAATATGGTTCACAATGTCCTCACAATCATCGAAATAAAAAGTATTAAATCCTGTTTTGGCATCCTTCAAAGAAAGATATCCTTGAGGAAGAAAATTATTAGCAATGATTTTTCCTGCATTCGAAAGGTAGTCCTCTCTATTGCCTGCAAATAAAAAGAGTTGAGTTGTTACTAGTATGAGTAGAAGCATGTGGGTGCAGAATTTAAACGGAAAACGTCGATACTGTATTCACAATGAATAATAACATTTGTTTTGGGGTGAACAGCGATCATCGAATGGTCATTGTACAAGATAGTATTATTATGATTTCCAATAACATTCTCACCATACCTTTATGAATTTCTGCCAAGCACTCAATCGGAGCTCTTCTCTTATCGGAATCTTGGGCACCAACTTTCGGTAGAGACTACTCTTTTTAATCTTCTTTGTGAGTTGCATCATGATGTTTCCTAAAAGTTAATTTTCGAAATACTGCATGTGGACCAATTAAAGTAAACAACAAAATTCAATTTAATATCTCGGTTCCGAGCGAGAAGGTGCAATGGGTGTTGAGTGATTTTTTAGACTCAACCTTCGGATTTCTTTGGACCAAGTCTTGCCTCAACCTCCAATTCATGTGATAGGGACCTCTATAATTCTCAATCAATAACCTGTAGGCTTTGAAAATTCAACTTGTTCACAATCTGAAAAATCGAATATCAACGACTTGTCGATGAGTACATGTTTGGAATCAAATAAAACACCTTCCTCCTTGAGCAGTGATAACTTTCTTTCAATTTCTTCTCCCACAGTCTCTCCCATAAAACCACCAACTTTATAATCAGATTTGATGACACGGTGACAAGGAACTGCAGGAGCATAAGGATTTCGTTTTAATGCTTGTCCAATGGCCTGACTTGAATTGCAATCAATATATTGTGCAAGGAGAGCATATGTTGTGACTTTTCCTTTAGGAATTTGCATCAACGCTGCATAAACTTTTTGTTGGAACGATGTGGGTGATGTTGCTGGTGACATTTTTTTGTGGAAATTGTAAGATCAACCTGAGTTTGTCCTTGCGCTTTATTTTGTCAACCTTAACCTTATTATGTTCAATTGAAAATTTTTTATTAACATTACATATAGGTTTGTTAGTATTGGTATCTTCGTGCCTCACAGTGATGAAGTCTTGCTTCCACACGGATGTGCTCCATATATTTCTTGTATAACTCTGACAATTCTCTTTAAATGTCCCACCTTTTTAATTCCAATTTTGTCTTTGAAATCTTGCGTGGTGAAATTTTTAATTTGATCCACACTGCTTAACTTTCTTTTCGCGAAACTCTTCGAATATTCCATCATATCATAGGCCTGTAATATTTCATCAATTGTGCTTGAGGCATTGAAAAGAGAGGATGCCACTCCTGATTCATTGCTCCAGGCAATCACTCTGCTCAAGAGAAATGTCGTAAATTCTTGATCCTTTTTGAAATTGATAAGAATCTCATTGTTGAACTGCATTTTAAGGGCCAACTCGACAGAGTCAATGCAGCCAATAATCATGGTACTGAGATCAATGGAACAGTTTCTATTCTGCTCTGATTCACTATTCTTATCTCGTAACGTGGTGATATCAGAAAAGGATTTTGATGGTAAACTTTTTCTCTGTTTTGAGGAAGTTGTGACTTGTACATTCAATTTTGGAGGATCTACTTTGAATGCAGAGGAAGATGTTATTTCTAAAGAGGGAGATGAAGGCGTTCTCTTGTTTAACAAATGTGGATATTCGAGTTCGATTTGTTGGATAATTTCTTTTGCATCTTTTCGTAATCGACTCGTAATGTTGACACATGAAACACTATCTAAACAAATGAATTCATTGTAAAATTCAAGAAAGAGAAGTGGAAGCAGTAGGGACATTGTTTTTCCATGGAGTTGAAGTGAAATCTTCAATTTAGCAACAGAATTGTTGGAGAACGAGGAATACATGTTGGACGACGTCATAGTTTTAGGCTGACGGTTTGATTGCAATTGTTCTGGTGAAGGAGAAGAACATGTCATGGTCATTTCACGTTTCATTTCATCAATTCTCTTCAAACATTTAAAAATCTCTTCATTCTTTCGTTGACGTAAATAGTTTTGTAATGATTGAATTAATTCGTCATCTTGTAGTTGAAGAACACTTTCAAAAGAATCAATGGATTGATAATTTTTCAATCGATCTGCAATTGGGTTGGAAGCGTTATCTTCATCAACGTCAGCACTGTTCGTGTGTGGGATCAGAGATGAACACGAATGAGGAAGGATGCCATTAATAACAGATGGCGATGATGACTGTGTTGTTGTTGCTGATAGAAACATTTATTGTGTGCCGAAACGTTGCTGTTGGGTTTTGTTTACTTGAGAAATGTGTGATATTGAGAAAAGCAATAAAAATTGCAAAGTTCACTTACTCTTTGGTTCAGAAAAGAAAGAATTACCTCGGTCATGACGTTTGTCCATCACTCTCAAAAGGTAAGTTTTATTCCGTTTAGATCCAAGAGATCGAATGACCGAAAACATTCTACCCTGCTGCACTATTTTACCGAAATATCAGGTTGTTCTCCACATGAAATCGAATGCAACCTCTACATCAAATTACAAAGAAAAATAACTTGTCCTACACCAGCGGTCAAGAAATGATACTGACAAAGTTTGTCAGCGCACGAACCTGTTAATTCCAAAAATATATTCCTCTGTTGAAAAAAATGAAAGAATTATTCTCCGTGCTTTTCAATGATGAGAATATTTGTTTGCATGTACTAACGTTTCTTGATATGTGTTCAATATGTTCGGTTCATAGGGTCAATAAGCAGTTACATCATTTACTGGAGAGTACAGTTGGAGATCGATGCATCTATGGATTAAGAGTTTATCAAATTGCTTGCAAAATTACTAGTTATTCATCGGAATTCAAAGAACAAAGAGTGATGATGAATGAAATTTCATTTTTGAATCGTTTTGACTGGGGTCATAAAGTGCTGCATCAAAAAGAATTGAATTTTCAATCAAAATCATCAATAACCAATAGCTCTACTATATTCAGACGTTTCTACAAGGACAGAAACAACTTTACGTTATTCAAGGAAATATTGAAAGAGTTTTACTTCTTCCCATTTCATAGGATTGGGTTCAAATCGGAAGCTTATACTTCATATAAAGTCAAACATGAAGAATTATTCATTGAAAGATGGAGACCGTGTAAATTGATAGAGCAAGTTCTCGCACTAGTTGGAGACTCTATTCAAGATGTAATAGTGGAATTTCAACATTATCTTATGATGTACACTAAAAGCCATTGGAGCGTTTCAAACACAGATGTAAAGAAATTGAGTGTGACATTGGAATTATATGAATCAAACAGAACAGCGTCTATTGAAGTACATGATATTTCAGACTCGACTTTGTTATTTCACTTTCTAGATAAATTTTCTGCATTGAAGAAGATGCATGATGCGGAGAAAGCGAGCCATATTTTCATTTACAGAGGGAATGTTAAGCCTTCTAGTATCATAGCACAATATGACATGAAGACGCCCACAAAATGTGATGATATATTTGTTAAGGCTCTATCTTCAGTTCAAGTTACTGCAACTGTAGGAGGATTCAAAAAACAAATTGAAAAACATATGAAAATCGAGTTAAGTGAAATGAGAGAGGAATTGTTGGGATGTGATGCTTGTCAAGTGTACGAGTGGGAAGACGGCGCTTCCGCTTACAACGCTCGTCAGCAAGTATTTGTCATTTGTCCTAATCGCTGTGACGCCCTGATGTTTATGTATTACGAAAAACATATTACCTATTGAAATTTCATTTCTCTGTTTGACATGCATTATAGTAAAAACTTTTAATTGGGACATTTACATTTTTTTGGACTCACAGGGGGTTCCTAATTGGCTTTGTTTACAATAAACTACAGTTGTTAATCCTCTGACTGAGCACAATCATTGCATAGGGATACAGACACATCTTTTCACTACTAGAATCACAGGGTCGGGAGCTTGAACTACAAGGACATTTCTTGCTTTTTTCGCTTTGTTTTCTTTTTGGATTTTGAGGTGGTCCCAATTTCATTACACATATTCATATAGGAGTGAAGGTTGGATTATTTGATACCTTCTTTATTCTTTCCTCTTGCCAGAAAGTCCCACATTTGAGATTTTACGATAATTCGTTTGTTCCTCAATGAGAAATTTACATTTATACAAGCATTGATTAATTTTGTACATAAACCTGGATTCTAAAAGGAACTGTATCAGGTGACAAGTAATAAAGGATTTGATCCCATGCGCCAGTCGATATTTCTATTTCTATTTCCAGTTGTTCACAGTCGTTGATAATTTCAAAATCTCTCACTTGCGAACAATCAAGCCAATCCTCTTTAAATAACACACCTTGAACTTTCAACGAATAGTGAAGGGACCTGTTCTTGCTTGCCTCTTCGTTGATGACAAAGACCACAATTTTTGCATCCTTACTTTTTTCAATCAGAACGCATTCAGTATATCTTTGATTTGTTGGTAATCCACCTGATATTTCTCGAATCTTGGTGCTGTCAAATTCCAATTCTTCAAATGTGTCCTTTAAGAGAATAGTTGTAGGAGAGAATTCTGGTCTCGTCACGCTCTCTTGTAATCCTGACCTCAAGAGAATAGAGCCATTCGAGGATGTGACAATCTCTTCCTTTCCTAAAGGATCTATTAATAAGAGTGTGCGCTGTTCAGCATCCACAAGTGGTTGTAAAAGTGGTGGCTGATCTACCGTTTCCACACTTTTCTGAACCTGTTCATTATGATGTGAAATGTAGTTATCAACAATGGTCACTGATGACTCTTCTTCACTCCATGTTTGAAGCATGAACGGATGCGTGGCAATGCCGCCAATGGAAATTCTTTTATCCTTATCATACGTCAACATGCTCACCAATAAATTAAATAAATTATAAGAAATATGTACATGATCTAAAAGAAATGTCCAATCTACGTTGGGAGTGCTTGAACTAATCGCTTGTCCAAAATTAGGTCTCTCAATGTAAATTTGCTCATTCTTTTTTGTGTTAAAAATACAATAACCAGCAATCATCTCAAATAGCACGACTCCAATGGACCATATATCTGCGTCGTAGCCATACGGTAAATGTTGAGCTAGTTCGGGACTTTTATAGGGCCAAGTTCCAACAATGGTTTGAGTAATTTGATTGTTCTCCATTGCTTTTGAAAGTCCAAAGTCACCAATGACCAATTTGTATTCATTGAAATTACCAAATTCATGTTCTTCGGGTTCTACTAACAAGTCCTCTAAATTCTGGTTGAATTTCTTTAACAGAAAATTCTCTGGTTTGATATCTCTGTGAATAACATGTTTTTCTTCATGTAAATATTGAATACCTGCAACAATTTGTTTTAACCAATATTGAATTTCACGCTCAGCAAAGAATGGTTTTCTCAATTTTCCATCATAGAAACTCTGACTCTTATAATTCTTACGCGCTAACTGTTTTTTCATGTTCATATATTTTCTCATATTGGTGTCACACTTTTCTAGCACCAAGTACATTTGTGAAGGAAAATTGACCTGAATCGTTTCTAATAACTTGATTACATTTTCATGATTGCATTCTTTCATAATTTGAATTTCTTTCTCTAAATACTTGATGGTGGCACGTGAATATTTTTCTACTTTGATTTGTTTAATCGCTACATAACGATCTTTTTTTAATATTTTGTCATGTTGAATATATTCTGAATTATTTTCTGAGGCTATTGTCGTTGAAGAGGATGTAACAACGAGTTGTTGTTTCGAGTCTTTTGGATGATCAAATTCTAAATCTTCTCCGAGATAGACATCACTGAAAGAACCAGAGCCTAACTCTCGATTTAATTTTACAAACCGATCCGAGATTTTAATTCCACGCAGAGAAGGTTTTCGTGGTCGTGTGCTAACACTTGTGGGAATTGTGAGTAACGGTTGTGTTGATGATGATGATGATGCAACGACGAAGCGTAACGATGAGGGTGGTGTTGTTGTGGATGAGCCTTCATTCGTGAACATGGAGAATGAAACTGTGGAGGAGGTGTGCAATCAATACAAGTTTGTGGTGAGAAGAATTTGTTGATTCGGAAAGCGGTTGAGATTGGAAACGTTTTTTTGTTTGTGCCAACCACTGCGTGTTGTTAAATGTCAAAAGCGCTTAATTGCCAAAAATACATTTTCGATTGAGAACGTGAATAACAAAATTTGGCACAAACGTGAAAACTGCTGAAATTTATTGTTCATACTCCTGCAACAGGAAAGCATCTATTCAACGATGGGAATGACCTTATTGTTGAATTTATGAGCTCTCAGATGGGTAGTCTCGACAGACGATCCTTCTGAAAGAATGCTCATAACAGAAGGATCTTTTTCAAGGTTACGTAAAATAGCTGGAAATTCTCTCTTGTTGGTACGATCTGATTTGACTTCAAAAAGTCTCGCCATGTGTTGTAATCCTTTGAGTCTGAATTCTCCTAAATCATGGCAAGTATACTTTGGTCTTGATACATGTCTCTTTCGTGCCATGGAGGATGATAATGATGATATGCTTGCACGGAAATCCATGGTGTGATTTGTGCTTAATGGGAGTGATTTGAGGTCTAATGTCATGCTAGATCTAACGTCTGATAAGGCATCATTGGTCTCCATCAAGATTTTAGTTTTAATCTCTTCTACGTAGCTCTGCAAATTGTAATCTTGAAAGATAACATGCTTAAACATGTCAACACCTAATCGCTTCCACAACTCTAAAAACATTTCCTCTGAAATCAGTACTTGACCACCATAGGCAGAATTTTCAATTCTACTGGCCATGTTCACGGTTGTTCCAAAATAATCAGGTCTGTGCATGGTTTTATCGAAGATTCGATCCGCATGACCAAAATGCAAACCTATCCTTACTCGAATTCCATTCCATACTTTTTGTTTTGTTTCCAAATCCCACTCTGTTCTACAATCCCACATTTGCGTGAGACTGGAGGGCCATTCTGCGTCAAGCAATGCATGTTGGACAGCAATGGACCAATCTAATGCGTCCACTGCATCTGCAAATGCTACATAAAAGCTGTCTCCGTGAGTTTTTACTTCATATCCTCGATAGGTCTCTAATAATTTTCTCAGAATATCGTTGTGAATGATTAGCGCTTCCCTCATGCCTTTTTCATTTTGTTCCCATAAGACAGTAGAATTTTGAATGTCTGTAAAGCCACAAGTTATGTTGCCCGTCTGTGGTGCATACTTTGTATTCTCCGTTCTTCCACAACATTTGTAGCAAATTAGAATTACAAAAATTATAAAACAAATAATACAGACACCTGCAATGCAAATTCCAGCTATTTGACCTTTGGTAAGTATTGGGTAAATAATTTTAACTCCACATGTGTCAAAAGTGAACTCAAAATTAACATCATTGTATAAAATAGAATCGTTGGTTAATGTCAATCTTGTTAACAATACTCTTCTTGGACCTTGATTGCAATCACAGGAGTCTACATTGTTGGTTGATTCGGAACAGCCATCAGCTACAGAAAAATTCCATGATGAGATTTGTTTCGAACTGCATTCCAGCCCAAAAGGCCCAACTTCCATGAGCTCCATCAAATTGAAAGTGCGACCACTGAAAATAGTTGTTATAAAATCGTTCGTCGTTACTGTGGTTGATAATTGATAAGCTCTTTCTAATAATGTTTCAATAAAGTAGCCCGTTAAAAATCCTTCTAAGGTATGGAGGTCAGGGTTGCTTTGTTTATAGTAAGAAAGAAATGTCTTCATGTTTTGCTGGCTGCTATACGAAGAATCTTGCGCACAAACATCGTTGTCAATCTTTGGAGTCGTTGTGAGAGTAGGAAGATACAAATATTTGTTTGATATTCTATAAAGAATCTGCTGCATTTGTAATTGAAGTGTTGGTGTATATGATCCAGATAAAAAACCTATATTTCTTATATATGAAGAAGAATCTCCTACAGCTTTAAGAGCTGTTTCCACATCTTTGTCTGATCCCAAAACAATAATTGATTTTGGTTCTATCTTAGTAAGGATGTTTTGTAAATCTTTCATATCGTTAAATGGTTGCATGACAACACTAAAATCATTTGCATAACAGTATTGAGTGATGGTTGGAATAGCATTATTTGTCCATTCAAAGGTATTTGCATACACAATAGCAATGGATCCAAATGTTTGGAAATAATTGATCATTGATGCTGTTTCATCTAAAATAGAAGGCCTTAAATTGATAAAATATTTTGAGTAGGGGCTTCTCAGCTCGAGAGATTGTGATAAAGTGAGCATTGGCACATTATAGGCCTTCAACAGGGAATTAATATCAGGATATGATGTGTTTAACGTTAATACTGTTCCTACAAATGCAAAAACGCCTTGCTTTTCAATCATGGCCTTCATCTTCGCCTCAAGTGAGTACTTGCCTTGCCTTAACCCATAGTACTCAGTATGGAGTCTAATTTGTTGAAATTGGTGAGTACGTGGTTTGGTATTATAAATGTTGATGAAATACTGCAATCCTTTCACATACTCATCAGATGAATCGTAAACATTCGATAATAATGTTAAGGTATTCCGTGGTAAACTTTCGTTTTCTTCAAACGGAATTAGCCTCACCAGCACCAACGGTTGTTGTATGGCATCTTTGGAAACAGAAGAAATAGAGTTCCTTTTCGAATTCTCATAACGTAACAAGCCGCAACTCTCCATATCATACGTTTTGACATAGATTTCTTCGAACAAGGCGGAAGAAGCATTGAACGAGTAAATATAATTTTCACGAAGACCCAAGTTGCAACGTTCTTTAAAAGCGCCAAATGTCACATTGCTGACAGTGAACGAGGAAATGGAATAAATGGAATTTAGAAAGTCAAGTGCTGTAAATGATGGCTTTGATTGCAAATCAACAAGCCCAGCAATCATCTTTCCTACATAATAACCCTCTAATATTTTTTGCAAGTAAAGACTGTCATGTGGTGAATTTTCTGGTAAATGCTGAAGAATGCCTTTTCTAAACTCTGAAATGATGGTTTTCTGGCTGTTAACAGAGGGAATATGAGAAATGTAGCTTACAGAAAACCGGGTTTCTTGTTGCATGATCAATGATAGTCCTGGCGACATCTCTTGTTCAACATGCTTGTCAAATAAAGAATTGATAAGATAAACCACAAGACCTCTCCTAAATTTTGGATGCACGTTGTATGTCTGTTGAATTGAGGATATTAGTGACAAGATATGACTGGAGTTAGAGAGAGCGATGATAATGGCTTGAGGATTGGCATAACCTCGACTTAACTGTTGCAAGCTTATCGTATTATCTACATCCCCATCAACGTTACACTCACTATCAATATTAAGATTATTTGAGCTCATTAGGTTTGAAAATGTTTGAAATATATCAAAAGAAGTAGAATCTTTTTTGCTGTACACTATGCTAAACCGAGTACTTCCTATCAATACAACCACTCTTCACAAATTTCTTGAGAAAAGGTTGCGCGAAGTAATTCCTTACACCAGAGAAATTAAAAAATTTTTTGCGAGCCAGATGCGATGTGACAGTTGAGTACCCCTCTCGATTGCGCAGGGGGGGTAATTCAGACCGTGTGGTTGTATTGGTTCATACTGTGGTCTAAAATTGCTCCTAATTGCTCCAATACTGAAGTAAAAACATGAATTAGAGGTCTATGAAATTTTTTCCTTAGCGCCAACGTGTTGATGGCAGATATACCCACCATGGCTATGTTGTTAAATTCAGTGTTGGTTGTAAGATCTACCGTAGCACTATTTGATGAATCAAAGCTTAAACTTGATGCAGAATAAGCAACTAAGGAAACTGCTTCGTTCAACTTTGTTAATTCTCTAGTGTTGTTAATTAATGTCATTGTATCAGTATGATAGAGAGTTTTCAACACTATTGGATTGATAGAATTTTTGTTTCTTTGATTGAAGGCTGTGGAAATACCAATACGAACAAGCTCATCTTGTATCGAGCCTACTTGAATAGACTGCCCAATCACAACTGGCTTGGTTAAGCTAGTATTAACATCTGAAATACAAGAATCCGAGGAATACCAAGAAAAATTTCTAAAAATGTCAAAGCTAATGTTGCCACTTTTCATATTGATTGAACTCATATAAACAATCTTGAGACCTTGATTGCAGTTAATTGTGCAAGTTGTAGGGAGGGTGTTGTTGAAAGCAGTAGCGGAAGATAGGTAGTAATTGAAAATGTTTAAGGATTTACACCATTTGAACCTGCCTACTTGTATTCCATCAAAGATGAATGCTCCTCCCGATTTGCTGTTGTCCGCGTAATCTGAAGCGAAATCAAAATAACTTGATGCAATAAAATTGGAACGCGTTAAATTGCCAACCATGTTTTTTAAAACATTGTAAACGAACTTTCCAACTATATAACCTTCGAGCTCAATAAATGTGAATGGTTGACTCTCTGCATATGTAGTCATGGCTCTCTGATATGCACGAACAATTGGATATGAGGTTTCCATAGGACTTGGTACTACTTGTGTAACTATCACATTGTCCGTGTAGTAAGTGGAGCCAAATTGAAGAGAAGGTAATGGGGTTTTGGTTAAATCTTCTGTTAGTGCTGCACTTCCAACAAAGCTTACTGTCAAAAAGATGATGTCGTTGGCTTTTTTATATCCAAAACTACTCTCTTTTGCATTGGAACTGTTCGTGAAAGCAACATCCTTGACCATTTTGATATACTTTGCAAGAGGTGCATAGGTTCCAATAAGCACAATAGCTTCTGGATTACATGGCCCAATCGCATAGAAAGCACTCTCAACATGTAAGGTGTTTCTTGGAAATGTACCACTGGAGCAAAGTGGTATTTTCAATCGATCTATTAAACTTCTCTTAATGCCATTCAATCCACTTAATCCAAAAGCGTCATCTTGATACATGATTGATATTCTTCGAATGAGCTTGACATTGATCAACCAATCCACCATGGCTGCTGTTTCGTCATCATATGACGATCTTACATTAATGACATTGGGGTAGAACGGTGTTCTAAGCCATCCAACGCCTGTGAAAGATCCTATGAGTGGTATACCTGTAGAAGTAACGTTCGGAAATATTTCCTTTTGATGAACGAATGGTGAAACGTTCAAAGATGACGCGGCGTCAGTTCGTATTTGGTTGTTGATATTTCAGCAATTATAGTAATATTATATTTTGGAATTTACAGTAACATGTGTCTACTTACCTGAACTGTGGGTGTTCCTACATATCCAATCAAACCAAAGAATACACGATTCCGAATATTATTTTCATTGGTTGAAGCATTCGTGAATAGAGCACCGTTGAGAGAGTTGGATGGAGGTGTGATATTGTAGAGGAAGAAATCGGTATTAATTTTTGTATTGCTGGGCTCATAGGAATCATCCAATGACAATAATCGAAGTTTTTTACTTCCCCATACTCCTCCAAGACTGTTAATTTCTTCAAAGGCCGCTTCAATGCCTCGTTTCATTTCAATTCCGAGCCTACAAATAGAAGGGCATCAAGGAGTTGATGTATGGACACATTTTTGACGTAACAAATATTTTTAAAGGGTTAGAATTGTGGACTTGCAGAACTTACCTTTGGGAAGGGCCACTCAAAGGGCATGACTGAGCGAACCAGATTGTGTCCTGGTTGTTCCAATTGTATGGGTCGTTGGAAGGAGCTAGAGGAGATATGGGAAAGAATGTACTGCCACTGGAGATGGTTTGAGATCTTGATAAAGAACAAAAGAATAGTATAATGAGGACCATGATACAGGTAACGACAATTGGCATTCCTTTCTGTTGAAATGAATATGCAAACATGCAAAAGTTTGATGGGATTTTGTTGTTTTTTGTTATGGTTGTCATTAGACTTTTGAGCAGGTGTTGATGACTTTTGTACAGAATCTCCATTCGTCGCTTATAACCGGTTATGAAGCTCATCATAATGTTTAGTGACTAGCCATCATTGTGCTGGACACATCTCCAATCTTCTCACACGTAAATATTTCCTTAAACAAGAGAGATCAGTGGTAATTGTGCGTGTGTTACAAAAATTATTATGACTCGTAGCTCACCTTATACAAACTCATGGTGTTTTCATGACGCGCAATTTATTACAAACGCGAATTTTTGGAATTTCAAGCTACTTGTTGGGAGAGATGTATACTACATGGAAATTATAAACAACCAAACACTAATAACAATGGTGGTGCTCAAATAAGCACAACTTGAAAGCAAGCTCATTTTCCTATTAAATATTGATGTTGCGTCGTTCGCTTTTTGGTAATCTCTTGACGCATCAAATGCACTTAATTGAATCGATGGCACTCGACTTTGAAGGAATGTTTTCAAAAAGTATGTCGTATTGGAATACACTCCCAAACTACCTTGTGAACCGCATGATATATCAGGACCATATGAAACAATTCCTGTCACAACATAGTCATTTGTAGTGTAATTGGATCCAGAGTAGTATCTGAAAATTGGACCTCCACCTAGCAGAGAGAATATGATGATGATCATTAAGGTTATGTATGAGAACAACAAAAGTACATGGCTCAACATATCATTTGGATCGATGAAAGAAACTTACTGTCACCTGAACAAGCATCAACACCCTGACCTAATCCAGCACAGATTTGCATGGGAGATGTAGTTTGTAAACCAAGATCATTACACTTTGAAACACTCACAATTGGAACTCGGGCTTTTAGCAATGAGGTAGAAATTGTACCTGAACTATCATAATAACCCCAACCACTCACAAACACATAATAGGAGAGAGGTACAGATCCTGATTCAATGTATGCAACTCTTGTTTTTGTTCCATCAATGGCAATATTTGAGACAAGTTCAATCAATGCAATATCATTTCGTATCGTACTTGTACTGTAAGATGGATGTATGGTATAAGTTTTAGCCTGAACATACGAGCAAGAACTTAATGGAGAGCATGCAACATTGGTTCGTCCATGGACCACAACAATATTGGATGCTGAAATTAATCGTCCAGCGTCATCATAGAAACAGTGAGCTATCCACATATGTGTGAAAACAGTAGTGTTATTTATGATCAAGTATGATTGCAAATGGTCACACGGTTATCACATTACCAATTTTACATTTTGGAGACCTACCTGCTGTCAAGATGAAATTCGGAGCAATAATAGATCCTCCACAAAAGTGTTCAGCCGATGACGAAGAAGTTAAATATTGAATGGAGACAATGAATGGAAACTCATTGGTAGATGCTTTTGTGCCTCCAGAGACACGAGTCTTTCGTAATTGAATTAATTTACTGGGAAGATCTGCTGATTCTGAATTTGTGGGTGTCAATGGTTGGATCATGTGTAATTCCTTGCTGTTGCCGCTGACAAAAATGTGAGACGACGATGACATGAGCAGGCATGTCATGAGCACCATCATCAGCACGATAACCGATGAGACACGGATGAGAGTACTCTTCATTATTTTGCTCGTGTGTTGTGAGATGATGAAAAAACTTGGAATGTCTGCTTTAATTGTAATATCAATTTTTTCTGTTTTATTATTGATTTTTGAAATTAGAAGCATGATAAGATGATCCTGGTTTTCAAGATGCGAACTCCTCTTCGGAAGGTCGCACATAATCTTCCAAAATGAAAAGGGAACAACATCTCAAGGTAGCGTTAAAAGCATTTTCAATCCGACTAAGAGCGGGATTGAGAATAAAGGGCCTCAAAGACACAACACATGGTTCATCTGGAGAGACATTTTTATGTTCTCTACCTTCATCTAATCTGACTAACCCAATCATATTTGGAAATCCGGAAGTGCTTGTCAATACATACACGCTGGATAAAAAGATATTTTATCACGAGGACAAACTAAGTACATGGTTTCCGAAAGTAATATCAGGAACATCGTCTTACTATCAAATGGCACCAACAATTGACAATCCTTTCGCTAAATGGCTTCGTGAATATTCCAAGGTTCCAAATACTGAGCTACCAGCTTTTGGAGAAGACGTTGAAAGACTTTTCGTAGGAGGGAAAGTTGATGTGAAAATGGGAAATATAATTATTGAAATTGATAAAAAGAAATTTATTTCTGCTGATAAATATTTATCTGAGGTTACAGCAACCCTTGTTAATACCTCGTCCAAACCTCTATCAGATTCCATTAATCATTTAAGCCAAATTGACCCAGGTTATTCCAAGTACGTGAACAATATTCAGTTAGATGTAACGTTAGAAGGACAAATTGTGTCTTTGTTTTAATAAAGATTACTACTTCTAAACATAAATTTGTTACAAATTGTAAAATCCTGCTCTCTGTGCAGCCACTTTTGAGACAATGTCATGTCTTCTATAAAGCCTGTTATGTCTCTTTCTACAACATAAAACAATTACACAAATGCAACAACAACATAATCCCGAAAGGAGTAAACCTCCCAAAATAACAGAAGCAACAATCACATTTGAAATAGTTCCCGGAGATTTGTAGGTCATTACAAGTTTGTCAACAAAAAGGTTTTGAGTTTCACATGTTGGAGAGAAAGTCTCAAGGAATAAACAAAATAGAAAATCAGAAGTGAACGCCAATTCACCATTTCTAAAATTGAAACATATTGGGATAGACTCTCCATTATATGAAAGAATTCCGTTATAGAGTGAAAGGTCTCTTTATAATTGTAGAAATTTGAATCAATGTGGTTCCTAATATTGGATGAAAAATATTCACAACATCTCCAGTGGATGAATCTAGAATAGTTAATGGAATGGTTGTCGGCCAACAATTTCTATCGAAAACAGTCATGTCTCCTAACAACCATTGTGGTATCAATGGTTGTTGTCCGCTGCGTAGAATAATTTCATCATGTTGTTTTAATAGCTGGGAAGTGAAATTTTTAACAAGACCATTGTCGTTATAAGAGGAGGAGGTAAATAGGCTATCAAAAATATAAGAAGGCATATTGTTAATATTTTGATCATGCTGTTTGATGATGGAGCGGAGAAAATCCAATTGAAGAGAAGGTTTAGTGAAAAATACAAAAAGAATGGCAATAACCTGCAAAGCAGCGAAGAAGTGTGTGAGCGTTTTCATGACTGATGCTGATGGATAAGTTTTTTGCTTGTGAGACAGATAAATGAAGGTGGAAAGAACCAAGTAGACAGCTGACATATTTCCATCCAGCAGCTACTACTCAGACATGCTAGATCGTACTAAATCTACACATCCTTAAAGTTGCTCATGAGCTCATTTGTGAAACAATTTAACTTTTCGAAAAACACATTTTTGTTATGCCTGCTTGCCACCTTCCAAATATATTCATGATATTCGCTCATATCCATCAAAACCTTAGGGATTTTTGTGTTGCTACCAGAAATTTTGGCCAAGCTGAGCTAATTGTAGTGAGATGATTGTGTTAAAGTAGAATTATAACCGTAACTCTCGACATGACAAGATTTTGGTATTTTTGAAACAATTTTAATTTTCAAAAAACTAATTTTGGCCAAGCTGAGCTAAGCTAATTCTTGTATGATGATCATGATTGTGTTAAAGTATAACCATTACCGTAACTCTCTCCCCAACAAGATTTTGGTGTTTTTTGAGCAAACAACAAATAACTTCATTGTTTGTCTTGTCCTTCTGAAAAAGTTCATCCAATAAAAATTACGTCATTGGTCAAGTGAATGAAATGTTCGCAAAGGAAGATACAAGTATGAAAAATGTTGGAAAATGGTTGATGGTGAATTTTTGATTTATTATTTTGTACTCTAGTTATCAGAATGATTTGTTCTGAACGTAGTGAAGGGCAGGAATGTTTCGATTGTAAACAATAAAAGAGTTTGGGTTGAGTATTCGAAATAATTTTCATGCTCAAAAAATTTTCTGCATACTAGTACTTCGTCTCCCTTTGCTTTGCTTACTGACCTCCCACCCATCGCACTCCCACCCTTATCATGCTTTCTTAAGCTTTTCAAGTTCCTTTTTCGCTGATCCTTAATGTTCTTGTGGTAAGGAAGGACGTTATGACAGTGCGGGACTGCCTTGTTCGAATCTTTTCGACAAGTAGTTGAATATTTATTTTTATAACCTTAATTTATTTTATTATTAATTTTACATTAATGTGACATTGTCACCACCTTTGACACCTGGTTTATTTATGATAATATGAGTTGATCTCAATCCATCTCTTCTTCATCACTTCCTTCTTACTTCCTTGCGTTTCTTTGATTTTCTCCTTTTTTTCCGCTGAGCGGTTTTTGGAGTTTTTTACCTTCTACACCCCTTTTCAAATGCTCGGGACTCTGTTTAATAAAGTCTAATGACAAAATTATGCAGAAAATCCCTCAAACACCAATCCTTTTCAAAGGATGGATGTTTAGCGAGTTACAAACCCATTAGTTTTCCTCTAATTAATTCCAAACTCTTGTTGTTGTTTACAATGTAGAAACATCAATCTTTCTCACAATAATGGGAGTACCAACTTGCACAACCACAAAGGCATGGATCGGTTTTGAGTATTTCTTTGTTTCTTTCAATAATTTAACATAATCAGTCAGTTGTCTTGTCGCCTTTTCAACAACATAGCGAACTGTCTTGACTTCACCACCTTTTGGCTTTTCTTCAAAGAGGAATGCTTCGTTTAATGGTAGATTGATCAATTCATTTTCAAGTAATTCAGAGAGTCCTTCATTGATTCTTTGAACAGTTCTAGCAATTTTCCATCTTCCACTCAGTACATCCCTCATGGTTCTCGTATACCACTTTATTGTTATCTTTGATTTGGATTTAGTTCGTCTTTTTAAAATATGTTTCATTTGATGTTCATCCCATTTTAAGCCATTTGGTCTAATTCTCTTAAGCTCAAATATTATGATATCCTTATCACTCTCCAATATTACATCAGTTCTTTGATCAAAATCCGTGTCTTCATTTTGATTGATTGTATCCTCTGTTGTAACTTTGAAATAAGAAGGTCCACGTTTAAAATAAGCTTCTAAAACACAATAAATTGCATGTTGTAAGGCCCCTCCAGAAAAATAGTTATTATAATGCATATATCTATCTCCAATAATATTTCCAAGTATCTTTTTTACAATGTCTAAAGAGGGATATTTGTAAAGTAATGCAAAGTCATGTTGGGTTAGTGATGTAATATTAATGAGTTCAGAAAAGTATTGTTGTTGTGCTATTTCATTAGGAATAGTCAAATTTTTAAGTTCAATATCTTTTGAAAATGTAAGCATACCATGATAATACATGAAAGACAATGTATTATCCCAAATTTGGTTTTTGTTCTCTTCGTTTGTTGGTGGATCAAGTATTTCACGAAGTTTGAAAGAACGAACAATAGAAGTATTAAATTGAATAATATTCGTTGAAGTGAGTTGTTGAATGATGGGTATGGCAGCAGAAGATGTGGCAAGAGTTGAAAAAACATTTTCGCTTATGTTTGTGTTTTCATCCATCATATCCTCTAGAGTAATATCTTTACCTTCAAAAACAGCAGATTTGAATTGGCTCTTGCTCATTAACTTTTGTAGACAATACATTGAAAGAGTGGGACTGAAGAGCGGTTGAGTTGATCCTGGAAAATGATAACCATTGTAAAACCTTTTCATGACCATTATTGCATTATCTTGATGATCATCAACAATACCAATATTATTCAAGGCCGTTCTCAAATCATTCTCAGTAAATCCAACCAAATCACCAAACTCTTCCAATTGAGAGATATTGCTAGCAACATTGTAACCAGAAGCATCAGCAAGAGCAATTGGAGTGATACCAGTAATGAAGCTTCTAAAGTCCATCAAACCAGCGCCGGAAGCTTTTTTGAGTCGTTCAAAAAATGCACGAATGGGTGATGATGCTGGATCACCACGTTTTCCTTCAACAATGAGTTTGTAATTATCAGGATTTTCAAACATTAATTTGTTCGCAAATCTGTCATATTCATCAATGAGAACCATCAATTTGAGGTTGTTTCTTCTGAGGCAATAAACAAGATTGTCGAATGATACAAGAGCATCAGTTGGATCGATATCAACATCATTCAAACCATACTGCTTTACAAAATCAGCTATGGTACTGTTAACTACCTTATGTAACGCCACTTTGATATTCTCTGGAGACCCAACAACATCAATAGAAAAATCAAGGTGTAGTACATGATATTCATTTCTCAACGGAGTCTGATTCTTCGGGTTTCCAATCCATAAACCACCAAACAACACATCAAATTTTTCTTTACTGTTGATATCATAATATGAATGTAACATTGACAATAACAATGACTTTCCCCATCGAGGAGGCCGAACAAAGAATAATTGTTTTCTCTTTTCTAGCAGAGGAATGAGATGAGTCTTATCAACATAGAATTGTTTGTTTCTTCTGATAGAAGCAAAATCTGGTTCTCCATATGGAAAATAGGAAACACCACTTGATTGATTTAAATTCAAAGTTGTTGTTGAAAATTTTCTGATGGCGGTGATGAAGGGATGAATACTGCTGTGAGAATTAAATTGTTGATCAAATTGTTGAGAAGAGAAAATGTTTGTTGCTGATGATGGAGGAAGGAGTGAGTGAGAGAAAGGACTGTTCCGAAATGTTTTTCTCTTATTCAATGCGCTGTTGGGTAAGCAGGAAGCTAATTGTTTGGTTTTTCGCATTTTTTGCTGTGTTATTTTTAAAAAATAACATTTACCAACTCAACCTGTTTTTATTCTCACAATTTTTTTATTACAGAGATCGGTTAGCAACTCATGATCTAAGGTTATTTTACCCAGCTACGATTTCTCAAATGACATGGAATTATTTCGTAATCAGTCAAAGGTGAGCACTTTATCCAAGCAGAGTGATGTGTGTCAACAACCGACCCCCTGCGAAAATGTGACCAACTTCATGTTTGCTCGTTAATATTTTGTTTTACAACAGCTGACAAGATGCAATTGAATAAGCGTACTTCTTCCATATTAACCTGAAGTGGAAGGTGATTGTGCTGCACACATGAATTTGACTGCTGGGTGAGGATGACACTTTGTGAAAAAAATACACAACCAAAACTTTTTCCACAAGAGACTGTGTCCAAGCATCCTGTTCTCACAACTTCATTTGTGAGGAACAAAGGAAACACAGAAATAACAGAAGTTGAGAAAATGGTTGATACTGATCTCAAACCTGCTTACTCCAACATCATCAACCAAAGCGTACTAAAGAAAGGTTTTGTTTCACAAGCAGAGCTTATTGCAGAGAAGATTCTATGGTTTATCCAAGAATACGAAAACTTGAAGAAGAATATAGATTTTAACACCTTTTATGGAATTACAGATAGCAACGCTTCCGCTATTTCATTTATAACTAATTGTAATGATTTCACAAAACACCATGGGAAGCACAACTAATTCTGCCATGGTGTTTCTTGTGACTGTTTACTGCGATAAACATCTTATTTGAAATGTTGTAGAGTCAAATAAAAAGCGGTTGATAAGCAAAAAATTTTCTTGAGTTTGTTGGCATTGTTTCGCCATAAGCTGAAAGCTTAAGCATTTTTCTTGAGTTTATTGGAACCACACAACAGTTGTGGTGTTGTCAAATGTCTGAAGTTTATTTTTGTTGGCTTGTGGTCTAGACCACGCGAGGCCAAGTCAGCCCCAGCGAAAAACACTTGCGTGATCGTTGTCCGAGGATAAGCGTACTGTGAATTACCAATACCACACTCCAAAAACCAAAATTTTGGGATGTAACATCTTCTTAAGGGTTCACCATCAAATATTGGTTAGGAATGGTGAACCCTGTAATTTGGACCTGTTAAAACCAGTATGATTCCAAGAAGAAGCATCATCAAAACAAATATTTCAACTCAACACAAATTCACATCCAAACACAACAATGAATATTTACGATATTGTACCTCAACAATCATCATCGGAGCCAATACAAGCTGAATCATCTGCAAGCTCCAATCCAACGTTAAACTCTTGCTCAAGAACCCAGCTATCAAGAAGAAGGAAAAGAAGGAACGTAAGAAGAAACCTTCTCCATCCATGGTCGAATTAGCTTCTCCATTTAGAGCTAATCAAACATTGGATGATTTCAAACAGCAATGTTTGACGATCATCAAAGGTAGTATGGCAAATATCAACAACAATTCTTCTCAACAAACAGACAACGTGCTCATGGCCACAGATGGTTCCGATTCGGCTAACAACACAATTAATGAGCCCAATAACTCTGAAGCACTCGAGCTTGATTTCAAAATCATTGTGAGATTCCACAATGAGCGAAAAGCCTTCAAGATTAAAGACGAAGAAGATTGGCATCATGTCGTTGAACGAGTTGCAAAAGAGCCTCAACATGAAGAAACTATCAAACTTGTTGAGTGCAAGGCTCGCCTTAAGAAATCAAATAACAAGCATCACAAGAAGCGTGTTGTACTTTCCGAAGGAATGGAAAATGCAAGAGAAAATCGAAAACTGTCCAAGAAGCTCAAACGTGAAGAAAGACTCAAGCACACAATTGAAGACATTCTCGGTAAAAGAGTGATGAAATTGGACATTACTGGTCAGGATGAGGATGACGATAAGGAACAACAAGAAGAGAAATATGAAAAGAAGAGAGTGAAGAGAGAAACAGCTGCTCAAGCCAAGAATGATGATGTACCTCTTGTTGGAGAACATGGAGAAGGATTAACTCTTCCTGCGAATATTTCTAGAATTTTCTTGGATGGTAATAATATGTTTTTCATGACACAAACAATGAGAGATCTCTTACTGAAGAAGAAAAACAAAAAGGAAGCAGAGCAATTAATTATTGAAATTGCATCTCGTTTTTCAAGAGCATCTGAAGCCTTGTGGAACAGACCATTGAACATGCATGTTTGTTTTGATGCAGCAAATCCTCAAGTTATGAGAGGTGATATTGAGAATGACACATTTGTTGTGTCTTCAGCCTCTAATGCTGGATTCTCCACAGCTGATGACATGCTTGTTGAGTTAGCAAATAGACAGAATATTGCTGGTCACTTGGATTCTTGTTTATTTGTTACCTCAGACAATGGTTTGAGACAAAGACTCAAGGAAATTGGAGCTAAGGTCGCCAAATCTGGAAAATGGATGAAGTGTTGCTATGCACACTTGTGTTCGGACACAACTCAATTCTCTATGAATGATTGGATGAGACATATTGTAGAAGATGGCTCTTTGAACATGGATTAATACGGGAATAATCATTTCCTTTCAAACCACTGACTTGTACGCTATGTGACAGCTCAATGAGCTTGCACAAAATTTTGTAAATAAGGACATACACATATCAATCCATTTATAAAAGTTTAATACGATCAAACATTGTTTTGTAACTACTACATAATACTACACTGTCAATGATGCTGTTATACAGAAGATTCTCCATTTGTTGTTGATTGAGTTGGTGCTTGCGGAGCCGTGTTGGGAGCTTCCTTCTCCGTTGCTACAACTGTATTTTTCAACATAAATTCTTGAATTCTCTTGTCTCTCTTTCTCAATCGATCTAACACGTCCTTCATATCTTGTTCGCAATGGTTTGAAAGCGTTCGGAAAAAGTCTTTTGGAAGTGGTTGAGAAGTGTCATCGATCATTTTTCCAATTTCTTCCTTATTAAATTTAGAAGGTAAATTCAATTCCATAGGAGAATCTGGTTTGATATACTTGTTGTAAATAGCTTTGGCAAGCTTTCTTCGAGATTTGGCATTACCTTTTCTTCTATACATTTGCATTTCTTTCCAAGCTCTGTATACATATACATGTTAAAAGTAGGTCAATAAATTTTAGAGATGAAAAACAGTCAAATAAATGCATAACCATTATGATGAGTTGATGAATGACAATGATGAATTCAACATTCTTGAATTACTTACAATACAGATTCAGGGCAAAATGATTGCTTGGCAAATGCCAATAGTATTTCAAACATCTTCTTATTTTTCAACAATTTCACAAGAGCTGCCTTTTCTCTTGTTAATTGTTCTTCATTTTGTTCTTCTTGTTCTTTGGGTACAAGGATCAACAATGCTCTCACAACTGGTATCACAGCTGTAATAATATTATCAGTCACAACTCCAAAGAACAAAATATCTCCATATGGGAAATAAGCATCTGTCAATGTTTGAATAATTGGAATGAATCCACACACTAAATATAAAATCAACCAAACGGCCCAAAAAACAATCACCGATAAAGTTTCCCATCTCAAACGCCATGTGTCATTATCTTCTCTCAATGTAAATACAAGTACAACTCCAATCCCAATGACATAGAGAAATCCTTCTAAGGCAACTGCAATTAAGGTTCCCATTCCAACTCCACATCCATGAGCAAATACAAAGAAATCATTAGAAACTGTGAATTTGGTTGAAGATGGACTCGAATTCAATACAAATGTTTCCACAAGTCCACAAATTAACCACACAAATAAATGAAATGCTGACAAGACAACCACAACGATTAAATAAAACCACCATGATGTAATGTGTTGCATTCGAAGAATTTTCTTTTCCAATGCAATATATTTTCCTAATTCTTCCAATGCCACTGTTCCAACTGTATTGGCTAACACAGTTTTATGGAGAGCACTCGCTTTGGAAAGTTGTCGTTTCAAATTGGTTGGAACTTGACCACCAGATTGTGCATCGGATCCATTATTATTACTAGTCGTCGTGTTGAAAACATTGGAATTGGGAATGAGTGGTAATGGAGAGGAACCATTGGCAGTGTGATTTCCAAATAAATCCGATTGACTTCCAGAAGAAGATGAAAAGTCTTGTTCCATTTCCATCATGACTGAACCAGCATCCGAAGTAGAATCTGTGTCCGAATCTGAATCTGTGTCCACAGAATATTCATCATCAGCGAAAGAAGTGAGAATGGTCACGGCAGGAACAGGACTATTGGTGTCCATTGTCATCGTGTGATCTCCCATCATGGTACCTGAAGGTTCATTGTTATTGTTGGTTTGATCTGCAGCAGTGGGTCTTCTCTTTCTACTTTGAGATTCCTGACCACTCTTAATCATGGCTGCTTCCAATCGAAACAATTCCACTCGAGTCTTATTGAGACGTGACATCCATAACAATCTCCATAATCTCAATAAAGTTGGTAAAAACACAACAGGTGCAGCAAAGAAATAAAACAAAATGTAAATGAAACATGGAAATACCTTTCTTCCAATGGTCATTCTCAAGTTAAATAACATGGCAAAAAGACCTGTCATTAATAAACTGGCAATCATGACAGCAACACCTCGATATTTAATGAGAGGGACATGTCGTGTGAAAATAATTCCCAATGTGGTTGCAATTAACGCAATGACATAGGTACCGAAAAAGATTCCAGTCACTGCTTGAGAAGAAACTTGTTCTGGACATAGACCATATTCTACTTTTTCTGTTCCATTATTTAAGAGAATGGGATCACAAATAGTTTCATTGGAAGGTGTTGTTGAATTATTCGTCGATGATTGTAATAAGGAGAATAAAGCATAGACAAAAGGAGGTGGTTGTTGAAGATGTAATGGTGTTGTAAATGATGACATGTTGTTGAACGCAATAGGTATTGTAAAAATGGTTCGTTAATTTTCGAGGATGATCACTGCGCGCGGTGTGTGTGAATCAATCGAGAGATCAAGACGATTCGATTTTGTGTGTTTTATGGTGTACTCGTGTGTGTGTGTGATTGATATATTTCACAAAAGTGTCAATGATGTATAGTGACAATATATGATGATTCAACAATGATGATATTTTGTTGTTGAAATGAAATATTCTTTGGATTTGACTTTGCCAAAATCTCACACTCCAGTTCAAAAACTGAACAAACTGTCGCCAGTATGTGCACACTTGTCAACTGTTGTGCGACCACTCGTGATAGGAGTGAATCAATCGAATGCAGAAGTGACTGAGGCTGTTGTTGATGCTGCTTGTGAGAATGCACACACAATTTGTACACTAGAATGATGGTCAAGTGTGCGTGTGTGAAGAGTTTCTTGAGACTTTTTTTGTTGTTGTTGCTTCTAGGATCAGATGCTCGTTTACGGACAAGTGACTCCGATCAGACATGACAACGATGAAAATTGACAGCCGTCGATTGGTTTATTGCATTGATTTTCTAAATTGATGCCTTTGAATATTGTGATAGAGGGATACACTGTCCGCACAAGAATGGCGATGTTTGGAAAATCATTGATATTGTGAAGAGGCATGAATATGATGCTGACGTCAAATGTCTGTAAAGTGTTCTAAAAGGTCGTTGGTTGTGGTCGCCACACCGCAAGGTATGCACCTGTTGTGGTGTTTTGAGAGGCAAGTGTTGTGTGCCTGACGACAACGAGAAGGATGGCTGCCAAACATGAGCTGTTCAATTTCCGAACACTGTTGTAAAACTAATTTCATCAAACATTTATTAAAACAAATTAATGAGTAAAACGAAAATTGAGAAAGAAAGTGAACGGGGTTTCGAGGATTTCAAACTTTCTTGATGGATTATAATCTCACTATTTCTTTCTCATCACAAAGGCAGAGTTAAAAAATGTTGACAAGTGGCAGCAAACCACCACTTGAAGCCGAAGATGTTCTCAAACTCTTTTCACTCTATCTTCAAGAGTACGGAGAATCACTACTAACGTCATCGGACCACTTTATGAATGTGTGTGAAATGGTCTATCAACAAACCATGACATTATCATCAAAATTACATTCTCCATCTTCACCGCAGCAGACTTTTGAAAATAATCACTTGACATCCTCCTCTTCTCAAAAACCTCTCAAACCATTTCATGTTACACTCAAAATTACTCCTGAATTTCTTCGAGAATGTGGCATGGATCCATTTCTATGGTTGGACTGGGAAACGAGTTATTGCAATAACGGAGGAATGATGATCACTAAAAAATCAGATCCTTCGAAAAAACCTCATGAGGGATTGATTGAGAGAAGTCTCATTGAGAGATGGTGGGAACGAAGGAGAAGGGAATTTCGAGAGTGTACCGAACATCAAGGAAAGATGGGTAGGTTGTTTTGTCAATCTGTGTGTGCATGTGTGTGTGTGAAATATATGGATGAACGGTTTGTTGTCTCAAAAACCAATGAACTGCCGTGTTTGTGGTTTGTACGGGGATGGATACATTTCATGGATGATGTTGATGATGATGAATATATGATGATGCATTTCATTCATTCGACACAGCGGTGAAATCACCGTATGCAATTGATGAAAATCCTCTTCTTACTCTCCTTAGTACGATTCATTTTCATCACTTGTTAACGAAATTGCGATATGAATTCATGTTTGGACGAAATGTTGCAAAAACACCAAATTCTAAAATTTTGAAAATTAAATTTAAAATTCTTCGACTGCTCAATGCGAGAGTGAAGGAATTTCAACGAAAGCAAAAAGAAAAGAAGGGATTTTTCTCGTGGATTGTGGAACAAATTGTCGACAATGAATACATATCCGAGTTAACCAATAACGATTTTGAGAAATTTATTTATATATTTAGAAATTTAAAAGTAGTTCAATTGGAAACGAACAAATCGAAAAAGAAGTCAACTCAAGCAAACAACATTGAAGATGTTGAAGTGGATTTAACATTATTTCAAAGCTTGAAACATTTGATCATTCGAGCCTGCTTTACTAGACTTGTGTATATTAAAGGAAAATATTTGACCTCTCAAAACCATGAAAGTAAGTACTCGGAAGGTTGTGTGAAAATCTTCAATTCAAATGACAAGATGATACAATATTCAAAACTCTGAATGTGGAGGGAATTACCATTATGGACTCTCAGTTTCTGAGAATTGAAAAGAATATTTTCCACGATTTTGCTGACACACTCCGAGTATTGAATCTTGTCAATGTGGACGAGCAATTGCTGTGTGATATATTTGATGACGACACACGATCACTCTCCAAATCTAACAAGGAGTTTAATAAGGATATTAACTACTTTTCTGCACTGGAGGCGTTACATATTTCGAATGTATGGTTCAAGAGCGGAGAAATACCAAAATTTTTGGACGGCTCATTCTTTCATAACATTCTTGTGAATCACCTAAAAGTGTTCATTATGAAACACACCAATCTAGAACTTTCCATACTTGACACACTAACTCGAAGGGAAAATAGAAACTTTGTTCTCTCACATCTCGTCATTCTCAATCTCTCAAACAACAATATTCACACAGTTATTGGAAGAAGAGAAGCTAAAAACGGAGATGGTCATAACGTGACGGTGAATTTACCCAATTTACTTGAATTTAATTTGGGATACAATGAACTTGAAAGCCTGGATTCATTGTCTGGACTAATGACACCAAAACTTGAAATTATCAATTTAGAGAACAACAAACTCTGTAACAATATTGCTGAAGGTTTAAAACTATTGACAGCAAACACTCAAAATCACTTAAAATATATTAATTTACGAAACAATCAAATAAGAAATTGGATAGAAATCAAACATTTGAATTACTTTACCAAACTTTGCCATTTAGAAGTTTTTGGAAATGAAGAAATTTCCACAGGAACATACTTCAAGACAATACTTGCATATTTCAGAAAGAATATTCCAATGGATACTTTATTCATTCTAGATGGCGAAAGTTATTCCAAGAAAGACATTGAAACAGTGCTGGGAATTTCACAAAGCTCAAGTGATAATAGTTCTTATAATGGATTATCAGAATCGGAAGGAAGTGATGCAGATGCCGAAGATGATTATATCGATGTCAGAAAACTTGTTAACAAAAAAGAAAGCTCAGAACAAGCCAAGAAACGAAAAATCAAGAAGGAAAAGTCTTCTCCTGAGAAAAAGAAGTCAAAGAAAAAGAAGAAAGCTCAAAAACGAGTACTTTCAGAGTTTTCTGAATTTAAAAAGAATGACATGTCTTCTGCCTTGAGTAGTGGAAGCAGTGGAAACACAAATAGCTTGAATATAGTAGACTTTGGAGGATCTTCAAGCATTTCTCCTCAAAGCCAATCTCTAGATACAAGTTTGAAAATGTTGAAAGAAGATTTTCCTTTCCTAGAAGAGCGATCTAACAAAGTTCTTGAACAATTACAACAAATTAGAAATGATGGAGGATCGAAATGGCTTACTCTTTTGAATGAAATGGGTTATTTAGACGATCAGAGTCAACAACAATTATTGACTCCAAAAAGAAATTCCAACGAGTTGGCTAAAACTTCACCCTACTCGAAAGATAAGGACGAATTGGAGCAATTCATGAATAAGCTCAATAAGAATTCGTCACATTTGAAGGCAATGGATTCGCTGAGTAACTTTTTATTTGGAAAATTACGAAAACCAGGATCATCAGAGGATCCACAACAACATTCAAGTGAAGATTCTTCACCTGCATCCACTCCAAGATCTGCAGGTCAACCTAAAACTGATTTTCTTTCTTCGTTGGACATGAAGCGAATTTCCAGATTGGGCAACAAGCAAATTCCAGTGTTAGAAGTTCATCCAATTTATGGAATTGCTAATGCTCCTAATTTTGAAAAATTTGGTGTTGCCAATATGCAAGGTCTCTCGTTTATTAAATCACGAGGATCTCAGTACGGTAGCGATGCACTAGTGTCAAAGAATTTAAAACTAGAGCCAAGAAGTGACTTTTTAAACGTTTCACTCATTGTGAATCAATCCATATTTGTAGCAGGAAAACAAGAACGTGACCATACTCGAGGAATTGCAAGTTCTGAATCAGATAGTAGTGAAAGAAAAGCAAGATATCAACGAAGAAATCGCTACATGAATATTCAACAACTCAAAGAAGAAATACAAGAAGCAACAACCAATTCGAATGATATTGCTACTGCTGAGAATGCATCATCCACAAGGGAAACCAACATGGAAATTACGGATGAACAAATTAACAAATTTAATTCATCTCGAAAGAGAAAGAAGGGAGTGTTCTTAAAAGCTGAAATTGCCGTTCCTGAAGGATCTCATTCACACATGTCTTTGGATCCCAATCGACTTGCGAGTCTTAGCAGCGGTGGTAGTTCTGGAAATGATTCTTCCATCTCTCCATCTTCAATCGAGAAGAAGGATGATGATACTCATGTTTCAAGTTGTACAACTCTGTCAGTAGAAAAGGATAATCACACAACAAGCACCAAATCGACAATGACAACTACTCCTTCTTCTAATCATCGAGCTTCTATGAGAGACTTTAAACGAAGAAATACCATAAAGCAAAATACTGAAAAGAAAGACAAGGTACACATTCCAGTTCCAGTCTCCACCGTTGAAAAGTATTTGAATGACGATGACTTGTTAGAATCACTCCTCAATGAAGATGAAGATGTTGAGACCAAGAAGAGATCAGAAAGTATTTTGAGATCTCGTGGACGAACATTTGTGAAACCCTCTACCACCACTCACTCTTCAGCAGATGCCAACAAGATTAGAGCATCGACTGCGTTTGAAAAACCAATCATTGTTGAAAGCACACCAGTGGATGCTAGTGCTAGTTCATTTAACAGAAAAACACGTATTCTATCAACAACAACTGAAGAAGAAAAAAAGGTTTTGGAGTCTTTAATATCAAGTCCAGAAGAGGATGAAGTGATATTACCAATTGAAAAGAAAGAAGAGACGTTACAACAGAAGGTACAAATTTTAGAACATGTCAGTAACGAGTTAATTGCACCACAAAAGAATGTACAAGCTTCAGATGAAGATTTTGACAGTTTCAATGAGGAGATTGAATCCAGCTTCAAAGAAAATTCAATTTTAAGTGCCATGAATACCAATATTGGAACACTATCATCATCGAACAGCATCACTTCAGAGAAGAGTACATTGTCCTTTCAACAACCACCATCTCTCCTCACAGAACCTTCTTCAGTGGACAAGATGGGACAAAGTTCAGATTCAGATTTCGATACCTTTAGTAGTGATAGTGATAAGGAAAATGATAAGAAGACTGCATCAACAACAACAACAACAACAACACCAAACACACCATTATCCGTTGTTAACAAATCACGATCTTCTCCAAATAGCATTCCCTTAATTACATTTCCAACCTCAACTGAAAATAGAAAAGCCAAATCCAAATCCATTATTAACATCTTTGCAAAGAAAGACAAGGGGTAGATGCCAAACTAAAGGATCGCTATTCACTTCGAATGGATTCACCTGTGAGAGAATTACCTGCTGAAGAACCTGAAGTATTGTCGACAAGTGTCACGGATGGTATTGTTGAATTTGGTCCAATTACATCTTCCACTACTTTTGCCTCTCTGAAACAACAAGAATCAACTACTACAACGGACACATCCGATTTTCACACGACTCTTGAGGAGCATTCGAAACATGAAACACAAATGATGATGACCTCAAACACAATTTCTGCTGTTGGAAAAGAAGAATTATCCTCTGATTTTGAAACTTCAAGTGACTCTGATTTAGGTGAACAAGATCCATTCAAAAAGAACCATCCATCAGAACATGCAGTGCTTCATACTGAAAATGATAACAGTGCCAATGCAACAACGACTATCAACACTACCTTGCCAACAGTGACATTCACGACAAGGAATGTTGAGGAATCATCTTCTCATCATGCTTCTAAACAAGATGAAGACCTTATTCCACAAGTTTCATTATTGAACTCGTCATCTGCAACAACCAATGACCACAAATCTCAACCTTTGGAAAATTCTGTTTTGAAACGAGACCTTGATGATCAACACTCCTCCAACACTCATATTAAGGCTGAATTATATGATGATGTGAAAATTGAGCCTACAACCACTACTACAGCGAGTACGACTAAAACTGAATCTCCATTGACTCCAAATGAATCATCATCATCTTCAAACATTACTATTCAAACTAGAGAGCAGAACTCTCCCAATGAACCCCTATTGGACAGCAATGTAAATTCATCTGTCACAACAAAAGTAATTCCAAAGAAAGTCATTAGAAATAAGACCATGATTAAGAATTCATCATCTGTTGTGAATGTCATTCGAGGAAATGAAGACATGGATCGATCGAGTGCCACTTCAAGTCCATCATCTCCTTCCTCATCACCACAACAACAGAAATTGTTCATTCCTTCTACGAATAGAGATCGAAGAAAAACTGTGAATTTTAAGGAAATTGAAAAGGAAGAAATTGAATTTCATCCAAATCGTGCCACGCTTTTCATGGCATTACCTCCAACAATGACAACAACAACAACAACGAACAATCAGACTACAAAGCAAATAGAGACCTATGACGATGATGTTCCCTATGAAGATGAAGTGGTCAATGACAACAACAACAACAATACCATGGTTCCATCTACCAACGAATCATCCTCAACAACAACAACAGTATTAATGACAGACCATCCCTCAACAAATCCTTCATTGGATCCTGTTATTGAACAACAAGAATTGTCTAGTGACGAGGAAGATGATTCCATTTTAAATTCTCTACTGAATGAAGAATCTGAAATTTCCACTACTACCAAAATTACACCATCGAACAATACTCGAGACACCTCAACAGACGATGAAGATTTGGACAAGTTATTAGCGTCCTATACGAAACAACGAAAAGTAACTCTACCTCCCAAATCAACCAATCACACTGCTCTGTCTCCAGTTCAACCCTCAAAAAGTACGAGCCTTAAAACACTTCCTGTTGTGGATGTAAAAAGTACTCAAAGAAGGAATTCTTCCGTCAATAGAAGCAACACCAACAATGGTTCAAAGAGTATTCCAGTGGAAAATAATTCAAGAAGAAGACCATCTCGAATGGTCACCTCTGTTGAGGATTTATTAAATGAAGAAGAGGATGACAGCAGTAATGAGTAGTGAACCTGTGACTCACTACTATTCGATACGAACATTGAATCTCTACGAAGAGAAATGAATCAATTTCACATGGTTTGTTGCTGTTCAAAGGGAGGAATTAGTTCATAGTTTTAATGAATGTTACACATTTCCATTAGGAACTGTCGCAATAACATGGAATCATTTTTCACACGCCTTTGTTTTTAAAAACTCATCTTGTCAACAGGATCCACAATAATTCTCACATGAAAAAATGTCAGGAGGGAAGAAGCACAACATTTCCACACCCTTTGATTTACATGACGAGTGTCAAACACCTCGATATACTGCCGAATCGTCGTCAAGGTCATCTTCTTATCAACCACATCAACAACAATACGATCGACAACAAATGATCGGACATGAGAAGGATGCTATCGAATATTCTTCGAAGGGCAACAGCTCTTGTTGTTGGTTTTGTTCCATACAGTAGAACTAATCAAGCATCATCATTTCCATATACATTGTAATATTCCTTTCATAAGAATTTATCGGATGTACAAATTTTTGAATCCATGTGTTTGACGACACATTCATCACGAGATTATATTTCACTCATGAAATATCAAAGAATGTGTCATCAGACGACTTTTTGTAACATGCAGCTCAGCAATAATATTTATTATTATTTTACAATCAATTCGGAATCATTCGTATTATTCAATCACAACTCGACTTTGGATTTCTAATTTTTCAATTTGATCTTCAATGTCTTGGATGTTTTCATTATACTTTTCTACAATGTCATTGAATTCGGAAACCTTTTGATTATATGCTTCGAATATTGGCATGAAATCATTTTTCTGAGCTTCATATAGTTGTTGTGTCGCTTTGAATTTGGTTTCAGCCGTATCGAATTCCTTCATGTATTGGATGAACAAATTGGTTGCCTCTTCAACCTCAACTTGTGATTTTATCAGCTCGCTTTCGTATAAATTAAAAGCAAACATTGATGATGTTTGTTTCGTTCCTAGATATTGTTCAAGTGAGGAGAACAATGCATCTAATTCCAACGCTTGTTGTGCGTAAGGAGAGCTATTGTCTACCTTTAAACTTTCAACATTAAGAGCTTGAACTTGTTGATTAGGATCAGTGAGGCTTTGCAGAAAACTATATTCTGGAACCTCAACATGATATTTACGCCCGAAGGGATCTTCCGTTCGGATTACTCTGGCTGTATTGTTTTTCAACGCTTCCTCAACCTTAAGGGCAATAGCCTTCCGAACCACTGCCTCCAAATGTGCAGTTTTAATTTTATCGCTTTCGCTCAACTGGATGGAATCAGCAAACCTAGACAGTACTGAAATGTCCATATCCGCTGTATTTGTGTTGCCTGTTGCGGTACATTCCACGAAACGATGATCTTTCCACCCAATGATAAAGATAATGAAGGCGGTCGTTAAAATTTTCAAAATCACAAGATTAAGGAAGAATGATCGATACATTTTTTTTATTGTCTAGGCGTTGGATCTTGCATTGACCAATCGAACACAATAATATTGAAACAAACTTCTCAGATCACATCATAACGCGCCTTTATTTAAGGGAGCCCAATACAAGATCTCAAGCACGCTGTGTGATCTGCTTACCCTAAATGCTTTCTGCCTCTTTTCATCTTTCACATCGTTTTGACATTTAACGCAACCACACCACTTTGAAAAAAAAGCTTTCGTGCCTGAACACACAACAACCAACACCTGTGACTGACTGACAAACAATCAGCAGCGGTTTCAGTTGACCTTTATCTTCATCACGAACAACAACATCCTTGTCATCAAGAATGGGAAAGGACAATCACAATAATAATAACAATAGTGGAGAAGAGGAAGGCACGAGTGGTTCTCGAAAGAAATCAACCATGCAAAAGCTATTTGGCAAATTTAAAGGAAACGATCAAGGAGGAGGTTCCTCTTCGTCATCTTCTTCCTCGTTGCCAACAAATTCTCATGATTCTTTGCCATCTACTGGTATTCCACACTTGAGTAGTTTCGTGAAAGAAGCAATGCCACAAGATGAAGAAGAAATCAATCGAAGATTTATGGAAGCAATTGTAAGTCCACTTTCATCATCATTTGTTTTTTGTTTGAATGTATTCATGTCTAAATATGGAAATGTTAGGAAAAAGTTGGCATCCAGAATGAACAATCAAAGGCAAACGTGATTGCAAGATACAACACAAATGAGTTGAAATGGGATTTCGTTCAATCATTGAGAAAAACTCAAGACACTTTTGCGATGGATGAGAAAAACAAAGTCGAATATTATATTACTGGATTGAACAAGTCATCCAGTCAACTTAGTCCTTCAATGGTACGTTTCAAGTATTGTTGATTCCATTACAGCAGTAGATGGTATATATATTCACTACTCGCTCGCTTCACTATATATTCGAATTGAACCTTTTTCACATGGAATGAAATGAACAACAAAATTCAATAGGACAAGATCAACACTGACAAGTCACTTCAAGACATGATCAAATTAATTCAAGGTCTAACAGTTCAACTTCGTTCTCAACAAATTTCATGGTTGGAAGATTTCATTCGTCAAGGAGGAATGTATCAATTGACTTGTTTGTTAGCATCAACCATTAATTTCTTCAATTTTTTCGGTCACTATTCATCGTCGACTGAGAACGGTCAACCTGGTGTTCATCAAACCACTCTCAATAACGTTGAACAATTACGTTCTGTAATTTTAATGAGTTTTACAAGTTTACTCAATGTCAACAAGGGAATTGAAGCATTTCTTCAACAACGTGATGCCATTAGAACAATGGTCTTGGTGATGGATGGAGCTTCACTTAAAAATCGTTCCACAATTTTACTCTTACTCGCCCTGTTGTGTCACCACAGCGGACAAGAGGCATTCGAACTCATTTTGGATGCCATGAATCATTATAAATTAGTGAAAAGAGAGAAGGCAAGATTCCAAGATTTGGGTAATTGGATTCTCAATGAAAATGCATATGCATCTGGTACAAGTGGAGCCGGTACCATCTACACGGGAGGCAATCATGGTAGAGCCTCTGTTGAATTTAGAGTGAATGCTCTCATGTTTATTAACGCTTTAATTACTTCTCCTGAAGATCCAAAAATTGCTGCTCGAATTCAACAAGAATTTGTGAACTTGGGACTTGTCACCATTTTAGATTCTATTGACACGGAAGATCCTGATTTATTGGTTCAAATTTCAACATTTAAGGAGTTAATTGCAAATGATTTAAGTCATCACTTTGAAAAACTTACATCAAATAGCTCTGATCCTCTCAACATGATTGAAGTGTTGAATGGTCAATTGACATCAGTTTCTCAGAAACATTTTGCATCCATGTTAAATGCTCTATTACCAATTTCACAGAGTTTTGAAGACACCAGAACATCGATTGCTTCAAGAGCTTCTGTATGTGTAGATAACGACATTCAAGAAACAAACTTTGCTATCCTTGCTAAAATCATTCGTCAAGTGGTTGAATCCATTGATTCAAGAGGTCGATTGAAAGATTGGACCGAAGAAACAGAACGCTTAAAACAACAAGTGAAAACACAACAAACCAGTTTCAACAATATGGAAGAAAAATTGAAATCAGAAAAGAACAAACTCATTGCGCTCCTCCTTCAGAATTCCCAAATAGACTTTTCCAATTCAATTGATTTTGAAATTTTGAAAGATCTCATCACTCCACTTTCAAATTTTGCTAAAAGTCGATCTCAAGATGTTGCAGTTTCTTCGACCGTTCCATCCACACCAACCATTCCATCTACAATGAGTAATAGTAATAGTAATACTAGTAATAATGGAAATAGTGGAAATACTTCCAAACCACTTCCTACTCCTGGTGTGATGAAAACAACAACAACGACAACAACCGTTCCATCCACAACAGAACCAACAACAACCACCACAACCACCACGACTCACAATGAGACGACACAAATTCCTCCAGTCCATACGAGTGGAGTAGGAATGGTAGTACCACCACCTCCTCCTTCCATGGTGATTGGAACTGGAGGTGTTCCTCCACCTCCTCCTGTAATGGGTACAATGATGGGAACGGTAGGTGTTCCACCACCACCACCACCTCCTGGAATGGGTACGACTGGAATGCCTCCTCCTCCACCTCCTGGAATGAGTGGTGGTGCTGTAGCTTCTGTACAAAATCCACTTCCTCCTCTTCCTAATTATTCACCAAGTACCAATCTTCGTAATGTTCATATTGATCCAATTAATAAGAGAGTCATCAAAGATACTGTGTTTATTAAGAAGGGAGTGATTGACAAGTTGAAACAAATTCAAATTGATGAGAGTCGTATTAGTGAATTATTTGGTGTTGAAAAGGATTCTCATTCCAAAGCGACCAATGCTTCTTCTTCGAATGACAAGTCTGAAAAAGTGTCACTCATTGATACGAAACGAGCGTATAATATTGGTATTCAATTGGCATCGATGCGTCTCAATTTTGATTCAATTCGTAAGGCAGTGGTCACTTTGGATGAAACTGCAATGAGCAAAAATCAAATTAATACTCTCAAGAGTATTGTTCCAACCGAAGAAGAAGTCAATTTGGTTTCTGCTTTCGATGGAGATGCTTCACAATTGGCTGAACCTGATCGATTTTTCCATGTCATGAAAGATGTGTCCAAGATTAAAGAACGAATGGAAGCTTGGAGTTTCAAATTAAGATATGAAGATGATTTGGCAAGCTTAAAACCAGATATTGAAAGTTTGAGATTGGCCACCAATGAATTGAAAGAATCGAAAAAGTTTGTCAAATTTTTAGCTGTCGTCTTGTCCATTGCCAATTATTTGAATGCAAAGGGAAGACAGAAAGATCAATATGGATTCCATTTGAGTAGTTTACACAAGTTGAAAGATACCAAAGCTTCAAAGGGCAATGAAGGTTTATCACTTCTTCACTATTTAGTGGAATACATTGATACACATCAAAAGGATTTATCAGAATTTTATGATGACATGCCCAATATTCCAGCAGCAAAGAAGGCCTCTATTGCTCAAATCAAAGAAGTATTGCAAATGATTAAGGCTTCCTCAAACTCGCTTGGTGAAACGTTGGCTGCCATTGCACGAGAAGAAGATTCACCCATTCACAAACAAGACAAGTTCATTGAAAAGATGAAACCATTCTATGAGCAAACCAAAGCTGATTTGGGAATGCTCGAAGAAAAATTGAAGAAGACTCAAGAAGGTTTAGAAGAATTAGCCATTCTCTTTGATGAAGACAAAAATCTTGTAACGACCAAGCCAGAAGATTTCTTCACCAAATTGGATGAATTCTTTGAAATGTTTAAATCTGCTCGTAAATTTATCCAAGAAAGAAAGAAGAAGGAAGAAGAGGCTCTCAAAAAGCAACAAAAGTCGAACACTCACTTGACTGCTAATCAATCAACAGAAAAAGGTGTTTTGGAAGGTCTTGAAAACTCATTGAGAGATGGAACAGCGTTTAAAAAGAGAAGAAGTTTAAGAGCAAACGCTAATTTGTTGGCACAAGAACTATCCATGCTAAAGAAGTAGATTGTATTTTATCTCTTTTCTGAATTAGAAATTATTAAATAATTCATTTAATTGTTGAAAAGATGTTAACGACATTAGAATATTGTGGTGTATTGTTTGATTGTTCACGCTTAGTTATTACAGAATGGAATTACTTGTTATTGGCTTGACAGCAGAACAGTGATCGAGACATAATTCCTTGACTCGTTGCTCCACATGTTTCAGTTCATCCTTTTGAATGTCTATCAATTGTGTATACAGAAGAGAAAAAACTTTGTCCGTAGGATCTGCTTTGATGTACTGGCTTAATACTTGCAAAATCTCTTCTAATGTGGCAGGGTTGACGGTACCTTTAAGCATCTCAAATGCAAGGGAATATTTGTCATACTTGCTTTGTTCTGTTTCTTGATGCAATTGATAAATCCATTCATCGTCATTCACTTGTTTTTCTGAAATTAGTTGGTAAATGGTTTGTTTGGAATCGTCATCATCCAACGACAGTGTTTCCACTCCCTTCATGATGGATTTCTTCATCACCATATGAACTGGACGTGAGACAAAACCTTGAAGCGCAATCAAAAGAGAATCATCTGTCAAAATGGTGGTTCCAAATGTTTCATTCAAACTTGCAAGTCTCAAAGCATTGCTTGGACAATTTCCAATGCAAGCTGCATATTTTGTTTGACTCGTTCCAATATTTCCAACCAGACATTCTGAACGAGAAACTCCAATTCCAAACTGCAAAGTTGGTAAATTCACTTGGTCTCTCAGTTGTTCATTCACCGCTTCAATTTGTCTTTCTAGTTGCAAAGCACACATGAGAGCATTTTTCTCAATGTTCTTTCCACATTCGAATGAGATCATGACAATTTTAGGAGAAATGATAGTACATCGGCCCTTAAACTGTCTGCTAACGCCTTGAACTTTTTGGAAAAACATGGTGAATACAGCTGATAGATCTGTGATGATAGGATAGCACTGTCCATCATAATTTCGTAATTGAATGACAATTGTCGTTGCAATATATGATGATAATCCTAATCCGAGTTGTACTGGTTTTCCAGAGGTTGCGGACCGTACACTCTTTTCTGTGACAGCTGATACTGCAATGGATCTATTCACAGCTTCTGTGTGCTGGCTGGCAGCTATAGAGGCACTTGGAATTGAATTACTTCCTTTCGAAAGACTTCCAATACTCTGATGGCTAAATACGCTGTTTTTGGATACTTGCCGCTGAAATATTTTGGCTCGCATTTGTATTAATTGTTCTTCTCGCCTTCTATCCTCATCCTCTTGACGTTCCTCCGTCATGTCGTTGAGGAGAGTCTCTGGAATGAACGAGCGAATCTCTTTCATTAATGATGTCAATTCTCGAAAAATTACAAATAGGGGATATATTCTTTTAAAAGATGCCTTAACACTATTATAGAATCGAATTTTAGTTGCTTCATGTAGTAAAGTTGCTCTGTCAATCGATTCAATGGATTCGATAGAAAATAATGGGAAATGATGCATATAGCCGTGATGGCAATCATTATGGCCACAACGCAGCATGGCCATACAACCATAGAGATGACTCCAGCATCCAAAGTAATATTTTGTATTGATAATACAATCAATATAATCCAACTCGCTAGACAGGTGAGGAATAAACTAGATACTGTAAATAGTATCAGAATGAAACGAATAGAGCAAAATATGTCGATGCAGCAAGATCTACCTGTTGAGAAGAGTTCTTTCATGTCATCCAAACTAGCATTACTTTCAGAGGAAGTACTTCCTTGTTGTGACTCATGTGTTGGCAATGGTGCTGATGCTGGTATTTCAGTGCAGACACTTCAGGAGGTAGTGGTGTTACTCTCATCACAGATTGTTTTGTGGTAATTTGTTTTGATGTTATTATGCTGACGCTCAATATGCATTTAGTTTATGTTCGCTCTATCTCTCGATTCAACAACTACGTCGGTTGTTTAAACGGAGAACAACAATGCACATCTCAATTATCCTTACAAAGCAGAGGGGTCAATGACCAGCCATCGAAAAATAGCCGCCAAAGCCGAAATCTCTCCTCCCTTTTTCTAACAAAAGAGGTCATGCATCTTAAGAGATGGTTGCATCTAAAAAAGTCACGAAGTTGCTTATTCGCCTTTTTTGTCGAGAAAGTATAAATGGTAGCATCTCTTGCTCAGGTTGGAGTGAATGAGAGAACATCTTTCTCTGAAATGAGGCAGGTTACTTAGTATCAGACGGAATAATAATTGTTTTAGTAATGATGCAGCAGAGTGTTCGTATGATTATGCTTGAGGGTATATTAGAGACAATGCCATTATTACAGCAAGGATTCGTAGGACACCTCTTGCACAAAAGGGCAATTGTCAATCGTCATTTCTCTCACTTGCTCTTCAACATACTTGTCGTCCTTATTACTGTTTTTCTTAATTGCACCAAGTTGAGAGTAGAGAATAGAGATCACCTTATCGTTGGGATTATTTTGCAAATATGAGTACAATATTTCTTGTATCTCATCAATCCGACTGAAAGTTACCTGTCCTTTCAAACTTTCAAAGGTTTGGCAATATTTTTCAAACTTATTCTGCTCTTCTTGTTGCTGAAGTTCGTAGAACCACTCATCATCTTGTACTTTTTTCTCTGAAATGAGTTGAATTATTGTTTGCTTCGCATTGTCATCATCTAAAGCAAGGCTTTCGCCCTGAATTATAGACCTTCTTGGCATTAAATGAACTGGGCGTGATACAAAACCTTGAAGAGCAATCAAAAGAGAATCATCTGTCAAAATGGTGGTTCCAAATGTTTCATTCAAACTTGCAAGTCTCAAAGCATTGCTTGGACAATTTCCAATGCAAGCTGCATATTTTGTTTGACTCGTTCCAATATTTCCAACCAGACATTCTGAACGAGAAACTCCAATTCCATATTGTAGTACTGGAAGATGTACTTGAGACTCAAGCTGTTCATTCACTGCGTCAATGTGATATTGCAATTGCAAGGCACAAAGTAAGGCGTTTTGCTCTACATTTTTTCCACATTCGAAAGAGATCATTACAATTTTTGGAGAGACAATAGAGCAGCGTCCCTTAAATTGTCTGCTAACACTTTGAACTTTTTGGAAAAACATAGTAAAGACAGCTAACAAGTCAGATACTGTGGGATAGTTGTTACCATTATAATTTCTCAATTGAACGATAATTACTGTGCTGATAAATGATTGTAAACCTAATCCTAATTGAGGTGTATGATGTTTGGTATTGCCTCTATGCTCCTTTCTTTCAATGTTCGCAGTGGACCCTAGAGATGGAAGAGATGGCAAACCAAGCTTTGATACTGCTTTAACCATTTTTGCAGGATTGCCTGATGTAGCACTTTTAACGCTGGGGATACTGCCTATGGATTGCACGCTGGTTTGTGTCACTAATTTTCGTTTCATTTCTGTTAGCTCGTGCTCTCGTTTGTGCTCTGCTTTAATCTCTTTTTCGTTAACGCCTTCTTGTGACGTGTCTCCAATAAGAGTCTCTGGAATAAAAGATTTGACCTCTTTCATGAATTCCAAATAGTCTTCAAGAATTAATGTAAGGGAAAGAAATTCTTTTAAATTTGATTTCATAGGCTCGATGCAATCCAATTTCAAATCTCGCATCAAACTCACTTGCTTGACAAGAGATCGTAGAGGTTTCGATATGACCTTCTTGGAAATGAAATAGCATGCAATGGCGAACACGGGAAGCAGAATTATCAACGAGCACCCAACTATGATAGAAATAATACCCATGTTAATGACAATATTCTGGCTCAGTAATATCATCGATGGGACCCATATCAACAGACCTGTAATGAATAGGTTTACAGCTGTGAATAAAATGAATACCGAGCTAACCGAACATAGAGTGTCCACGCACCAGCCTCTCCCAGTTTCAAAAAGATCCTCGTCATTCTCAATATCGTTACTGTTTGATGTTGAAGAAGTGGTAACGGGTATAAAGGTGGTGGGTATGATTCGATTTCCATGATGATGGCCAATATGAATATCACTAGGAGGAGGATGAGCTGAATCGGTACCGGCGAATGAAGGAGGATACACCGAGCTGCCTCTTCTAGAGCTCGGAACCGCTAAAACATCAAAGGATTTATGGCTTCCACTATGGCTGCTTGCCGTACCAATGACTTGAATGCTCGGAGTAGAACCCAATAAGTTGGAAGCGCTCAACAATGGTGTAACTCTCATCATGATACAAGTGTGTTTGTTGTTGATTCTGGTTAAGCTTGAACAAAGTTAGTATACAAGGCTTGTCTTCGTAATATTTTTTTCGGACCGTACGTTCTTTGAATCCGTATTTGGACTTAAGGCTCAACAAACCAGTTAATAAGGCTTCTAAGGAGGTCGAGTTTTAAAAAAGTAGCCACCCTCTACAAATTTGTCAGGACAGGCCAGTTCCACACTGTGTGTGCGTGTGTGAATTCACACGAGGATATTGTTCAGATCAGAATCATCATGAGATGCCATCCAGTCTTAATTTTAGGAAGTTTCCTTGTCCAGGTTGGATCATCACCTGTCGCCAACAAAAATGCCATTTGTCTTTTTTCAACCAAGTGCACAATCGTAAACTAAGTTCAAATAAAAATTTGGGTCACAATTAACACAAAGCCTCTGATCAGTGTGATTGGAACAAGAAAAACGAACACAAATATCTTGTGTGTCTCAACAACTAATTTGATCAAAGGCTTTGAGAGAAAAAAAAAGAAAATGTCTGGGTCCATTCAGCCAATCAGTACTGAGTTCGCACCACGTAAAGAGAATGGTGATGAAGGAGAGGCTCAAATTCCTGCAGTTCTTGAGAATCAGCAACCAACAACTACGACAACAACGAGTGCCGATAGTCAATTACTTCAAGCTTCTTCTCCAATAGTTATTGGAGGCAACGCAACGACAACGAACACTTCTTCTGATGTTGAAAATGAAGACTTTTATGAACTGGTCACTGATCTCAACCGTCAAATTGGAGTGTTGAAATCCAAGAGAAGTATTTTCAAATATTTGTTGTTTTCATGTTTTGGCTTATTCGTTGCATTGAGCACTGTCTACTTTTTAGTTGGTTTGTGTGTCTATTTTCTAGTCGATTTTGGAAATGTTACCCAAGGACCTCTCTCTTGTCTATTACTCGATAAGGATTGCTATACGAGACAAGGAATCGTTGTCTGTAGAGCCAGAGTCATCTATTCATTCAGAGAATTCCTCACCATCGATGAGTATCCAAGTAATAGTCCAATATGGCCATCGCAACTCAGATCTCAAATGACTTGTTACAAAAATCAAAAAACAACTCAAATTGCCCTTCGCCCCCAAATCGTTTACAATCCGTCTGGAATTCTCATTTCGTCATGTGTATTGTTTGCAGTGGCTGGAATAAGTCTTGGAATAGTGTTGTCAGTCTTCTCTGCTCTCAAAGCATCTTCAAAAAAGAAACGTAAAGTTAAATTCTATCAACAACAAGCATCGGATTGGGTGAAACACACATCAAATGAAGCAGGGGCTGAGAACCAGGACGAAACAAAACCAATTTTGACTGTCACTGCCCACTACAGTGCCACCACTAATCAATAATGCGAGTGCGTGTGTGTGTTTGAGTATGTGAAATGCTCTCGGTATTGATACACTCTTAGTAATAAACATGTTTTTTCAATATTGAATGATCAGTCTATTTCTTTGAGGAACAACTTGAATGTAACTTCTTAATCACTCCATAAATGTAATCAAAATTTGGTCGATCTCTAGGATCTCCTGACCACGAGCGCTTCATCAATTCAAAATATTGCTCAACAATTTCAACATCAACATTGGGTAAATAAATATTGCACCATTCCAACATTTGTTGTTTGTTGTGGAAGGGAATTTTTGGTCGTAAACCTTTTGAGACCACTAAAAGGCAAATACTAAATGGATTTATCAATTGATTTTGAGTGTCATGGCTTGATTTAAATGGAACTGAATCGAACATGTTCATCTTATCACCTGTGTATTTAGCATAGGGTGACTCCTCAAAAAACAATTCCCTAAGGATGTCAGTAATCGTTTAAATAGAATGTCATTATTGTGAAATTTCACACAATGAGTACTCACCACATCATAATTGCATAGCTATAAACATCTGTTCGTTTTGCAAGATCTGATGAAGATATTGAATCATCCTCAAAACTATATTCATTAATGGCATGTTGTTGATGTTCTCCTTGACTAAATGATTCTGGTGATGAATAGAAGAGTGTTCCAATGCTGTACGTCATGGTTGACCGGTCAGTGTTAGAAATCAATTTAGAAGTTCCAAAATCACAGACCTTGGAAGTTCCATTATCTGCAAGCAAAATGTTAGCAGGCTTCAAGTCGCGATGAATGATATTCTTTCCATGTAAATAAATCATTCCGGCAGATATATCCAATAGTATTTTAAGCTATCCGGTGGATGGCATTGTCAACCAGTAAAGTTCATTGAAGCTTACCTTAGTTGCCATATCCAACTTTTTGGACTTTCCATTTCTACATTCAGTAATTAATTTTTCTAAACTTCCTCTCTGTAAATATTCAACGACAATAAACTTTTTAGACTCCGTGAGGCACACACCAAAGAAGGTCACAATATGTGGATTTCGTAATTGGCTCAATAAGTAGACTTCCTTTTCGAAATCTTGATTCACAGATTCTTCGTCAGTTTTTTCTTGAATTACTTTTACAGCAACTTCGCTGGTGCCATGTAAAATTGCTTTAAAACACACACCGAAGGTTCCTGCTCCAATCTTTTCTACGAACTCGAGTTCGTTGGAAGGAATAATATAACTCTGGTGGTCGTACTGTTTCATTGATGCCAGAAGAGGAGTTGTATCTTTCACAACATAAGAAATTTCTTGACTTCTAATTTTCTTTTCAATTTCTCGTTCAGCTTTTTCTCTTTCGTTCAATCTGTTAATTTTAACCATTACACGCCTTATAAACACGGACATGATGGTTCCAATACTCACACCAATCAACAACGTCAGTACTGAGAGGACAATGATGAGAGGTAAAAACATGATGAAATTACTTTTCCTTCTACATGTAGCTACCACTAAATTTGAATACATTTCGTAATCGGATGGGCATGTACGGAGTTGAAGAGCAATGAGGAATGTAAGCTTTGTGAACTTCACAATGAGAGTCACATTATTTGGAATAAAGGTATAGGCAATATCAATTCCAACGTCAAATAAAACGCTGTTAGCATTATTCGATTCTACTGATGTCAATCTTAATAAATTCGTTGCGTTGACAATGTAAATATCCATCGATTCAACATTTTGTGAAATTATTTGACCATAGCTGTCGTAGAACTTGGTAAAAGTTAAATTACATTTTTGACCCAAGTAAATCGAATTTGTGTGTAGTGGAGAAGAGTAGTCATCCATGTCTCTTAATTGCCATTCCACTTTGGCAATAGTTGTGGCTTTGTTTTGCCCATATCCAACAATGACCTTATTATCTTGATATGTAATGTCGTCTTCAGTAAGGATGTTCGTTGAGTTTTTTAAGAATAGACCTCCACCTGCGTAGTATGCTGTATTGTTCTCCAACGAAATGGTAGCTAAAATGGTTCGTGAATCGGATTCAATAAACATGCATCCACCTCTGATAGCTGTATTATTATGGCAGTCTACATTGGACATCAATACTTGTGCACGGCCTTGCTCGGGTATGTCACGTTCTATAGTTAAGGCAAGAGCACCTCCTGAGCCGAAGTTCTGTTTGGAAGAGTCCTGCTCCGTTCCTATGCTAGGCGGATACGTAACGGAATTGTTGTAAAATTTGCTCATATTGATTTCAATTTGTGATATGTGAGTATTGTAAATTGCTCCACCATACAGCTGAGCTCTATTTCCTTTAAATACACACAGCGTGACTGTTAAATGAACTTTACGTGATGCAAATATGGCACCTCCTCCCCGAGCCCTATTGTTTCGGAAGGTGCATTGTAATATGGAAGCGTAAGAGGGATCTTTTGTTGAAGATATGAATATTGTTCCATAGACCTTCACTTGATTGTTATAGAAATGGCAAAAATCCGCTTGTATGTTGGCTATTTCTAGTAAGTTCACTATTGAATCTCTTCCAATATTCTGTCCAAAAAGAATGTTGTACATGTTCATGTTATCCACATTTTCTGCTCTAACGGCAGACTGTGAATAGTTACCGTGAAAGAATTGAGAATTAGTAATATCGATAGAATATGAATTTTCAAAATACAATGCAATTTTGGCATTCACATTATACACCTTGCTCTCTACAAACGAAAAGAAAAATACCAAATTGATATGTATAATTATTGGTGGACTGCCCATTGCATTGGTTGAATCAATAGCGGTAAATTCAGAGCTGGAAATATTCACTGATCTCACCACTGATAGTGATAAAGACGTTGAGAAGCAGTTTGTTTCGACAATGGAAATTTCATCAATGTTTTGAGCATAAATATCGGACTTGTAAATTGAGCTTCCATGCAATGAAAAGCTATCTGCTCCAAAAAACGAAGCTGTTGAAGAGCTCATTGTTACGTTTTCAAAAACAACTTTCTCTGGTTCAGAAAAGGTAACAGAAACATTTTGAATATTTCCGCCACAATAAAGTATGTGCATAATTTTGCACTCGGTAGTTTCAAAATTTTTCATATTGGAGTCATGCACCATGGAAACGCAGTCTACCTTAATATTTTCCATTCGCATTCCGATCACTGCAATTGCGGTCACTAACTGTATCTGTCCAAGGTTTGTATTCGTGTCAAAAATCCGCCCATCATGCCTCGAACAATTAATTAATGGTTGTTGATCCAATGATTTGTATTCATTCCGCTGATGTGACTGAGAAATAAAAATTACTGATGCTCTAAAATTGTATCGAATGAGGTAATAGGCTGGAAAAGAATATGGAATTTGACAATTTTCGTCTTGATCCAATAAATCTTTGACAATGACAATTCGCAGAATAACTTGTGTACACGGTGTCGAGTTAGCTTTTTCATACAATTGCTCAATGATTGGCCTAGAAAAATTAAATGCTTTTTGTAACGAAGGACAAATAATTTGTTGATCATCCATCGTGTTACATAAAACTCCATTTGTGATTAATACATCAGGATCAATAATAAAAGTTAATTCTGTTCGGAATGGACATCCATTGGACATGAGTTCAAAAATGTCATACGAGGAGCAATTATAATTGTTATATTCATTCAACACTGGCAGTGTTCGACGATTTTGAAAACGAGTAGTTATGAGCGATTCCTCTTGTGGTTGAATTGGATGATTTCGAAACCAATCCGAATGTAATGTTTTGTTTTTCCTAATGCTCATGTTATTCCTCCACCTCACAGTATTTCCATCATATTTAGCGAAAACATGAATCGGAACAGTGAGTAACAAGAATATGATCATCAATGAGCCCAACGTTGTACCATTTCGTAGTATGGATTGAAGAATCCTCGAATTTCTATTGCAATGGTCGCAAGGGTTGTGCTGACGATGGAACATGGGCTATTGCATGAGAGATTATTTTTGATTTTTTATTTCGAAAAAACACTCGCAGTTATTATGTGCACAGGCTTGACATAACGAACCACAGGAACAATCTGGCACCTTTCCGAATATGATCAGCAGAAGTGTAGGGATTTTATTTCGACATGAAGAAACATTTGGAGATTGTTAACAAAATCAATGCAAAGGTTCTATGAAGTATTCCTATTTTTCAAAATAGAGAATTCATTTTGAAGGCAATCAAAGTGAATGGAGCTTGTCTCAAGTTTGTATCAAATAGCGAAACTGTTGGAAGATTTGGAATTGGACGAACAAGCCGTCAAGCAGAATAGTTTTGTTTTTTTAGCTTCGACCATTCTCTCTTGGCTTTATCACTTGAGAATGAAAGAAGGTCGGAGCTTACATCCAAGTACACACGTGTATCTATTCGAAATATCGAACTGCGTAACAAACATCATTTTCATCAGAAGTGAGTACACCAGTGATGGAATATCCTTATATTTATTTTAAGGTAATCTACACTCATTTCAAAACGGATAAATTGAAATAGAGGATACTTAGAGCCACAAATTTCGAAGAGACATACATTGGAGAATTTAGGAGTTTCCTAGCTTGATGCAGTCCAAATTACACGCCTAACTTTTGCTCTAGTTTCATGTTAAATTGCTCACATTGAAGCATTGCTGGTGTTTTTCTAGAAGTACTACTTGGAAGTAATCTCTTTCGATTATTCACAAACCATGTTTCTAATTGATCCTTGGTCATGGACACTCTTTCCAACAATTCCTCCTTTTCCTCATCTGTTGGATATGGATATTCAGCATGTTTATGGAGCCAGTCAATGAGAAGTTCTTTATCCTTCTTTGAAAAATTACTTCTCTTTCTCTTCTTTGACATGGAGCAATCTGCTGAATTTGAATCATTTTCAAAGTCTCCTCCTCTTGCTGCTGTAGAAACTGAATCTTGTGGCGAGCTTGAATCTTGTTGAGAAGAGCTTCCTCTTCTGGATCTCTTCTTCAAGTTGTTGCTCGAGAGCATTTCTCTAAATTCTTCCTCGATATTTCTCAGAGTGGACGACAAGTGAGAATCATATTGGTTAAAAGTATTTTCAATTTCATTGAGAGTTGTAGAAAATTTTGCTTCCATAATTTTCTTAAACATGACATCAATGTTGGTTGTATTGCTAGCAGGTGTTGCTAGTGATGATGATGATTGAGAGTGGTGATGATGAGGACCAGTGGAAGTGTTATTGCTGTGTTGTGTTGTATGAAGGGTTATATTATGAACATGATGGGAAGAGGATGGATGATTGGATGCACCTGAAGAATGCATACTTGGAAAACGATGTGTTTGTTGTGAGCTGGTTATTGTTGGAAGAGAGTAAGAGGCGGAAGAAGAGTTGTAGGAAGTATGTTGTTGATGAGGATGGTAATTTGAATGGTTATGATGGTTCTTCATGGATGTCGTGGTTGGCATTGCCGTAACGAGAGAGGATTTGATCATCATGTTTTCTTTGAATTAATCGTTTTGATGAAATTAGGAAATTTGACAGAAAGAAGAGAGGTCTTGTTGGATTTGTTTGCTCTTTTTCTTTAAAAGTGAGTGAACAACATGCAGTATGTTGACGCGTTTAACCCTGTTGTAGAATGACTTGGCGCTCGTTTTGTAGTTGCAAAAATGTCAACTGTCACTCAGGTTGTATTGACCAAAGGGTCAAATTAAGGGAAACGTAGAACTGTACATTGGAGGGAATGGACAATGTGGAATGGTTGGGCTTACTACAATTTGACCGCGAATATTGGATGACATGGTGGCAACTCCCGCCAATCCTAACCGTAATTTAAAAGTTGAAAAAAATACGATGATTTCATTTAATCAGGGAAAGGCAACACAAAACTCATCAAAAGGATTGTGGCATCCGAATATTGATACGAGAGGAAAAAAAGGAACGTATGCCGTCATAACGAAAGGAGAGTTTGAAGGCATCGTTAGCCAAATCAAACAAGATCGAGACCTTGAAGAAGAAAAGATGGAAAAGAAACGACAACTCAAAGAGTTATCCGATAAAAGAGTGCAACATTGGGGAAACACCATTGATGCTGTCAGAATTAAACAAGAACAAGAGAGAGAGGAGAGACTTCGGGTTAAGGAAGAAGAAAATCAAAGACTGGAAAGAGAAGAAGCCCTCTATCAAGCCGAGATCAAAAGAAAACAAATAGAAAAACTCAACAAGATGAGAATGATGGAAGACGACAGAGTGAAAGGATTTTCTGGAAAGATGCTGTTGGGAGAAGTCTTGAAAGAGCGCGAGAGACAAATAGAAATTAAAAAACAAATTGAACAAATGGACAGAGAAATTGAAAATGAATGGTTCATGACACAGAAGGATCAACTTCTCAAAACTGCTCATGAAAAACAGCTTCAAGCACAAGAAGCAAAGGAAAAGGCCAAAGAGCTCAAGCTCGAGCAAGAAAAGCAGCTTGAGGAAATCAGACAATTGCACTTGAAGCGAATTGAGGAGCTTGAAAAAGAGAAAGAGCAAATGAGACAACATTTAATTGCATTGTCACAAGAAGAAGAAGAAAGAAAGCGAAAAAAGAAAGAAATGCAATTTGAAAGCACAGCGCAGTTCAAAAAGGAGAGAGAAATTCAAGAAGAAAGAAAGAAACGCCTGGCCGAATATGAAAAAGAGGAGCAACGAAAGATAATGGAGTTCTCTAAAGAAAAGGAAGAAAAAAGAGAAGAACAGAGGAGAAGGGAGGAGGAACGAACCAGAGAAAAAGTTAAATCTCGACAAAAACTCATCGATAAGCAAGCAAGAATGCTTGAGGAAATGAAGGCAAACGAAAAAGAACGATATATTAAACAAGAGCAAGAAATGGAAGAGAAAAAGAAAGAGGAAGAAGAGCGACAAGAACAAAAACGAAAAGCATTTATGGAAGCCGTTGACAACAGCCGAAAGCAGCAAATACAGTTCAAAAAGATGGAAAAAGAAAAAGAAAAGGAAATTGATAAAATTTATGCTCAACAAGCCAGAGAACGATTTAAGCAAATGGCCATAGAAGATTTTATTGAAAAGAAACAACAACAAGAAACATGTAAACAAGTGCAGGACTATCAACTGAGCCAAACGTTCGAAAAAGACCAAAAACGGATTGAGGAGCTCAAGAATATCAAGAAAGAAGGTATTTTGCTTGAAAAAGCAAGGAAAAAAGAAGAAAAGATGCTTTCGAAATTTATTCGAGAAAATATTCTTACAACGGAGCATGATGAAGGGTTAGTTGATACTAGACCTGCTATTGATTATGCCAGAAAGAATAAAATTGTTCTGTAATGGTCGAATGTAATTGAAAATAAATAATTTCAGAATTGTTAAAACAATATTTGAGTTAATGTAAGTACATTATTGTTGAATTGAAAAGCAAATAATGATGCTCAATCTCAAATTTCAATCTCCACAATAACATGAGTGATTTCGTGACCAATAGGCCTTGGCAATTTAAATGATAATCTAGTGAATCCGCTGTCATTAAAGAGTAAATCTTTCACAGATGTTTTCGAATTTATGAGAATTTTAGAATCATGGGGATTCACTAGATTGTGATCTTCCGATAGCGCTGATGTTGTTTTGAATTGATCTGGTATTGTTGAAATTATACTCCATTCTCCATGATCGACATCCACAAAAAGGATAGCTGAAATACATTCTTCGATCCTCGATAACGAGTCATTCCGATGGACATGAAACTCGTTGGTAATGTGTATTGTTTGTTTTACTTGTATTTCGTTTTGTGGAGTAACTTGAAGAGGTTTCATCACACTCAAAGTGTATGAAACACGAACCGTGACGCTCGCTTGATTTCGTTCCATCATTTTTCTTTGTTGGTAAAATTATTAATAAATGTTAAATAATATGACCAAAGAAGAAAAAGAAGGATTTTTGAAAGTGAACTATAGGAGCGTATGAAAATATTAAGAAAATTCACCCTCCACTCGTTTTTCACAAACGCATTCATCATTAGAAATTTAAAATCCACTTTATTTTTTGGATGATGAATTAAAAAAATTCTCAGCATAGTTCTCCCATCATCATCATCACAATGACAGACAACAGAGAACACATTCTGAAGGCTGTTGGCTTGAACGAGAAGGATATTTTCAATCTTACAAAGAACGAGGGTTTAACAACAAAATTCCTTCAAACTATCAAGGATCTCCAAATACCAATTGATAGCCATTCAGATGCTTTCAATTATTCTTGCGGACCTCTCATTCTGAAACTCATCCAATCCGTACCCGATACATATAGCCACCGATTATTGATGGCTGAATATATTGCAAAGGGTAAAATCAAGAGTGGTGTCCAAGTAGAGGAGGCCATCAAGTATGCCAAGAAGGGTGATCAATCATTCAATGTAAATGAATTCGAACAAGAATGTGGTGTTGGTATTGACGTGAATGAAGAAATGGTCTCTAAATATGTTTCTGAATATATTGAAAAGAACAAGTCAAGTATTTTGAAGGCTGGACCAAATGTCGGAAAGCAAGTTGGAGCTTTACGTAACGAATACAAATTGTTGAAATTTGCTGATGGTAATATTGTCAAGCAAGTCGCTGAAAAGCAACTCCAATCATTCTTTGAACAAAACAAGAGCTCTGTTCCAGTCGAAGAACCAAAACAAACTGACAAGAAGGAAACAGTTGCTACAACAACACCGCCACAACCACAAAAGAAGGTCTATAACTTTGATGCTCGTTTTCTTGAAACAGCTGTAAACCCACCTGAACTATTGGAAAAGCATAAACAAGCAACTGGTGGAAAAGTTATGACTCGTTTCCCACCTGAACCAAACGGTTTCCTTCACATTGGTCACGCTAAGGCAATGAATTTGTCATTCGGGTATGCCATGTCAGAGGGTGGTTGTACTTATCTCCGTTACGATGACACCAACCCTGAAAAAGAAGAAAAGATTTACTTTGATTCCATCAAAGAAATGATGGAATGGCTGGGATTCAAGCCTTTCAAGATTACTTATACCAGTGATTACATGGATCAAATGTACGACTTTGCAATTCAACTCATCAAAGAAGGAAAAGCCTATGTTGATTTCTCATCAAAGAAGGAAATTCATGACCAAAGAGAAAATAAGATTGAATCAAAATATAGAAATACTACTCCTGAAGAAAACTTGAAGAGATTCGAAGAAATGAAGAAGGGTATGTATGACGAAGGTCAAGCCGTACTTCGTGTTAAAATTGATATGAAAAGCGACAATTACAATATGAGAGACTTTGTTGCTTATCGTATCAAATACACTGCTCACCCTCATCAAGGAGACAAATGGTGTATCTATCCAACTTATGACTTTTCACACTGCATTGTTGACTCTTTGGAGAATATTACTCACTCCTTGTGTACACTTGAATTTGAAAACAGACGTGATTCCTATTATTGGTTATTGGCTGCTTTGAATCTTTACAGACCACATGTTTATGAGTTCAGTAGATTGAATATCACAACTGCCTTACTTTCGAAGCGTAAGGTCTTGGCATTGGTCACAAACAAGACCATCCGTTCTTGGGATGATCCAAGAGTGCTGACCTTGGCTGGTTTGAGAAGACGTGGTTACACACCTGAAGCCATCAAGTCATTCTGTGACGACATTGGTGTCACACGTGTTGAAAATTTGATTCCTATTGAAAGATTGGAACAATCTCTTCGTATGGATTTGGATGAACGTGCAAATCGTGTTTTCGCTGTTTTGGAGCCTCTAAAGGTTGTTCTTACAAACTATGATGCCAACAAGGTTGAATATGTTGAGGCAAAGAACCATCCAAAGTACCCTGAAAGAGGATCCCGTCAATTGCCATTCTCAAGAGTTCTGTACATTGAAAAATCTGACTTTAGAGAAGTTGATTCTGAAGATTATTATGGATTAGCTCCTAATAAGACTGTAGGACTTAGATTTGCTCCATGTCATATTCACTGCGACAAGGTTATCAAGGACGAGTCTGGCAATATCGTTGAATTGCACTGTACTGCTGATTTCGAGAAGAAAGTTAAACCAAAGACATTTATTCACTGGTTAGCTCAAACTGCTCCTGGCGTTGATCCAATTTCAGCTGAAGTGAGATTGTATGAAAAATTGTTCACTGTTGACGATTTGGATGAAGTTGGAAACAAGTGGATGGATTACATCAATCCAAAATCAGAAATTGTGATTCAAAACGTATTTGTGGATCCAGTGTTTAAAAATCCAAAGAACTGCCAAATTTACGAGAAGTATCAATTCGAAAGAGTTGGATACTTTGTTGTTGACCAAGATACTACTGATGATAAGCTAGTGTTTAACAGATCCGTGACACTTAAGGTTGATCCAAAGTTCTTGAAATCGTTGAAATAAAAGTTAAAAAATTTTGCTAGCCTTTTTTGATTTACTGCTTGTTTTTCTTGTTCATCCAAAAATGTCGTGCAAGCGTTTACAGTAATTCGCACCTGGTTCTTTTCGTCTCAACCATGCTCTTTTGTCGTTATCTGAAGAAGCCTGCTCATAAAATTTTTGTTCTGTACACCTATTGGACAAGTAATGTTTGTAGTCTGATAGCACCGTTTTTCGATATTGGGTGTGAATGGTATCTCCATAAATGGCCAACACTCGTGGAGAGTAATAAATTGGTATTTCAATATTTTTCCCTCTTGGAGAGTAAGTGATAGAACGTTGTTCAGAAAATGAGCCAATCGACTCAAAATGATAGTATCCATTACCATATACCTCGTTGTAGCTTGCTGACGGTTTCTGAGGGAAAAAATTACTGAAAAATGAAGGCAGAATTGAAAGTGCAAGAATCACGAAAATGAGTGACAATTGAATACAACCAAACGTGAAAGATGGAGTGTTTTGAGCATCTGTATCTTCTTCTGCGCGTTGATACTGTCGTCTTTGCCTCCTTTGATTAGGTGACATGTATACATTTCTTGCTCCAAACATTTGTGAAAAAAGATCAAAAAATATTTCATCTTCGTCCATGCCTCCGTGATTTCCTCCATAATAATAAAATCCTCCATTGGTTGAGAAGGCACCTCTTCTTCTTCCAAACATGGCTTCCTGTTGACTCATTCCAATTTTTTGTCGATCGTCTGTTCCATAAGCATCATATAATTTTCTTTTCTCGTCATCACTCAAACACATATAAGCAGCTCCGATAATTTTAAAGGCTTCTGTGGCTTCTGGAACAGAATTTCTATCAGGATGAAATTTTAGAGCTAACTTTCGGTATGCTTTTTTAATTTGTTCTTTGGTGGCGGTCTTCTCAACTCCTAACACCTTATAATAATCATCTTTAAGTTTCAATAGAGCTAATACTTCCTGTCGTTGCTCATTCGTATAGGTTGGAGTTGAAGGAGAATCGTCTGTTGAAGAGGACTGACCGTTGGTTGCTGAATGTGATCGAGAGGTTGATGCTGACGCATTTGATGATGATGCATTATGTGAAGTTGGTTTGTGATGTCTTTTTGAAAGAATATATCCAGTTAAATCATCCAATGATTTGAAATGTCTATCAAAACCATGCTCGGATGGATTTATGTCCTCGTAGAGCTTTTTAGCCTTGTTAATGAGACGAATGGCTTTATCATAACATTCATCGGGGTTGGATGATGATGATGCTTCAATAATTGATTCTTTGACAATATGAAGACATTGAATAGCCGAATCTTTGTTAGCCTCCATGATGATGAAAGTGTAATAAATATATTGAAAGTATTTGTTGTTTCTAATTCAATGTATTCTCTCTGGAAAACAACAAGGATCTTGTATCGGGAATTTTTAATATTTTTTTGGGTGGTTGTTTTTCATGATCCAACACGTGTCAAAAAGAACGTTATCTTCTCTTGCTTTTCCATCAATAATTAAAGTCAGTACTTTGAATTTTTTGGAGATGTGGCACAGGGACTACGTCTTAGACAGTTCTTACAAGACTTTTTCGATTGTTTGGTCCTTCTCCAGTTTGGATTGAAACCAATGAGTTTTTATCAATCCAATTATAGGAACACAGTAATCATTAAGTCCCTTCTCTGTCAAAGCTTGAAAGACGAACATCATCATTAAACAACACACATGACCAATATTGGGTTGGGTGATAATAGCTTCCATTTTTATTTTTCCATCATTCTAATGTACTTGTTGATTCTTCTGTCGCTTAGTCTACAATCAACATTAATGATGGAAAATAAGGAAACAATATCAAGATCTTGGAATTGATTTGTGGCGGCTGAGAGATGTGTCAAAAAGTACATTATTCTTTCATAGTCTGCATGAAGCAATTCTTGCTGATAATAGATTAAAATACCAATAGTGCATGAATATAGGTACAAACGGCCATGAACCAGATAGCCATCCCAAATTCTTGCAACAACATCTAATGGAAGAGACTTGCTGAACAGAGTCATGAACCAATCGATGATAAAGACAGAAAATTCAATTTTCAACTCCTCTACCATGTGTTTGTAGAGCGGCATATGATGTTCCCTTAATAATATTCGCACAAATTTCACATGCTTATCAATATAATCTGTGTTCATGCTAAAGAATGGAATGAAGTGGTTGCTGCTGTATAAAGTGTGATAATTGGCCGTAAATGCAGCCGTTCTCTTCTTTGGACCAAACAATAAGGAGGATACAATCGAGGAAGCAGATGAGGAGGATGTTGTTGCAGAGGTGGCGGCCGCTCCGGCGGGTGTTCCAACCAAACTCATCGCTAATGGATTGGAATTGCACTTAGATCTGTGTAGCAAATTGCAAAAACAAACGAAAGCATCGTACTCATCCATATAAAGTAAAAGAGTAGCGACAATGTAGCTCATTCCTTGTACATAACCAATATCAGGTCTGAACTTTGAGTAGCATTCCAAAATTGTTTTGAATGGTTGATAATAAGGACCGTCAGGATATTGGAAAAATTGTAATGCTGGAAATGTTCTTGATAGATCTACCTGAATCAAGTCAATAGATGATGATTGTTTTTCAAAATTGGTAGGAATATTTCTCTTATCCTTCAAAATTGCATAAAGTTCTGGTGTAATTTGTAGCTCATTTCCGACAGACATTGGCCATATTTTGCTTCTTAGTGGGCTGGGTATTCCGTTTCTGTACCACTTTTTATACATAGTCTTATCAATACATCCAAATTTTTCTATGTGTGGCATAATAGTATGATGCCAATAATCAATATTGCCTTGGATTAACTCTTCCTTCTCTTTCTCTTTTTTGAGTTTTTCCTTTTCTTTCAAAGATTTTTCAATCAATTGTTTTTGCAGTTTGATGTTTTGTTGAATCATGTCAATTGTTATTTCGCCATTTTCAGCTGTTCTGAGTGAAGACCTTTTTTGCTCTCCACTTGACAACACCGAAGATGAGGTTGTAGACGATGATGAGTTTGATGTAGTTGAACTGCTCCTAGACCTGAGTTCAGTGCTAGAGCTGGTTGTGGAAAGAGTAACAGTCCTTGCTTCGTTGAAGGTTGGCTGTGGAGCAAATTCTTGAGAGCTGTTGTTGGTTTCATGATGCATCTTTCCATGATGTTCATTGTGTTCGTCCGCTTTGGTGTTGTTGTGATGGGGTGATGTTGTTGGTTGATGAGCCGCTGCTGAATGAGTGGGGCTGCTATGATGGTTACTATCTTCATGAAGGTTGTTGTGTACAGTCTTTTTGTCTAGGTGATGAGCTGAACCACCATTATCATGATCCCAATGGTCCGAATTGTTTGAGATTTTTCCAACCACTGCCTCATCAACACTATTGGTTTGAGTTGAGTATGTCAGCTCAAACTCATCATCCGACGATGAACCAGACATGCTTGTGTTGTATATTTGTTATGATGAAGAATTTACTTGTTGTAAAACAATACCACTCCGATAATAATGGCTCTCCAAGTCTCGGTCTGGGAGGTTGAAATTACGATCGTCTATTTTCTAAGAATTTTTTTGGCTCTATCACCATAATGAACCAACACCCAACTGCAGCGTGCTCATTGTTGGAAGTATTCGTTATAGGCTGATGTTTCAAGATCACCCATGACATTAATCGTTCTATACCACTTGCATGAGTTGGTATGCCCTTGCATGAGTCTCGGAATGGACACGTGTATGGAAAATAACAGTCCAAAGGAAAAAATTTCTGTTATTCATTCTGTGTGAGTCAAACTCTTACCATTTCATCATCACGTAATCCTCTCACCCGATACTTGTCAGAATTTATCGAGTGAGTGAGTTTCAATAATCATCATCAACACCACGAATATTGTGAATTTTATTTATACACTGGACTATGGATAATAACAACAAACTCTCGTCATCATCATCACTCTTGCTGTAAATAGCTACCATTCAAACATAACAATTATTATTATTGCGGAATACAATAATCACAACATGACTATACATAATAACTCTTTGAAATATCATCCAGCGACAAACTCGTCAAGTTCTTTCAACACATCAACAAAACACCTGCAGAGGCTTTCTGGAGAGATACCTCCTCGGTTAGGTTGGAACACTAGAGTGATTATACTTGTAGTCGTTCTTTCAATTTTGACTTTCCTTTGTACATATGTGCCGACAGAAGTGTCATCCGACTCTACTTTCATGTTTGTGAAAGGAGAAAAAACGAGCAAACAATTAGCAACCAACTTGACAACGCGATTAACGACTCCAAAAGTTAAAAAACCAACAAAGAGAAAGCCTACGAATAATTTATCACTTGTTTACAAGAATGACTACTTGTCACAACATCGATTTACCTATCTCGTCACAACATTGAATGGCCATGTTCATGCAATTGATCAATTCAACCTCCAAACTCTTTGGGTTTCAGATAAAGTTGGAGGGCCATTGATACGTACTTCGAAACAGTATAGCGAGATCCAAGTCATACCATCAATCAATGGAAACCTCTATTTATACAAACAAGGAGAAGGTATTCAAAGACTTCCAATGTCGGTGAACGAGCTTGTAAACAAAAGCCCATTTTATGGAAATGATGGAACTCTCTACGTCAGTTCAAAAACGAGTGACGTTTATCTTATTAATATCCATACAGGAGAAATTGTTGAGGACTCAAAAGCTCAATATCTTGATATTATCACACTTGTCAGAGTGAACTACAATGTCATGTCATTGGATGCACATGACAATTCACTAATTAAGTGGAATTTTACTTACTCTGAAATTTATCCATTATATCAAGAAAGGGTGGACGACAAAATGGGAGCTCTTTCGACAGTTGACAATCATTTATATTTATTCAAAAGAAAATCGAGTAGAAATATTGCTAATAGCATTGGTCAGGCTGTTTCTCTTGCCTTTGAATCTCAACCAATGTTTGTTTATCGACAACTAAACGTTGCTCACAGAATTTCTTCAAGTCCTCAATCTGACAAGTATAGAGATGAGTTTGTGTTCAGTAAGATTATCATGCCAATACAGGAGCTATCGATATCTATCCTCACTCAACAGAATGAACAAACCATCCATATCAAACACAACAAGCTGATAGATTCGTTCTATGCATTAGAACTTCCAAAGAATTTACCGCTGGTGATTGTATCTGACAAGAAAAGCCTATCTTTACAAAGTAATGACGACGTTTTAACATTACCTTCGATAGATGTTCAAGAACCACCAAGAACAACCACTCTTAACACCAGGCTTGGAAACAACGAACATCAACTGTTAATCGATAATAAGGTTTGGAATACCAACGATATCATTAACGACAAACAGAACAATAATTCTCATGATCATGCAGTTGAGAATTATACTCTTATTGTTGAAAATCAAGATGACCTTCATCCAAACATTGTTCAAAAAGACGATCAATATTATTATATTTTGAGTGACGATGATGAAGGTGGTGCTCAATTCGATCAGAATTGGCATGAAAAGTTTACTGTTGCTTTTATAAGCGCTAGCTTGATTGCAGTTCTCTCTTTAACGACCATTGCCATTGTCATTTTCATAAAACAACGCGAAGAGCGAAGAAAAAAGAGAAAGGAACGAGCTTCGGAAGAGGCAAAAGAGGCTTCTGAAAAAGACTTAAACCCTTCTGATACTAACGGAAATGCAACAGGAACACCTGGCTCTTCTCCTTCCTCAGGATCAACTCCAGTATCTAGTAACACCAATGGCTCTGAATATACAATTGGAAACATTACTCTTTTCTATAATGAAATTCTTGGATATGGTAGCAATGGTACAATAGTATATAATGGTGTATTGAAATATAAGATTAACGACTCATACATTGTCAGAAAGGTGGCCGTAAAGAGAATGTTGAAAGATTTTGTTAAATTTGCTCAAAAAGAAATTTCTCTTCTCATCGAGAGCGACAGTCACACTAACATTTTGAGATATTATGCACAGGAAGAGGATGAACAATTTATATACTTGGCTTTAGAGCTTTGCAATGGGGGAACTCTGGAACAATACTTACAACAACATCCTGACCTGAGTTATCCTGAAAGACAAAGAATACTTAAACAACTTGTAATGGCCATAGATCACATTCATCAGCTAGGAATTGTTCACAGAGATTTGAAACCTGCTAACATTTTATTAGATGAAGAAGGAAATATTAAACTGAGTGATATGGGTCTTGGAAAGCGATTGGAACAATATCAAAGCTCATTCTATGAGTTGTCTAGCATCATTAATACACGACATGGAAATAGTGGAAGTAGTAGTAGCGAAGGAACTGGAGATGACCACGGTACGGGAAGCAAAAACAAGAATGCAGCCATTGTTGGAACGATTGGTTGGCAAGCACCTGAAATTTTATTTCACATTGAGCAAACTCTCCAACAAATGGAAAATGCTTTGGAACATCCAACTACTCAAACTGGTACTGAAGTTCCACCCTCAAGTACTATTAGCGGATCAACAAATGCTTCAACTCTCCAAAACAGAATGACTAAGGCTGTCGATATTTTCGCTTTGGGTTGTATCATTTTCTTTGTGTTAACAGGAAAGCATCCATTTGGAAGAAGATCGGAACGAGAATGGAACATTTTAAATAACAAACCTGTGGCGTTGTTAGAAGAAGCGAACAATCAATCGAGACAGAACCAAAAGAAGAGGAAAAAACATTTCTATAGAATTGATGCTTCTGTACTCAAACTAATTTGCGAGGAATTGATCGTGCCTGATCCAACAAAACGTATTAGCGCAGCACAGCTTCTCAAGCAGTGTCTATTTTGGGATTATGGCCTCAAGTTAAACTTTTTAAGCGATGTCAGCGATCAACTTGGAAAAGAGCCAGAAAATATTGTCTACAAAATGCTTCAAGAGAATGCAGAGAAAATTTTCAATGGAAATCCTACTTGGGACACACAAATTGACGATGTTGTCTATCAACAAATCAAAGCTGTCAGAAAATATGACTATACTAGAGTTTGGGATGTGTTGAGATGCATTCGAAATTTGAAATCACACTATCGCGAATATCAATTACAGGAAACAAAACTTTTGAGATGTGGGTGTGAAAAGCTTCCAGATGCCATTTTCGTTTATTTTGATTTAGAGTTTCCTCATCTCTTTCCTGTTGTGTACGAACTTGTCAAGGAGAACTGGTCTGATAGAGCACAATTCAAAAAGTATTTCTACTAAATATACTGCTTGTTGTAGAACGATGAAGATGATGTATCATTATTGCTAGAGTATGAAACACTTGCAGTCGACTGCAAGTTACTAGTTGTCACGTTAGTCATTTCTTGAATTTTCTTTTTCAAAAGCCTATTTTCTTCGAGGAGCCGCTCTACTAAGTCCTGATGCGCTTGAGTTTCCAAGTCACCATTTGCCAAAAGCTGGTTTTCGGTAGTGTTGGTTGTTGGTTGTGAAGAAACTTGCTTGAACATACTTCTCACAGATCTACGCGTCGCTTCATAATGCTCATTGATCATTTGGTGAAGTTTTCTTTCCTGGTCATAGTGTTTGAGCCTTTCTTCTTTCAATTCATACTCCAACTTTTTCACGTCATGCTCGAGCTTGTCAATAATGTATCGAAGGTCTTTCGGTGTTGCTTTACTGTACTTGTCATTACTAGAGTTGCCGAAATGTTTGTTCCACTCCTCACAAACCTTATTAAGGTGTATAATTTGAGATCTCTGCTTGGAATATTCATTAGCGAATTCCGTTTTAATCATCTCTGTTAATTTTTTAATTTCGTCTGCCATTTCAACGAGGTGCCTATATGCTCGTGTTTTTTCACTATATTTCCCTTTTGATTTCTCAAGATAGAAGTTACACACTTGAACAATGTCGTCACATGTTGCCTTTGGAAGCGTTCGATAAGACACACCATTAGATACAGCATTTACTCGAGGGATAGGAGGTTTAATGCAATCATTAATAATTTCGCTTCGTAAAGGCTCCTCCTCCTTCTTAGTGTGCTTTGTTGACGCATGTTGCTCCCGATGATGACATTTAGGACATTGCTTGAGAAGTAAATTGTAGTACAAGGACATTTGAGATTCATCCCAACCTTTCGGAAAGTTTACAAATTGTATTTTATCCTTTCCCGAAGGTGAATGTATTGAAGAAATTGCGCTTTCCAGAGTACAGTTTTGAACGGTACCCTTCAGTGTACTGCTCGGTTTTACGTGAGTTGATAAAGTATGACAACATGAGGTTGATGGTGTTGCGATTGTGTTCATTTGATTTTTTTTGCTCAAATTGTACTCACTTGGCGCCAATATGCAACTCAAAAAATTGAACATCATCAAAGCTTGCAACCAACTCATGAGGTCCTTTGGAATGTTATATCATTGAATCATTCAAAATTATAATAATAACTCTCTGGTGTTTTTTCTTTCAAAATTCGATTATTTAATTATTTATTGAATGAGCAGCAGTAGAAGAAAGTATTATAAAGGATCGGAACCTGCGTTCAATACTAATACATCCGTCAAAAAAACAAATCATCGAGTTCCTTTTACGTTTATATCATCAATACAAGAATCTCAAAAATCAAAACTCGATTCAACAGAGCCTAAAAACAAAAAACCGTCTCAAGTATCGTTTCTAGACCCTCTTCCTCAAAACAACAATTCACCTGTACAAAAAGAAAATACCAAAAATCAAGTATGTGAGTCCAAACATGTAAATAAGTCAAGTATTTCGGAAACAAGGTCATGTCACAGTCTTCCCAACTCTGAAAATATGCTGGCGTTTCGAAACCCTTATGCCAGAAAAACAGTCAAAATAATTCTTAATCAGGATCCTTTAGATGGTAGTTTCTTTTCTAAAACTCTTACGGAAGACGACATTCATGAAGCTGAAATGACCAATACGGTGGTTCAGGAACCTTCTTCTCCCTTTTCCCGTGTCACAAATAATTCTTCTTTGACATCTTCACCAATCAACACATCCAGAAATTCTTTAAAACTCTCTCCTATAAAGGCTCCATCCATGAAAACTCTTCCTCGCAACATGAGTAATTTAAGTTGGCAAAGTCTCAGTGCAAGAGGCTCCATGAGAAAACAGCGGCCCATTCAATCATCGTCTTTAAATTCAACACCCAGGCAACGCGTTAGGCCTAATGAGAGAGCAGTTGTGAACTTTGAAGAAGACGATAACGATGCAGATTATCAATACTTTCTTAGCCAAAACACCAATTCCATCTACAATGCAAATGCTGGAAATAGTAACTCTCCACAACATAAGGGAGATCCTTACAGTGACCCCTTTGCTCGACCGTTATTCCTTCGGGCTCCTAAAAGAAAAACCACAGGTGAAAGTCACATCAAAAGAGAATATATCACAACCTTGAGATTGTTGGGTTTTGATGATATTGATAACAAAGTTGACTTGGATACTCTTTCATTTTTCTATGAGAGAAGAGAAAATGACTTTTCATTCATTGACCCTTCCTTAGGTACTCACTCCAAGCATTTGTTGAAAATGTTAAAACCAAGCGAATACGTGAAAGACAATCTGGAGGAAAAGAAAAAGAAACCTAAAAGTATGAAGAAGTTAGAGCCAAAACAAATCGAGATCAATAGGAAACGAGCTGCTTTGTTAGAGAGAGGTATTGATTTAGAATCTCTCAAACCATCCTACGATCAGTATCAAGTGTTAGTGAAGGCTGAGTCTGACCTGACTGCCCTATCATCTTTACATCAACCCCAACCATCAACCATTATTGACACGAATAGAATTCACAAATCATCATCTCATGCTCAAAATTCTTCTCAAACCTCATCCAAAACGAATCAATCCACATCCACCAAGAGCAATTCCACAATTAACACAACCACCACTGCAGCTGAGCAAGTGATAGTGATTACAGTTCCTCCCACTAGCGACGCATGTAATGGCATTAACGATTGTAAAAATCCAGCAGACCTCGTATCCACTTGTTGTGACGATTTCATTGACTACTTTTTCAATGAGGAAAAACTTAATAAGAAACGATACCTTTCAGGTGAGGAAAGAGTCACCAATGATGCCAAACAAATCATGGCCCTCAGTAGAGAGCTGTTCGATGGTATTCCAACAAAAACGAGCATGACTATCGCCAAAATCTTTGCAAATCCGGAACATGCTGACCGCATCAGCAGAGAGCAATATGTAATGCGAGCTAGGAAATACAAGGCAGAACTACGAAAGAAGAAACAACAGGAGCAAGAGGAGTATGAACGAGCCAAAGTGGCAGTGATGGACCAGAAACGAGGTGTCTCAGTGGTGGATGAAGAAAAACCTTCGGATGACATCACATTGGAAATAAAGTGAACTCTATGAATCAACCATTCACTTTTGGCATGAAAATGATATTTATCATCATAACTATGATGTCCATTTTCAAATCATGATGATGAAATGGATAATGAAAACAATATTCACTAGTGCTGTGGGATGTTTACAAAATATTATAATTTAATCACCCGTGTGTTATGTAATACACCTCGAATACACATCCTCAACACAACACATTTAGTGATGATGAGTTTCCTTGTAAACAAAGTCTACAATTTGAGGAACCGATTGAAGTTGGAAAGCTACATCATCATTAATTTCAAGAACAAATTCGTTTTCCACTTCGTGAATAATTTCAGCGCTATCCAATGAATCCAATCCTAAATCCTTGACCAAATGAGAGTCTTTTGTTGGTTGTGCTGTTATATGTTCATGTTTTGAGAGAATTTCAATTACTTTTTGTTCAATAACATGTTTTGGATAGGATGGTGAGTTACTGTATTGTCTATGATGAATAATTGATGATACTATTGATGATGATGAGAAAAGTGATGGATTATTTGAAATTTTCTTGGTGCACGAGGATTGAAAAAGGAAACGAGAGGATGAAAGAGCGAACTTGTTCAACATTTTTTTAAAATTTATTAAAAAAAATTATTGGAATGAGCAATCAGAATGTATTAATTGCACATGAACCTTATTCCGAACATGAAATCAACTCCATTTCAGAAACAGCGAGGTGTCTTGCTCAAGCTTGCTGTTACGAGGATCCTTTTAAGCTGAAGAAGATATTTGTTTAAAAAAAATGAAGTCACATAAATTTCGAGAAGAATCGAATATGAACGCAACAACACTCCACGATGCGATCACGACAGTAATAAATCCCGACAGCAACAACAATGGAAACACTCTGAACGGTGAAGCAGAAAGTTGGAAACCTAAAAAAATAACTGCTCTTTCCAAGAGAAAAAAATTGTCAATGAAATTGTTAGGAGATGTTTCTAGCTATGATGAAGGCGAATTATTGAGTTTGTTTGATGAGGCAGAATCGCAAGGAAACATTACGCTCATGATGAAGATATTGAATAGGCTTATTGAATGCAAAATTATATATTTTGATTTTATGCATCGAATGATGAATGTTTATTACAAATATGGAATTGCAAATGTAGAGCATAGTTCTGTGAACAATAAGAAAGAAGTGGAGCGAAAAGAAACAAGTCAAGAATCGGATATTTACAACCAATATTCACATATTATTGAACTGTTTCAGTATTTGATTGAAATGGGAGATACTTTGTCACATAGATCTCACGTTTGCGATACGATAGCTGTTTGTCTGTACACAATTTTCAACAAACTTGATGTAGACACATATGGATTCATAGATGGTGTATATATTTCCAAAAGTAGTGCCAAAAGCGTGTTATTAACCGCACCACTTGTTTTTGAAAAATCTCTAGAATTCCTAAAGCAAGCTCTGAACACTGATAATTTTAATTCTAATTCTGAAAAGATGAATTGTTACAGACACTTTCAAGAGTGTTATTACTTGTATGGACACCGACTTACATCTAAGGCGGATTTCAATAAGGCCTTTGAAATGTATTGCAAAGGAGTCGAGTGGGTAAAGCTTGAATTTCATGGCTCGCCGAATACCTCTGGTCGTAATGTTAAGGATTTCATTTCTAACCATAGCGTTGTGTCCAAGATGGTGCAAAGTGTGAAATCAGATTTCGAGCAAAGCTCTCAATATTTGACCAAGTTCGAGCATGTCATTCAGTCTGCTGAAATTACGCCCCAATGTGTATGTTCAACATGCAGACAATAAATTCGGCGCCCGAGAGCAGAAGTTGACAACACCAGAGAGATCATGTGTGCATAAAGTGTTTATTTTAAATGTAGAGCAACAAGCAATCCTTATTGCTTGTGATGGCTTCAAAATCATCAGTCGTGCTTGCAGTGGAAGAATACTTTCCGCTCGATGCTGCCACCATACCATTTTCATCAACCTTGAGTGCATTCTCATCAAAGGTATCATCTTCTGCGTCAGAGAGCGTGGCTTCTTTCAACAAGGCACCGCTTTCTGCTAATTCCAGTGTTTTAGATCGGAGTGTAGGGAAGAAGGATAACTTGGCAGCATTTTGTTCGACATACTGTTCTGTACCTGTATATTCATCACGTTCTTTTTCTGAAAGATAAATTAGGAAATAGACATAATTCCACATGTTATGCTCAGTTTTGATGTGACTTTCAAAATCAAGACCTTCGTTGGCATGTAAATCAAATCGATTCTTCTCATTGTGACAAATAAAGCAAATCTCTTTCTTTTCCTTCTCAAGTTTGTTTCGGCGTTCACGACGTTCACTGAAAGAGTCCAAAATCAAACCAAACAAAACTTCCAACAAAATAACGACTACTACAAAGTAGAAAGCCATATCAAAAAAGAAACGTGACACATCCAGTGGTTTGGGATCCATTATATTTTCCAAAAATGCTTCTGAACGAACACTATAGTTAATCGTTGTTGCAAAACACAAGATCGCATTGGAACATGAATTTGTGTTACTAATGATCCATTGATCCCACTTGAACGCAAATATAGTAAATGCATAAGCAGTCAAGGCAAATATTGTCAAAACAGAGAACAAGAAGAATTTCTTCTTGTTTTCAAAAATGGAGAAGAAAATATCTTGTAATACATGGCTCAATGTAATGACTTCGAATAATTGCAAACAATAAACAAGAGGAGTGACAATTAAACCAATCAGAGAAATGCCAAGGAAAATGATTGTCCACCATAAATATAAATCAGTAACGATACTCAAAAATAGCTTCTTCTTAAATCCAGGTTGTTGTGTCGCTGATTCCCATGTTTCTTCCTTCTTGAGCTGGAATTTCTTTTTCACATTTAGCATTAGGAAGAATCTCAAATATGTCACAATCAATAGTATTGTTGTCACGAGTTGAATGAAACCTAAAACAATGACTAAAATACCAGCTGCTTTCCATTTAAATCCTTGTGAAACTACATTTGCCACAGAGTCGCTATAGGCAACGCCTGGAACTGGCACATATCCAGCAAACACATCATATCGTTTGTGATAAAATATCAATACAATGATATTGATCAATAGAGAGAACAAGAATGAAAGATTTTTCATGTACTTCCAATAACGCTCTAAAAATCTCCAAGTCCTACTCTCATAACCATTTTCATTGGACCTATATCGTTCCAAGTGATGCATTTCTGTCTTAAACACACGATAGGTCCATTCATAGAGATCAGCTACTTTGGTTTGTGCAGTTTCTCTGTTGCAAGAGCTCACAAACTCATCCTTTGTGGTCTCAAGAAGATTATTACACATGCGTGGCTTCTTAAAGTGTACAACTTCAATTTTTGAGTCACGAATGATTTCAATAGAGCCTGTCAAGGATTCATAGAAATTGTAAATGATGGTGCGGCGTACAGATTCTTCGTCCTCTAAATTATCATTCAATTTCACTCCTAAATATTTCAAGAGCATGTAAATGGCAGTTCCAATTTCTTCACAGGAATCTTTAATCTTTGATTTCTTCACAGAAATATAATCTGTCAGAGTTTCGTACTTTTCAGTTTTTTCATCAGAAAGTGATTCATAGTCTTTGGTCAATTTTTGAACAAGTAAAGCGTCCACATTCTTCTGCTCTTGCTTAAAGTATTCAATAATCGTCGAAGAAAGTTTTTTAACTTCCTTTTCTTTTCGTTTAAGAATGAATGACTGAATAAAAGACATTGGAATACACACTTCAGCACATTCCTTCATTCTGTCCATCAGAGGTTCCATATTTAAATATTTCAACTCGGAAGCTTGAGCATGCTTATTTCCTCCTTCTAACATACTGGTTAAAGTAATGATGACAGCTTCTAAAAGTTTCATTTCTTTTCGAGTAGTAATGTGATTCAATCGATCTAATTGAACCGCTCGTTGTTGAAGAATCGATTGAGAACGAGATGCTCCTAGAGCTGTTGGTGCAACAGGATCATACGCAGTGGTCATCTTGTCAGCAATAAAATCATTTTCCAAAATATCGTTAAATACTGTATAGAGACCTGATGAGGAAGAAAGAGTTTGAATGGACTGTTCACATGGACCTTGAACAAACTCATTGACAGCGTTCAATGCTTGGATGACCTTATCCACGTTTGAGGAGCTCAAATATTTGAAAAGATGAATCACATATTCAATACATTCACTCACAAGATCAATACTTATACGGTTAAATGGTTGGTTTTGAAGCATTTGTTGATTTTCCAAGTTATGTCCTTCACATAACAGTTGTAAAAATCTCAAAACTTCCCAAGCATAGGAGGTGAGTTCAGTATCTAAAATTCCAGTGACTCCTCTCTTTCTTACTTCCTTTTCTTCGAGTATAGACTGCTTAATCTTATTCTTGATGGCTTGGAAGAAAGTTTCATAATTTCCAGTTTTCAACAATCGATTATACATTTGTTGATTTTCAATGTTACCAGACATGAGTGTCTCAATTCCTAATTGAAGACCATACTTGGTAAATTCAATATTGCTCGAACAAATCAGTTTTAAGACCAACTCTGGAATGTTGTGAATTACCGAGAAGTTGTAATCCTTTTTTGCATTGTATTCCTTGACAATTGATGCAATAGTAGCAATAGAATCAATGAAGGTCTCACTCATGTCTCTTGGTACACCAAATTCAATCATTGTCTTTAGTACATTGACCAAACGAGGTAAATATTCACTGTGCAACTGCAAAAGTTGAGCAAACTTTGGTAACTCATTAGACTCTCTTTTGGCAAAGAATCCTTTCCTTTCCAATTCGTCCATAAATATCTTGTACTTCAATAAAAAGTCCTCTTCAATATTCTTCACAGCGAACCTTTGCTTCATCGACTTGTTGGATTGTTGTTTAATAACCATCGTCACGCTATGCTTTGCAACAGCCAACTTTGTCAAGTTTTTAAATTTACCATCGGTATCAATATTTGCAGTTACCATCAACTTTTGAATAGCCATGTGACATCTTTTAATGTCTTCTCTGTGAGAAGCACTATGGAGATAGATTTCTGTAACGTTTTGAAGCAACTCATAAATGATTCCCTTAATCTCTTCATTGTTTTCTTTTTGAAGTAGCATCTTGTTGACATTCTTGTTGAATACATTTTCAAAGAAACTTTCAATGAACGGTAATACCACTTTGTAGACGTAATTGTCATTGACAAAGACTTCCTCATTTGGAGATTCTTGATTGTAAAAACTACGTTTGACTTGAATGTTAGGATCGAGTGATTCATTGGTCTGTGTTGGGATCGAGTGATCACTACCACTCGTTCTACTGCTGCCAAAAGTGGAATCATCCGTTGATTCCTCAGAAATGGCATGCAACTGTGATGGAGGGTAGGCAGCATAGTGAGCTTCTTCAAACTCTTTGGGATATCTCATTTTACCCTCGTTATCGAGCCATGATCGCAGTTCAGTATTTATCTTTTTAAAGAGCTTCCAAATATTGACATCTGACAAATCTTGAGTAGATTCCTTCTCAGTAATAAAGTACAATTCTGTTAACAGTTTCATGAGAGGATCTCTGACGAGAGGAATGAGGAAACAATCAGTGAGATGAACAAGCATTTCACTAAAAGGCAAAATTGCTTGAACAGAGCCTTCAGCCAAACCAACTTTGTCTCTCGTACAATCTCTTAATAAATATAACAAGTTAATGTGATAATTCAAATCAGTTCCAACTTTGAGATACTCCTTCTCCATGATCATACGCTCTCGCTCTTTCATCAAATCTTCTTCATTGTACAGAACAATTAATGATCTATAATCTTCTTTAAGGTTATTGATAATCTCGTTTTGATTGGTTGGAATGGAAGTACCCTTTGAATCACAAGTTAAAATTCTAAGAAAGTTCAAATGGTACGATTTGGCACCAACGGAAATAATCTTTTCTAGATAAAGCTTGATGAGCAATGGATCAATCTTGTTCAATAAAATTTGATCATTCTCTCTGACAATTTCTGTCAATAACTCAGTGGTATCCACTTGAGGAGATAGCAATTCAAGAAGGAACCTAAACTCACGGAATAGCTCTTCTTGATTTTTCTTATCGCCTCTCACAAATTCAGTTAATAATTCAATACAACAAATGCTGAGCTTGGTTTTCACAAATACAGGATAGTTCGTTCCCAAGCATTTGATTAATAGATCATGACCACCCAAGTTTCTAAACGCTGCTTTGGTTCCCTTATTTTCTTTCATGATTCTAATCAACTGTGTGATGGTATCTCTAAAAATCACAAAGTCATCTGAAGAATCTCCACCTGTAAAGCTGCTTGTGCTCAATAAATTTTGAATTCTGTTAAACATGGTGTAAATGAAATTATAGGCCTTTCTTGATTTTGAAGAAATAAGAATGGATACCTTTTGCAAATTTTCTTTCAGTTCTTTGGATTGATTGTATGATCTTTGCAAGATTTTGAGAGCTTTTTCTGGAATTTCCTTGTTTTGATATTTAAACAAGTAGAGCAAGGGATACGCAAAATTTCTACTTGACTCTGTATTGTCAAATTGGAAAAAGTTCACAGAAGAGGTGATGGTCTTGGAAATAAAATCATTCAACTGTTGGTCAGTGATGAGAATTACATTTCTTGCATTGTAAGCAGTAATGATGAGTGATATTCTATAATCAATTCTGAGATCCATGGCATAGAGGAAAATATCAAGAATCTTTTTCTTGATCTTGATGACAAATGTGTTTTGTTCAATATCATCGAACATGGTGTTGATATTACCAATGTCGTTGGTGGAATCAAGTGTGGTGAGCAAGACGCTCAAAAATTCTTCCATTTCTCTCATGGAAACTAAATATTCATCTTGGCCCTCCACAACAAGCTTATTTGTGGAGCTGTCTATCTTTGCTTTCAATTGAAGTGAGTCAGTGTCATTGGCGTATGGATTGAAAATGCGGTACACAAAACACTTGTAACCAATTTTCACAAGATTGTAAATGAGTGGTGTACGTTCTGGAGTGAGTTGAGAATTTTGCTTATTTTTGAAAAATTCAACTAGAAACAATCGTATGGATTTAAAGCGATTTCTATAATCAATAAATTCTGTCTGCAAGCGATTACTGCCTCCTTTAGTTCCAGGATTGTCTTTGTTGTCAATAGGGCGGCTAAGATTAATAGCAGGAAATTCACCATTCGAAGTGTTATCTAAATAACAGTGTTCTAAAATTCCACACATGGCTGATCTCAATTCAATGCCATAGGCTTCGCTCTCCACAACTGCCATTACCAGATCAAGAGGAAGTAATTGAGAGACATAAGAAATTCCACCCGCATGACGACCTACACACAAAGAAGACAATAAACGAAGTCCTTCAATTAAAATTCTGTACATCATACCATCAGTGTTTTGCAATTGATCGAGTGGTACATGAGTAGAATTTTCGTCTTCAGAATCCTTCAAGACATGAATCGTTCGATCGGTATCATCATAGTCAGGAAGATAAAAAACGTTTTTGCAATCAATCTTTGACAACAAGTCGACCAGATGTTTTTGATTCTTGGTCACTGGACGATCACCACATCTACAAAGGTTCGACAAGAATGATACAAAGAGTGGCTTCTTTTGCTTGGTTTTGATGAGCTCGAAAAAGTGCTCAATCTTTTCTCCTGGAATTTGTTCTAACACTTCCATATTGTCATTAATAATTTCTACTAGAGCATTGGAAACTTCTTGACCTCCAATATCTCTTGATAAATGGTCTTGCATGGTTGTGAAATACTTATCCAAGATGTGTGTACAGTTCAACAAATTTTGTTTAGCGAGTTGCTTGACTGCTCGGTAGCACATTGGAATGATGTTGTTTTGATATCTTTGAATTGTTGAGAGAGAAGTGTATTGAGAGTCTGAAGGAAATGCAATGAAAGAGTTCATAATTGGAGAAGTGATGGTTGACTGAGAAGTAGGGTCCAATAAATTAATAATGTTGAAAATGGCGTCAATGAAATTCAATTCTCTGAAATGGTTTTGAATGTTGGTGTAGGGAGCTCCTTCTCGCTTCAACGGATCTTCTTGGACTGAATCTGTACACAAATAAATTACTAATTTAAGAGAATTCAAAAGTATCTCAATATCATTTCTCTGGTATTGGCTATTGTTGTCATAATTTACAAGTATGGATAAATTTCCTTGATAAGATTCACCTGAAGCACGTTATTGACATGCTCTAGAGAAAATACGTCCTTTTCTCTTTGCATGACATCAAACCATAATTCAACTAAATGAGACGACTTGTGAATGGCTGAAGAGCTGTTTGTGCTAGGAGAGCTATTGAGGTTGGTCTGAATATCGTTGAGAACAGCTTTAGAAACATCATTAGCACGTAGCCATGTGTTGGATTGGGCATGCTTGATTCTCAGTAAGCTCTGAGTAAGAATGGGTTCATTGTGTTGAACTTCTTCTGAATACAAGTAGAACACTGCTGATTCATCTCTTGGGTGATCGGTTAACACTAATTTCAGCCTAATCTTCACACGACGTCGAAGATTCTTCCAAGCATTGGTTTTACCTCCCTTACCAGAGTTTGCAGAAGACGATGCTCCATTAACACTTGATAAATTAGTGGATGAGACTTGATGTTGATCATCATGTACTTCAACTTCTCGAGCAGCAATATATTGACCTGAAGCAATATGTTTGAATCGACATGGAGTTGCAGAATACATAATTCCTCCTCTCGAATTATCTAACGCTTCAATTTGAAATAGAGTAGTAATACTGTTGAGAGCATATTTTGGATTTAGATGAAGTGAGCTGAATGAATCTGTTGATGTTCCTATTTGGTGAAATGATGGATGATATAGTGCACCCATTAAATCTCTATGAATAATTCGAATGACGTCACCTCCTTTAATAAATGCATGAGCCATTGGGAGGTACGATCGATACAATCTTAAAATCCAAATATTATCTGCAGGATGAGGAGAAGCATTCACTTCATATTTTTCAAAATCTTTCACAATGAGAGGTCGAGTGTATTTGTACTGTGAAATGTGAATATTATGTTTTGTTTTTTCGTTCATAATAATGACCTTGTCACTTAAACGAATTGGTTCTCCTTCACTTCTAAACTTAAAGTGAGGAACAAATTGGAAGTGACACATTCGATCACCTTCACTGAGTGACAATTTTAAAGAAGATTTTTCTAAATCAGCATTTGATCTTAATACATTGAGAAACAATCCAGTTTTTGGATGATATAATTGAATTCGTTCTCCATATAAAACAGGCTTTCCCCAAGAACGTTCTCTTTCAATTTCATTTTCTTGTTTTTCACGTAACATTTTCTCTTCCAATTCTGCCAATTGTGATTGAATGTGATTGACAGCAATGACCGATGGTTGTACTTGTAATTGCTGTTGAGAATTCACAGTTTGAATCATTGGACGTGTAGAATCTTTGTGTTGTAAAAGTGAACTTTGTTTCAACAACATTGAGTTTGACACCTCATTCAAATTATTCATACTACTGCTCATATTTGCTTTTTCCGCACTTGCAAAATAGTTCAATACTTTGTGATACCTCTTCTTGGCACTATAGGTTTCACCTTTGCAAATCACAAACAAGGCGCTATCAAAATTCTTGAGAATACTTTCATCGGCGGAGAGACCACATCGATGATGTCCAGGTATACCACTCACGGACATGAAACCTACAATGGATGATGCTTCCTGGTTTGTTTGTTGTTGTTGTTGTGAAGTAGTAGTATTCTTTGACAACGGAAGAGGAGAAATCAATGGCGATGACACACCCGTAGCAGCAGGTGAAGACGAGTCTGAAGTGATGCTCGTTATGGACTCTGTTCTGGCATGTTGTTGAGAGGTGGTTGGTCGTGTCTTTTCCTGGAATGGATTGAAGAAGATAGCCAATGAAATGACATCTCCATAATGAAGTGTGTTGGAAGAGAAGGAAGTAGAGGAAACTAGAGTTGATGAATTGTTGTTGTTGTTGTTACTAGTAGCATTTGGATCCGAGAGGTTTGAAGAGTTTGCTGTGGCTGTTGTGGTCGTCGTGATGGAAGAGGTCGTGGAGGAGATGGAATCCGATCGTTGGATCACCATGGTGTATATTTTGGTATATTGGGTTGTTTTGAGTATTCAACAATTAATTGTGTATAATTGACTTTATATTAAACAATGATGAGGAAAAACAGGGAATGGTTGTATGAAAACCATGAGAAAAATCATACAATGATGATTTATCAGGATTGTATCAGGCGAGTGTTGTTGATGATGATGACAAAGCTGCTTGCGAGGATCGGAAAGGTTGTCAGTGATGATCGCAATTTTTTAGAGCTCTCAAATGTCATCTGATGAGATAACGAAGCAGCAAAACTTTGGCTGTCTTCAGGTCATCCGCACCAACGCATTCAAATTTCTAATAAAATCTATTATGAACGTCCAATGCACGAATTCAATCTCCAATAGTGAAAGGAATCAAAAAGCTCAAGCCATTTTACGAGCCATGTCAAATAACCATTAATGGACACTCTCACTTTCAAATGACCTTCAGCAGCATTCCAGGAATAACGTTCTGCGACATTAATGAAACCCGAAGGTTCTACTCTCTTCCATTCCAACACAAAATGAGTCTTATTGAGCTGATACTCCGTCAAAACAATTGGCATGTGTTGAGGTAATCCAACTGTATCCGTTGATCCTTGATGAAATAATTCGTATCCTACATGTAGCTGTCGGGATTCATTCATATAGTTGGGATTCAAACCACCAATAACACATTGAGAAACAATTTCTACGGATTTACATCTTTGGAGGAGAATGGTATGGTGGGATTGATCCCATCCGAGTTGATGGTACCAATGAAAGGTAATAACGAGAAGGGCCGTCAAAAACATTAAGAAGTTGTTGAATAACATTTTTTAGTGTTTTGAAATGAAGCTATCGAGGAATAGTTTCATTTCCTCAACACGTGTTTTAGACAAGATCTCGTTGAGAAAAGAAAACACGTTAGAAACCGGAACAAGCTTGGATTTTTTACATGTGTCAGTTTCGACATCAAAAAATGTTGAGAAAGACTCTCCATTCAGCCCTAAGACAACGTTGTCTACGCACACCAACATCATCATGGATGAACAATATACTCTCATCGAGGTCCAATCATAACACACCATTCATGATGATGGAGATCAAATTATATCCGGATTTACTATCTCAACGATCAGAATGGATGACTCACCATCAATTTAGATCTTTTCATCAGAGCCTCCGATCGGAACATGATGATACAGCTACTCTTTCATCATCCAATCAACAAGATCTTGTGGATTCCAACAACGATCATCACTCTACTCGTGATGATGTCCGATTTCAAGAGAAACAAGTGAGGTTCCGTAATGCCTTGTTATCATCAGTCCTCCGTCAGAGAAATCGGGACGTTAAGTTTTATTATACATTATTCGCAATTCTTGGAAGTGTGGGTTCCATAGGCTTTGAAGTCTTATTTAGAGTGTTGGAAATGCCGTATATAGGTGCACTGTATGCAGCCTCTTTATTCGGTTATTTGCTCGTTCAGAGAACTATGGCACTCTATTCGAAAGGTTCCTTCCTTGCGAAAAGTATTGGAGCTGTCGAGATTTTCGAAAACGAAACATGTCCTGAAAAATTACGAGTCTATCAAACGGTGAAGGAAATTGCAAATAGTATTCAATTGAAGATGCCTGCTGTGTGTTATATTGAATGTGAGGAACCTAATGCATTTGCATGTGGATATCATGTGGATTGTGCATGTGTGACAGTTACTAGCGGTCTCGCAAAATTACTGAATGATATGGAATTGAAGAGTGTGTTAGCTCATGAAATTGGGCATGTGATTAATGGAGATATGAAAACTGGTACTTTGATTTCCGCAATGATTGGTGCTTTTACACTGGGTCACAAGTAAGTGTTGCATTTAATTTTTGAAAAGAATTTGCAATGAGAATGATAATCTATTTAAAATCCAATCAAACATGGATGCAACGCTGTTCCTAACATGATTCAGATTTGCTCGAAATATTACATCAAAAAACCGCAAGAATGACACGAATAATAGTAGATCACAAAACAAGAATGCGGTACAAGCCGAAAATTTAATTTTACTTTTATCCATGACCACATTAATTGCAGGAAGAATCATGGAGTTGGCCATTTCCAGGTACGTTGATCCATAATGCACCACTGCATTCATGAGCGTCTCACACAACTGTGTATCTGATCGATTACTTGATTGATCGATAATATTTCGAAATTATAGACATCGGTAAGTGAAATCTCGTGAACAGTCATCCATTAAATCATTATTGAACATTTACGTATTTAGAGAATATTCTGCTGATGCAATTGCTTCTGCATTCACTCATCCTTATCATTTACGTGATGCCCTTCAAAAAATCAATAACTATCATTCCACTCCAAAGAAACATATTGAAGGTGGCAAAGAGTCGAACAAACCAACATCACTCACAGAATTGCCAAGATATGAATCCATGGCTCACTTGTACATTTATAACGGACTTGAATCGCCAGGTTCTTGGATCTCCACTCACCCTTCCACTGCAGAAAGATTGAATTCATTGGAGTCCATTGCAAGTTGGAATGTTGAGGATTTTTACAAGCTGACTATGGGCTCTTCAGCAATGAAAGACCAACGTGCAAAACTTTCTCTTTTCGTTGTTATTTCAGCTTACTTGATCATTGTTGTTGCAGTTATTGCCTACAATTCAGAAATGTTGGCACCTTTTACAGAACAAACCCTTTCACACATTCGACGAGACATGTCATGGTTGTACAAGTTTGTGAATGAAAATATCCTTCAAAGAAATAAATAATGTTATTACAGTATTATTGTTCATAAATTATTAAATGTATTTCATATTTATCTATTAACTCCTTCAAACCTCTCTTGATAAATATCGTACAACACGCTAAACACGTTTTGATAACTGGCACTAATCTTTTGTTTGATAAATTGCACAGCTTCTCTTTCACTCTTTCCAGCACACAAACGTTGCTTTAAACGGTCAATAGATCCATCCTTAGCAAAGCATGGTAGTCCGCTTTGTACCATCACGTGTGAAATTGAAACGATAGAATCCATGTGATCTCTAGCTGCCAAATAACCACGAATCATTAAATCTACAAATAAATTATAAGGTTCTGAGTGCTCCTTGTCGTCACCAGCTGCACTCGTGGTGATATTAACACTAGATGGAGATTGAGTACTTGATGGTATCATGATAGAAGTGGAGCCATTTGCAACAGAGCTTGAGGCAGAAACTACACTTGAAGTAGTACTTGCTTGTCTTGATTTTGATGACATGGAAGGATCATTCTTGCTTGCTGAAATGGTTGCTTTTTCTTCTCCCATAATTGCCAACATTTCTGTTGTCAATTTGAAAGGAACAACTTGTTCAATACCAAATTTACCTCCTGGAGAAATGTCAAATATAAATCCAAAGTCAATGTGAATGACGTGTCCCTCTTCATCTAACATAATATTACCATTGTGTCGATCCTTAATACTCAAAATAAAACTGACAATAGAATAAGCTGCCATACTGTGAATGAAATTACGACGAGCTTTTTGGAACTCTACAGTATGAGTATTACCATATTTTCTGATAAAGTAGTTGTAAAGATTATCTCCTTCATGTAATGATTCACCAATTTGATGTCTACTCTTAGAGTTTGGAACACATTCAATAATTCCCAAACCTCTTCCAGTGGTAATAACACGATAAGGGAATAAATATAATGGCAATTCTAAAATTTCGAAAACTCTCTTGAACATGGAAATAATTTGGAGAGCCAGTTGGTCATGTCTACAATCATCGCCTGCTTTAAAGATACAAGGAAGTTTGATGGTTGGTTTGTCCTTGTAATCATCTTCACTATCTTCTCCAATATCAACGCCAGCAGGACGTTGTTTCACATAGAACGGAATGAGAATTGGTACTTTCTTGGCACTCTTCAACGTTCTACTTCCATTTGCATCCAAGTCAATAATCTTGTATTGGGTATTGGTTGGAGTATACAAGTTTCTAGATGGTTTTACCAATTTCATCTCCTCCAATAGCCTGGCTTGACGTTTCTCTTTTTCTACTGGAATTAAATCTCCAGAGATGGTTGTAATCTTGTCAAAGAAGTGGAATTCTTCCTTGTACAAACGAATTTGATTGGCATCGAAAGCTTTGATAACATCAATGTAGAAAGGTTTCAAAATGGCACTCAACTCAAACTCTGCTGGCTTGATCTCTCCGAGCTCTTCTGGTGTGAGCTCTTTAGTTTCAACAATTTCTGTTCTCAAAGTCCAAATCAGTTGATGAGTGAACATGACACTGCTTCTAACTACAGAAATAATGTGTCTCTTGAGTGCATTGTTGTGATCATGACGCAAACATTGCACAATTTGAGGGAGATAAAACACAACAGCTTCTGGTGAGAATTTGCGTAGAGTTCTAATTGCATATTGTTGGACATAAACATTGTCAACGAAAGGTGAGTTCAAAAATCTTAAAGCAATTGATAATGTAGCAGGAGCCCAAATTAATAAATTATAAAGTTCAGGAGCATTAGCTTTCACATTTGCCTCGGTGACTAGATAATCTGTTGCCTCTGGAATATGAATAGCATCTCGTGGGAATTTTCTCACTAATTTTTCCAATTCATCCCTAATACAATCGAATGGAAAACGAACATGCATTTTGATGGCTAACTTGGGAGAGAAACTCCATGCGGTATCAATGAATATCTTCCACTTGTTAGGGGAAATCTTTGTCACAGAAGATACTGTTTCGTCAGCTTTTTGAGGTTCGTTCCAAATGGTAATTCTTTCAGATTCATGGCCAATCAACAAAAGTAACACATCCAAAATAGCATCAACACCTGATGTAGAGTAAACAACGGTACGAGTATCGGAAAGAGCACGGGTTGGAGCATCTGAAAGCTGAGGCACACTAACAAGACTTCCATGATCACTTCCGCTCCAGTTACTAGCTGATGAAATTACAGAACCTTTCACACTGAAGGCCACGCTTCGAGTACGACCTGATACACTCATCCCTGAAACGCTCACATTATCAGCTGCGTTGATTGATTCCCTCTCGTCAAATGAAAGAGGTTGATGACGATTCAACTCTTTTTGTTCTCTTCTAATACGTTTTTGAACATCAGACAAGACTTTGAGATCCTCCTGTACCATATGATTAGATCCTGGATCATACCAAGTGGGGTGAAGAGTGAACCAATTCAATAGAGCAGCAAAAGTTCGATGTTGTAAAATGGTTGCCATTGGAACAAATTCAGTAAATTGTAGATCGATAACACTTCTTGAAACTTGAAGTGAAAGAGATGCTAATCTAAAACGAGTACCAAGAGAAAAGTGTTCCTTGCTCAAATCTCCAATATTTTCGACTGCTCTCACTAACATTTTCAAGTATACATCCACTATTTGTTCGTTCATGACTCCTCCACTTTGGAATCTCTCTGCAAGATAATTAATCCAAATACGATGAGGATAAGTATCTTTGTGTGAAGTGGCATACATTGAAGAGGCAAATGGAGACGAAGGATTGAATGCATTGTTGGAGGACTGAACAGCTAATTCAATAGCATCATCCTTTTCGTGATGACCACAGAATAAGCCATAACCTTTCTGAATTGTGAATTGCCAAGCATTGGAAATTTCTGTCAGCAGAGGTACAGTCAAGTCATAACCTCTTGAGCCTGCAATCCAATTCCAACAATAGATAGCAATCTCCATGGATTGACGTGTGAAAATGTAAACAGGAGTCCAAACTACCCATTGCAACAATTCAATGTTGAGCTGTTTTTCGCTGAGAATAAAGGCTGTTGCCAACCTCATAACATGAGACAAGGACTCATAGAATTTGGGGTTTACAGCAGCTTTGGAATACTCTTTTAGCAAGGTGCTTATCTTTTCAACAATCTCTGACTCTGCGCCTCGTTGACCGAGCATGAGCTTTAAGCTATTTGCCTCTCCACAACTAAATGACATTACAGATACTGATTGAGTTAATGAGGTCTGATCTTCAGATAGAATTGAAAAGCCTCTCTTGTCGTTTTTCAACTGTTGACTACTAGAACCCACCGCTTGTAAGTGTTCAGTTGGGGTTGAAAGATAGACAGCAAACGTATAACCAAAATGTCTCAAAGAATCAATTTCAGATTGTTGAAATTTGATCAAGTAATGTTGAAGTCCAGATTGTGTCACATTGGGTGCAGCAGACATTGATTTAGAGATCCAAGAAAGAGAAAAACGAGTAAAACCATCCAATAACTTGTTTCGATCTGTGAAATGTTCAGGAAGATAAAAAGTTTCATACTCTGAGTTTTCTCTTGTTTGTTCGTTGGAAAATGGCTTGATAATGGGAATTTGGTCAAATTTAGCCGGGATTTTCACAGCAATAATATCTGTTGTTTTCCCCTTATCATGGCCTTCATAGAGAGCTGATATAATTTCTAGTAGAGCACTCAAGCATTTGGAACTCCAATACATTGCTGGGAACAACTTAATAATCATAACAATGAACTGATGACTAGTTTGTCGAACAATTTCTAATCTGTGGATGCACATCTTGAACAAAAGAATGCATTGCTCCTCAATGATAGAGTTCATATCATCTCTAGATTGTGATTTGATGAAGGAGCACAGCCATTGATCAAAGACTCTCTTCAACAAAGCTTGTAAACACAAAATTACCACAGGATTATTGAAAATTTGGTAATGTTCAAGGTAGTACAGTGAATGCTTTAAAGTAGAACCTGATCGTGCACGGAACAGCTCCAAATTGTACGTAGAAATTAAAAACAATACTTCCTCAATAGAAAGTTGTCTGAGTGATGATGGCGTGACAGCAATATCCTTGCCAATGTTAACACATGATTCGAGTTGGGTTGTAAGGTATGATTTCTCTTCTTGAGACATGTTCTTTGAGTCAATGATAACCTCAATTTCTTTGTTAATTTCCATGAAAGAATGAACATTTCCATTTAAGAGAATTGGTCCATTCATACCAATAGTTTGGCAAGCTTCATATGTTTCATCATTATGCTCGTTGGGATTAGTAAACTTAAAAATTATTAAATAGAACCACATGATACGGAACAAAGTCTGGAAATTTCCAACATTTTCATCGTCAGAAATTTTGTGATTAACGATATCAAACTTGCATGACTTTGTCAACGTAGCCACAGCAGGCATAAGCACAGCAATGTGCTTTAGCATGTCTTTCTTCTTTTCATTTGACTCCTTCATTATTTGAATTTCTCCTCCAAGTCGATTGATTAACTTAATAAGTCTCACTAACAATGACAATCGTAAATGATTGTGATTTTTTAGCATTTTGTTCATAATATAAATGGAATCAATGAGCAGACCTCCTAAAACAGTTTCTGATGAGTGGAAAGGATTTTGATAAATGCCAAATATCAATTCAACAATTTCTGAGAAATAATGTCCATTTCCTAAATGAATGCAATTTGACAACGGTCTCAATGCTACATTATCAAGCTTGCCCATGTTCTTCTTTTTTGTTAATTGACTTGTAAGAACAGGTAGAATTAGATCTGTGACAGCATTGTTATCGATTTGTTGAGCGATGGTTCCCAAAATTGTAACTCTGCGGTTGTTCTTTCTATAGTCGTTTGGATTCATGTAGATAATGTTCGAAATTGCGTAAATGGCTGAAGAGCATGTTGCGATACCTCTCTTCTTGAAGTCATCGTTAAGTATTCTGCACAATGAGAGTGTCAATTCCTCCACTAGATGTTCGCTCTTCTCTGTTGAATCTTCGGAGATAAACTCACGTAAAGCTTTGACACTGACAACAATAAAGTTATCAGATTCCTCTTTGCAAAGTCTTTCAATGGACAGCACAATGTCTTTACACATCTTTTCCTCGAACTTGTTCACAGTGTGGGATGAGCTTGATGTGATTGATGACATAGGTTGAGAAGGATGGACGTTCTCTCTTTTAGCAAAATCCAAGCACTCAATCAACACTTTTAAGACATCTTTTCTGAATTTAGGGCACATAATAGAACATTGAACAGCAAGATCTGCAGAGTTTCCAAAGGCATTGATGCTGTAGTTTGTATCTAAAGCAGAAGGTGACGACTCATCAAGTGTAGATGTTGTTTCGATAATTCTTTTGAATGAATCTAATGATAAATTTCTGAAAGCTATTTGAATTAACTTAGAGTAGAACTCCTCGTCAAACTCTCCAACATAGGTTGTTTGAATCAAAATTTTCAATACCAACACAATCATAGATTTCAACAGTCTTGATTTGAAAGCCTTCAGTTGCTTCAATTCTGTAGCTTGCTTGGATGAAGTAATATTGAAAAAGTATTGAATGATGTCGGCGATCGATTTGAGTTGTTCCTTTGAAATTCCTTTCGGTAATCCTTCTGATAGGGCTTTAAATACTCCGTACAATACTCTAGCAGTATTTTCGCTGTCGAATATAACTGTAGAAAAATTGTTATTGTTGGATTCAATATGTCATCATAATTGTATCATGTTTGAACACTTACATTTACTCTCGTAACTCTTCATAATCATATAACATTCTCCTAAACAAGTATCAATCAAAGCTTTACAGATCGTTTGCAAATGAGCCTCTTGTTCCGTTACGTTTGAAATTTCTCTCAACAAACTCACTAAATGATACGAAAAGAATTCTCCTGTAATTTTAGCTCTCGGATGCCATTTGCAATGTGGTAAATGATTAACCAATCCGACCAATAATGGCAAAATTTGATCTGTATGATTCGATTTTGCTTTGGTTTGTGTGAGGAAATAGGCAAGAGCGATGGCAGATTCTTGACCTTCCTCACTCAATAGGAGCAAATTGTGAGTCTTGTTGTATTCATCAAAATCAGTAAACAAATCGCTTTCATCGACGGAGGCTCGATGACGAATGTTGTTGCTGGTAGAATGACCGTTCACACCCTCGTGATGATGAGAATTTGTGGTGTTACCTGATGTTCCTTGATGATCATGAATTTCAGTAAATCCTTTAGTTTTTCCGGATGATGATTGATTTCCTCTAATAACACTTGTTGTTGGAAGAATTGGACATTTGTGTTTGATAAAATTCAACTTCTTTTCCACGCAGTTTCTTTGTGATTGAGTTTTATCGGATAGGTTCTCCAACTTGGAGATGCTGTCCACCAACTCCAACAAAATTTGTAATTGAAAGGAAGGGATATACTCTCGAATCGAGTACGGTTTGGATGACATATGGCAACCAGGTGGTGAGTGAAGGTATTTTTTGTGGATGAAGTCTTCAACAATTCTTTGTGTTGAGCATCATTGCCCAACAATTCCTGTGCAACTCATGCCAACGGACAAACATCTAACAACAGTGTTTCATGATCAAAATTAATTTGAGGTTTGAATTCTTACTACAATTCTTTGCAAAATTTTTAGATCTCGTTTGTTCAACCGCCTTCCACCAAATCCAAGATTCAAAAAAAAATGCCTGCACGTAAAAAACCCACAACACAAGAAAAACGTAAACGAAACACCGAAGAGGAGGAACAAACTGTAACATCCTTGAATGGAGAGACTTCACAGAAGAAAACAAAGACTGTTGCTCCCAATCAAGGCATCAATGGCGTCGGAGCATATCAGATACCCAAGATGAGACCTGGAAGCATTTACAGAATTAAATTACAAAACTTTATGACTTACGATGACTGTGAGTTCTTCCCTGGTCCCGGGTTAAATCTTGTTCTCGGACCGAACGGAACAGGTAAGTAATATCGAGGAGTACCGTTTCCTAATAGAAATTATCACATTCATTATCATCAAATAATTTGTTGTTACTCACCTGTGTACAGGTAAAAGTTCCATTGTCAGCGCCATTTGTGTCGGATTAGCTGGAAGCACAAAACTGTTAGGTCGTGCATCTAAAGTTGCAGACTACATCAAACACGGAAAAGACAAAGCTTTTATTGAAATCGAGCTTTATACGAATGATAGAAGAAATCTCACCATCAAAAGAACTTTTGTAAGGAAAGACGGTAAAGAGTCATCAACTTGGAAAATTAACAACAACAAAAAATCTATGGAACAAGTTAAGCAAATAATTGATGAATTGAATATTCAACTTGATAATTTGACACAATTTCTTCCTCAAGAAAAAGTCAGCGAATTTGCAGGATTAACCCCAACAGAACGATTGAAACAAACACAAGAGGCGGTTCTCCCTCCAGAAGTCATTAAATATCAGGAAAGTTTGATCAAAGAACAAGAGGACTTCAAAAAGAACACTCATACAATAGATTCCTTGCAATCAACAATAGATACGTTGAAAAAGAAAAACAGCCAAACCGAAAAGGAAGTTGAAAAGTACAAGCAAAGACAGGAATATCTCAAAAAAGCTGAACTTTGTTCAATCAAGCTTCCAATTGCAAGATTTAAACAAATGCAGACTAGAGGCAAAACTTTGAGAGAGGAAATACAAAAGAAAAAGCAAGAGTATGAAGTTCTTCAAAACAAAAATGGTCCTCTCAAAGATGAAATTGACCAATTGCAACAACAACATCAAAAGTTAGAAAACGAGCAAAAAAAGGATAAGGAAAAGATTAATACTATGAAACCACAATTTCAAGAAATTACTGAAAAGATTGAACGTTCAACGGCCAAGGTTGAACAATTTTTACAAGAAATTGCTTCTGCCAAGCAAAAGGAAGAGCATAGAAAAAATCAAATCCAAAAATTGGATCGTCAAATCGACCTAGCTCGGCAAAGAATCACTTCTATTGATACTGAATCAGCCAAAGCTATTAGTTCACAAAAGATGAGAGAGCTTGAGAGTACTAACGAAGAAATGAGCAAAATTACTGATAGAAGATTAGAACTTGGAAGAATTTTGGACGGAAAGAAACAAGATATCGAAGAAGTTAAACAAAAAATTCAAAAACTCGAAAATGCCAAGCATCAACGTTTGAAAAAGCTTGGAGAAAAATATCCTAATGTTGTTAAAACTTATGAATGGTATCAAAGCAATAGGAGAGACTTCAACAAACCTGTCTACCTGGTACCTTTAGAGATATCAGTTTTGGACTCTCATTATGCAGACTATCTCGAGATGCATTTACCAGAATATCTTTTTAGATCATTTGTTTGTGAGGATTTTGACGACAGAAATAAGCTCACTCAATATGTTGAGCAATGCAAATACAATATAACTATAATTGATCGAACGCCAGACGTGTATGCCCCATTACGGTTGGTTCCTCAAGAAAGGCTAAAACATTATGGAATGCTACATTATTTAGATCAAACCTTTGAGGCTCCAGATGTCATTAAGATGGTTTTAAAGGATATTGCAAGAATTGATACAGTTGCTGTCGGTGGTGCCAATGCTAAAATTGAAGCTTTTTTAACAGAAACTCCAATTAAGTGTGCTTTCGTTCCTGGACACCAATACCTCATGAGGTCATCGATGTATTCAGCAAATACTTCTACCAGAGTCATTGACGTAACCAAAGCAAGGCTGTTTATTGCCGTTGATTTAACTGAAAAAGAAAGTCTCAACAAGGAGCTTCAGGTTCTAGTTTCAGAGAAGCAAAATGTTGAAAAAGAACTTAATGAAGTGAAAGAAAAAGAACGTAATTATCAAACAACGAGAGAAACTTTAGATTCGCAAAAAAAGGAAGCAGACAAGAGAGTAAAAGAACATGAGTCCCTCCTAAAACAAGTATCCAACTATGAGAAGCAAAAAAGAGATATGCTCAAAGGTGCTGAAAATATTGAAGAGGTTGAAAGCAAATGCAATCAAAAAATTAAGGAGGAGAAGATTTCACAAATCAGCATGCACATTCAGTTGAAAGATTGTTGTAAGAAATTAATTGACTTGATGATCAAGAATGACAAGCGACCACTCTCTACATTGTCTATCAAGAAAGATATCGAAGAGAAAAGAATTCTGTTACTAGAGGCAGAACGACGTACTAAAGAGTTGGAATCAGCTATCAAAACGTTAGAATCAGAGTTCAATGCGATCAAGATTGCTTTGAACGAAATTAAAGTAGAAATGGAGGAACGTATCAATGTGTACGGCCAAAAACATGGACTTGATTCACAACAAGTACGAGATCTGCTTACAGTTTTTCCTGAAGGTGAGGAGGAATTGCGAACAGAAATTCAGCTCTACCAAGAGGAGGCTGAAAAAATTGTTGCCGATGAAGCATCTATCGTTGAGTATGAAAGAAGAAAGAAAGAAATTGAAGAAAAAGAGATCCAGCTTCAAAATTTGAAAGATAGAGTTGCCAATATCTCCAACACAGTGAATGAGCTTAAAGAAAAATGGTTAAAACCTCTCAAAACATGTGTTGACAAGATCAACGAAACATTTATGGAGTATTGCAAACACATTGGTATTTCTGGTGAGGTTTGTTTAACCGGTAACGATGAAGACTTTAGATCTTGGGAGATTGATATTAAGGTCAAGTTTAGAGACTCTGAAAAATTGTGCTCTCTTTCTGCACAAAGACAATCTGGAGGTGAAAGAAGCGTCACTACTATTCTTTATCTCCTTTCTCTTCAACAACTCAATAAGGCTCCATTCAGAGTAGTCGATGAAATCAATCAAGGAATGGACTCTGTAAATGAAAGAAAGATATTTTACCAAATGTTGGATTCAAGCCAGGGAGAAGACATTCCACAGTCTTTCTTGATAACACCAAAATTATTACCTAACTTGGTGCCTAATAACGCCAACAACATTACCATTTTATTTATTTTCAACGGACCTGTAAATATTTCCCAAGACCTTGTAGCCAAATATTTCTCCAAATTCGACAAGTCGCTTGAGTGCAAGAAGGAACCTGGAACAGGTTCTTCAAGTACTTCGAATCACCTTGCTAACGATAGCGATAGCGATGATGAATAATTGTCACAAGTCGATACTACTGTTGTACTTTTCTATTTCAAAGCTTGTTAAAAACTATTGATTGTAAATTGTGCAAATTTCTATGAAAAAATGGCTCCTAGGAGAATAACACCCACACTGATTGCATCCTCTTCATCTGATGATTCATCTAACACAAGCAACTTACGGATATCTAACGAAGAAGACGACAATCCATACCAAGAGAAGGTATTGGTATCATCGGATATTAGAAACGGATCGGAACCGATTTTAAAAACAAATATTGATATTTCATTATTGTTTAATTCCTATGGAACAACCAGACGACACAACACTGCGGGAGGAAATTATACATTTCATGTCTTACCATCTTTTGTAACATTGGACAATTCAAATCCTTCACATTTAAATGTTGTTTATGAACATCGAAATTATTTAAGAATTGCTTCCATGACATGTCCCGAAAATATTCGTAACAAACTCAATCCTATTCTTGTCAACAAGTACAAATCTTTCAAATCTCTTGAAGAATTTCCTTCCATATCGGAATCAAATTTATCGATCAATAATTATCGAAATCAAGACGAAGCGTTGAGTATCAAGGAAAAACTTGAAATCTATGGATGTGTTTCAACAAATGATACATATTTCCTAATAGCAAAAGATATTACCAACTCTTTAAAGGCACTTGAATTTGATCGAAGTAGTACTTTTAAAAGACAAGTTATTCTCATAGAAAATCTTTCAAATGTTATTGCAGTGGGAATTGAGAATACTCTCGTTCTTGTTGGATCCAACACAAGAGTTTACATGATTGATATTACTGCACTTGCTTTACAAAAGAATATTCTCTCTATGAATTCATTCAATATCAAGCAAAAAGAAATTTCACTATGCTATCCCACTTGCATCCATGGAAATCAAAAAGAATTTTATTTAGGTTGTGAAAACGGAGATGTAATATTTGGTCGATTCGAGTCAACAATTTCAGAGAAACAGGTTTTCACACTCAAACAGCCAGTTGTTTCAATATTCCAACTCAAACACGAGGGTCAAGAGCGCTTACTAATTGTTGGAACTCAAAAGATGGTGACCACCAACGTGATGAACAATACGATTTTCACCTCTCTAATGCTCTCATCAGGATCTTCCAAAACTCCAAAGAAAAAAAATTTCCTTACCACATTTGAAGAACAATCTCTTGTTGGTGTGGATAATAGTGACGAGAGAGTGATCACATGTTGTCTTAATTACAACCATTCTAAATTGGCCACTATTAGTACTTTGGGCAATGTGAAAATCTTTCAACTAGCACCCTCTCTAGAATTAATATTTTGTGCCAACTTTAAACATACAGCAAGTACTATTCAGAGAGGAGTTACTACTACTACTACTATACCCACACACCAACCCTGCAGAGAGTTTGAATGTTCTAATTTTTGCTTTGCTCGTACTCTCAGCTCTGATACTCATGAATATTTGGTTCTTTGCACAGTTGATGGTTTGATCTATTGCTTTTCTCCAATACTACTTTGAAAAGAGATTTGAATGACCAGCAGCGTGCAGTTTGACAAAATTACAACTTTGGGAGTTGGGAATTCCTGAAACGCAAAGGGTACAAAAAATTTTGTATTTGCATTCAAACATAACAACAAATTTGGAACGAGCCATCACTTGTGCAAAGAAGAACAACAAAAAAAATGTTGCAACAACCCTCACACAGATCGACCTTCAGAATGGAGGAGGATGACTTCTCTTCGTCAACCTCGTCCCCACATCATGATCCAGATGAAACGAATAGGTATATCAACGACATGTTATTGAACACACCACAAGTCGAAGGCAATTGGCGTTGGAACACAACCATTCTTTCTCTTGCAGCATTTCACTCATGTGGAACTTTGCAGAGAAATTATGACGTTCGTACCAAAAGATACCTCTTCCATGTTCTTCCATCCACCAAGTCAAATACGATTCGAGTCATTTATGGATTCGAAGCCAGAAATATTCTTGAAACTGATTTACCTATTCCTCAGAATATTGATGATCAACTCGTGACATCCACAGCAGACCGCTCGTTTTCAGTATACAAGCTTGCAACATTTGACTACTTGGAGGATCTTCCCAATTATATGCAAGTTCTTTCTGCTAAAGACACTCACCCTCCATCGTCTTATGAGATTGTTGATCTATGCGCTAAAGAAAACGTGGAATGGGTAGTTGTGAAATATCAAATCAGTGATTCAGATGTTATCAAAGTGTTTACTGCTCAAAACCACGACAACGAGTGCAAACCCACAATTCTTAACACACAAAACAGTACTTGTATGGCTGTTCATGTGGCTACACACACTCCAATACCATGGATATGTTGTGTTTTCAGAGACAAATTTAACAAATTAATGTTGAACAAATTCAGAATGGGTGATAAGGAGCCACATTCCAAAGTACTTGAATTGTCTCTTAATGACGATACAAGAGTAACATGTGTGACTACTCTGGGAATATCAGGTAATGAATGGTATTTTCTATTTGGCCTATCGAATGGAGAATTGTATTATTCACATCAAAACAATTCAAATAAGCAAGTGTTTTGGTTGGTTCGACCCAAGTCAACAACACTTGGATCCATTCTCTCTATATTGCAGACTAAGGAGAGACTCGTAATTTTGGGTTCCAACAAGCTTATCATTGCAAAGACACTCGATACCACCAAGTTAAAATTATCAGTGTTGAATCACAAAGGAAGCAACAAGACAACAAATTTGGGAGAAGTTTTTTCGTTTTTAATGTCAGAACGTCAAGACGAACAAGCTCAAAGAATATGCTTGAATAGTAATTCAACCCTCTTAGCTACAATCACCAATTCAGGGATTTTAAGAATATTCAAAGTTGATTTTGAGAAGGATAGTTACGAGCTTGTGTTCAACATTGCCTTGTTTCATGGTGAGTTCAGAAATTGCTTATCCATGTCATTTGCAAAGCAATTTGCAATGGGTAAAAACAAAAGCAGAGAGTATTTAGTGGTCTGTTTTGAGAAAGGGGTAGTTTTGGTTGTAGAACCCATGTATACATTTTCAGTGGTGCCTTCACCAGTTGACCTTACACCTGAAGATACCCAAGAACTTTAATTAAAGAGTGCTTCAAAGTTCATGAAATTTTTTAACGTTGACCAAACAATTGGTTTGGTTCATAGAAAGAACGTTTCCGTTTTGTGAATAATATTTTACTAGAGTGTGAATGTACTAAAGAGGTGTTCATTGCTGTTTCTAAAATTCGAAATGAAAATTCATTCATTCCCGTGTCAATACAGCTGTGGTTCACATATCTTCAAATAATAAATTAGAGAGAGAAGACCGTTAGAAGGAACGTTGGTTATTTTGTCTTGATACCAGTAGATCCAAATCCACCTGCTCCTCGTTCTGTTTCATCCAAATCATCAACTTCTACAATATCTGGCAAGGCAATTTGTTCAATTACAAATTGTGCAATTCGATCTCCTCTGGCAATTTTAAAATCTTCATCACTGTGATTGAATAACAATACTCCCAAATTTCCTCTATAATCGGAATCTACAACACCTGCACCAACATCTATGAAATTCTTAACAGCCAAACCCGAACGTGGAGCAACTCTTCCATAATAACCATGAGGAACAGCAACGGCCAAATCCGTTTTTACAAGACATTTACCTCGAGCAGGAACAATACAATCATAGGCAGAAGCCAAATCAAATCCTGCAGCATATTGAGAGCCACGAACTGGAAGAATGGCAAATTCGGAGAGCTTTTTGACTCTCATCAATTGTGGTGTGGACATTTTTTGGGATGATGAATTTGGTGGTTTTTTTTTTGAATGTTTAACGGCTGAAAAGGGCGCCAATCATGATGATATCATTGAAATTCAAATAATATTTCATCAACTCGGAGTGATGGACTAAAAGTTAAAACAAGCTAGGTCCTCACTTGGAAGACACCAGGAGCAATTTGTTTAAAGGAATATCCATTCTCTGTCAAATATTGTTCCACAGCTGGTAATAGGACTGGCTTATTATTGGATGAGTGTTTACCAGTTCCAGTCACAATATTAATCTTTCGATGAGGTTCGTTTTGATGTTTTGAAAGATATTCATTCAGAGTATCAATCGCATCTGACAATACCAATCCGTGCAAATCAATAGTTCTTGGCTTTCTAATGAGATTTCCACCAGTTTGTTCTCGTAATCGAATTTCATTTGCCTTTTCTCTGCAATCTTCGACAATGAGACTGTACTGTCTTGCTTTACTCATGAATTGAGTGGCAAGACCATGATTTCCTTTTTGTTGAGCACTGACAGCTAAGTCCATAAATTTATCTCTCAATTTGCTGTATTGACTGGATGCTTGTAAATAACTTGACTCGGTATCAATAAGTTCTGGTAATTGATAATGTTTTCGTTTTTGAATGAGTTCATCCAAAGCAACATGAGACATGGCTTGTTTGACAGCTGGCTTTTTGATATCCACGATATTGGAGGGCATGACTGCTGATTGGGGCCCAATGGTGGTACCATAAATGATTTCTTCTTCTTTAGGTTTGATTAATAAATTAGATGACGAGTTGAGGAGCTCGTTCGGATTAAATTGTGCTGGATATAATTGACTTAGATATTCAACAGTTGCTGTTAAATTTTGATCACATTGTTCAAAAATTTCCATTGCATGATCAAGAGAAATACTCTTGCCTTTGATAATTTCTCCAAGTTTTTGTCTCTTCATTTCTAAACTTAGTGTGACAGGAGTAGATTTCTTAGAGCTCTGTGAATGATTAGAGTTGCCACTGGTATTAGTATTCGTGTTGGAAGTTGTCGAAGAGTTCCATCTAGATCCTCCTACAAGTAAATCGTTTCTAACTACGCCTCGAGAGGTTTTCTTTTTAGAGCCTTGATGACTCGACGATGACGGTTTGTTTGTCTGATTTAAAATGGCCATAGTGGCTTCCTCCACATTATTGTCACAAGCAATTAACATGGCTTCAATTAATGACTGCTCAATGTTTGGAAACATTTCTGTCAACATGTTTACCTTTTGTTGTTTTTCTCTATTTTCCAATTGCATTTTTTTCTTCTTTTCAATATTCTTTTGTTGATTTCTCTTTTGCTGCTTCTTTTTCTTTTCTTCTGGATCATTTTGCTTGAAGTAAACCGGTAATTCGCGTGCCATTTCAGTAAGTGACTTATTTTTTGGGTCCTCTAAGGCTGCAAATAATGATGTAGCTTGTTTCTTTTGTTTTTCCATTTGCTTTGATTTTTCATCTTCAATAAAAACATCTTCTTCCGCAGTGTCATCATCTAAGAGAGCTTTTCTCAACACACCCATACATGAAAACAAGTCCTTGTCATTTTCCTCATACAGAAATTGAATGAAATCTCGATCGACAATGCAATATTCTCCACTTTCGTTCTTGACATCTTTAAACATGTTAAAGAGAAGAGAAATGTTTTCTTGATCATTGATGTTGATCGGAGAGTGAAGTGGAAAATCTTGATAGCCTTCGCTTCCGTCAAAATTGGCAATATTTGAAGCCTCGGCTGATGATGACCCTATGGATGAAGTTTGGTCAAAACTTGGTTCGGAAATGATGAAATAAAGCTGTTTATATTAAATTATGTAACCATATGGATCATTTGTATTGCAGCAAATGAATGTTAATAAATTGAACATAAAATTATAATTAAATGTAACCGACCTGATTGATAGTTTGATCGAAATCACACCCATTGTCTAGATATAATGTTTTAATAACATCTTCATCAACTAGTGGCGAAAATTCCATAATAATGGTTTGTAAAATCGGATCCAGCACCTCTCCGCTTCGGGGGTTATTGTTGCTCTCAGGAGTTGCAGCAGACGATAAAGATGACATTTTTTTTTAATAATTTTTCCATTTTTTTTACACAAGTTCAACAAAACCACAAAGTAACAACTACTACTAATAATAATTATTAGTGGCTTGGGATGAATTTATTGAGTCTTTTTTGAAATTTAAAAGGCTCTTCTTTTCATATTCAACTAATTCGTCATATCTATCTGGTTGAGTGACGTTGGACATGCAAAATAATAATAATTCATGCGTAAAATGATGTGTAAATTGGATTAAATATGGTTCAATTTGATGTTCAAATAATTCAATATGAGGACCATGAGAATAAATTCCTAAATGTGGACTCCAATCGTTAATTAATTTCAAATAGCAAAATTCTGGGCTTGACAATAAGCCTTCAATATGACATTGGATCATTCCTATAGAATACGATCTGAAAATTGTTTCCAATTCTCTCTTAATAAATAATTTAATCCTAGACTCTAATTGTATTTTCTCATTGATTGATTTGTACATTTTTCGTTTATGAATATTACTGTTAAATAATGAATAAAAAGGATCTTGTTGATAATACAGAAAATGTCTAAAAGCATGTTGAGGAATGGATTGAATATTATTCAATTCCGATGACGAATTTTCATTGAATTGTAAACAGGTAATTTGAAAATGTTTCTTGCTGAAAATATCATGAATCAGATGTGTTACCAAAGAATTACAGAGAGGACATTTGGTGCTTCTCTCAAACCACATGGCAATGCAACCCGTGCAGAAATTACAATGCATGCATGGTAGTAACATTCCAGGATTATTAGCTTCTTTCCGAAGACAAATGATACAATTCAATTCTTGTTGTTGGGGTACCTCTTCTTGTTGTTCATCGTTGGGTGGTTGCAGCATTTTTGTTTCTCCAAAACCAGCAACAAAAAATGAACGAAGAAAAGAAGGCCGAACTTCGGGCCAAAAACGAGCAGGCCTTGAAGGGGAAGAGGCCCGATGCTTCATTCTTCAAATCATTAGATTCTTCAATTAAAAAGAATAGTGCATTTGTGAAGAAGGTAAAAACTCTCTCTGAATTACAGCCGGATCAAAAAGGGTCTTTATTGCCAGATGTAAGTTTTTTGTATGATATAAATGATCATCATCGTGATGAATTCAATGCTTCAAATAATAATTATAAATTATTAATTATACCATCGGTCTAATACGAATACGTCTACGCTTTCAAAAGATTCAAAAACTTAATCTTCGTCGATTCATCAGCGAAATTGTACAAGGATTTTGTGAAATGCCACTAAAGCTTGAAGACGTTGACCATGTTGTGGACATTGCTTCTGCTCTTCATCAATTATATGCAGAGTTCTCGGAATCATTTATTTCTTCAATTGTTAAATCATGTGCTAGTCAAAATAAGGATACAGACAAGAAGGAATTGAATGTTGCAAGACTTTCTGTAGTATTGATGATTGTAACTAAATTATTTGTTACTAGGATGCATGATAATTTTTCTACCATCAACAACGTTTTAAAGGGTCTGGTAAGTTGGATAAAAGTGTGCTCATTGGGAGAGGTTGATTGTCAAAATTCAGATTCAATTGCACAAAAAAACATCACAAACTGGAATTTTAATGCCTTTCCTTACCGAGTTTCAACACGACTTTTTGATTGGAAAACCCTATGACTCCTCAAAATGCGACATTACGGAACAGGAACACAAACAAATTAATGAGTTATTTATGCAATTCTTCGAATCTCTTTGTGATCGCTTAAGGTCAAAACAAAAAGAAATTGGTGACGAAGACGCATCGGGAGAGAAAAAGCCCTCTTTGGACGATAACACCGAAAATTTAGATAAGGAAAAGAAAAAGCTCAAACAGTGGAAAAAGCATTATGACGTTGCAAAAGAGTAGGTACAACATATTTTCTTATTTTTTCGTTTACTGACCATGTACAGAGTTGCTGATATCTTGAACACTAAAATACCGGATGACATTGAAGAGGCGTTGCAAAAGGTTGAAGACATGACTGCTAAGAACGAGCAACTCGAAAAGAAAGATGTTTCCACAGAGACTATTGATCAATTTGTAAACGAAAGAACTCGTCAATTTTACGAAATAATTCCAGATCTAAACCAATTAATACAAGAAAAGAATGAGTTGGAAAATATTGTCTCTGTTGAAGATTTACTTGATAAGCTTCCAAAAAGGCCTCCAATTGACAAGGTTGCAACCACATTGGCCATAAGATATATGGGTCAGAAGGCAAACAGAACAAAGTTAGTTAAAAAGATGTTTAGTGTCAACAGAACAAGTTTAGAGTTATTACCATATTATGGTAGACTTGTAGCTATTTTGAACCCGACTTACAAAGATATTGGCAAGTCATTGGTGCAGCTATTAGAAGAAGAGTTTAACAAATTATTTGAGGAACAAGATCAAATCAAGATTGAGACCAAAGTTAAAAATATTAGATTCTTAGGAGAATTAATTTTATTCAAAATTTGCCCTGAGGAGACAGGTATTGAGTTTTTAAAGAAATGCCTTTCACAGTTCCATCACCATAATATCGATGTTGCATGCCATTTCTTGGAAGTATGTGGAAGATATCTCTATGCCAAGCCTACAACTCATCTCACTATGGTTGAATTGGTTTCAAAAATGATGAGAATCAAAGACGTAAAGGTCTTAGATGTCAAGTATAACACCATGATTGACAATGCATATTACAATACTGTCATTAATGAACAAGAAGCTGAAAAGCCAAGAACAGTTTTTGGTGAAGATGACGAGCTTACACAATATGTATTACATCTGCTCTTGTCAGAATTGAACAAGTACAACATCAATACTGTTTTGAAACAGTTAAGAAAATTGCCTTATGACAATTTTGAAGTCATCAAGAACATTGTTAAGAGTTTACTCTCCCATATAAGAGAGTGTGCTTATGGAACTATTCACTTGATGGCCAGTGTGCTGGGAGGGCTTTCAAGATATCATGAAGAAATTGGAGTTGTAATTATTGATTGTCTCATTGAGCAAATTAGACACTCATTGCAGCAGGAATATTTGGATCATATCGAATTGGGAATCAATCAAAATGCAGAATACTTTCCATCTAGAATGAAATCAGAACAAAAGAGACTTATTGACATCAAATTCCTGGGAGAGTTTTATAACTATCAACTCATTGATATCAATGTAATTATGGATATTTTGTACATGCTAATTCTTTATCCAACTCCTCTCGAACCAGCAAAACAAGACACCTTTAGATTGAGACTGATTTGTACATTGTTAGACACGTGTGGGCCATACCTAGAAACCGCTGCTGACAGAAAAAAAGTTGATCGTTTCCTCTTGTATTTACAAAGATATGTCCTCAGTAAGCAATATAGATTACCAGTGGACTTGGAAAATATGTTGGCCGATACTCTCGACAATGTGAAACCAAAGCTCAAGTGGCCAAAGAGTCTGAAAGAAGTCAATGAAAAAATAGAAGCCATCGAGCAAAAGAAGCCAATTCCACTTCCAGGTCAAGGAACCTCCAATGACACTCTTGCTCTATGGCCCATTAGCGACAATGATCAGCCAGGAGAGCTAGGAGAAGATGAAGAGGTACAACTTGAGGAAACAGACTTACCTTCTACCAATGGAAAGAAATCAGGAGAAGCAAACAACAAAGAAGCTGAAGAACTAGATCATGAACTAATGGAATTGATCAGCGAGAGCATTAAGGAAAGAAAATTCATTACTAACAACAATGTCATGAAACTCGGTACCAACATTTCAAAACCTCAAGAAATGCTAAAACAATCCACGAACACTTCATCCAAGGATTTGCCTCAAACTCAAAAAATTACGCTGCTCTCTAAACAAGGACGAAGTAACAAGACCCACGAACTATTCGTTGGTAATTTGGCAAAGATATTGAAGAAAGACCAAATTTCTCAGCCATCTTCATCCTCCAATGAGTAGATGCTGTAGTAGTGATTTCAGGAACATTCTGGTAAAACATGAACAGCACCGATTGACACTCTCTCATCATGGTGAATGGATGCCTCTCTCGTTGGTGATCACTCAAGAACTCCGTCGATTGTTTTGGTCTTTGAAAAATATTTGAACATTGGCGCCTAATTTTATTTTTTCACATTTCAAATTAAAAAATAATGAAAAACGTTTCAGAATTCACACAAGATCCAACAGGGAAATATTTGCATCAACTTCTTCGGAAATTGAATTATGGTGATTTGGAAAAGTACCCTTCATCAAAGCTTGAAAATTACAATCTTCCCGTTGATCCTAGCGTATTGGATTGGGTATTTCATTGCAACAATGATTCTACTAAATTCATTTGCAAAGTTTGTGATTCCATCTCTGAAAATTACAAAAATAGCGTCCTCACAGAGAGTGAAATATCGGAATATGAAGAGCTGGAGAGGTATGGAACAGTGTTACTCGGAAACGAATTGGATCAAGCACTAGAATTGGGAAGCTTCTCCTATTACAAGAGTAAAGATGATGCTGATATTGAAGAATTGGAAAAACAATTAGAGGAATTGAATGATGAATTGGATACCCTAGAAAATAGTTTGGAGAAAAAGAAGGTACAACGAGATAAATTGGAGCAACATTTCGATTCACTAAAGAAAAGAGGTTCCAGAAACGAGCAACTGGAAAAAAAATCATCAATGATTCAATCCATTCAATCACGTAACTCTGAATACAACAAGACACTTTTACATACGAAACAATGCGTTGAAGAGTTTGTTAAGACAATAGCTAGCTCAGAATCAAACTTGGTAGCAAACTCTGACTTGACATCTATTGTAGAGGGCGATGAACAGCTTAAAAAAGAGATTGAACTTTTAAATAATCGATACTATGAACAAATTGATACTCAACAATGCGAATATCAGGATGAAAATGATATTGAGAGCGAACATGGCAAACATTCGAAAGAACTAAAACGATTAGCGTCAATGTAAGTACAGATACATTGTACTTGGCCAGTGTTAAATACATTTTCTAATAGTTACAAAACAACGGAAGAACAATATTTAACAGCCCTGGTGACAAACAGAAAATATCAAGCGGCTCTAGAATGTGTGAAAAACCAAAAGGACAATATTCACACGTATCAACACTTTGATGCTACTATCTTAATAGAGAACATTGACAAGACGTCAAAACAAATTACTTCCATCAAAAATATAATTACCCAATATATCAATGTAGAAATTCCATTACTTGTCAAAGATTTGACCGAGCTTCATTCAACACGTGTCATTGATGGAGACTATTCTATGAAAATTGAATACGAAAAGAAGAAGAATGAAAAATTAGATGTTGTCCTACAACATATTTTGAGGAGATTCACAAGTTTAGATTTATTGAAAGAAGCTTTCCACTTGGAACACAAAACAATTTATGACAATTACTTATTGATTACTTGTATCATTATTGAGTTAAACGAGACACTTACCAATTACGAAAAGCGATTGCATCATTACCAAAGATTACACGAGCTGTATACTATCGATCAACAACAAGAAGATGAACATGACATCCTTAATCCAATATTTGCTGATCTGAATGTTTTACTTTCCAATGACAATGAAACATTTATTTCCAACTGTACGTTAAATTTCTCGATGATTACTTGACATATGACCACTTATTATTACTAATTAGCCCACCTAAAAACAAAAAGTTTATCTCACATTTTGCTAACCTCTCTCTATGAAAATAGAAAAGAAGTAAGCACTCTCAAACAACAGTTGGATGAACTCATTGACAACGCGTAAGTTTTTTTCTTTTTGTGTACCAAGATTCATAACATTTTCTCAAAGTGTGAAACGAAATGAAAACCTTGAACATTGTCTTTTCCATACCAAGCTTTCTTTCATCAAAGAGAATGAAGAGGACACGACCCTTCCGACTCCAATTCTTATTCCCAAAGAAATTATTGAGCAAATGCAATCTCTCAAAATTCAAACAGACGATTTGAGTATTCTCATGAAACAAGTTCTTGAAGAACAATCACAGAAACAACATTTACAACAATCGGATGAATTCATTCAGAAAGAACGAAGTCTTTCAAAATTCACAGATCTTCTCAAACAATAGTCATCAACACGTCTTTATTGACTATGGTTCCATAGTTTTGTTCAAATAAGCCCCTTTTCTGTGAAAATACCAACTCTAACTCAACGCTCCACCCAGAAGAGGAATTAAGGCGATACCGTTATTGTGTGTTGATTTTTTCAAGAGTAGCGATATCCATCAAGAATCAAACTAATACTTTCTATGTGAGGTCTTAATTATTGTATTAAGGACTTTTGGAGTTGTTATATTTTGGCACCTTACACCTTACACTTAGTGTCAGTGTCGTTTGCATTTGACACTTGAGTGCCAAATGAACGAAGTGTGATTTGTATTTGACACTTGAGTGTAAGGTGCTATTTGTATTTGACACTTGAGTGTAAGGTGCGAAATGGATGTTGATTGAAATGGAGGTTCTAGTATGTGAAACTAACCGTTAAACTTTGTTCTCAATAAAACCAACACTTCGTTCCTTAGTATCAAACAATTGATTAAAAAATGGTCAGATTCAACCCTTGGCAACTTCTTTCAGACAAATCGATTCACCATGAACATCTTTCTAAAGTTATTCAATATCCGTTGCCCAATATTCTCTACTCATATGAGGGGTCTTCTATTTCTGATAATTCTTTGAAAACGGGAATTCAATACAGCATCAAGTTTGGAAGCTACACATCCAAAATCATCAATCAACAAAAGCATAACCTTGCTCATGGATTATGTCGAGGCTGTTATCAATGTCCTGAACATGGTTGTAATCAAACTGCTGCAAAGAGTGCTCATCGCGCCATTTGTTCGGTACATCAAAAGGAAATGGTATTGTTTGAATGTGTTGTTCAGTTCAAATATTTCAAGAACGAAATTTCTGGCAAGCAGTTTCTGTTTTGCATTGGTGAACATCTTCATCACAACCCTCCACCTTCAAAAGTAAGCACTGAGGAGAAAGAATTGTTAGAACATGCATTCCATCAAAATCCTACATTGACCGCAAAACAAGTGACAAGAGGAGTTGGAGTTCCATTTATTCCTGGTGCCCAAAACAGAGCTCTGATTAACGGGACAAGAATTCAGAGGATAAGAAGAAAAGCCATGTCTACAAAATTTGGTTCCACTTCCAACTTTGCATCAATTCTTGCTTCGGTTGAGGAGAATTTACTTCCCTCATTAACGAAAAACTTGGCAGATGAGTGTCTTTTTGGTATGTCGTTGTCAGATGGATTTGGTAGTTGGGTCCAACAAGTTCAATTTTGTCCTAAAATAGGTTTCCTAATGTTTCCTATCAGTCGACATTTGATGGAACATGTAGACATGCTAGTCATTGATATGAAACATCAAGCGAAATCAGGGCCGTTTCTTAATCACCTTGGCATAAGTACATTTTTTGAACATGCGAAAGGAGGAATGTGCTTCCAATTATGCCGCTTTTTAATTGAGAGAGAGGATTATAAAACCTGTTTCCGAATGTTCTTGGATGCGTTGGAGTCCGGTGGTTTGGATTTGAAAGAATTGTTTGTAGGCAATGATCGAAGAATCAAGTCCATCCTTGTCGATTTTTCTCAGTCTCAGCTTAAGGGATTACGGGAGGCTTTTATGGAGAAATTTGGAAGTGCTGGTAAAGAAGTTGTTGAACAATTGGCATCTGGTTGTTTTATTCACTTCAAGAGAAGTGTGAAACGGATGGTAAAGGTTATCCCAGTTGAAGAAGCTGTACGGACGAGAGTGGAAGGTTTGGCCAGTGATATTGAGAAGTTTAGGTCTGAGAAAGCAATAACAACCATTCTTGATGCAATTGAACTTTATTGTCCAGGTGTGAAGTCGTGGTGTGATTGGTGGCGGCAGTCGCATATTGTTAAATTGTTACTTGCAACAAGTGCTGTGGAGAATAATCTACCAAGAAACACCAACGTCCAAGAAGTGTTAAATGCTACAGGAGTACCCACTTATGATGGTAATGCAATCGTAGAAATTGAAATGATGCTCCGAGAGGATGTTACAGGCGTCATTAAATTATTGGGCCTGAATGAAAATGTGCCACTTTCATATGCTGACAACACCAAGCAAGGAAGGAAGAAGAGAAACGAGAAGAGAAAAAGAGCCGACCCTTTCGATTCCAGGCCTGCTGACACAGTGTCAAGAGGCTTGATTCCAACAAACACCGCTCCTATTGACGCTCTTGAAAACTTTTTAGAAGGATTGAAAACAGACCAACGCACAGCATTGGAAGAGTTCGCCGGTCAGGAAGCTGATGATGTAATTGAAGACGAAGATTTTCAAGAAGTGGGAGATGGTGAAATTGTTGAAGTGACGTCGGAAGAAGAAGAAAAAGTCGAAGAACCAAAGGCAAAGAAGAAAAAAGGAGCAACAACTCGAACAACATCCCGTAAGAGCAAAATTATTACAGATTCAGAATCTGAGTACTCATCATCATCTTCAAATGACGTGTTGGACGAAGTGGATGATGGTTGTACAGCGAGAACTGATCAAATTGTGACCCGAAGCTCTCAAGCAATTTCTTTTGAGCCAGGTCGCTCCTTTGCATTTCACATTGAGCAAGCCACGAAGTTCGGTCGCAAATCTGCTAATTTTTAATAAATAATTAAAAAAAATAAATCGGACAAGTGCTGATGATATTTGGCACTCAAGTGTCAGGTGCTGTTTGCATTTGGCACTCCAGTGTTAAGTGCTATTTGTATCTCCTTTTTGGGACTACGTGCCATTGCAAACGGCACTAAAGTGTAAGGTGTAAGGTGCTAAAAGGTATGTCCTCGGACTTTTGTATGAGATGAAAGAGAAATATTTTCTACAACATCCGGAGATTCGAATACAGCCCAACAGACAGTCACACCTTCATCCGTTTTGGAGTGATGTTTGCTTAATAATAAACGAACATCCTCACGCGTACCTTCTTTCAAGTAAAACGTGATACTTCTTTCTTTGACACTGACTTCATTTGTCAAAATCAACCTCTTTGTTGCAGGTTTTAATAATGATTTGTCAAACATTGATAGACAACTCTGACAAAAGTCAAGGTTCATCTTGATTAGGTCCATTCATTCTCTTGTTGTACATTGAAACTGTGCCAAGTACGTAATTGTTGTTCATCCAAGAGCGAAACAGGTGTTCTCTTTTCCTTGTCATCCATTTCAAACATTCCATTTAAAAAAATTGTCACAACGACCACCAGAATTCTTTTCATAACGAATCCTATCGGAGACTCGACAATCACATCAAACCATCATGGAAGATCCCAACAATGATTATTCAACCACAACACCAGCATCACCGTATGAAAATTCACCAAATTGTTTTGTGGATGAATACGATGAAATTGATGATTTTAACGAATTGAATCATCACGATCCATCGAATCTTCCTGTCATTACTGCCTTTTCCTTCTCTCCGAAAATTCAAAAACCATCTCTGATCCTCGATCAACCTTCTCTGAAAAAAGAAGATGACGCTCGTATCATGATGACCATGGGTGACCAAGAAGAACAGTTGTCATTGGACCATCATGACTCCAACAAGGACACTGCTTGTTCCGAAAGAAATTTCAAAGAAATTCTCACTGTGAATGTTTCTTCTGCTATAGAGGAGAATATGATACCACTACTACTCGATGCATCGATTACAAAATCCACCAACCAAGTCAATGCACACCAAGATTCTTGGAATCAAAAATTGAAATATCATGACTTTTTAATTGTAGAATTGGGAGAGGATTATGGATTTATGAAAATGGCACTACCAAGAGAACGATATGAACCAGTTTATGAAAATGTGAGAACTGGAAAGATTCAAGTATTAGGTATGTTGAATTTTTGAAAATGCTATCGATGATGGATCTTGTAATGATGAACATGTTAAGGAAAGGGAGCTTTTGGTATTGTTATTGCATGTCATGACAAACAAAACAACAATGCCAAGGTAGCTGTCAAGAAATGTATCAATGCGCTCAATGTGGTTCCATGGAATATTATTCGAGAAATTGAATGTATGAAACATTTGAGAGGTCATCGAAACATCATTGAACTCATTGATGTTTACATTGAATATAATTCATTTGATAAGGAATCGTCTGATATTTATATCGTGACAGAATTGTGTGAAAAAACATTATGGGAATATTTGAACGAAAAAACATTCCCTCAAACTCCATTGTATGAATATGAAGTCAAAAACTTTATGTCTCAATTACTTTCGTGCTGTGTCTATATGCACAGTGCATCCATTCTTCATAGAGATATCAAACCCGAGAATTTGCTCATGAAAGGCGAAATTCTCAAGTTGATTGATTTTGGGAGTGCAACCATGTGTCGAGAACAACAACAGGTAGAACATTTGGAATCTGTTTATGTGGTCACAAAATGTTATCGACCACCAGAAGTCGTGTTGACATCGGAAGAACAATCACCTGCAATTGATTTGTGGTCCATTGGATGTGTATTTGCTGTAAGTGTGTGATTTAAGTGTTCGTGACAATGAGTGATTTTAACTCGAACAAACAAACAACCTAGGAATTATTATTCTTACTGGAAGATCCTCCTTCAAGACAACCATTATTCTATGTGAAAAATCCTGGAGTGGTAGGAACGAGAGAGCACTTGATGAAAATTGTTGCAATATGTGGCAAACCTTCCACTCAAGATATGCTTGGCTCCCTGAAAGGAAAAGAGTACTTTCAAACACTACTCAACAAGACGAATCAACCAAAAATTCCATTAGATGCAATTTTTGCCAATGCCAGTCCTGAAGCTCTGGATTTATTAAGCAAATTATTGACATTTAATCCTGCAAAAAGAATTACACCTGAAGCAGCATTGAGACATCCATATCTGAAAGGAAATCGATACATTGATACTAATAATTGTGATGAAGAGTTTCAGATTAAGCTATTGTTGGATGACGTGACGATTGTAGACCGCAAAGAATCCGATCGTTGGAAGCTACCCCAATGGAAGAAATGTTTTAAGGAGTTACTTGTTGATTGGGGTAACGAATTAGCTAGTAATCCAATAAATAAAACAGAGTAACTAGTTGTCATCGTCTAAGCAAACAAAACAAGGTGCATCAAATCTTGTTTGTGTTTTTTCTCGAAATCTGCAATTAATTGTGTAATATCATTTTCCCAATCGTTGCTATCATTTAAATGTTTCACGAATTCTGCGATTGTTTTAGCATTTCTCTCTGCTTCTTTATGGTTATCAATAACTTCCAAATTTATCACGTGTATTGGTCTGTCATAATAAATATTATTTGATGCAATACTATCAATAACTGCTTCAAACACTCTGAGTTCGAAGGTAACTACAACGTCGAAATGCTTGGTATTTTCTTGCCATTTCTCAGGAGCTGCCTTGATTTGAGCATTTCTTGTTAACATTTTCAGTAATCCATTATTTGTATAACTGTATCATAATCAGAAAATAACAAGATTAATAATCGGATCATTAATTAAAATTACGAAAAACATACAATTCCTCGTCTTGTTGTTTCAAATCGTCAAACATTCTTTGATAGGGTGTACCAAAGTCATAAATATTCGGAGTGTCCCTTGTTTTACCTGGCAACTTTACTGATGAACCTGTACCAAAGCTACTCACAGCCATTCCGTATTTCTTTGAAAGCAAATAGTGAGCAGACATGGATCTGTTTTGATTGGAAGCACAAACAACAGCAAGACTCAGTTTTTGTTGTACCACTTGATTTGTTCCGGTATAATTTGTGGAATCTTGTTGTTGAGAATTTGATTGCGAATCTCTATCATAATATCCACCTCCGCCCTCATTTCTATCATAATATCCATCATCTTGATCATTTCTGCCACCACCACCACCTCGGTTATCTTTGTACGAGCTTCTTCCTCCATGTTGTTGCTGGCGATGAGCTCCTCTCTGATGATGAAAGCCTCCTCCACCACGTCCTCTATATTCGCTCATTTTTTTGATAAAAAAAATTTAATATTTCAAAAAAATGTCCCGACCAGAATATTCATTCCGAGTGTTTTTCACTCACACCAAAGATTGTTTTATTCAATTACCAGAACAATTTATAGTAAACAATCCAGAATTTAATGAAAAAACTGCGAGCGAGTCTGTTCATGTTTTTAGAATTATCGGAGAGCCATCGAAATATATTGCTTGGAGTTGGCATACCCACAAACTGGGAGCTGATAAAATCGGAATTCCTTCAACATTGGCAAATTATTTGCAAATCCAAGAAGATGATACCATACGGATACAACAATTAACCAATGTTTCTGTTTGTGAGAAGGTTTATGTTCGGCCAGCAACAGTGGATGATTCCGAAATTTTAGAATTTAATCAGACAAGCATTGAAGAAGATTTGTTGTCTCAAGTTAGGATTGTTCATAGAAACATGAGTTTTCCATTATATGTAAATAACAATATTGTTATAACTTTGAATGTTTATCAATGTGGATCGGACGAGAACGATGACAATGTTTATATCATCAACAGAGGAACGGAATTTATTGTGGAAACAAGAACTCAATTTGAAGAAACAAAAACTGAGAAAAAGTTTCATTATGTCAAATCAAAGTTAGAAAAGCTTTCTAATATTGCCGATAAAATTGGAGAGTATGGAGGATCGTCAGTTGAGTCTCATGATGACAATAGATTTGTTTACGTTACTGAAGACATTGCCTCCGAAATTGGGCTAGAGAATGGCGATATTGTCCAAATTTTACACTTAATTTTTATTCGGAAAAATATTGTTAAAGACGAAGCTCAACAAGCTGCTCAAGAAGAACCTAAAAATGCGCTTGAAGCAATGAAAGAATTCGAAGAAAAAAAGGAGAGAAGAGTAATCTATGCTAGAGCCATTGTTTTGAACAAGTCAATTACTGACAACCTGTGCTACATGCCCACTATTTTTGTTGGAAAGCATCTCACTTGGATGCTGGGTGCAGTAGAACATGCCACGGTATTTTTGAGATACATTGAAGATCCTATGTATCCAAATCATGTACATACCATTTATATGAGGCCTTTATGGAATCACACACTCACTAACGACGATCAATTTATGCCTCTTACTATGGATAACAACCCTTCAATAATCGACTCGTTGGCAGAATGGATCAAGCAACGTAAATCGAACTCTATTCTTACTGTACCGTCGTTAGTATTTGGACAACGAAATGTGATTGAATTACCTCGATTTGGAAAAGTTATACTGAGCATTAATGAAAACATTATCATTCCATCCAAATCGCAAGAAGATGAAGATGAAATTCCAACATTTTCCGAGTTTGTGACAAAATCTTCCGTTGAAAACATGTATTTGTTAACAGGAGACGAACCTACATACAATGTTTTTCCAATAGAAGAGTCTATTCGATTGGAGCATCGTCATTCTATTTATTCACATATTCCTGACCTTGTTGAGATTACTGACATTAACGAACAGATGGAAATGGTGCTTCATCGTCTTAACGTTGAATTTTCACCTCAAGCAATACCATATAAGACTCTTTTAAAATTGTCCCCTCGATCTCACTGCAACGTGGTGATTTCTGGTACTGTTGGTAGTGGAAAAACCTATTACTCAAAATCATTGGCTCGCCACTGCAACGTTTATACTGTTTACATTTCATGTGGATCCATTGCAGGTGATAGAGTAGACACACTGAACGCCAAGTTGAACAGCTATGCACAAGAAGCAATGATTAATGCTCCTTCTCTCATCATTTTTGATGACATTGAAACAATTTGCCCTCTCGAACAAGATGAAGTTTTTCCAGATATTAATGTAAGGGTTGCGGCGTCGACAGTTGTTGAAATTTTGAATGCTCTTTCTACATTTAGCACCAGTCATGAAAAACGAGTGAATGTAATCATGACATGCAAATCTTTAGAAGAAACACACAGCATTATTCAAAATAGTAGACTCTTTGAACATAACTTGTTATTGAGTGTTCCAACCAGAGAACAACGAAAAAAGATTTTCAAGAGATTTTTGGAGTTTGTGCCAGACCCTTCACTTATGGGACAGGAAGAAGTTTTTAACTTTTCCATGTACCACGTTTCTGAACCTACTTTGGAATACATTGTTGACAAAACTGAAAATTACTCACCAGTTGATGCTAGAAATATTTTAGAAAAGATGATTAACGTCAAGTTACAAGGAATGGTTGAACGAGGTCTTTTTCATCTCCTTGACTCGAGTATGGAGTTGACCATTCAAGATTTCATCAATGCTTCCAAAGATTTTATTACTCACTCCACAGAAGGAATTAAATTGACAAAGAGCACTACTTCCTTCTCAGACATTGGAGGCTTACAAGAAGTGAAAAATATTCTCACAGAGACATTTATATTCCCTACCAAATACGCTTCCTTATTTGAAAATGCTCCAATCAAGCTACGGTCTGGACTGTTAATTTATGGCCCTCCTGGATGTGGTAAAACTTTTCTCGCCAGCGCTGTTGCTAAAGAATGTAGTCTTAATTTCATCTCTATCAAGGGTCCAGAGTTGTTAAACAAATACATTGGAGCTAGTGAACAAGCCGTAAGAGATGTTTTCATGCAAGCAGCATCTGCCAAACCTTGCATCATTTTCTTTGATGAGTTTGATTCGATAGCAGCACAGAGAGGACATGACAATACAGGTGTTACAGATCGAGTGGTTAATCAATTTTTATGCCAATTGGACGGAGTGGAGTCAAGATCAGGAGTGTATGTTCTTGCTGCCACCTCGAGACCTGATCTCATTGATGCTGCCTTGCTGAGACCTGGCCGTCTTGATAAGTCCGTGTGTTGTGACATTCCTACCGAGCAAGAACGAGAAGAAATCTTACAGGTCATCAGTCACAAGCAAACAAACATTACATTTAGTGAAGATGTGAGCTTTAAAGAGTTGGCAACGCTTACTTCCAATTATACAGGAGCAGATTTGCAAGCATTGTTTTTCTCTGCCACACTGATTGCTTTCAGAGATCACTCGAAACAGAATCTAGATGTCAATGCAAAAAAACAAGACAATCTTTTTTCATCGTCAGAGAATGATTTTTTCACACTTCTCAATACCAACAGAAGTGATGCAAAGAAAGGAAAATCCTCTCAAAATTCTGCATCTGCAGCCATTAACGATGAATTGAGCCAACAAATGAAACACATTCAATCAAGTCTACGAAAATTTGCAAACCAGGAACAGGAAACAAAGAGAGTTGATTCACTTGCAAATATCGTCCATGTAACTAGGGAACATTTTATGGAAGCTCTATCGACAAGTAGAGCCTCTTTGAGCCAGGATGATATTGACAGGTATGACTACATTTATTCAAGCTTTAGAGGTCAATCTGATGAAGATTACATCAACAAGCTACTCAACCAACAAAAACGAGTGACTTTAGCTTAATAAATTCCTTAATATCCTGTTGCTTTATTTTGTAGTGGACAACAACTGGGTGTCAGGATACGTTCTTGTGCAAAGTTCTCGTGTCCATTCATGGAGCAACTTTTGCGTCAATTACCCCTCACTCCTACTCTGTTTTTTAAAGTCACTATGTTTTTAACCTTAACTCGCCTATGAATGGCAAGATTCACAAAATTATGTGACTACTGTAAAAACTAAATTTCCAAAATAATGCACGATACGCCCGTTATTCTCGTTCCTTAAGTTCTCATCTCCCTTTCCAGTTATCAAGATAGTTTGACCACTTTTCATTCCAGGTTCAATCTTCACCTTAACTATTTCTCCACAAGTGACATGTCTTGCTCCTTGACACTTGCCACAGTCAATGGTATCGTGTTGGTTACAACATTCGTCACAAACAACTCGTCTATTGATCATGAACTTTTTTCTCTTTCCAGAAATTAAATCCTCTCGAGTACACTTGACTATGTGCATAATATCCAAATTGGTATCAAATTCTTTACACACCACACTACGATTGGCATGGAGTGTATTCGTAAATTTCGAATCGTATTGTTTCCTCTTGACAGGATCCATCAACACACTATAGGCTTCATGAATGATTCTGAATGCAGATTCACCATTTGGATTCAAATCAGGATGATACTTTCTCGACAGTGTTCGGTATGCTGATTTAATTTCCTTATCACTTGAATGAATAGAAACTCCAAGAACATCATACAATGACTTGGAAATATTCTTCTCATGCGACGTAGAAGTCGTATTACTTGATGAAGAAGCCTGAGGTCTACTATTATTACTACTATTGCTTCTTGGATGATTTTTCAGTCTCTCGGAGCTTGCTTTAGAGGAGGATGATGATGGTGATGAACAACAACCCGATGTGGTCGGTGTGGTTGTTGCAGAACTTGTCTTGGAAAGAGGAGATGGTACCACACATCCATTCATTCCTACAAACAAGTATCTCTTTGGAGAGGTTGCAGCAACACAGGAAGAAAAGGCTCTTGAATTCATCATGATGAATCTCAATAAATTATTGTATATATCAGGATATGAAGAAGGAGGTGGCTCGGAGAGAGAGGTTAGCCAGTACTGGAGATGGAGAGAACAATAGAGAGGAGCACTCCAGCAGTAGACTACAATTTTTTAACTCACACAAAATCTTGTTAATGTGATGAGGATGCAAAAGAATGAACATTTTGATTGAATGCATGGATTGGACTAAAAAAGGTGATTTCGGAGTTTTTTAATAAAAGGAAGTTATGGAGGATGAATAAAGAAAATGGATGGATGCTGTTGCAGAGAACAACACACAAATGATTGTTGAACGATTGGGTGGGATTGAGGATGAGAAACCTCAAACGTGGTTGGAATATTTAATAATAATACAGTATTTGAATTTTGATTTAAAAAATGAGCGAAAACGCATCTGCACGGTTGTATCGTCATTCTGTTCGGAGGAGATGGATCGGTTATTATGAAATTTCCTCTTATTCAATATTGTTGATGTCCTTGTATTTTTATTACAATAATTATCAACAAGAGGGTAGTTTGAATGGACTATTTGTGGAGGGATCGGAATTACAACAAACGTACTTGACGACTACTTCTGCAAATCCATCATCATCAATTTCTAATTATAATATTGCAGATTTCTTATTGGATATTGGAATGGTGTTTGGACCGACTATTGGATATATAGACCAAATTCGAATTATGATGAGAGATAAATCATCTAACGGATTTTCAAGACTGTCCTGTCTCATTCTTCTTAGCTCCTCTCTGTTGAGAGTGTACTTTTGGTATTTGAAACAATTCTCCATTGTGATGCTGTTTCAATCCCTTGTAATGATTCTATGTCAGGCAATATTATTATTTGTGGCTGTGCATTTTGGAAAACAAGAGAAAAAAGCCGAGGAAAAAAACGCCAATCGTGATACCAGTTTATTGGTGGAGCCTGAAAATCCCAATGACTTTACGTATCTTATCAAAATTGACAGAAACAGATTTTTGGAAGAGTTTTGGCAATGGGATGAGCCATCATATTATGTTTGGACAGTTCTATTCTTTATGCTCTTTGTTGGGATTGTATCACTTTTTTTCTACCCTATTTTCCCAGTTGCATATACTGAGCTACTGGGATTGCTTTCTGTGATGGTAGAGGCATCCTTAGGTACGTACTGGTATTTGCTTGCACAACCGTCTCAACATGTCACATGACGATAATTGTTCTATGGTTAATGTCAACAAGCCATCCCACAAGTGGTCACAAACTTTACAAGAGGTTCCGTTGAAGGACTATCCCTTATTCTAGTGGCTACGTTTGTAATTGGAGACACTTTGAAAACAGCATATTTTATTGCAAAACATCTTCCTTATCAATTTGTGATTTGTGGAGCATTTCAGTTATTTGTAGATATGATCATGGTCATTCAAATTATTTATTACAACGTCATTTCGTCAGGAAATAGAATGACGGAATCATCATCGAACGACTCTCAGCATGAGATTTCAGAATCGTCGGCCATAATTTCAGAAGCGACAGCATCAGACCAAGAAGAAGATGATGAAGCAGACTTGGAACAAGGTGCCATTGTTTCAGACAAGGTCGATGAGCCAAAAGGTAATTCTGAGATAAGCATCTCTCCCGAGTCGGTTGAGCTCAAATCCATAGGCAATTGAATCGTGTAGTAGCATTCCTCATAAATTCTTATTTCTTATAAGTTGAGTTGCTTCTGAACAAGAGTCCTGTGGCAGGAGGAGCACTATTCTCAATGTTGCCCTTATCCAGAGGAGGCAACTTGGAAGTTGTTTGTGTTGGTTTCTTTTGTGTGGTCGTTGGTTGCATATTGGAAGGTGTTTGCTTTGCACCCAATGGGTTAATCACACCAATGTTGGGTTGACGACCAAAGGTTTTGTTGTAAATTTCTTCCTTGTTTACCAACTCCATCTTGTAGTATTTCATGTCACGAATCGTTTTTTGAAGAAGAGCTTCCTTTTCAGCTAAACCCTGTTGTAGAACCTTAATGGTTTCAATATCCTCGGGTCTACTCTCCCTGTTTTGATATTTAAATTCCCACTCTCTGATCTTTTGTTCTAAATTAGCACTTCTTTCTTCCATGAGAGTTTGACTTCTGCTGAACTCGAGTTGCAAACTTTGAGTCTCCTTAATGTTTTCTTCAATAATGTCGTTAATTTTTCGTTTGTACTCATCAATCAATTGCCTTTCTCTCTTCTTAGACTCTTCTGTCATTTGATTTTGCATGTCATTGAAGTCTTTCAAGGATTTCCTCACATAATCATCGAACTCGGCCTCTTTTTTGTCCAGTTTATCCAGATATTGAGCTCTCTCTGCAAGGAATTTGTTCTTCAAAGTCTCTTCTAACTCGTACAACTTCTCAGTATGTGACTTGATGAGCTCATCCATTTTCAACTTATTTTCTTTTGTTAGATTTTCAATGGATTGCAGCTCTCTTTGTTTGGCTTTGTCAAGCTCTTGCTGATGCTTTCCTTCCAAATGTTGAATGTTTTGTTTGTGTTCCTCTTTTAGCTTGTCCATCTGTCGACCCAAGTCTTGTTCTCTCCCAATTCCTTCTTGAATTTGATTGTTACATTGTCGTATTGCATCCAATTTCTGTTGAATTTCGTTCTCTTTGTTTTTAATCTCTCTGTAAAGATCAGTTATGGTTGCTTCATAGGATTCTATCAATGCTTGCTTTTCCATTTCTTTTTGTCTTTCTAGAGACTTCAATGACTCTATTTTATCCAACTCGCTCTTTTCCATAGAATTGTTGTGATTGGAAAGCATTAATTGGATGTCCTCAGTTTTTCTTAAAATTTCAGCCTCAAGGTCAGAAATTTTCTTTTGAAGCGACGAAATTTCTTTTTGTAATAGATCTACCTTTGCTTGCCATGTTTTCTCCACAGAATCCCTTTCACTTTGCCCGTTTTCTTGTAATTCTTTGATTAATCGTTGCTTCTCACCGTTAAATAGGTCTGTTAATTCAGCTCGTAAATTTCTTAATTCGTCAGATAGCCTCTTGTCAAATTGATTCTCCATGTTAAATTTAAGTTCTGACAGTTCTTTCACCTTGTTACTGGCTGCTATCCTTAATTCTTCCTTTCCTTTTTCAATAGTCAAAGCTAACCTGTTTTCGAGATCCTTGATTTCTTTTTGAAGAGATTCTACTCTCAGTTTTTCGTCAAGAACTTTCTGTGTCATGAGTTCTATTTTTTGGTTTAGCTGAGCTTCTCGTTTGCCAGCCTCTTGCAGCTTTGAATGAAGTTCTTCCAAAGAAGTGTTGCTATCTCGAGACATTTGCTGTATTTGCGATTTTAGAGTCGCTATTTCTACATCACGTTGGTCAATGATATCGGTCATGTCCTTTTTCAATTGCTTGTAATTATTTTGAGAGCTGACGGCAAGTTCTTCGATTTGTTTTTGAATTTGGTTCAACTCTTGCTTTGATTTTGCTGAAAGTTCCTCAAATTCCTTCTTTTTCTGCTCGATCACTGACTGAAGCTGCTTTCTCTCAGCGTCAAATTCCACCATCAATTTTTGTTTTAGTTCTTGCAGCTGTTGACTTGAACTCTTATTCATGCTAGTCATGGACTCTTCTTGTTCTTTGTTAATTTGTTGTATCTTATCCTCATATGACCTTTTTAGTTTGTCGATCTCCTCTGAAAATTTCTTTTCCATGAAACTCTTTTCATTCTTATGTTCAATTTTCATATTTTCAATGTCATGCATCAGTACATGCTCCTTCTTCTTCAAGTCTGAAATTATCTTTTCTTTGTCATTTAATTGTGAATGAAGACTAGTTATCAGTTTATCTTTCTCGTCGATGGATAGGGCGTTTTGTGTTAAGGATTGTCTTAGCGAGTTGAGTTGTTGTTCTAGTGATTTGGATTCAGTTTGTTTGATCTTGAGTTGTTTCTCTAGCTCCTCTACTTGGGTGATTAGAGCAGATTGCGACATACCGTGTGAGTCCTTGGCGTCTTTTAACAGTTTTTTAAGTTCTTCCACCTCTTGCTCCCAAGATTTGATATCCTCATCCTTCTTGTTGAGATCCAACTTTAAGGATAATATTGTTGAATTTAGACTCTCTAATTGTGATTCTAGATGTTGTTTTGCCTTAGATAATCGCTGTGATGTGTCTTCTTTTTCTTGTATGTCACGTGAGAGATTAGACACTTTTCCGTTGAGCGTGGCTTCGGTTTGTCTCAGAGCTTCCAACTCTTTGTTCAACCTTGCAATTATTTCATTCGTTGAGGCCAGTCGTACATCAAATTCGTCTCGTTGTTGATCCAGTGCCTTTTTTCGTTTTTGAGCCTCTTCATCCATCAAGGATGCAATCCTAGTTTTTTCATCAGATTTCATTTTCTCGACTCGCTCGTTGAATTGTTTTTCCAATTCTGCTCTTAATTGTTCCTGCTCATTGAGCATTCTAGTTAGCATATCATTATACTTTTGTTGTAGGTGTGCACTAATTCCTCCACTTCTTTGTTATGTTGTAGTCTCATATCGGCGTCACCCTTATTTTTGTTCTTTTCTAGTTCGTCAGTAAGAGTTGTAAATCGAACGAGTCGTTGATTGAACTCTTCCTTGACATTCTGCAGTGTCCTTGTAAGATCTTTGACTTTTTCTTCATATTCTCGTTTCAGAATTTCCTCTCGTTCTTTTGCTTTTCGTTTGAACTCTTCAAACTCGTCCATAGCCTTTTGTCGTTCTTGATTGTGTTTTGAGGTGAGTGTCTTTACAATGTCCGTAATTTTAGTGTCATTATTCTTTTTTTCAATTTGTTCCCGAAACATGGCCAGTTTGGCTGTGGTGTCTCTGATTATCTGTTTGTCGGAAATAATAATAAACAAGCAATAGAGGATGGTCCGAGATATATGATGATATTCGTAAAATTATTTTGAAACGATCATGTAATGAAATAATTAAGTCATTGCAGATCAAATAATAATTGTTAATGTTTTGAACAATAATAATATTCAGAAAGATCCATACATCTTCAATCTCGGACTCATAAGCGTCCGCCAAAGAGTTTAATTGAAATTCATGATCATCATTTTTTGTGTTCAAATGATAAATCACCTTTGTAAGTTGAGCAATCTTCTTGCTCATCTTGTGATGAAAATCAGGAAAACCATTTGCAATCTTATTCGCAGAGACGTTATTTACTGCCCCCGTAGAATTCTTTGAGGACTTCATTAATTTTTTGTTGAGAGGACCTTTGTAAATTTGGCGGGTTCTTGTATCCACTTATCGTTGGCGCCATTTTTGAAAATCAAAATGATGTTTTATTTATATTGTTTTGAATCAATGGTAGCTGAAATGGCTATTGGTATAGCTTTGAGGATACTCCTTAATTGAGAAAGATAATGAATTATTTCATTAAAGAGTTTTGCACATATCCAAAAAAATGCACGCACACTTCTTCCCGCTAGTGTTATCTTTTAATCATGTCTTGCTCAGCACCAAATCATTACCATTACTATCATCAATATTTGGCGAAGTAGATATTTCATTATTTCATATACTGTACATCATTAAAATGTTGTGGTATGTTCATGCTGCTTTTGTAGCATATGAACATAGATCCGAAGCTAGAAACTTGAGACATCATATCATGCTGTTTTTAATATTCTTTTTTGTATCATCGGAAGGTGGAGGTGCCATAGTTGAATTAGTGTTAGGAATGAAGAATTCATTTATCGGAAGTAATTATAAATTTGCTACTTCACTCATTGTGTGGATCGTTTGTCATGAAATATTATTTACATCGAGAAGACAAAAACAACTATTTTGCTCATATTTTGAAAAGGGCTTTTCTAAATACCCTTTGGAAATGGTCAATCAATTTCGTTTGGGTCTTGGATTATGTGTGGAATGTATCAGTTATGATATTTATTTGAGGAGAAGACGTTTAGAGGAATTCATCCTGAAGATTATCACTACAAGTACTTATTCTTTGCAAATCCTTTGGAATTCATAGGTCATCTCATTAGTGTGCTTTTGTTAGTGATGATTTCCATGACTATTAGGTAGGTTTGAAGAAATCACACAACACCCAAGGTACCATAATTAATTTTGATCAAAGCTGCTTTTTGGCGCCCTATTTTGCAGAGCGATACATCAAGCAACAAAAGACATCTTTGAAATCAGTGATCGAAAGATTTAGTCCTGATACAGTTTTTTACATCAAGCTGTGTCTCTATGCTTCCATTGTTTTGATCACATGCCAAGATTTTCTTGTGGCAAGTCATACAGTCACTATTGCTGGTGTTTTTGAAATTCCAATCATACACTTGATCCAATTGGGGGTTATTCTAATCTTCATCTTGTATCCAATTCTAGTCAATGACTTGGGGTGGTTCTCAAAAGTATAAGTTTGTTTAAAACTTGCCACATTTCAATTCTGAATTAATTTGATAACATTGTAAAATTCACAAATCCCGATAATGTGAAGATTTATTTAAATATTGCCATTATCAATGGAAAAGTGGTGTTTATTGCTTCCATTCCATTGCTTTGTTAATTTGATAATAGCTGGATAGAGCACCCAAAACAATGAGTGTGAGTGGAATGGTCTTGTTACTTGCCTTGAAATAACGACTCACACCAGCTCCGAGCAATGCAATGGAAGAGGCACTTGCTAGTACATGACCTTCAAAATGCTTTTGTTGCGAGATGAGATAAGAGGAGACTGCAAAAGCACTTCCGAGAGCCAAACCTGCAATCAAGGAAGGTTTAGATCTCTTGTTGTAGTAAGCTGCAACTCCACCAACGGAGAGGAGAAGAGCCATTGTGTTCGAAATGTGCTTTAATATTAACAATTTAACAAGCAAAAGCATCATGATTGAAATGATTAGGTGCGAAAAATAAAAGCTTACCTGTGAACCTGTCATTGTACTTCCGAATAATTTTTTTGTTAATTTTGATACGACAGCGCGTTACGACAATTATTGAACGCTGTTCTTCAACAAAGCCTTTTATTACAATTGCTCGTCACAAACCAAATCATAGCACGGATCCAATCCAGGTACATTTTGAGGCTCGTGATGAACTACAGAGGTGACTTCATGTGATTGTTGATAGTGAGCTTGTGAAGGTGACAATGACTGCTCTCCATTCATCATCTCCTTTTGTGCTTGCTCACGTTGGAAGAAGGTGTACAAAATTCTGGAACAAATAGCCACTTGCTCAAAGTTGTATCCAACATTTTCTTCCATTTCTACGGTCCAATAATGAGTCAGAACTTCATCAAACAATTCTGTTGAGGAATCTGACTGACGATTTCGAAAAGTAGATGCACTTGGTTGAATGTCAAACAACATTTGGCCAGATTCAAAAGGGGCGTCATATTGGTGATAAAGAAAGAGTCCCAACAGAAGGGAAGAAAGGGCCATTAAACTTGGATAATTAAGCATGGTGATCCACATGGAAATGTAAGTATGTTCAAAATGTTGCTCTAAATGGCATGGCACAATGATATTGAAATGTTGCTTCAGCCTCTCCAAAGAATCATCAGATTGTCTTGTGGAAAGAGTACCCAGCAATGATGCGTCCATGACCATCGATGAATATTGCTTAACCGTTTCTTTGAATGCGGTGAAATGAGTGTCCTCTTCATCTTTCATGGTAGGGTCTTCCTCGTCGTCACCACCAAGATCAAAATTTTGGTTATCGGCAACAAGCATGGTTTCTAAAAAATCAATCGAAGGAGTGTCTTCAAGTTCCCATTCCAGCAAATCCAGAACGAAAATTTCCATTTGTTGGAACTCTTGCTTGGTGTACGTGTTGCAACAATACTGAATAAGATTATCAAGCTTTAACTTGGAGTCTCCATAGGTTTCGTCTCTCTTAGTGGCGATCCATAGACAGCATGCAGCCAAAAGCTGCAAGTATTGCTTAATGTTGAACAAGCCTTCTCGAGATTGATTATTTGTTGAGCTTCCCACAACTCGGTTCTCAGAGTACAATTTAAACATGCACAGGTCCATGTAGAAGGTTGCTACATGAATTGTTCTTTGCAAAATTGAGACAGCATACTGAATCTCAAAGAACCAGTCGCAAACGACACTTCTGTATCTTCTCATGTAGCTTGAATTTATCAGTTGTTGATAAACTGCAGATGTTTTCCTTGTTCTGGATTGATTTTGTTTGAAATGAAGAGCATCAAAGTCCTCTCCCCACACCAATAGTTGTTTTGAGGGCTTGGAAATTTGTAGATTAGCATATCTCTCATAAAGTGGAGGAGAAGATAATGCATCTTCGAAACTGTTTCTTGCTGGAGAAACATTGATGGAACATTGAGATAGCGTTCGTTCTCGGAGCAGTGAGGATGGTACAGAATCGGAAGAAGCGTAGGAACCGTCGACTGAGGATGGAGATTGTTGCTCATTGAGACAATGTTGATGACTTCTTATGGTAGAAGCATCCGAGATGGATTCATCATCTCTGTAGCTTGATTGTTGTGTTTCTCGGCCCGAAAAGTATTTCGAAGGAGTATTATATTGAGGCTGTTGTTCGTAAACATGATATTGTGGTCGAGACTGAGTTGCAAACAGTGATGGAGATGAATTAGATCTTACACCTGGTGCAAGGTGTTCGGGAGTTCTTCTTGTAATATTCATATTGTTGGTGTATCAAAAGATGGGTTGGTGTGATTGAGGGTTTGATATAATTTCGGAAGAGAGTATATATCTCGGGTAGCCAGAGTATCCAAAATATATATATATTGAGGGAAGAAGAAAGCCTTTCAACTACAACAATAGAGAATATAAGGTAAGAGGGCAGGAACGTGCAGTGGCCGATTGTTGCAAGGAAATATTCACCGTGCTTCTTTGAGGCTTATCGGGTCCTGATGATCGAAGAGTAGGGAAGGTGTAGAGAGAATCGAATACGACCCAATATATCGTCTAGACGATTGTCTCAAGTCCACTTGTTGTTGTTTTTTTTGGAGATGTACTATTACAGAAAATGTAGATCGAGAGGGAAACAAATTATATGCAAGACTCGCGTTGGTCTCGGCGTGTTTCGCACCAACCTAAAACTTGTTGGACAACAATGTTCAGATTTGGAATTGTAGCACTGTACAATAGGAGGACTTGAGAGAGTGTTTCAAAAGGATGCCACGAGCTCTCGGTTGGAATGTGTTCGGTTGGCGCCACTGCAATACAATGTGCTACTCAATGATTCAGACACAGCTCAATGGAAAAGTGTGTCTGTCTCGATGTGTGTCTCAATATAGAAATATTGAGTGGTAATGAAGAGAAACGAAATGTTAACGGAACAAGTTGTAATTGGGTACAACGCCTGATGTTCCTTGAATGCTTGAGATCGAAGGGAATCAATCTGTCCAGTTTGTTGACAAGTTGGAATTGTCGTAATTACAAATAGTGTAAAAGATCAGTAATGAATGAAATGATAGCAACCGTTTTTGGATTTCTCCCACGATTGGATACTGCAATAGTTGTTTTCTTCTAAAGGTTATGCTAGTTAATAGCCTTGGCCTGAAAGGAATGTATGTCCATTAGGAGAAGTGGTATCCATGACCAAATACAACCATATTGATTGGAAGTATGATGACACGGTAGTAGTGGTCAATATCTTTCTGAGCCGAAGGTACTTACCCAAAAAGGAATTTGCTTTTTGTGTGGTGAGATGGTGTTAATCGTTGTTGTGTGTGATTCTTTGTGCACTCACGATATTCAAGTTATATTTCGGCGACTCGTATGAAAATTGTGGAATATTCCTAACAGTCGTATGAATTTATGTCTGACTGAAATATTATGACAATTGTTTTGAACGAGAGAGAGCAAAGATGACTCTTTCTGATTTTTCACACTCACAATTTGAAATCAACACACACACTGTTCAGGTTGTTGTGCTGAATCGTTGCGTTGTTTGTTGTGTATTTCTTTCGAGTCAGATGATTGAAATGGAGGTTGTGCTGTGATTTGAGAAATGTATTAGCTTCTCAAATCTTCCAAACAAAGACGTGGGAGTGGAGGATAAAGCAGCAACATGTCACTTTTAGAGGCAACTTTTTCCACTCTGCCCAGAAAGCACCAAGAGTTAAAGGCAAGCATGAAAAACGTGCTATGCGCTTCTCTCGGACGGTATGAGGGCACACAGAGAATGGGACAAAGATGACAAGAGAACTCTGCGAAAGAATGGTCCCTTTTTCTCGTGTTGATACAAAGATGACAAGAGACCTCTTTTTTCTAATGAAAGAAACTTCCATAGATTTCAAAAAAGGACTTGTTCAGGAATTGCAATGCTTTTGGATTTATTGGGTCAAAGTTTGTCTGTCTACGTTTGAATCGGCCGAGTATGGAAGTTGAGAGTCGAGAGGTTCAGTGGTGCCACACCTGGATCAATACATCATGTCAAAAATCCTTTTTCCAACAATAATTCGGATTTGCTTCTCTTCCAAGTTCATCACAAGATGGGAAAAAAATTGAGCAAAACACAACAAAGACGTAACTCATCCGCAGCTACAAACCACATCATGGCCTCTACTGCTTTCAACATTTCTTCCAAGGGGTTACCCATGCTTTCGGAAATGGACGATTTTGAAATTTATTTTCAAGGATACTCGGCCAAAGGAGCCCTATTAACTGGATCTTTTGATCAGTTCAATACAGCCACGGAATTAAATGGTAGTGATCATTGGAACGGTCAAGATAGAACTGGACGCTTTTTGCGATATTCAAAATTTGAAAAACCAAATACAAGAGTGTTACCACTTCCACCAAATGAAACTTTAAAATTCATTGATATCGGACTTCAATTTACGACACTTCTCACATACTCTAACAAGGTTTATTTATTTGGCGATTTTCCGTATGTTTTAATGTATTTCAAAATTTTAATGATTTTTGTGATCGATTGTCAGATATGGAAATTTGTCAGAAGTGATGAAAAATTGTCCAAATGGCAAGTTGTTGCAAGTTAAACTGAGCCATCAAGATACGGTCATGGCTGACAGCTTTCCAACAGAGCTTGTTGAAATGTTATGCGGAGAGCAATTTGTTACAGTGAGAGACTGTAGAGATCGAATATACTATTGTGGAATCGCAAGTTTTGGAACTGGCGGCTCTGAATCCTTTTATTCCTTTGCGGACCTGCAACTACAAGAGACCATTGAGAACCAGCCTGAAAATATCGACCTTTTAAATGGTAAAATTACTCACTTTCGCGTTGGAGGAAGACATATTTGTATCTGCATTGACAATCATGCAATCCTATCGATTGGAGCTAATTATTATGGCCAACTTTGCAACAACCAACATGATAGCTATTCATCAGTCGGTGATGCTTTGCAAAACATTCAACAATACAAATTTACAAGAGCTCTGTGGAATAGAACGAAACAATATAGAGTAATGGACATTGGTTGTTCTGGAAATATGACATGCATAGTGACTACATGTGGTAAAATTTTTAAAACGGGAAATGTTCCCAATTTTTTGGGAGAAAATGGTACCCTCTATGAAATTAAGCTTGATGGCATTCCATTGGCAGTGTCTGGAACTTGGACTCACATACTCATTCATACTGACCAAAACAAAGTTGCAACAATATCAGACACACACCAAATTGACAATATTACACCAATTTCGTTCACGTATAATTGTCTACCAGCAGAGCTAAGGTTTTCAAGAGGAACAAATTCAAATGGTGACTATTATTTACTTACTTCTGACACTATTTACAACAGATCTGGTGGTCAAGTGTTAAAAACAAGTTTACCGATTTACTTTTGTAAAGTAACAAGTGAAATAACAATGATTTTGTGTGGAAGCGGAAGATCTGGAAAAAAAGTAAGAGAATTTTGGAAAAATTTACATAATTGCAAAGGTTTGCATGACATCTCTATACATGCACAGTCAACAGAATGGTTGTAAAATTTACAATAACATCGAACAATATTATTCAACTAAAGCTAGCAGCGCTTTCTCGAGATCCAATACAGAGCTGAAATGAGTTCTATTTTTCAATACCTCTAATTTTGCCTGCTTTTGAGAATTGGCAATCTTCTTCATATAATAATGAGGATTATTCTTCGAAATCATTGTATCTTTTTCGGCCATGGACACAATGATTTTTCCACTCACATTGCAGATAGAATCCAATTCAAACCCCCACTCTTCGTTTAACAACACTGCCGATGACTCCTTCATTCCAACACTACAAATTCCACAAACCTATTTTTGAAAGTAAAAACGAACCAATATACTCACCTTGTCCAGTTTACAGATCTTTTCATTTCATCAATTAGTAATTTTGCATGAGTCGTCCCTTTAAGACTAGAATATTCATGCGGATACATGGATTCGAACGTTTGAGCTGGATCTTTTAAAACCATTGGCATTAAAATCCAATCGACAAGAAAATCGCGAGTATAGGAAGATAGAAGCAATTGATAAGCAGCTTTTTGAAATGCATTCAATTCTCCAAAGGGTTCATTATCAATAGCCTTCTTTCCAAAAGGGGCAAATAGGTTGACATTCCTCACAAATGTTGAAAGAAATGCACTCACACCAGCTGAGTTGTTCAAGATGAAATAAAAATCAATAAAAAACCACATGGTGATCTCAATCTTAACAAGTTCATTGTTCTTACCTGCATAGGGTGCTCCCATGGAGGCTCCCAACACATTAAATTGTGTCACTATTTTCAACTCATCCACAAGCAATTGTTTCATTAATTTTGAAAATTCTTCTATGGTGACAGCATGTAAAGACAAACTCAAACCCCATCCTGGAATCGTTGGTGCAATTATACAAATATTATTCTTTAAGGCCATATCTTCATATGATGAAAACATGTATCCTGTGCAGCCATTTCCATGAATTGCAAGTATCACTTTGCTCATTCGTTGCTCTCTCAAAGCATTTTCGCAAGTTCCAAACATGAAATATTCCAAAACTTTTAGCAGTTTTTGAGATCGGAGAGTTTCGTCATGAACGATCATACCATGAGCTGCTTTGTTTTGGGTCGTGATGAGTTGAACAAGATCCTTTTCATTCCACGATGATAACTTGTTTTTGTATTCGGAGCGAGCTTGTTCGTTTTGGTGATTTACATAAAACGCTGACATGGCCAACAGTAAAATGAGGGCAAACAGGGCTTGTCCGAATAAAGCCATTTTTTTGGCTATCATCATTCAATAATTATTTCATTTGTTTGTGTTTGACAGAAAGGAGGGTTCCTCACATTCGTTTTGGTGTATAGAGTGCTTCTACAATCAGCAATTGCTTTTATTCTCAACATCTTTCTGGTTGGCAAACTGCACGACTTTCAAAAAATGAAGAAACAACTCTCGCTGATAAAATCTGTTCCATCACAAAACTCTTTCCGAATGTGGTTAACAAAACGGCCACAATTATTGGATCTTTGTTGACAATGCCATCATCCACTCTACAATCAGCTAGCGTTAGCTACCCTCTTCTTTATAATTATGAGTTTCCTATGAGCAGTAAAGGGTATCACGTAAATTTAATGTCAAGACATACTGGTCACAAGGAAGATAAATATGAAAGCTTGATAACAAAGGCTAGAGATTTATATCACGATAAAGAGTACGAAAAGGCTATTAAAATTTGTTCTTCAATTCTTGAGGCAAAATCCGACTATCAAGCTGCCTACGGTATTCGAGGCCTTTGTAATTATTTTATGGAAAAACATGAAGCAGCCCTCTCAGATTTAAACAGATATTTAGAAGTGAGCACTGTGGACTTTGACACTACATTGTACAGAGCGTATTGCAATTTCAAATTATTTCGTTTTGATGAAATGCTGAAAGACTTGAACGCCATTTTATTTGTAACTTCTCCTAGTGAGAACCCATCAAGATTCATCGCCGCACGATTATTAAGGTCTAATTATTATTTAATATCCAGGGATGTAGATTTGGCTTTTGCAGATCTCCATGCAATTGAAAACCATCTAGGTGAACCAAACTTTATTTTGGACTTGGATCAACAAGCTCAATTCTATGAGGGCATTTCACTATGTTATACTACAAGAGGTCAGCATGACAAAGCAGTGTTTTATTTGACAGAGCTGATTGAAAAGGTCCACATGAATGGAAGACAAAACAAGGCCCTTAATCTCAAAAGAGCATTTTCTTTGGTAGAATTGAAACAATTTGACAAAGCTCTTCCAGATATTGATTCCTACATTTCAGAAAATGGAACTGATGAAATGCCGGCAGTTCTTATCCTAAGAGCAAAAACACTCCACGGTCTTGGCAAATACAAAGAAGCACTTGCAGATCTTGACAAACTCAACAAGTCTCAAGTTTTAAAAATGCATCCCTATCTCATCGATGAACAGTGGCTAGAGGAAGCACAACAAATCAGAGCAAAATGTGAAGAACAAATAGTTTGAGGACAACTAAAAAGGAGATAACCAATTCAACCTGACGTCAAGTGACAGTTTACAAGGTCAAGTCGTCAAATTAAACACATCCCAAAAAAATACAGGGATGGGTTTATTGAAGAATAAACAAATTATAGGTACTCAATTGTCCGACGAGAGTGTGTCTAATGGGTGTGTATGTGTGGGGTTTAAATGTTGTCGGAGTTGAGTTCGCCAAGCTGATTGCTACATGTTTCCCAAGCAGTTGCAAATTTTGCAGTTTTGGGTTTAATTATATATCCTCTAGCCTTCTTGAGTACAGTAGAACTGTTCCAAGTGGCGTTTTTGTAACAACTGCCAACATAAGCAGCGAATGAGAGATATATTTCATTTAGCCAATCAGTCAAGGCTGGGGGAGATAGGTCTAGTTGTTGGAGAGATTCGTCTTTGATACTACCATTCCACTCCATTGGAATACAAGAGAGAGAATGGTTAGAGGGAAGTCTGACAAGCGGGGCGTTGAATTTGAGGGAACTATTGTCCCATTTTGTGTATAATGATTTGATTTCTGGGCTACACATGGCGCATGAGGTGAATACATGTTCCCAGTTGGCTTTGGTGTTGCAAATGTGGCAATTAGGGTAATCTTTTCCGAAATTTCTAAGGATTTCTGCTTTGTGCAGGTGAGCAAATAACAGTCGTTGCTGGAATGGTTTGAGTGAATAATTGTTCCAAAAGGAGATGGTACATGGATGCCAGATTCTATTATGGTCTAAGGTTCCAAGGCCAGAAATGCTCATGGTTGATCTATCACTGTTTAGCAATTCAGTTCTAGGGTCGACAGGGGTTTCGTATTCATTGACAAATGAATATCGTTCATCAATGTATTGGAGAGACCAATTATTTTGAGCAGCAATATTTTTCACGTGGTTCCAAAATGGTTCGTTAAAAGTAGTATCTTTCCAAGCAGCCAAAGCTATATTTTTGGTGATGGAGGATGAGGAATTGAATAATCTAACTGCTGTGCAAATAGGTTCAATAGAGAATAAAATAGAGGGGCGAGTAATACCAAGACCCCCAATTTGTTTGCAATTAAAAACGACTGATTTTGATAATGTGTAATCTAATCCAATAGCCTTTCTGATAAAATTAGCAACCATAATATCTGCTTTGTCTAGAGAATTCTTACTGATTCCATTGAAGCTACAGGCATATCTAGGCAATGATATAATTTTAGACATAATTGTAGTGGTGATACTGTTGAGATATAGATTAGAAGTTTTAGCTGATGCAAGTCGATTCGAGATTTTGTTGACTGGGTTATCAGAGGACCAAGAAAGATTATCCTTAAAGGTACATATACCCCCAAGGTATTCAATAGAAGTAGACGAGGCAATTGTATCCTGTCCAATAGTGACTAGGGCTTTAGATAGTTTAGATTTAGCTGTAATAGCTAAGAGCTTGCATTTCTTGGGAGCTAAAGCGAGTCCTATTTTCTTTAACTCTCGGCCGAGGCTTTTAAGAGAGGAATTCATTTCAATCTTAGTATTAGCTATCAATAAAATATCATCGGCATATAATAATAAAAGGATAGTAATATCAAATATTTGGACTCCTTTTAGTTTTTCTTGTATATTAGTTGAGGAGTTAATATAGAGATTAAACCATGCTGGACTTGAAGGGTCGCCTTGTGGGACTCCAACATTCGCATCGAAAGGGGAGGATAGGAATCCGTTAACTAGTACTTTCATAACGCTATTGGAAATCATGGATGTCAAGAGATTAATGACAGAGCTACGGAAACCATGTTTTTTGAGAATGCTGATAAATCTTTTATGGATTACTGATCCATAAGCATTTTTGATATCTAAAGCCATAGCGAATACTTCTTGTTTGTGCTGACATTTGTATGCTAGGGCAGTCCGAAGATTGATAAGGTGCTCTAATGTTGAGCCTTTTTTCATGAATCCTCGCTGAGCAGTATGGATTAAATTAGCCTCTTCAAGGATATTCATGAATTGTTTGTTGATAATAGAAGAAAATAGGCGATAGATCACAGATAATACTACTATAGGTCTAAAGTCTGATAATTTTGTAGGCATATTGACTTTGGGTAATGGGAGTAGAATACCAATACCCAATTCTTTAGGAACCATTTCACTGTCAATTGTGTGATTGATACATTTTGCAAGTACTTGGAGCGAATTGTTGTCTAGAATTTTCAACAACGGCACCGAGATATTATCATAGCCAGCCATGGAATTTTTTGTTTTAGAAATAACTTTACCCAACTCTTTGGCAGTGATATGTTGGAATTTCCATTGGGCTACAGTATTATTTTTCTTGATTTCCGGAAGGGTTTTAGTCACTTCTTGTTCTGTGTTAAACATGGCTGAAAAATGATCTACAATTATCGAGTTATGGTTACTTTGGACTACATTGAGTATAGAAGAACTGACTAATTCTTTTCTGAAGGCATAGGAGTACGGTTGTTTAGAGCTAAGATTGTTAATTCTATTCACGAAGACCCGTTTACGGTCAGCCAATAGAGATCCAATAAGCTTGTTAAGCGAGGCTTTAGCTTCCTCTAATTTAGCCTTAATATTGTTGAGGCTAAAATTATTATTCAAGAACTGGCTGGTGACAGTAGAGACATATTTACGCTTATAAAGATACTGTTTCAAATCAAAAATGATCGTCTGAAATTGTCTAACATTACGATTATCAGTAATCAATGAAGGCTTGTCGGTGCTAGGAGAGCCATATTTCTTCACAATTTTAGCAAGGGTATTTTGGGCTTCTAAGAGAGTGCTAGGGTTGTCCATAGCAAAATCGTTATTAATTTCCTTCATCTTGGATTGCAGAGTTTTAGGATGAATAATATATTTGTTGAACTTTTCTGGGAAGTCTAAAATAGGGTTACTGGGAAAGGAGATAGTTAAAAGTTTGTGAGAATAAGCAGTAGAAACATCATCTACATTAGAATAATCATTGTGGGAAGTAATAATATGGTCCGGGCGAGAAAAACCATGAGAGTATTTGTTGCGTTGAGAGAACGAAGGTGTGTTTGGAATGGGAACAACATCAAAGAGCTTCAATTTGTCACATTGGTCAATTAATAGTCGCTCATGGGCAGCATAGGATACCTTATTGAATGTTTTAGTATTGGCATTCAAGTCTCCCAATATGACAATACGTTCACCATGCAAGACCGCTGTTTGAGCAGCAATGTTGATAATATTGAGAGCCTTATTCATGAATTCTAATTTGTTTTTGTTAGCCGGGCCATACCAATTGAAAATACGGACCACACCTAGGCATTTATGTTCCAAAATGACTTCTGATAGTCTGCCTTGAATATGCTCGATGAATTGGAGTACCTTAATAAAAGGTGACGGTTTGACAATAGTAGCAATTCCTGCTCCATTATCTCCCTCGGTGGCGTTGGAAGTATAGACTAAGTAGCCACGAAAGAAGGACCTGAAATACCATACATTCCAATAGTCTTCCGTACTGGATTTTAAATGAGTTTCCTGGATATTAAGGATATCCAGTTCATATTTTCGGGCTAGGGTAAGTAATTGAGATTGTTTTACCCAGCCAACTCCTCCGAAATTAGCAGTACCTAAATTGAAGGAGTTTCTTATAGAATGAGAGGCCATTAAAGGGAATGTCGGCCCTTCTTATGCCCACTTTTACTCTTGCGAGTAGTAGTGCCTAAGAGAGCGTTGACTTTTTGGTTAATTTCTTCAATAGCTTTGTTGATCTTATTAAAGCCTTCAGTGACCTTTTTTCCAGACCAGACAGCCATTTCCTTTGTCAATTTTTGGAGAGCTGATGACATTTCAGACATTTGTTTTTCAACAGCTTCCATTCTGTGACTGATGGAGTTGGCAACTCTAGTAGAGAATGAGAGGTTTCTGAAACTATGATTTCCAACTTGGACGAACTTGGTAATGTTATTGGTGATTTGATCCTTTTTGACACCAACAACAGCCACCTTATTAGCCAACTCGATACTCTCAATCTTGACTTTCCATTGGGAACTAATGGCACCCTTGAGTTTAGGAAGATCTTTTTCTTTACCGTTAAAGGCGATACGGAAACGAGAGATATCTGTTCTCATTTTGGAAAGCTTAAATTTCTTCAAATGATTGGCTGGTAATTCAATATTAGTACCAATAGCCCAAAACTCTTGATCATCTATCTTGCTAAAATTGATGTTGTTGATAGAAGTACCAAGAGTTGAGATAATAGAGTGCATATTAGTCTTATCTAAGTCTTTGTCGACCTTATAACGGAATGACGTTTTGACGGTTTGAGGAATCATGGTTAGCTTGGACTTAGCACCAGAAGATATTGCTTGGTTTGCCAATTTGCGCGACTTGAAGAAGAGAATAATGCACTCCAATTCACTGACAACTCTACTACCGTACAACGCATCGGCATTCATTGCGACGGTTGCAAGGACTTCTTCGACAGAGTTGGTAGTAAAGGCCACCACTCTGAAGAGTTTATGATGTCGCTTCAGTTTGGTAGAATGGTCGTCGGTCATGGCCGAGGTACTAAAAACTGAGACGCCAGAGGTTGTAGTAATATTAGAGACCTCCGGTTGCGACAACATAGGAGAGTTGCATACAGTGCTGGGTTGTATTACCGACAAATTGGCTATATTGACGGAGGACGGAGTTTCTAAAATTTCGTTTTCCATCTCCTCTCTCAATTTATCATGTGCCGATTTTTGAGTAGAGAGAGATTTGTTTGCAGTATGCGGGCGATCAGCGACCTCTTTGATAGAGGCGTGATGGCGAAGGTGATAAGTGTCTTCATCGCCGAGGGCGGTTTGGTTTTCAGACATTTTTTCGAAGACCAAACACATCCCAAAAAAATGTCAATCTCGCTCCGTAAGTTTTCACCTTGCAAACAACAACATGTATCGTGTTGACGAACGATTCTTGGCATGAAATGATCATCATCAACCATAACAACGATTTTGTTTGTGTGCTTTGTGTGTGCTTTGTGTGTGCTTATTCTGTTCTTACACTTCGCATCCGCTATACACTCCTCCGATATATATGATGGCTTAATATACAACGATGATATTTGATGACGATCGGTGAATATAACCATCCATCTGTGGATCTTGTTGAATATCTCTCGCATTTGTACAATGTATTCGTAATACATTATATAATGATAATCATCGAATACAAATCCACAACATCTTCATCCTCTCAACATTCTGAATAATTTACTCTTCGCACAATCAATATTCATCATCAAACTCGATTGTTTATATAAACAATCACCATCATCACAACAGAAAACACTTATGGTGGTGTTCCTTGCACCGAAAGAGGTCGTTCAACCTTCGTCTCTGCTGCTCCATCAAAATTCCCAAACAAATTCACTTATGGATCTGGTAATTTTGTTCTCATCAGAGATTTGAACAATCAATTGGACATTGATTACTATACTCAACACACCCATAAGGTCAATGTTGCCAAGTACTCCCCAACTGGTTACTATATTGCTTCTGGTGATGATGCTGGTAACGTTCGTGTTTGGAGCACTGAGAATGTTGACAAGACACTCAAGTTGGAGAAGCGTGTCTTATCAAAGAGCGTTCGTGATTTGGCATGGACAGGAGATTCACAACGTTTGGTGGTTGTTGGAGATGGTAAACAAGAATACGGAGCGTAAGTGTTGTTATTCTTTGACAATCGCATTGACAAGTGGCATCTATGTGAAATTTGATACGAAATTCATGTCAAAACACAACTCATATGTTTGCTTTCCAATATGATCATTGTCACTTCTTTTTTACAAATGCATGAATGACTTTTTGTTGAACCATCATTAGTGTCTTTGCTTATGACATGGGTACCAACACTGGTGAAATTTCTGGACACTCCAAGGAAGTTCTTTCTTGTGATAGTCGTCCTGAAAGGCCTTTCAGAATTGCAACTGGAGGTGCTGATTTATCGTTGAACTTTTACACTGGCCCACCATTCAAGTTTTCGCACTCGAATAAGGATCACGAACGTTTTATTAACTGTATTCGTTATGCTCCTGATGGAAGTACTTTTGCTTCATGCGGTTCTGATAAGAAGGTTCTTATTTTTGAGGGTAAGACTGGTGAAAAACTAGGAGAATTATCCCAAACAAATAACCACAAATTGTCAATTTATGGATTGGCTTATTTGGACAACAAGCAAATTGTTACTGCTTCTGGTGACAAGACTGTCAAATTGTGGAATGTTGATACAAAGGAATGTGTCTCAACTGTTACTATTGGTGACAGTACTGGTGACATTCAAGTTGGTGTTTCAGTTATTGGTGGTTATCCTGTTTCACTTTCCTTGAACGGCGATTTGAACATTCTCTCCAAGGACTGTACTAAGGTTGAAAGAAAGATTTATGGTCACAATGCTCGTGTGAATAAGGTTGTTGTTGACAAGAAGTCTGGTGGTAGATACTTTTACACTTGCTCTACTAGTGGTCAATTAATCAAATGGGAAGCAGGTGTTGGAAGCGTTGCCAAAGTTAAGGGTGAAGGACATGGAGAGGCTACTATTAACACTATGGCTATTGTCGGAAACAAGTTGGTCACTGCAGCTCAAAACAATGAAGTATTTTTCACAGATCTTTCCACATTTGCATACGAAGGATCAGCAATTACCTTGTCTGGCTCTCCAAATGACATTGCTGCCTCTGCTGATGGCAAATTGATTGCAATTTCTACTCACGTTGGTGCTACTTTACTCAGCGCTGAAGGAAAGGTTTTGTCAGAAGTCAAGATTGAAAAGGATCCACAATCCATTTCTATTAAGCCCGACGGTACTGAAATTGCTGTTGGTTGTAAGGATAAGAAGGTCCGTGTGTATAAGATTTCCGGACAAAAAATTGTTGACAGCCCAGCGGAATATGCTGAAAACACTGCCAAGATTCAAAAAGTTTCATACTCTCCTGATGGATCTCTTTTAGCATCTGGTGACAGTAATTTTGATGTTGTTGTCTATGATACTGCAACATGGAAGGCCAAGTATAGTAACATGACTTATCACTCTGCTGCAGTGGTTGACATTGACTGGAGCGACGATGGAAAGTACATGCTTACTGCTTCATTGGATAAGAACTTGATTGTGTGGGATCTTGCAGCTGGTAAGAGAATCAAGACTGATATGGCTCACCAAACTGGTGTTTCTGCTTGCGCCTTCCTTGATTCTGAATCATTTGTTTCTGCAGGAGAGGACTTTATGTGCAAGACATGGAAGTTTAAATTCTAAACATGTTCTGTAGTAGTGAATACGCATCATTACAGTAAATTATTCTTGTAGTTGCCATGTATACATGCTCGACCTGACCTACAAATCAACAAACTCTTGCAAGTTCTGAACAAATTACTGGTTCTCTTGTTAAATGACGTGTTGGAGTCCATTTAAATTCAATTTCAAAAAAATGCAAAATGGTGATCGAGGACTTGGTTTCACGGATTATGGTCCCGTATCTCCAACAATACGTGGACAATTTTGATAAAAAGAATTTAAATATTGCTGTTCTGAAAGGCGTTGCATCGTTGAAGGATGTAAAACTAAAGGAATATGCCCTGGATAATATTTCCGATACAATTCCCTTTTATATATCGTTTAGTCATATATCGTTACTAGAATTTGATGTACCATACACGAGTTTAAATGCCAAATCAGTGGTTTGCAGTTTGAAGGATGTATATATAGTTCTCCGACCAAAGATGAAACGACCCTATAATCAAGAAGAAGAAAAACAAAGACAACGAGAATTAAAAAAGCATCTTCTCGACCAGTTTGAAAAGCAACAACTTGAAAAGGAAAAGCAAAAAGACAACCCAGAAAAGACTGAAGAGGGTTTTTTTGACAAGTTGATCGAAACAGTTTTGAATAATTTGAAGATCAAACTTGAAAACATTCATATCCAATATCAAGACGATGATAATTGTGTGGCTGGCTTCTCTTTAGAGAGTATGGAAGTGAATTCTACAGATTCAAACTTTGAGAAGAAATTCCAAAAAAATTTAGGAGAACTGACGTACAAACTGTTGACAATGCAAAAACTAGCAATATATTTAAATCCATGGACTGAAGAAGAAAAGGTTGTAAATAATTGTATTCAGAATAGAATGAGCGATCAAGAGATCATTCAGAAAATTAATGCAATACAAAACAGAGTGTATCTATTGAAGCCAGTGGATGGCTGTTTAAAACTTACCATGCAAAAACTTTCGGCATCTGGAATAGATTTAAACAAGCCACAATTTAATGCAGTTTTTGAGTTTATGAATGACATTCAAATGTGCTTAAGCCAGAACCAATATAACTCAATATTTAAAATTGTGGAGTATTTGACGAACTACTCGGTACAAAGTCAGTACAGACACTTTAGACCAAACAATTTTGATCCCCTCGCATACTGGAAATATGCTATCAATTGTGTGACGCATCAAAAAAGACAAGAAAGAATGAGCAAAATTTATGAGCAAACTGTTGCCGACACCTGTAGAGAATATGTCAGAGTCTACAAGATCATTGTAAAGGTTCCATGGGTCCAACACAAGGCAACTCCAAATGATGTACATATATTCAAGAAAATTGAGGAAGAGAGGTCCATTCAAGAAATTCTATATTTCAGAAAATGTGCTCACAAAGAGATTAACCAAGAGGCAAAAAACTTTGAAGAAAATAAGAAGCGGAAAAGCAGTTGGTTTTCGGCTGAAAAGCTACAGGAGAAGGCAATCGAGCTCTCCGATAAGGTGAAAGAAGAATTGTACAAATCAATTGGATTTGAAGAATCTGCTCCTGTAGTTGTACCAGATGATTATGTGAAAGTGCAAGTGCATGTAGATTTGGCAAAGCTTTCCTTCCTTGTATATCATGAGAAGAGTGACCTCATGGAGCTTGTTGTCGATAGATTTGTGTCTGATATCCAAGTGCTTCCACATAAGGCGTTCAGAGTTTGTGCTTCAATGGGAAATTTCACTCTTTATGATAGATTCTCTGGTACTCTTTATCCTGAGTTCATTACCAAGTCTAAACGATGGTCAGAGGCTGCCTCTTCTAATTTACTTTCAATGTTTTTGGAAAGGCGTTCACCAATAGAGAAAAAAGAAAATGAGAGTGATATCAATTTTTCACTTAATTTAGATCAGATAGACATTGTAGTCAATTTTGAATTTTTCCAAAGAATATTAAGCTTCCTTTATTTCGACAGTGTAAATATTAAGAGATTAGAGAAGGAAGCAAAAAGGCAAATCAAAAAAGTGTCAAAGATGGCAAAAAAAGAAATCAAAGAAGTATTGATGCAAGACGATACGACCGTAGACTTGTCATTGAACATTAAGGCACCGCAATTAATCATACCATGGAGCGTTTCGGATCCAAATACTCGATTCCTCCTTGTTGATTTTGGTATGTTCACTTTGAAGAAGGACACCAGTGTACCATTAAGAGAAAAATTTGATATCAACATGGAAAATATGGAAATTATTGTTCCATTTGATATTAACGCGGTTGGATATTTGTCTAACGAGCAACACATTGGCAAATATGATGTCATTTTGGAAAAGGCATCATTTTCTGCAAGTGCCATGAAATACAAGTCAGACACCGCCGAAGAAAAGGTCCAAGTCATTGTCAATGTACCATGCATCAATTTTGTTCTATCCAAAGAGAGTATGCTTGCAGTGGCAGTATTAACACAACAGATTGCAGAATTTAAACAGAATCCAACCGGAACAAAGCAAAAAATCAATGATCTAAAAATAATGGGATCACTAATGGTCAACCATGATGACTCTGGATTCGCACCATTCTTTGTAGAAGTGAGTTCCACCAAGAAGATATTCTTTTATTCAGATGAAAGCAAAAAATATTTGAAGATTATTGCTCACCTTAATAGCCATTCGAAAGTATGGAAGTCAGACAAGTATGAGAATACTTTTTGTTTAATGCTACCTCAAAAGAAAGGCTATCAGACCAAATATATCTATCTACAGTGTTCGTCAGAAGATGAGATGGAAAAATGGGTCACTACCCTAACCATGTTTATTTATTCATTCAACACTCACTTCTTTGTGGATGACTTTGCTGATATTTTGAAAGAAGTAAGCTTTTCTGACGATGAAGAGGAGGAAGAAGAACAAAAAGAAGGAGTTTTAATTGCTATCCGTTTCAATCTGAGCAGCTTTATTTTATCCCTCTCTCATCACGATGTGAATTTAGCGTCAGTATACTTTTCAAACCTGCAAGCGTACTTTAGGCAATACCACAATTTAGATTCGAATTTATCTCTTCACCTCCACGCCATTAATGTCAAATCAGAAGTCATCAAGGACAGAGAATTTTATTTGATCAAATCAATCGACAGCCAATCAGATCAAGATGAAAAAGAGCATTTAGTGAATGTCAATTTTACGAGATCGGTTGATCCCACTTCACCAATTTATGATCCCTCATCTCAAATGAAACTGAATGTAACATTTAAAAGTTTACATTGCTTCGTTGAGCCAGCCATACTTTCTAGCTTTATTGACTATGGATACGATTTACAAGACATTCTAGATCAAATTACAGCATTCAACAAGATTAATTACTATTCCTTTGTGCCTGACGAGGACGAAAAAGATGCTGGGCAAAAATTTAGTGACTTGGCTCGAATGTTGCTTGAAGGTAACGAATCGAACTGTAAATTATTGACCATGCAGTTGGTTGCAGGAGAATCCAACATGCTCATTCTTAATAATGGAGCAACCATCGCTGAGGTAGTCATTAACTCAGGAACAAACGTTTCCTGTTTTGTTGATTTAGAGACAATTACGATATCAGGAAATTTGAGAAATATTCAACTGTTAGACCATAGCGAGCCAACTTCTTTGTACAAGGAAATTCTTGGACTCTATGATAACAGTCAAGATTCTGTGGTTACCCTCACATACAAGTATGTGTTTTCCAGCATTTCATTAGCCGAATTGGTTGAACAGGATCCTGAAAGAGACTTGATTCAAAGAGGGTCTATCAACTACAGACAATTCCTTTCGATGGATACAAGCGCCGTTAAATATGTACATATCCAAAGGTTCTACAGAAAAGCTCAGAGCTACATTTCTGGACCGCTGCTTAATGCTCTCAAAAGAGAGTCAACAAGAAACAGAATCAACTTTTCAGGACTGGACGGAAAAGATATTATTAGCAAAAGAATTATCAACAACCAAATCAAGCTTAACATCAAAATTACCAGTCCTGTCGTAATTTTTCCTTCCAACTTTCAATCAAGAGACCACTTTCTCGCCCATTTGGGTAACTTGGAAGTAGAAAACTTTTTGATAGGAGACTCATCAAATCCAGTAGATCATGTCAAAGTGCTTCTAAATGACATTATGCTAGAATTTGTGTCTTCTGCATCTATCCATAGAGAAAAAATTCTTTCAAATATCCATATCAAAGTCAATGTAAAAAAACCTATCATTACCCCTTTTACAAAGACTAAGCAGAATAATGAATTTGACATTGCAAAGGAAGTGGTAAATGTTGATTTCTCAGACATTGTGTTCAGTTTAACACATAGTCAGTACCAAACAATTTTCGATTTTGTTAATGGAAATATTAGAGATGGCATGAGAGACATTAACGAAGAAAGAAAGTTCTATCAATCGATTGGAAAGCTTGTAACACGAAGAAAAAAGAAGGATATTATGATGAAAAGAGTTACTTCAGAGAGAGCCATTGATAGCATGTCCTCAAGTATTATTATTACTGACGTACATGTTACAGCTCCCAATATTTCCTTGGTGATTCTTAAGAAAAATGGGTCAAACTTTGCAAAGTTAGCTGTGACAGACCTTCGACTTAACAATAAGATTGATATCAATGAATGTATTCGTTTACATTTGACGCTCGGCTCCATCATTGCAAGTGACATGAGATCGAACACCTCTAATGTTTTTTCCAACTTTATTGAGTTTTCAGACCCTACTGCCTGCTTTTCACTCCAGTACGAAAATGATAGATTGCAGTTTAAGGAAAAGGTAAATCTGAAACTTAGTGATCCAAAAGTTGTAGTCATCCCTGAACTTCTTCTAGATTTTAGACATTTCTTTTCAGATACTCACTACTTCCAGAACGATACTCTCAATGAACTCTTATTGGTTGGAACTACTATTGACGAAACTGCTGAGTATGAAACCATTCTGGAACAGAATGAGACCCCTGAAGAAATAGAAATTAAGGCAAAACTGGAGCTCAAAGGAGATTTTGGTACTCCAAGAATCATCATTCCAGAAGACTCTGAAGACGCGTCAAGTAGATTACTTGTTCTTAAATTCAGCAGTGAGCTTGATTTTAATGCTACTCAAATTGGAAAGTCAGAGAAGGGATTATTTAAAATCACTGGACTCACAGTCATCATTACGCATGGTACAAGCTCATTACCACTCCTTGAACCTACAAATATTGACGTGGTCATAATGAGATTAAAGAGTCAGGAGGATACAAATGGACCAAAGGAAGAACGAGTAATTAGAGTATCAATTTCAGAAGGAGCAAGTGCAAGATTATCATACCATGATGTGAAAATGTTGTATACTATTGCTGAACAATTCAAACAGAAACTGGAAATGCCTTCAGCTCTCTCACAGCAAGATATTACCATGTATTTGCAGGAGGTTGAAGATAATGACGGTAAACCTCATAATGCTCCGATTATTGCAAAAGATTTCAAGAAAATGATCAGCGAGGAACTGTTACCGCAAACATTAGTGAACAAATTTATTATCGAGTCTAAAACAATGAGTATTTTGGTTGTAGACGATCTTACTGGATTTGATATTCCAATCATTCGAGTTCATCTCAGTGGACTTCGATTCAACTCAATGATCAAATCATTCAGTACAAACGAGTCTAACATTTCTGCATATTTAGAATTTTTGGTTCATGGCGATTGTTACAACTTCAAGTTGGCTGAATGGGAACCTATAATTGAGAAAAACAAGGTGCCCATCCATTGCATGTATCAAAATCAAAAAGGATACCCAAAGCATATTGTTCAAGTAGAATGTGACGACATTATTAACATGAACATTACTCATTCTTCTTTGGAAACTATACTATCAACCGCACAAGCTTGGTCTAAAGAGCTGAAACGAGAGACTGTCTCTAGAGTCAAAAAGCTAGCTATTACGTTTGAACCTTTTTCTATAGTCAATAAGTGTGGTCTGGCCGTTAGTTTCAAGGTTGCAGACGACTTTATTGAATTGGAACAGGACAAAGAAGTACGGTTTTCTTTTCCTACAAACACAGCAGAGAGAAAGAACTTTGTGACTTTACAAATTGGATCCAACACTATCAAGACTCTCGTAAACAAAAACGGAATATATCCTCATTCCTTACTACTCCAAGACAAAGAATTAGGACAGCTAGAGTACCAAATTTATATTGAAGTCAAAGATAAGGAAAAGAGGAAGCTAATCATTATTCATAGTGGATGTAAAGTACGAAACAAAACTGACAAATATTGGCAAATTGGATGTCATGTTGGAGAGAAAATTGTGCCTCTTGCATTCCTTGCACCCTACTCATCGCTCTATATTCCTACCAGTTTTGTTGTTGAAGATGGCCGTTTGGCAATTCGGCCTTGTAAAGACCAAGACGACAACAGTGCTGAGACATTGTCAAGCGAATACAAATGGACATCAAATGATTCAACATTGTATTCCTTGAAATCTTTCAGAAAAACACCTGCAAAAACGATTTTAAGTAGAAATAAGCACATGACAATCAAAAAAGATCACATGTATTGCATTCTAAACTCAAAATCTAAGGCAAATAGCAAGACGAGAATTAGTATCATACCACCTCTGGCAATTCAGAATGTACTTCAAGAAGATGTTCAATTTGCTCTTTTTGGAAGCTCTTCGAAAGATGCCAATGTCAGAATTGCGAAATATAGCGACACTATCAAGAAAGGAGACACTAAATATATTTACAGAATCGATATGCAGAAGCCTAAAATGTGGATTCAAAGTATTATTAATGGATGGCAAACAAAAGACATTACTTTAATTTATACTTATGGAGAATCACAAGAAGAAACATGCAATACTTTTTCTAACTTTTTCATGGATGGAAGAGTCATTAATTTAAGATACGATGTTTTCAGTACCGATAATGCCTACGTCAAAATTGTTGTCTACTGCCCATATTTGATTATGAACTATACACATCATGATTTAGAAATCGTAGAGTCGTCAAAAGAAAACTACAAATTGGGCTGTTCTACTACCATTGACGGCACTGCTGCGACCATGTTCAATTACTACAGTGAGAGCTCCTCTATGATATTCAGCAAAAAAGTGTTCCTGAAGACATCACATGGATTTATTTCGAATCCATTCTCTATTGACTCGGTTGGAACTCCATCAGAATTAATACTTTATCATGAGAGTGACCAAAGCAAACTTCCTCTCAAAATGGGATGCTTTGTTAGCTTGGCACAAGGAAAATATGAAAGAACAAAAATAGTTGAAATCACACCAAGATATTTGCTCATCAACGACATTCATTCGAAAGAGAAAAGCGTGAATATTGAGGTCAAACAATTTGGGGATGAAAGTAACATTCTGACTATCGCTAAACAAGAATCTTGTCATTACTATTGGACTATTGATTGCAACAAATTGGAAACTAACGAAGCAGACACCCCCTTAACCGTTCATTTCCTTAGAAAAAAGATTCCCATGATTTGCATTCGTCTTAAAAACGTTGACGAAGAAGATCCATTGTTGAGTGAATGGTCCATGCCTTTTTCAATTGACACGTTGGGAGAAATACCTCTCATTATTGGAAGTAACTATATCACAACTAAGATCATGCAAAATAATGGTTGTATTCAAGTCTCGTTCACTCGGGCTGCTCTTCCGCCTTACTTTATCGTGAACCAGACCTCACATGCAATATCAGTTTCTCAGGTTTATACAGGAGAGAATATTGTAATTGCTTCAAACAAAACTATTCCCTACATGGTTCCTGATATCAAATCTAAACACTCCATTTATGTCACACTAGGCGAAAAGTTCAAGTTGGGATCAATTGATATCGATAAAATCAAGAAGAGCAAATTCATTTCCATCCCACAACTCAAGACCTCTATTTTCATTAGATTAACTACTTACCGTGGCTATACTAGAGTCATCAGCTTCCAAGAAAAAGATGTAAAACCAAATCAGCAACAATTAGAGACGGATCAAGATGACCCACAAAGCTTCGAACTGCTCCAGTCATACTTATTCGTTAAGGGCATAGGAGTATCCATTATCAATCAAAATCAAACAGAAATTTTATACGCTCATGCTGATAACATCTCTGTCAATTGCAACATTACTGAAAATAATAAGCAGCTTTTGGAAGTAAAAGTCAATCGAATGGGTATTGACAATCAACTCGAGAATTGCACATTCCCTATCATGTTTACGAATGCTAACAAATTAGGATTGAGAGACTTTTTACATTTCAGCTTGATTATGGACACAAAGGAAAAGGAATTTGATTACATTCCGTACTTGTCTCTGTTAATGCAAGAAGCAAAAATCGCCATTGATTTCAAACTCATTCATGAAATTCTAAAGATGGTATCGTCTCTGCAAGGAAAAAAGACAAACCATGAAAAGCAATATATCATTTCCAAAACAACAACACGACATAATGTAGACACACACGAGCATCAACATGATGAAATTTTGTCTAGTTTCAATGTTCAATTGAAATCACAGCATGACCGCATGATTTACTTTGAATTGTTACAACTTCATCCTTTCAAATTGAATTTAAGTTTTGTGTTTAATGAAATTCCCAATGATGAAGAACAAGATTTATCCATTATATTACGTACACTTGGAGCAAGGTTAAGCATGAATATCGATGAAGCTCCAATCCGATTGAATGCACTCATTCTCAATCATCCACCTCTCTCTTCTCGAACACAACTTGTTGAAAATATTAAGGCACACTACACGAGATATGCCATTTCAGAAATGTTTTCAATTCTAGGAAGTTTCGATATCATTGGAAATCCAGTGGGTCTCTTCAATGACATTGACAAGGGAGTTTATGATTTATTCTATGAACCAATGGAAGGCATTACAAAATCTCCAAAAGAATTCACATTAGGTCTAGCAAAGGGAACCACTTCATTTTTCAAGCATTCCATTCATGGTACATTTAACACTGCTTCAAAAGTTACCGAATCCATCAGCAATGGTATTAGTTTATTGACTTTGGATGAAGACTATCAAATCAAACGAAAAGAAGCCAATCATTTGAGTAAGAGACCTAAACACATTGGTGAAGGTTTAGTTTCTGGAGCACAGTCACTCTCTATGGGACTCTTTGAGGCTGGTACTGGATTATTTGTGAAACCTATTGAGGGAGCAAGTAAGGAAGGAATTTCTGGATTTTTAAAGGGTGTAGGAAAGGGAATCATTGGAATGCCTGTAAAACCAATCACTGGAGTATTGGATTTTGTGTACAAGACAAGTGAAGGTTTGAAAAATACGACACAATACTTTGATAGAGAATTTCAAATCCATCGAAAACGATTTCCCAGATACGTTGGAGCAGACAAGAAGTTGAACAAGTACGATGGAAATGCATCATTTGGATGTTTTGCATTTGCAGCCTTGATGAAACAAGGAATAATTCCAAATGACAGTACCTACGTTTCGCATTACTTTTTAACAAGCACCAATGATGTAGTGTTTTTGAGCACGCAACACATTTGTCAAGTTTCTTGTTTGGTTTCACCACCACCACAACAGCAGAACACTCATCACAACAAGATCACCAAATATTTCTCTTCACAACATCCACCAAAACCAGAACAGCTTTTGGAAAAATTCTCTTTGACATGGATTTATGAAATCAAAACCATCTCCAAACTGGATTGCTCAAGAAATAACCCAAATTCGATAGTGTTAAGGGTGAAAAGCCAAACTGCTTGGTTTGGTTTTGGAGATCTGTACGATGATGTAATTATTGAAACTGAACCACACAACAATGATTTGTTATCAAAGCTACATCAACTACACAAGTTCTAATAAAAATCAGTGCCCAGTTTACTTGTACACTGAAGTTGACATGTATGAAATCTCTCTCAAAATTTCTGCAACATCAGGAATATGGGAGTAATGTGGATCTTGTAAATCCTCAGATCGGTATTTCACATAATTTTCAATTCGTTGTTGAGTAATATTTCCTGCCAGCCTTTCCAGAGATAACATGTATTTGTTTGCAAGTATATCTAAGAATAACACTTTGGTTCCCTTTTTCTGTTCATGCAACAATTTTTCTAATACTTCAAAGAAATAAACAATTCTCTTTTTTCCTGTCGTTGCCAAATAGCGAAGAATAATTTTAGAGAAATATCTAATACTGTGAGGATCCATCTTGGAAATAAGTTGGATATGGTTCAACAATTGAATTAAAATGGTGGTATGTCTTTGATATAAGCAAACTCTGCAGAGTCTGTAATAGAAAAGCTCTGGTCTCACGTCTGCAGTGAAAGCAATTTTTCCGGATTCTTCGAATTTGATGTCCTCAGAATACAAATCTTCTAAATCTCGTGTTGTGAAAGCACCAATTTTTTCATCGTCTTCCTCTTGAACATTGGAGGTAGTGTCAAATTCGGGTTCTTCATCAACAGGTAATGATTCACCACTGTAAATAAAATCGTCTGTCAACTTCTTCTTTTCAATAAGTTGATTGTAGTGAACGTAAATGCTCTCGAGTTGATCTCGTGTTTTTGTTGCTGCAAGTAAATAAGAGAGGATAGCAAAGTCCAAGATTAAAGGATCGCCTGTTTTTTCACGGGTTTTTTGGTCCTCCAAGAATCGATTAAATACATCCCAAACCATATCTGAATTGTCTAACTTAAAGTAGCCTCTCATTAAGGCAGTATAATGTTTTCCAGAGGTAAGGAAGCCCTTAAGCTTAAAAAGTTGATACATCTTTTCTGCTTCAGGCATTAAACCCATTCTTGCATAGGCAGAGAGAGTGGTATAATATAGTGTTAGATCTGGCTCGACCTTCAATTCTTTCATGTCTCTCACGGCTCTCTGCACCAGTTGTGGTAAATTCTTTTTTCCAGCAGCTGAAATAATTGCATTGAAAAAGATTTGATCTAGCTTAATCTTTGGATGTTTGATAAAGTTTTCATAGAGTAATACAGCATCTTTCACTCGATCTGCATCTATGAAACCTTGAATGACCAAGGAACATGTATAACTAGTGATTTGGCAAAATGGATCCTGTTCAAACATTTTTGCAATCGAAAGAGCTTGTTCAGGTTGACCGATTCTAAAATAAAGTGAAATCATTTTGTGATAAGTGATACGATCTGGTCTAATCTTGGAGTCTACTCCACTACTAGCTGAATCGTGAATAGCAGTAAATAGTTGAATGGCTGTTCTAAATTGATTTGTGTCAATTAAGTTTGTAAGAAGCTTATTAAAGAATGCAGTGTCAGCCGAGTCCATTTCTTTCGTCATTTGAAGAATTCTTTGAATCTTTTCATGTTGTGGGAAGTTACTCTTGATAATTAAATCTAAAAGTAAGGTATGAGTTCTAATATTTGGTTTTGTAGCCTCGTTTTGTTTCATTTCAGTGAGAAGTTTATGAACCAACTCCATATCAGTAAATGGAGGCTTTGAATATTGAGAGAGAACGCAGTTATAGCACTCGACTGTCTTGTATTCCTTGAATAATGGGTTATCGAATTGTTGTAACTCTCTAAATAAAAAGTATGTGAACTTTGATCTCAATCTAGCAAGATTGTGGAACAATGAGGTAGAAACTACAACCTCACCAAAGTGTTTGTCCAATGGAAATAATTTTCGAAATCGTTCATATTGCTCTTTCTGGTATGGGATATTCTTTGGAAGTTTAATCAAGGGCTCAATGGTTTCAGTTCCGTCTTCTAACTTGACTTTTTCTGCTGCTGTTGAGATTAAAAACACAGTAATTAGTTGCTCCTCGTCTTTGCAGAGGCTTAAAAGCTGAACAAAGTGAGAAGGCTCAAGTGGTATTTGTAAATGATTCAACAACATGTCCAACCAAAAGTAAACAGTGGTTATCGGAATGTTCTTTTGGGCACATCTCATCAAGTAGAGTGTTATTCTTTTTCCTAATTTTGCTTTCAGTTTTGTATCTGCCATCAAGGTTTCTAGTTTTGCTTTTCTTTCATCATTCATAGCCTCTTGGTTTCTATCCCTTCTTCTTGCAATGAACTTATTGGTTTGTTGTGGGGAATGGGTATTGTTGTTGGAACCTTTCGGAGTATTGCTACCATGTGTTGTTGCTGTTTTGTCGGGTGTTGTTGTTTCCAAACTCAGCACCTTTGCTAAATGATGATGAAAATTGCAACTACCTCCAACATTTAAAATCATAGAGGCGTTATGATTGAAAAGTTTGTTCAAATGAGATACCAGCTTTTGCGAATGGTGTTGTGGGTGCTGGTGAATGATGGATGATGACATCACAACAGGAGAAAGCTTCTTCAACATTTTTTTCACTTCAAATTTTAATTGATACAAATTTCAATCATTTTTATTCTTCTCTTGAATGATCTTCAATGGGCTCCTTATTGATGATACTGTTGAAATGAAACGACCCTTGATGGTCTTTGATAAATGTGTTACAACAAGAAATTCTACGCTTTTTCAATCTAATCATGCAATTTTTGTTCTTCGCCCAGAATAAAAGATTCACTTGGAGTTTGAATTAAAAATTTCGAAATTAAAAAAAATGTCTACAACATCTGCTCTTCTCGCTGCTATCTCCACTCTCGAACAACCAAAGGATGGATGGGGTCCAATTCATCAAGCTTCATCATCAGACTCTTCAAGTACCAAATCAGAGATTTTATCCCTTCCAACCAATTTATTCCATATAATTCCAAGTAAAACTAGTATTGGAAAAATTGCGGATTGGACAAGCGAACCACAAACAACAATGGGAACCAGTGCCGCAAGCAGAGAAAGCACTTCCACTCAAGCTACCTCTGCTACAAGCAACATTTCCGGTGCTACTACTCCACAAGATGACTTTAATTTAGTCATGTCTACTCAAGGTCAACGAAAATCTTACAACTATGCTCAAAAGAGAAGACCAAATCAACCACAAACAAAGAGTTATTCCCAAGACCAATCAAAACAAGGCAAACAACAAAGAAAAAAGAGAACCACCACAAGTTCCTATTATCAAAAGCCAAAAACTCAAAACTACAAGCCTTCAATTAAGATCAAGAAGAGTTGGGTTTTGGTTGACAAGTTTGCTTTTGGTACTTTGAAAAAGGCCACAACAGATCCTTTGGACAGTGGTAAAGGATACAAGACACCTGAACCAGTAGATAGATATGTGTGTGGTAAAGTTGGATACTATGACAAGAAGTTTGATAGAGCATCAGCAAAACAACCTATTCCTTTGGATAATCCAAAGACTTTGGCAGGATATATCATTCGTCCTCCTGCTTCTTCAGAAGATCCAACATTGAGCAATAAGATTTCACCTGATTCTAACGTTTTTGCCACCGATGATGCCATTGCAACCCTCATGGCTGCAGCCAAATCTGAGTTGCCTTGGGATATGGCCATTCGTGTTAGTGAAGGAAAGATTTATTTGGATATGAGGAAATTGGAAGGTCGTGCCATTAACTTGTGGCATTCCGTTTCCGAAACTGCTGCCAATCCTCCACCTGCAGATGAAAGTTCAGTTCAATCTGTTAACTCTGCCTTCTCATTGAGTAAAGAAGCTACAATTGTGAATGCATACTTCCAAAAGGCAGCATTCAAGGATGATGATGTGAAGATTATTGGAGAACCTGTTCCATTCTCAACAGGAGTATTGAACATTGCTTACAAGTATCGTGAGTTCAAATTGAGTGATACCATCACACTTTTGGTGAGATGTGAAGTTAACGGTGCTTCAAAGGAGGGTGACGAGGAAATGACCTTCAAGGTATTGAATGAATATTTCCCCCCTGACCAAAATCAATATCAAACAGGTACTGACTGGAAGACCTCAATGGAGTCTCAAAAGACATCAATTATCATGGCAGAATTCAGAAACAATGGTTGTAAAATGGCCAAGTGGACTGCACAAGCACTCTTGAACTCGAGCAAACAATTTAAACTTGGTTTTGTATCAAGACAATTACCAAAGAATGCAACCAGTCACCTTATTTTGGGAACTGAAAAATACAGACCAGAAGACTTTGCAGAACAACTTCACCTTAATTTGTACAACATGTGGGGTGTTGTTAAAACCATTATTGAGTCTGTTCAGAGATATCTTCAAGAAACGAACAAGCAAGACTGTGAATTGGTTTTATTGAAACATCCAAACCGAGATAGATTGGACTTGTATGAAACCCCTGATGTTGCTGAGGAAGGAGAAGACGAAGAGGCATCATTGGCTAGTGAAGAAGATGAAGGCGAAGATGACGAGTCTATTGTGGAAGATGAAGAGCAAACTTCAACCACTCTTTAACTTATTATATCATAAATGTCATCTTAAATTTTCGCTACTTGGTGTTACTTGATTCAGTTGCTGTTGTTGTTTGAGCAGCAACAATTTCTTCTTTTATAATCTCGTCACCAACTCCACGTGGAGTGAATAATTCAAAGAAGCTCAGAGTTTTGGAATGGGAGGGTCTTTTTGATCCAACATTGGTACCACCACTGCTGACAATTTGCTCTTCTTTGTTCGCCATAGTAACATACCCTGAAAAGATATCAAACAATGTTACGGCCAATGTGACAAATAGTGGACCCTTCAAAATTCCACTTTGCCCAAACACATAAATGCCTAAAATAATTGAGACACCTAGTAGTGTTGGATTTCGTTTTTTGAAGAGTCTTGTGAAGAGCATGGTATCAATAGCATATAGAGAAAGGTGAGCTACTAACACAATGACCCATGAAATAGATACAAATCCATCTCTACTTAGTAAATAAATAGTGGCTGGAAGCCATATAACCCAATTACTAATAAGAGGAATGACTGATAAAAAGAATGAAAGAAAACCTGTGTGAAATAAATAGTTATTGAGTGGAATTTTGAATGATTACCATTACTTGACTTCATGAACACCTACCGAATATAAATACAATTTCAAAATCTACCAGATAGAATGAAAAAGTAGTGATGAGAAAATTGATCACACCAAAGGATATCAAATAATATAATGTCTTGATAATATTGGTGTCAATACTCTCAATAATTACGGTGCTTTCTTCTTCAGTCAATGGAGAAACTTTCTTGGCCGTTTCCACAAAAAATTCATCATGCTTCACAAAATAAAACACAAATAATATGAAAAGGAATGACGAAAACACTAAAACTTTGAGATTTGAAATTAAATCGACTAGGGTTTGAAAGAATGTCTGTAAAGATGATCCAAGAATATTGATGTTAGATGCTACCAATCCTAATAAATATTGAATGAACGAATAAATGTTGTCTTGTAAATAAATCACTTGCTTTTTGCAAAACTTGTTTCCAAGTAGGGAGGAAAGTGTGTTGTTGGCAGATTTCTTTGACATGACCATGGATGTAATATTATGCAAAAAGTCGTATTGACTGTTCGCCGCACCCAACATCATGTCACAATATCTTTCTGCTGTTTTCCAAACTGTCACATTTTCAGATGGTTTGGTAACGGGTAACAAATTCGAGTGATTGTTTGTCTGCTCCACAATTGCGTTTTTATAATTATTAATACTCTCCAAAAACACATCCTTGTTCTTGTCAATAAAATCACCAATTAATTCTGTTGCTTTTTTCGATTCAATATATCCTGTCCTAGCCACCAACAGAGTAATAGAAATCAAAACAAAAGAGGCCACAATCATGGTGACAATAGTAGACAGAGTATCCGTCGTTAATAAGAAAGGACTCAATAGAATCATTGCTACCAGTATATAAATCAATGTGAACATAAATCTTTGGCCATGATTATATTCAAACCATCGTATCAGGAAATTCATTAGAAAGTATGCATAATTGGCCCAGAAAAACAAGGCAAATACAATCCGAATTTTGTAATCAATAGATTTTGTGTATGAAATTAGAAATGACTTGATCGGTTGTTTAAGCTTGGTTAATAATATACTCGTGCACATGCTCCAAAAGATGATGTGCAGATGAGGCTCAATCAATAAATAATTATTGTACAAGATGATACTAGCAAGAGCTAGAAAAATAAAACCACCTAGAGTGTAGAAGGTATATCTTCGGACTCTTTCAGGGAGAGGCATACTGTTCACGTGTGTGTGTGGTCGGGAAAAGATTAAATGCTCGTGTATTCAAAATATATTTTTCTTTTGAAGATTTTCCAAATTTAGGACGATCATTTAACTTGACCATTTTGTTCCTAATTGTTATGTTTGAGGTTTGTAGGACGCGACTGATGGCAATACTCTTGATCTTGTGACTGCTCGTTCAGTCCCAGTTCGGAATGATGCTTCGATCAACCCAAGGCAGAAAATTGTAAAAACATCAAACAATAAAAATAAAAAACCATGAGTCATCGTTTCCCGTTAAACAGTAGCAGACAAAGATCCTTCTTTGCTCGAATTCAACCCTCCTCCTCATCATCTGCTTCATCATCATCTTCATCAGCACCGCAACAATCAGGATCACAAGAATCAAAAACAACGGATACTCATTCTGTTTCGGAAGAACAATCCATCAATTTATTTAATCATTCAATGATCGATGAACACGTTGAAGGAAGTAGTAGTGGATATCAATTGCATGTTTTAAAGAAACATCCCTCTCTGTTTGAAGATTCTCCATCATGTTTTAATGTTGATGACAAATCAAATTTTATTAAAGTAGAAAAGAATATGGTTACCATTAAATATACAGGGAGAGGAAATCAACAACAAGAAATTGGCTCTATTCGGGCCAACGTTCCGTTTTCAGGAAGAAATTTAATTGATTATTTCGAAATTCAAATAATTTGTGCTGGAGAACGATCCTCCATCATGATTGGACTAACTGACGAGAAATCTGATTTTGTAAATACGCGACATCCTGGATATGATGCTAACTCTTTTGGATTATTTGGATTAGATGGTGCCATGTACACGTAAGTAGTTTTGCAATAGACATTTTTCTAAATCAATTGGCAAATCATGATTGAAATATTTGACATCCAATAGAAACTCAAAAAAGGTGAAATCAATTACAACAAAATTTGCAGATGGTGATGTTATTGGTTGTGGAGTCAACTACAATCAAAAGAATATTTTCTTTACAAAGAATGGAGTGTCTCTAGGAGTTGCATTTCAGATCAAGTCGTGCGGAAGATTAGTACCCACTGTTGGCATGCATTCTAAAAACGAAGTGGTGAAGGGAATATTTTCCAATTTCCGCTTTGATTTAGATTCCATGATTGAAAACGAACGGAGAAATGTACAACAATATGTAGATAGTATTAAATTATTTGATGAAGACACCAGTTCTTCGTGGAGCCAAACACTTTCTGACAAGTCGACTGAACGAAGAGAAGGAAGCGAATTAGACCTACTAGTGAGAGATTATCTTTTTTATTATGGGTTTAGTGATACTCTAAAGGTATTTGAGCAATCAGCTGCCCTTAAGCCCACCCTTGATAACTCGTGTGAAACTAGAAAAATAATTTGTAAATTAATTGAAGCTGGTGAGGCCCAAAAAGCATGTACCATGATTGAGGAAAAGTTTCCTGAATGCCTAAACGAATATGATGATGTAAGATTACGCCTCTATTGTCAAATAATGATTGAAATGCTCAAAAATCATCAATTATTGGAGGCTTTACAGTTTTCAAAACAGAAGATAGCGAGATACATCTTCACCAACAATAATATGGACCAATTTGATGGCGTGACTAATGGGTCGTCACCAAGCACATCATCCAAGAAAAAGAAGAAAAATGCAGCAAGCCTTTCTAAGTTGGCTTTGGAAACGGTGGGGTTGTTGGCTTTCAGTGACTTGTCTACCTGTCCCTTCACTCATCTCTTAAGCCAAGATTATAGAAATGAATTATCATCACTTGTAAATCAAATGTTATTGGCCTATTCGGGTGAGAAGAGAAGTTTCTCATCTCTAGAGACCTGTGTGAGGCAATTGGATCTCGTAAGGAAAGCACTCATTGAGAATGGATCTGGAAACTTGATCGACTACGATAGCTTATAGGTGCCCCAGCACTATTAATTGACTCTGTAGAGTAAATGTTGTAAATTTCGTAAAGACTCTGAGCTTGTGTTTACAAAAAACCAAAACACAAAAAATGTTTAGCAGATCGCCTCGGAATCATTCTCTTCTCTTCGTTTCGTTGATCATGGCCTTGACCATGCTTGTTGTGATCGCTCATGCTACTGATCCCAACATCAATGTTGATCTCACTGGTCATCAAGATATTCATCAACAACAACAACAACCACGATCATCAGATTCTCCTCTCATCATCATTCGTGGTGGCATTGTTGTAACACACGACAATGAATTTCCAGCCAATATTGTGATTAAAGATGGCAAAATTACACACATCTTCTCTCGTACCAATCCTTCATGGAGTATTGATTATGAACATCAAGTATTAAATCGCGACGGAATTGATATCTCATCACAAAATGTCAAGATTGTGGATGCTACTGGTAAATATGTCATGCCAGGTGGAATTGATCCACACGTGCATTTGGCTCTTCCTTTCAGTAAGTTTCGTAATTGATGAAAGAAGTCCATTTGAGATGAATTTCATGATGACGAAAACTGACACTACGTTGTGAAATCTAATTCAAATGTATGGCCCATATTTGAATATCATCATCATAGTGGGTACTGTGAGCAAGGATGATTTCTATCATGGAACACGAGCTGGTCTTAGTGGTGGTACAACCATGATTATTGATTTGTAAGTTGTCATGACTCAAGTTAATGTTTATGAAATTATTCATTTGAACAGTGCCATTCCATCCAAAGGCCAAAGTTACATTGACATTGTCAAAGAATATAAAAAGAGAGGTGAAAAGTTAAGCTGTGCAGATTATGGTCTTCATGTGGCCATCACAGGATGGGATGACAACACTGCACGAGAAATGGAAGAACTTGTTAAAAATCACGGAATTAATAGTTTTAAATTTTTCATGGCGTATAAGGGAGTACTGCAAGTCGATGATGCCAATTTGTATCAAGGATTTAAAAAGGCTCTTGAAATGTAAGTTTAGAAAGTTCATGCTTTTGCAATTAATTTTCCATCATTATTACATTATACAAAGTGGAGCTATTTCTCAAGTTCATGCGTAAGTATTATTATTTCTTGATGGCTTCAACCTTGACAATGTGTGAACACATTTCACAGAGAAAATGGTGACTTGGTAGTGGAGGGACAACGAAAATTATTCGAAATGGGAGTGACTGGTCCAGAAGGTCATCCACAGAGCAGACCAAAGAATGTAGAGGCAGAGGCTGTTCACAGAGCAGCTGAAATTGCATACTCTGTTGGAAATGCTCCTCTCTGTAAGTAGTTGTTTCTTCCATAATGTTCCTTTTTATTCATTCCACTTGATACAACAGACATTGTTCATGTCATGTCGAAAGATGCCATGGATGAAATTGCACGTGCCAAAGCAAAGGGCTACAGAATTGTTGGTGAACCCATTGCTGCTGGTCTCACTCTCGATGAAAGTGTTTATTACAATGGGGACTGGCTTCAAAGAGCGAAGTATGTGATGAGTCCTCCCATACGAAGCAAAGCAGATCAACTTGCTCTCATTTCAGGTTTAAAGAACAAAATTTTGGACCTCACAGGAACTGATCATTGTGTCTTTGACTCTGAACAAAAGAAGATGGGTCTTCATGACTTTAGAAAAATTCCAAATGGTATCAATGGTCTCGAGGATAGAATGTCCGTGCTCTTTGATAAGCTTGTTGCCAGTGGTGAATTATCTCCAAGCGATTATGTGCGTGTGACGAGTACTGAAGCTGCTCAAATATTTAACATTTATCCTCAGAAGGGTGCCATTCAGGTGGGATCAGATGCTGATATTATTGTATTGAATCCAAATGCAACAAGAGTCATTAGTGCCAAGACACATCATCAAAATATTGATTATAATGTTTATGAAGGATGGAAAGTGAGAGGAGTGGTTGATGTCACCATTTCGAACGGTAGAGTTGTTTGGGAGAATGGAAAGTTAAATGTGCAAGCTGGTTCTGGACGTTTTATTCCAACCCCACCATTTGGTAAAATGTTTAAAGGATTGAAAATGGAACAAGCTCAAAAGGCACCCATTAAGGTGGACTAGATAATTTATTTTAATTGTACCAAGAGTGTTGTGTTGATCATAAATTCGATTTGATTGAAAATCAAAGTCATTAAAAAAAAAACAACAAAAATGGACAAGCACGATAACATTGAATCAACAGATGCCTCTCTTGAAGAATCAACAACTATTAAACGTGATGAACAACATTCGGCCCCTTCAACACCTTCGTCCATCATTCCGAAGCAATCACTGGAAAGATTTCAATTTAAAAACACAATCAAAGCCGGCGGATCCATTCGTATTAGACTTGCCAGAGAAAACAAATTTATTAAAGAACACGATAGTATATCAGGCACCATAGATGTCAAATTAACTGAAGGCTTGGATTCATCCCTATCTAAAAAACTGATATTGAGATGCAAAGCCTTTGAGCGTCTTCTCAAGAAACAAGAGAATGAACAATTCGAGTTGGAAAAAGAAAATGTATTTTGCTTGGATTACATTTTAATCAAGGACTTTATGAATGAAGACCTCGAAATTGGCCAGCATTCATATCCATTTACTTATCTATTACCGGATAGAATTCCGACAAGTATATTCCATGAAAGAAATGACACTCAATACGTCATTTGTTACAAACTCAAAGCGTTCCTAGTAACAGAACATGATGCAGTAACGTTGCAACCTCATTCTCCTTCTCCTCCAACTTACACAGAGCAGAAACATTCCCATCAACATCACCATCCTAACAATGAAGAGATGACACAGAACCAACATCAAGAAAAATCTTCCAAGAAAAAATCCCTTGTTGTCAAGAACGCAGATTCCTTTCACAAATGCAAAATTGAAAAGTCTTGCATATTTTTGGTTAGTGAATTATATCCAACACTTGAGGGAATTGGAAAATCTTCAATGCATTTTGAAACCTCGAAAAAGTTTCTATTCTCTTCGAAAAAGCTGAAAATAAGCTGTAATTTTGCAAGAAATGTTTTTAGAATGTTTGATGACGATATCGTTTTTAATCTCCTCATTGACAATGAATCATCAAAAACCGTCAACAAAATAGTAATCGAGCTCATACAATCGTTTAAGCATATAGATTCTGATGAAAAGGAAAATGACAGCTCTGCCATTAAAATTTTTGAATCGAAAACAGAACAAGTTGAGGAAACTGTGATGTTTCAGAAACAATTTGATGAACCTGTCGAACCTGAAGCAAAATTGGAAAAGAAGGTGATATTTGAAATACCATCTTATCGTGACATGTCATCAGAAGTTAATGTTAAGAAGACTGAGGGTAGCAAACCAATCAATGAGCAATATGATGCTTTTGAAAACAGAAAGTATTGGCTTCCAAGCGTCAACAATTCCAAACTCATTCACGTCTCATACGCTATTAAGGTTACTTGTATGGTTTCTTCATTTGTTGGTCCTGATGTTGTGTTGTCATGTCCCCTCTATATTAAGCCCTCGGTGACAGGTCTTCATTACCCCAAGAAGGATTAAATAATGATTCAAGAGTATTTCAGGAATAATCTTTTCGCTACAGCTTGTTGTTACTAAAAAAAATGAAGTTGTTGTATGACTTGAGAAGATTGTTTTCCGATTGTTGTGGACCACATGGAAAAATTATTCTCGTCGGAAAGGAGCATCAACGAGATTCAGATGAAATTTGCATGACTTGTTGTTCATCTGGAATTTTAAATTTTGATTTATTGGAATTTTCCTCTGATCAACAGAGTGACGAAGAAATTGTGTTTCAAAAAACAATCAAAAGTTTTCTAAAATCACATAATTTTCAATATGGATTTTATGGAAGCTCTTTTGGATTGCTCACATGTATCATGTATATATTGTTCAAAGAAGATTGTGAAAATTATTCTTTATTCAAGTTAAACTATTTGCTGCAGAATGTAGTACCCCAGTGGATGGACGAATTCTTTGATCGACAACAAATTCCTGTTCAAGCTCTCTCTTTGAAGATCTTACTGTCCATAATGAAAACCAAGTGGTGTGGAAACAAATTATTAAGGCTCTCCTCTCATCATGTGAATGTTATGAGCGCTCTTTCTGTTCGAATTTTCTCTCATGTGTTTTTACCGAAATTTGGATCCTCTCAATCGATTATAGGAAGAAAAAACGATGTCAATTATGTACAGTTATATGGAGAAGGAATAACGTATGAAGATAGTGTGTTGAAAAAAGGATTGATTATGAACATTCCGTTTCCAGAAATTGTAAAATCTGTCACAAAATCAAAAAACATCCAGAATAAGAAAATTATTGTATTTAAGGAATCCATCCTTCTGACTCCACCCAAGAGTGAAGAAGCATACACCGAGAGCAACCTTGGAGCCATGATTAAGCTGAGGTCATCAGGAGAAGAAAATACGCTTGATCTTGTTAAAGAGAGAATCAAAGAGTGGAAACAAAGTGGCATTGAAATAGTTGCATGCCAAAAATTAATTGACAAGCCCATTCAACTCCTCATGCTAAAGCATGACATAATACCCATTGAGAGAATTTCACAATTTTACATTGATGATGTCATTCGACTGACAGGTGCTTCTCCAATTTCCTCCATTGTTTTTCCAATTCAAAAATCAGATATTGGACAAATCACTTCAATATCAGAAATTCAAGTAATGGGACGAAGGTAGGTGTTATTATGACAATGCATCTTCAACTTTCGATAATTATGAATGTCAGTTGTATTTATTTCACAAACGAGACAGCAGAATCCGAAGTGTATTCTGTATTACTCTGCTCTCCATCACATTCTCAATCCCTTGAGCTAGAACACGTCATGAAAAGCGCACAAACAGGTCTCAAACTGCTTGTTTCACAGCCTTTCGTAGTTGCTGGCTCTGGTGTGACTGAATTTTTATTAGCTCAATATTTTACGGAGCAGTCAAGATTGGATAAATCAAGAATTTTTTCAATACTCTCACTGCAAAAAGAAATGGAACTAATCACAAGAAGCTTGAACATGCTGAGCAAAACCATTGCTCAAAAAGAATCATCAAACATGATTTTAGAGGAATACGTCTTGTGTATGAAACAGAAGAATTGTGACCTATCGAGCTCTCTGACTCCTTCCAAACATGGTCTCGTTGTCACACCCACCTATTCTTGCTTTTCATTGAATTCTCAAGTTACCGAATCAGAAGCGAAGGAAGTGTTGAGATATTCTGTAGAATTTGATCGAACAACACAAACGATGGAATTCAATATTGATTCACCAAACGAGAACGAAGAGAGAAACATGATTTTGGACATTTCATTCGCAAAGAAACAAGCGATTGCCTCTGCGTTTCAATGTTTTCACACCCTCATGCAATCAACACAGACCACTAGACAGTAATTTCATAATAACAGTGTCACATACCATGTTGTTGAGAATTCCACATTCCAACTTTTGTCTCACACGAATTATTTTAGAAATCTCACAGAAACATTCCCATTCTCCATTCGATTTGCTAACCCATCATCATGATTGAGCTCCTTGTTTTACCTTAGTGACCAGAAATGACCCGAGCGAGCATCCACAAAAAAAACCAAAAGATCCTCCGACGATTTTGGTTTTCAGCAAAGACGCGCATCGCGTGAGCGTTTCTTGGCTTTGGTTCATTTTTCTCTCTTGCCAAGAACGAGAATAATAGCCTCTCTCTATTCATCAAACGCAAGATTGAAGAAGGCTTTCAAAGTCTTCTCGCATACAACAAATTGTGTTTTTTCACTCGTATTGGTTGTTTAACGAACACCACAGACGAGAAATACCAAGATCTGAGTTGTTTGATTAATGTAATTGATTGCTTTAGGATCAATCAGTATTAATATCATCATCGGATTGAAAAGGTGAGTAGCACTGCTTGTTGTTTGAAACAAGTCTTGTTCTATCAATGCAAATGAATCACAGATTCCTAGATAATATTAGAGCATCATTGATCTTGAAAATCAGCATTCAATATTTTATATTTACAATACTTTTCGATCAACTTATTTGAGAATGCACTCAACTCCCTATTTGTTAAATGCTGTGTCTTCAACAACTCCATCATCATCATCCACACCCTCTCACTTCTCTACTAGAGCCGAGTCTTCAGTGACCAATACTAGTAGCCCTTCTTCTTTGTTTCATCCGGGGAATAGTAGTAGCGTTGTAGTAGAAAATCATCCACAAGTTGCACCGAACAACAAACATAACACCAATGCAGATATTGATTACTTGTCTTGCAACTTGCTTCCCATGCGATCGTCTTCTGTTCTTGTCCACAGCAGCAGCAGTGGTGGTGTGGAACACGAGATTCACACACACATTCAAGAAGCTCAACCTCGACTTCATCACTCTCGACCTTATTAGAAGAGCGTTGTTTGATTCACGAGAGTACTTCATCCATCATGTGCAATAACAACAACAACTACTTGGAAAGTCAGTCATCTTGTTTGAAATCAATGAACAACAGCAACAACAACCCCAACCCAACACAGAAATTACAACTCTTAATACCCAACAATAGTTTTCAGATGAATAACAACAATACCTCATCTCCATCTCCAAGTCAGGTCTCCTCTTGTACATTTTCATTCCCTAACTCACCTGCTTCTTCAAGTAGCAGCAGCACTACAACCACTCCCAAAAGTAATCCTAGCACTCCAACCACTCCTAACAGATTATTGAATCATTTCCCACCCTCACAGCCTCGATCTTTAATTGAAATTCATCTCAAGAATAATGCATTCAGTAGTGTGGTCTCGCAAAAGTCTTCTACGGCACTGAAAACAACAACAACTCCTCCTCCAAATTCGACTCACGCGAGTTGTACAAAGACTTCATTCATCATGAATAATAGAACACTCACGACAACGACAACCACCACTGGTATCAAGAAGGTAACACAGAGTGATCATCCAAGTAGAAAATCATGCACAAGTACTACTAGTAAGGTATCCAACAAACAACACCCAGTTTCTCCCTCCCATCATTCTCAACCATTACCAGCCTCAATCCACAGTTTTACTCTACCTCCATGTGTTTATACGGATTCTACGACGACGACCATTGTTGCTAATACAACAACATCTTGTACTGATAAGAACATGTTCTTGCATCATCATCAAGTGGCACCAACCACATCTTCGATTTCTACATGTACCATACAAACCCACAACTTGAATAACACCATGTTTTCCCAAGCCACTCTTGTTCCTTCTTCCTTTTCAAATCCAGCCTCTCTTTGGATGAAATCAGAGAGTGGTGGTTCATCATCTCCTCTCAAAGTACCGAGCCCAAGTCGAATTCACTCTAACTATATTTACAGTCCCTTTACGTATAACTTTATAAAGCAGAATACTCCCTCAAGAAATAATGCCAAACCCAAGAATGCTCAACAAAAGTCAAAATCCAATGAGACAGATGATGGTGAAAAACAAGCGATTGAACGTTTGGAAGCGTTTTATTTGAAGAAGAGCGAGTTGCTTGCCAGTCATTTGCTGAGTAAGATGGATCACTTTTATAGAAGCTTACTTTCGTGTATTCAAGATATTTTACTTAGACTCATGGATACAAGTCGTACCACTCAGTGTGATGAAACAGTCATGAAGAAACTCGACAGAATTCAACGCATGATCAACTTGAAGAAATATATTAGCTCTCGTATCAAGGAATTTGATGAGTGGCCCATGTTTTTCGATAGCTGTATCACACAAGTGTCTGCAGAAGATCTGTCACGACTCGAAGATATTGAACGATGTACCAATAACTTTAAAGTAATCATTACTGGAAAGGAAGAGTTGACAAAGAACTTGAATTTAGCTAGCTTAAAAACTCGGCTGACCGACCATCAAATGTTTCAATACGTGACACAGTTCATTGCCACATGTTGCTGGGTCGATAGAAAGGCTATTCCTGAAGATGTTATGAATTGTTTAAAGTTTTTCACAACTATTCCAACCTCAGATCAAGTTGACTTGCTCAAGCTTGCTAAAAAACAAGATGATCATTGGACAAACCGATACGACACCCCAACCTTGTGTTCTCTACAAGACTTGGCAGACTCAGATGACGACGTACCCATGCGAGATTGTACAAATGCATTCTCATTCACTTTAATGTAATTACACTGCGAACTCTATTTTACACTGATGTTTGCAATATTTGTGGAGGCTACAAATACCACCATCTGATCATTATTGCTATCAACATTTTCAATTTCGGGTGTTGCATTGAAAGGAAGAAGTACGACATCTCCCTTTACAAACTTTTCATTGTTAATCAGTCCCTTTCCCTCCAAAACAATTGCTATTGAAATAGAGTTAGTGGTCCATTGATATTTGTCATATTGCTTTGGTAAAACAATTTTCTGTACCTTAAACTCTGAAACAGGTGGTGCATATAACGTCTCAAAATCGTTCAGCTTCTCACCATTACACTTCATCTTGGCCAAAGCACCATCATCATAGGTCAACATCTGAACTAGTGTTTCGGTGTCAATAAACTTGGGTGTAAGCCCAGCTCTTACAACATTATCGGATGAGGCCATACATTCAATACAATCTCCAGATAGATAAGCATGTGGCTCGTTTGGACCAAGAAATAGCCCCTCACCAGGTTTTAAAGTGATATAGTTCAAAAAGAATACTGAGAAACAGCCAATATCATTCGCATAGTCACTGTATAATCGCAAAATTAAATTTTCAAGGCTAGATCTCGTTTCATTTTGATTCAACCGGTTAATGAGATTTGGTAGATGTGTCTCAACTTGAGACTTGCTGCTCGTCATTAGAGCATGGAAAAGTTTTTGAAGAAGACTTTTACGTTCTTCTGCAGATAATTTGGCGATATCTTGTTCTGTTAAAGAAATAACATGCTCCACCAATTCTTGATTCTGAGATTTTAGCAATGATTGAAACTCTGGCACTTGTGTGATGTTGGAAATTATTGTTTCTAATTTTTGGAATGCGCACAATGCTTCGAAATTGGTCAAAGCACAACACAATTCTGGTTTGTGGTAAGGATCCTTGTAGTGTTCGGGATCACTTTTAAACAATTTTTGAGCAAGTTGTTCATCGGGATGAGCCTGGATCGAAAGTGCTTGGTTTACAGACAACACTTTGAATAGGTATGGAAGGGATGCGTACTCATATCCTCTGCTTTGAAAAAACTCTGAAATTTCTTCACTGGAAAAGTAGTTACTGACTTGACTTTTCAGGAATGATGAAAGCAATTCGGACGATGGTTGTACTTTAGATGGAGCATTCGGATGAGTGCCCATCCATAACTCAGCATAGGGTTTCTCCGTATCAATTTTCTTTTGATGAATTGTTTCATAGTTCTCTTTGATGAGGCCACACACCGTGCTGTTTTGGCCTTTCTTTCCCCAAGCGTAGTGCTGAACGGCACACTCGAGACGTTGCATTTTTTTCTTTTCGAAAAAACAAAAACGCGTGAATTCAGAAAGCATGTTTAATTGATTGTGAAAATTCAAACCATCTCCATTGGCTGTTGTGGTTGCTCTTGTTGAGTGGTTACAGTATTAGTTGGTTCTTGATTGGATGATGATGTGATGGTATCTTGAACTGGTTGAGAGCTTGATGCAGCAGAATGGCCTTTCAACTTTCTCAGCAAGTTTTGAATTCGTTGTTCTTGTTCAGGAGGAACTTGCCAAGTAGTGGGTGCAGATAGCCGATCAACATTTTCCAAAACTACAATGGTCTTTTCTGTAAGTGTTGAATCTTTTGGAATTTTGATATTAACCTCACTATTAAGAGCATACGTAGGTGTATTACCTGTTGATGATGGGACGTAGAGTCGTTGTTTGTGATCATAAAGAATGTGCTGCAAACAAAAATCAACTCCCAATAATCGCTTATTGAAGCATTGAGGGTGACAGCAAAGTGGTACTTTCTTTTCATCGTCTTGATATTTTTCAACCTTCTCACAATGATAAATTTGTTGATTTTCTGCAGGAAAGCTAACAGTTGGTACTACTATTATACTGTCTTCATTTCTGTTCACTTGGTTTTTAGGATTGTAGTAATTATTGTAATTGACTTTTTTGAGACGAATTTTGATGTCCGAGTTAATATTTGGATTTTGTTCGAGAATTGCATTGGCTGCAATTTCTCTTTGAATCAAGAATTCATTATATTTTCTTTCCAATTCGTTTCTGACTTTTCTGTGCCTTTTTTGATACAATTTCAATAAGGTCTCAATGTGATGTTTTCGAACTTGAAGAAATTCCATCTCTGACAACTGTTGAGAATTATTTCCGAACGAAAGAGCAGGATATTCTTCAGTGGCTCCATCCTCATCGGTTGGCTCATCAGATTCTGTATCTGAACCGGTTAATTCATCTGAAGATGGTTGCTTCTTGTTGAACTTTCGCTTTCTTTTATGAGGTGATGTCTTCTTAGGTTTGGGTTCTCTTCTGGGGTCAAAAACACGATTCACTCCGGTGTAATCATCGGAATCGGTATCTTCATCGTTATTGATGTTTTCATAGGGATATGGTAAAATGTTTTCTACAGTGGCAGAGCCAGCTGAAGAAAATACAGGTGTTGTTGTTGATGCAGCTGATGATGCAGGTTGGGCTGAAGATGTTGTAGGTTCCACTGTGGAAATTGGTTTTTCAGTAGTACTGGCTTGAGTCTGTCCTGATGACGACACAGCAACCTCTTTAGAGGCTACGCTTGTTGTGGTATCAGATTCCGATTTAGATGCCTTTTTCCTTCCCCTCTTTGTTTGGGTTTCTCCAGAAGCAGCCTCCTCCGATTGTTTCTTACTCTTTTTCGAGTATCCAGATTGTCCCTTTTCAATAATTCCTAGCTTTGTTTTGTGGGCAACACAATATCTAGCATCTTCTTGGTCGATTTTGACTGGGTTTCCGCATTGTTTCTTACCTGAATACTCACACTTCTTGAAAGGAGCCGTCGGATCCTGAAGAATGTGTTTTACACAAAAATCAAATCCTTTCATCGGTTTTTGTGTACAAACGCTACCTCCGAACGCACACAACAGCCGATTATCCTTGGCTGAAGTGTGTGGCTTCTTTGGCAAGATGTCAATACCAGTTCTATCATAGATAGGTTTTCCGTCATCCGTAAATCCAATAGGTTTGCACAGATTAGTTGTTGTATTTGTGTTATTTTGTTGTTGTTGATCGACGGTGCTACCATCTTGAGCTGATGATGCTGAAGCCTGCGACTTCTCACTCATTTTTTGTTTGATGAAGAGCAGCATGAAAGCCTTTCGTGTTTCGTAGTTTCATGATCATGGAAACAGCTGGATCAAGTGTCGAATAATGATTGTTAAATATTAAACATAATTGGAAAAATCCTGAAAACATCAAATTTACCCTTTCGATCATTCTCCATTGAATCATGCAGTCGAACAACAAGTATCAAAAAATATGCACAACCTCCTCACTTCCTCGACGACATATGGGGAACATGACGATAAGGACAGTGGTTCAAGCGTCAATTCTCGAAGCATTCTCCACCCACCATCGTCCTCAATTTATTTTCCTCACCAACTGAGTAAACGACATGACCTTGCCACAAGCGATTCCAATGCATTGCATGAAGACTCTCAAACTCTGGATGATGACCATGAAATGCATACTTCTGCTATGGAACTTCTATATGAATCCAAAGTTGGCTCAGTATTTGTAAAAGGAGCACGCTTTGGAATGCGTTTTTGCGGTGTTCTATTGGTAATTGCAGCCATATCATTATTGGTATTGAACTTTGGCTTTTACTTTGCTGTGATATTACCCATGATGAACACACAATGGTGGACGTATTGTTTTCACCTTGCCTTTGGAGTTTACATGGCCATCTCTGTTGGCTTTAACTATTTTCAGTGCATTCGTGTCAGTCCAGGAAACACTCCAAAAGAATGGGTTCATTCACTTGGCGATTTTGAGTCTTTTAAAAGAATTCCAAAAACAATCCCAGGAAAAACCTGGAGCAAATGGTGTGGAAGATGTCAACAACCAAAACCAGTAAGAGCTCATCATTGTCATATTTGTGATACATGTGTGTTGAGGATGGACCATCATTGTCCTTGGTTGAATAATTGTAAGTGTTGTGGATGGAATTGATCATGAAATCTTGACGCTAATATTTTGTGTAAACATAATAAGGTGTTGGACTGGAAAATCACAAGTACTTTCTGAGTTTCGTCATATTCTTGGCGATTGCGTCAATCTATCAGTTCTTCATGATTGGATTTGGCTTGGCTGGTGTGTACTCTCCTGATCCTGTGTTGCTTGAATCGTGGGATTTTTATGCCATGTTAGAAATGATTCTCAGTGGCTCTGTTGGAATAACCATGCTCCTATTCTCTGCTTGGCACATTTATCTGGTGTTAACAAACCAAACCTCAATTGAATTTCAATTTAATAAGGGTAAAGAGGATGGAGAAAATCCCTTCGACATAGGTATTCTCCAAAACATACAACAGGTATTTGGTCTATTAAGTCCACAACCTTCTGTTTTGTGTTGGATGAAGTTGCTGCTACTTCCCAATGCCCAAAAATCTCATCTCGATGGGGTCAGCTATCCAACAAATCAACAAGAAAAAGTATGACAATTTTGAGAATGCACAATAAATTGCCTTCTACAAGATTGTGCACGAGTTGTCTTCATGTCTGAACATTTCTCGTAATTTTTCTGGAATTTCATTTGAAGAAATAGGCTTGACAATATCTGCGATAGCGTCATATCTCAAATAGACAAGCATGTATGCAGTATTAAATCCTCCAAAATTTGCTTGTATGGCCTCAAAGGATGAAATTTTTGTGGCTTTCGCATCATCGAAAAGATACCACTCTTTGGAATGAAGGTCCTCACTGACATTAATGGCAACAACATAGTGACCACTATGAACGGTTGAACCTTTGTGAATCAAGACAGCGTGGAGGGAATACGAGTAATCCTTCTTATTTCCATTCTTTTGCTTTACAAATTCTGTTAAATTAATATGATCGTCAAATTCATACGTATCTGTGACTTTTTGTAAGGTTCCCAATGGAGTATAATCGAATCGTTTCAGATGAAGCATGAGTACTTTAGGTAAATGTGTAAAAGTAGAATATTTCTTTGCATCTTGAAGGCCATAGCCCTCAGCATGATACTTGTTCTGTCCTGATAAAATTTCAGGTTTTACATATCTGTTGAAGGAGTCATAAATATTTCGGCAGCCCTTGACATCAAGTTGTATGTCATAGAATGATTCTTCTTTTGAACTTCTAAAGTCAACATTAATGCATTCAATTCCGCTTTCAACTTTTCCCAAAAAGAGTTGGCTAATACTTTTTGAAACAGAGGTGTTTTTCATCTTTTGCTGTAAGTCGTCAAGAAGAATACGAGCAACCTCTTGAATGTCATGCTGTTCAAAAACTTGATTTCCAGTCCATCCGAAACTATCAATCAAACATTTTGTGGAAACTGTTCCTGTATATGAATGACCCTCTTCAATCGGATCGCAGGCTTTTTGTAAATTATAAAATACTCTAGCCATTGCTTTAGAAATTGAATCCACATCCTCCTTATCCATCATCATTGTAAATACGCTTCTTCTAAACTTTGGAATGTGAAATAGAGTTTGTAAAAGAGAATTTAAACTATTCGTCACAAATAAATGGTTACTCTCAAAACCAATTAAAAGTAAATAACACTTACTAGCAAGTAGCCCCTTCATTCCGAAGACCTGCATATACTTTAACTCTCTTCATTGTTGCTTGACCCACACTTTTGGTAGTAGCAGCTTGCTTTGCAAATCGAGATACTAATAGTTGCTCTTTTTTAGATCGGCCAAGAAGAGAGACCAACAGGCAACCACCTCCGACGAACAAGCACCACTTCCAAAACGTTGCACTCGTAAACATCTTGACAGCCCTCTCAGGACTTGATTTTACATATTGTAGAATACTACTCAAGAAAGATGTATTGGTTTGTTCATCGTTGTGCTGTTGAACAAACGAGGTAGGTAACGACCCAACAAACCGTTGAGGTGAATACATGTGCGTTGGAGCCATTTTTTGCGTTCAATCAATTTTATCAATCCACAGTGACTGTAGAGCTTGAAAGTTTTATAAACTTTCATTGAATCTTTAAATGATCCAAGATATGAATGACTCTGATATCTCTCTTCAAGTAAATTGGTGGTTCAGTGAACGAAGCCACAACGTTCATATTACATTCAAAAAAATGCAAAGACCACGCAAGTTCATGATCTTCAATTCGCTGAGCGGTGATGACGATGATTTGATGACCGAGTTGAATCCTAAAATCTCTACACCATCACTCTCGCCTGGTAGAAATCGACTGTCTCCTCTTACATCCCCTCTTTCTCCACACTCTCCTACTCAGAGTGCAATCTCACAACTGAGTATTGAAAAGATGAAGAACTCCTTGTACAATATTGTGATGGGGCCAATAGATAGCGATTTAGATCAAATTACAACCATCGGAAAGGACATTCCACGACTGCTAGGACGTATCACTGTAAATGATAACATTAAATTTAATCATCAGACCAATGATGATCCGAAAAATGTCACAAGCAGTTCCACACTTACAACCACGACCACCACTCTAGAGGTTGTTGAAAGAAAGAAACGAATTGGAGAATTTTTAATTGTTTTAGCGAGAGAAATACTTTTACAAAATTCACCTGAATTGGCACAATCCATTGGAGAAACGTTAATGCAGGAAGTTGATTTGGAATTACACTCCACACTTACACAATATGTAGTTGATGCATTTGGAATGAATTGTCCAGGTGAGTTTTCACATAAGGGTTGTGCATTTCAGAAAATTGAAATTTATTACATGTAATACTTGTGAACGTTTTTCAAGTAATTCAGGTGTTGCGGAGCATGACGCAAGATGGAGCAGCACAACCAATAGTTTACATGAAAATGAAAGCAAAAGAACAGCTTGGACTTGAATATGTAAGTTCACTTTATAGCATCAGAATTGAAATATTTCTGTAATCCTTTTCTTACCTTACATTGCAAAATATTGATCATTTGGTAATTTTATACTCTATTTCATTGATTTATTTCATTGACTCGTTGAAATTATAGTATGATGGAAAACGTTGGAAAATTAATGTTGCTGTGGTCACAAAGGATTACGAACAAACAGTAACTGTCACACACACTAGGCTCGAAAAGATTGTTGGAAGAAATACAGAAGGGCATAACGAATTAATCTGTACTTTTACATGGCAAATTATATTTTCTTTTTCTCGTTTCATAGATCAAGAGAAAATTATTCAAGCAAAGAATATCCAGGAATTATCTGTAACTGATTATCGAAAAGAGAATAGTTTTTTACTCAACTCATTATGCTTGAAATTTGGTGAAGTTGAACAATTTAATGATTCATCAACTGTTGCCAGCTCAGACAATTCTCTGTCGAAGGAAGCTTGGAGTCAGAAAATTTCATCACTTTACAGACTCGGAAGAAATCGAATTTAGGGATTCACAATCGGTGTAATCTTTTCAATGAAATAAATCACCAACAGTGTATTGTAAATTTGTTGTTCTTTTTACAACACGCCCCAAGAGTGGAATTCATGGGGAAAATAGACCTACCGTGATTTTTGCTGATTACGATGAGAGAGCCAATCTTGTCTTCTGTTCCTTCCTTCCCAGACACAACAAGTCACTTGTCATTTTTACACATTAGCACAAAAATTCTTGAAAAAAACATTTTATCAACGGTTCTTGCTAGAAAGTGCTCTTCCACTTCATAAAATTTCAGCACGACATCAACAAGCCCAAAAATATTTTTACCATTTTCAAAACGAGTTAGTTCTCTCTCGTCGCATTGTTGTTAGATAGAAACAAGATCATTGTGTCATCATCATCAGAGCTTTCACGCTTTTTGATGCCTAGTTGTGATTTTTCAAAAAGATTAACCGTCTCTGAACTCCCAACAACAACATTACGTCGCCTATTCAATACAACATCATTAGATAGATTTAAATCTTCTTTATATTATCATCATCATGGGTAATATCCATTATAAACATGGCCATCTTCATTCTCATCGATGGTTGTTCAAGCACAAACGAGGTCAACATCACCAAGATGGCACCGCTTCAGAAGTGGCATCGTCGACCAATGCAACAACAACAACAACAGCCAACAACACGAACAATTCATCATCGATGGGATTTGCAATGGTAACGCAATCAGCACCTGAACTACACCATGTAGTGAATCATTTGCCTCTTCTTCTTCATGCTAATACTTCCACTACTATCGTTGATAATCATCTAGATCAGATGGAAGATGGTTCAACACCTCATGCCGCGACCAAATTGAATTACAATACTGGCATCATGATGATGGAACGTGGATCCAACCTTGAGGCTAAAAAGAAGAAGAAACGAAGGTTTTTGTTACAATGGATGAATAGAAAACACAGACAAGAAGAAGAAGAAGAGGAAGGTCAACCTTCTTCTCAACCACTGAATATGTCTTCTTCTTCTTCGTACTATCAAGATCCAACTCATACTCATGACAATATGAGCTATAATAGTTCAGGTTCCACGACGAATACTAACAACAACAACAACACTCACAGCAAATACCACAACAACAGTCATAACCATACTCATACGAATTCAGCATCCTCCATCGGTGGAACAACCATATTAACGAACACAGCAACGAGCGTGGCCAATTCCAACACAACCACCAATTCCTTGTCATCGCCACCTCACAGCACGACGAGCATTGCTGGTGTTGAAGCTAATGAGCTCATGATGTTATTGAAAGATGAAATTGGTTGGAATCTCTTTTATGAATATTGCGATAAGGAATTCTCAGCAGAAAATTGTGAATGTCTTGTGGAAATTCAAAAATTACAAAGCAAAATTGCAAGAATGAATGGAAAGCAACGTCGTCAATCGTGTCGAGATTTACATAAGAAATACTTTTCTGGAGAGAGTTCTCAACAAGTGAATATTTCTGGACGAGCACGTCAAATGACAAAATCAGTGGCCAATTCAAAAGTGATTGATTTAGAGACTGCCAATGAATTATTGATCCAACTCAGACGAGAAGTAGTGACCAATCTAAGAGATACATTTTCAAGATTTGTGCTCACTGATGAATACATCATGTGGAAGGAAATGATGTTGCATCCAGAGTCCATCTTTAATGAGTAGAATGTGTGGAGTGGCGTGTGGACTGATTGCATGATGTTGTTGTTGTTGTACACACAAACACACAGCTTTCAGTCGCATTGTGTGATCCATCTTCCCGTTCCCATGAGATTTGTTCAACCAGAAACGCATTAACGTGAAAATTGAGCTCAAGAAAGGCATCAGCTACTTCCATCTCGGAACTCAAAAGATCGCATACCCTTCCAAATTGAAAATATGGACGACAAGTGAAAGGTCAATGATTTGCAAATCTTGATAAATTACCACACAGTTTGAATGTTATAATTGCAAACATGACAAGGTCAATGATTGGCAACTCTTGACCTTACGGTTTCTCAACCAACAGAAATGAGATTTCATTCAATAAATTTGGTCAACGGGACTGGTTGTGCATTCTTGATACTTAGGTTGAGATTTACATTCATTAAGGAAAGGTTGGCTTGTGTATTACACTTGGTCGCATCCTCTTTTGCTTTAACATTGATACAAAAAAATGGTGAAAAACAAAGTCATTATGGACGAGGATGAAGAAGAAGATGTTCAAGAAGAAACCTCTTCCATAGCAGAAATATCCAACAAAGAGAACGAAAAGGAAGAATCAGAAACGGATGAGGATGAAGAGGAGTCTGACAATGATGATGATGATGAAGAAGACGAGGACGATGAAGATAATAAATCAGGTGTAACAACACCACTGAATATATTGGATGACAATGAGAGCATTGCTAGTAGTGCACAACAAAGTAGCACCACTTTGCAAGAGGGAGAGAATTTTCTTCCGACGAACATTGATGAAGCTGTTCTGATGGCAAGCAATACTATCATCAACACAGATAATCTTCAATTTAAAAAACCTGCTCGTAAACGGAAAGATAAAGCCGATGAAGCCATTAAAAAGGTACTCAAGAGAGTGGGTATGTTGTTAGTTAAGAATCAATTTAATCAAACTGTAATTAATATTTAATTATTATTCATCGGATCACCAAAATTTTGAACCTGACATTCTTGATGACCACATAATTGTTAGAATCTGCATCAATGAGTGGCGACGGAAAGAAAAAGAAGAAACGATCTCACAAGCATACAACAAACGAGTACAAACCATATACCTCAAATCATGTTCCAATTGTGAGAAGCATTTCGTCTGCCAATGGAAGCTATCTGGTCATTCCCAATGACGTCAAAAACATTTCAGAATTTCTCTTCACTCGACCGACAAAAAAGACCAAGAATTAGAGACAACAACTTGCTTCTCGGAATTGCATAACTGCCATCAAACTTTAAAAAAATGTCCAAAGCACGAGTTATCCTTCAAAATGTCAATTCTGCCAGTTTGTTGATGGTAAGTGCACTGGGTCATCACCTCATGTAATTGTACGGAAATGATGGTGTTCCAAAAATCAAAGAATAATGTGGACGAATGGAAATCAACTGTGAATAATCGAGGAGTGGTTCTATACCTTTCTTTTATGAAAGGATGTACTCCCGAAGATGTTTCAAAAATAGTGAAACAAATTCTTCAATCGAAAAGCATTTCTACAGGGCTAGACAATGGAAAACAAGCAATTTGCGAGTTAGATAATTTCGATATTGTTATAGTTCCCCAAGCTTCAATTGCAGGAAAATTAAAGGATAAGAATTTCCAATATTATCAATTAATTGACAAAGATACAGGATTGCAGTTGTATGAACATTTTGTTAAAGAAGTCCACTCTATGATGACAGGAAGAGAAGGCACTGTTATTATTTCAGGCACTTATGGAAATAGACAAGGTTTACAATTCTCTTCAGATGGGCCCTATTGTCACATATTCGATGTGTAGTCATTGCCAGTTTTAAGAGATTCATTCTTTGCTCAAATCAAGCTAACTGAATAATAAAATTTTATTCGTCAGTTTCCACATTCTTCTGATTGCCTTTCTTTTGTTTTCGTTCTTTTCTCGTGGGTTTTGTTTTTGGAATTTCTTCATTGGTTTCTGTATCATCATTGTCTTCTTCTTCTGAAATTTCTTCTTCTTTTAAGGCTTGCTTATTTTTCTTTGCCTTTTTTAACTCCTTTTTGCTTGGCCTTTTTGGTTGAGTGTCATCTACATCTTCTTTCTTTGGTGGCTTTTCATCATCTGAATTGTCGTTATTTTGATTCTTATTCTTTTTAGCCTTCTTTTTGTCTTTCTTATTTGGCCTTGTTACAGATGAGGGTTCCTTTTCTTCGTCAGTCTCATTATTTACATTCTTGGTTTCTTCTAATTCTTCGTCGCTTGCTGGTTTTTGTGATTTAGGCTTTTTCTTGGTTTTCTTTGTGGTCTTTTCTTCCTCGTCGCTAGCCATTTCATTTTGAGAACTTGTTTCTTTGGATTTCTTTTCTTTTTTCGACTTTTTTGACTTGTCACCCTCTACAGCAGATTCTTTCTTTTTAGATTTCTTAGAAATAGTTTTGCTTTCCTCGTCATCATGATCTTCTTCAACAGCTTCTGAACTTTCCTCTTGAATTTCAGCCTTATTTTCTTCTGCCTCTTCAATTTCGTCAATTGTAGTGTCGCCTTCCTCAGAAACAGAAGTATCCAAAACTTGAACTTCTCCATCCTCTTGAATCAAGTCAAAAATGTCTCGATAAAGACCTGGATCTACAAGGCAAACAATATTGGCAGTCTCACTATCCTGATCATAATCATCTTGTTCAATTTTCACTTGTTCCTCTTCCTTGTTAGCATTTTTGAAAAGTTGTCTCAATTTTCTAACATTTTCCTTTCCAGACAATGTACATTTTAAACGCATGTTTGCTCTTTCAATTGGAATTTTCTTTTTCAATTTTCTAATTGCTTCCAATGCTTGTTGTTTGGTACCTTTACTTGGTTTGACTGAGAAGTGAATTTGTTCCTTGAGCGCTCTTTCAATAACTCCTCCAGGATATGGTCTTTGCGTATCGGGATTGATACACTTGTTGGTGATGATCGTAACGATATCTTTAAACATGGATTCATACATTAATTCTCTCTCTTTAGGACTCACTTGCAATTCACCTTCTCGCAAAATAATTTTACAAACTTCTCTTGTATCCGAAGTGTTGAAATATTTCAAGAGATCACTCTTTTTAGCAGCCTCTCCTTTTGAAACATTTGTAAAGACGGTATCAATTTGTACCACTTCATCCAAATCTTTTTCAATACCTTTTCGCCAAGACATGACTTTGTTCTTGTAGCAAGCAATTTCAAAAACTGCTTTTTGTATCTTCATCCGTACTACTGCTACGTTCGTATGCAGAATTTGATTAACTGGTGTTTTCACTAATCGGGACATGATGATGATAAGAATAATTTAAAGAGCGTTGATGATGAATTTTTTTGATGATGATTCCAACTCGGAATGCTTACAGAAACATTTATGGAGGAGGCTGGTTTTCCAAGCTTCAATTTCAATTAGGAGTTCAACATTCATGTTATTTTCGGGTGCAAAATATACTCGAGACGGGACTCGAACCCACGACCCCAGGATTAGAAGTCCTGTGCTCTATCCAACTGAGCTACACGAGCGTCGAATGAAGTAACACAATATTTCATTAAGCTGATTGTGTTACATAGCAGAACTCCCAATACTAAGTTCTCTGCTCGATGGATGAACGTTTGGTCACAAGCAAAAAATGCTCGCTTTTGAGGAACAGACACCTGTGAAGAAACGACGAACCAAGAAAATACCCTCCCAAGCAAAGGAGGATGGTAATGATCATCATGACAACTCCGACGGTATGGATTACACCCATACCAATAACTCATTCGTGTTGGCGAACGGCGATGAAAACGCTCTCATGACCCAAGACGATGATGACGAGGACAATGATGATCATGAGGATATCAATGATGAAGACTATAGCGATTCATCAAACGAAGAAGAAGAAGACGAAATATACAAAGAAATTCATCACATGTTGGAGGAGGAAGAACTTGTTCTCAAGAAATCCCAAGAACAAGATGTTTTAAATAATTCTCAAATAGATGACACGTCCAAACTTCGTCTTTCCTTGACACAAGAAAATTTTGAAATTAGTCTATTATTCGACGATTCTAAACCAACTCTCTTGCCCTATATTCATGAAAATTATAACAGCTTTTTTAAATTATGGAAACATGGTTTTGTTCATATAGATTTGAATAGTACAATAGTTGATTACCATGTTCAACATTTAATTCATTATACATCTCGTAATAATTCTGAAATATTTTCCGATAAAACTCTCAAGATAATTCTCATTGACATCAATGATTATCCTACCATCACCAAGTTATTATATTCCATTCTTATGAAAATGGAAACGTTTGAAAAGGTCAAAAAGGCTCCATCTAAATCATATTTTCTCAACATGCTTTCCGATGATGATTGTGTGTTTTATGATTACAGATTTTGTCTGATTGTGAGAGGAGTCAATGAAGAGGTGTTACCAGTGTTGAATGATATTTTCAATGCCTCAAATCAAAACATGTGTGTATTTAACGTGGATAACAAACCTATTTCTTTCAATAACGTGACGTTTAAGAGCAATGGATTTAATTGCATTCTACCAAATATTCTCTATCGAACAATTAATACGACCAACGTAGATCACGACATTGCGATCATTACGAACTTTTTAATGAAAAATATTTCACTAGAGGGCAAGCACAGACACGAATATGAGGATTTTATTGAGCTCGTTTTAAGGACTCACATTCATATGGAGAAGAATGTCCTGGTCTATGTAAAACTCATTCCAAGTTTATTCAACTATTGCCACAACGAATGGAGCAAGGAAGGCAGTGGTACCACTGCAGAGAGAAACGCTTTAAACTTGTTCAAGAAAATCAGTAATTTTTCATTTCATCAATTAGTGATCATGTTTGATATTTACAATGTGAAGGCATTGGATATGAATCATACTTTGACGGCAACAACTACCCATCGTTCAACGGTGATGGATGGAAATTTATCTACAACTAAATCCACAGGTACGGCCATGAACATCTCTCAACTCGTCTCAGAGCTAGATCTTGCCAATAACACCGAAATTGTTGATTGTGAAATTCTGGAGAAATTCATAATTGTAGCTTCTTACATTGCTTCTCGAAATGCCAAGCAATGGGATGCTTTATTAGACAACAAATCCAAACCAAAGCAACAACGAAAGAAACGTAAAAAGGAGAGTGAGAGCAGTACTAGTACTACAAAAATCGACTCCAAGAAGGTGAATAAGAATCAACTTTTTGACATCCCTCGCTTACTATTCATTCTTAGAAATTTAATCAGCAACTCTCCTTATGCTGAGAGGTTTAGTGGAGGACCTGATTTCATTCCTCATATTTCCAATTTGATCAGCAAGAGTATTCTGGAGTGGAAAAAGGAAGTTGAGAGTAATATGGATCATTCGCTTCAGCAACTCACTCTCTCAAGCAAGTACAACTATTCTGTGGTGAGAGATTGTGCAGCAGAAATCAACATTGCCACTCTTTTTGAACGTTATGTGAATGAGTAAAAGGAGACAGTCCTAGGTGACATTAAATTAAGGGACAAGACTTCTTTGAACCCCAGAAGTCTTGTCATGTTGCATGAAACATGGGTCTGGTGAATTCATACAGTCCAAAGGGAGTCCCCTTTTCGAAAATTCTGATTTTGTGTTGTAAAAAATTTTTCCTCCATCATCATCGCTCCGTTCACGCTTGGTTGCTGCTCCTTTCCCAGCTTTACATCTTTCAACAAGTTTCCGTATCCAAATAACCGAAAATATTAAATTGAAATTTTCCAAGCTTTTCCAATTTCCTCTAACATTCCCAAAATCCTTCTAATTTCCCAATCATCAATAATGTCATCATCAGCAGACCAATCACCCATGGATGAATCATCAACAACACCCACCAACGAGGAGGAATATTTCGACGAGCAACCTCCAGTGGAAGAGAAGAAACCAAAATCAAAGCCAAAGCCTTTAAAGAACAAGTGGAGATTTTGGCACGAGAAAGTAACAACAGGAGATGCTTGGAAGAGTCTAGAACACTTGAGTGAGTTGTGTGAATTCGGGACCATTCAAGAGTTTTGGAGCTGTTTTAATAATTTGCCAGATCTTTCTCATCTCAAGGTGAAAGAATCATTCCACTTGATGAAGAATTTGAATGAATCAACGGACGTAACAACCAAAGTCCAACATTTAAAGATTGCACCAGCTTGGGAGGACCCATATAATGTGAATGGTGGAGAATGGGTGTTCCGTATCTCGAAAGATGTTTCTGATGTTGTGTGGAGAGAGTTGGTGCTAGCTGTTATTGGAGAACAATATCATTCTGTTTTGCAACCTGGTGATGAAATTTGTGGATTGAGCGTTTCTCAGAGACCTACCGACAATGTGTTTAAGATTTGGAACAAAATTGTAGGAACTGAAGAAGACCAGAAGAAAATTTATACCAGGACCATTGAAGTTTTGAGTGAGCAAATTAAGAATATTGCTGACAGTATACAGACACCATACTACAAGAAGCATAAAGAATAAAGTTATTATTATTTTCATTGAATTTGGGTTCATGATTGTCAATGTTACAGTCTATGACCACAAAATGTTGATACAAGGATTGCTCGATCATGTGTTGAGAGTGTCACGCACCTTAATAAGTTCTTCTATGAATAATTTGAGGACCGTACTCATTGTAATCTCCCTTCTTAATCCACATTAGGTTGAAGGACGAAAGAGAGGAGAGAACTGAAGCACCATACCAAACAGCATTCACAGGATCTTTGGACTCAATTAAGCTTACAACTGTGCTTGTAGTAGCTAGTTCTTGAACTTCAATGCTCACTCTCTTGGGGAAGCCATTAATAGAGGCTGTGCTTCCACAAACAATGACATTTGACAGCATTTCTTTCTTTGTATCGAATTCACACTGACTAGCACACTCAAAAAGAATTGTTTGAATACCAGGAATCTCGAGCTCCTTGTTGTGAGCTGAGGGGTTAAAGAAAACCTCAGTAGGTAAAAATCTCTCAATCTGTCCAACCCATATCTTTTTACCGTCAGGAAGAGTATAATCCTTATAGTAATTTAAAGCGGCAGACTTGGTTTTAGCTTGCTTTTTCTTGTCTCCTTGTTGGTCGCCGGAATCCGCACCCGATTGAATGCTCTCTTCAGTCTTTTGTTTCAACTCTTGCGACATTTTCAATTGCTTAGAATATTCGTAATTTGTTGTAAAAGCTAACTTTCGTTTCATTTGCTCAATTACTTCATCGTTAAATGTATGGTTGAGCTCCTGTTCGTTCATTGTCAAAAAGTCAGCATTCAGAGTATTCTTAGTAGTAGGTTTTGGGTGTGACGAGTCATCAGTGGTATCCATGCCGTCTAATGGCTTTTCAGACGATTTTTGTGACTCTAGTTGCTTTAAGATCAATTGCTTAAGATAGTCATTGACGTGCTTTCCTCCAATATTTACAAAATCAGCAGCATGTGTAAATGCCAATCCTTCATATATTGGCGTAAATCTTGTTTGTTCGTAGCCAACATCACAAACAATACCAGTAATTTTACCACAACTATATAAAGCTAAAAGACCTTGATTAGCAATGTAAAATGCTGGTACTTCATATTGTTCAAAAACGTGTTGAGTAATTTTTTCAGTATGTAGCTTGGGAGCAAGAGGATGTTCCGACATGATGACACTCATCTCCAATGGCGAAGAATCCAAGTCATGTTCGGGTTTTTGAAGAGCATTAAATCCGTAGCGCCAAACTTTATCCATGGCATCAAAATCATTGATCAATCCTCTTTTCATTGGAGCCTGTCCATTGTGTAAGAATTCCTTGTCCATTGTGTGGAACGTCTCGAGTGGGATCTCATCACCCGATAATCCAAAACGCATCTCATAAGAGCCATTATCAACCACCACAGATTTGCTCATTTTTTTCAAAAAAAAATTAATTTGCTTGTGTGCTTGTACGAACATGACCACCATCACACCATCATCTTCCTGTTCCGAACAACAAACATCCGTTCAAGAGATGAATCACGATGAGGAAGATCTACATCATTTTAAAATTGATTTATTTCAACCCGAAGTACAAGAGTATTTGGTACAGGCCATGGATTTGAAAGATGGAGGAGAGAGTTTGAAAAAGGCTTTACAGACACCTCCGAATATTTCCACTGTTCGAGTGAATACATTACACTTTCGAAAAATGGATGAAAATAAGAGTCATGATGAAATCATGGAACAAGCAAGAATGAAATTGAGTGAAATTTTGGAAAATAAGTACGAAGTGAAGAGAGATGAACATGTTCCAGATTGTTTAACTGTAGGTACAACCATGATGGTGAATATACATAATTTTGAGCAAGGTTGTGGATTATTATAATTATTGAAACATGAAGATACCTGTAACGAAATTATTTCCAAGTTTTGAAAATATTAGAGAGTGTAGGTATTTAAAGCTGAAACACTAGATGACATTTCGAGGTTTTTCAACTATGGTGAACATTAATTTGAATTTTTGGATCATTTCGCTTTACCAGTCATTGTTGTGGATAGACTCTGTGGACAAGCTGTTTTGAGAGGATCTCATGTATTTAGCCCTGGAGTTTTAGCGACATCCAAGAATATTCGCCAAAACTCCTTAGTGGCAATATTATGTGACGTGCAATCTCAGACCATTAAGGGGTTTAAGTTTGAAAAATCCATATCTGACATGCTCAGCGGGTCTGAAGGAAATTTTATTTATATCGGTAATGGTGTTATTCAAATGGATCGAGCTAGCATTTTCCAGACAAGAAAAGGTGTGGCCTTAGAAGTTACTCAACCACTGTATGAAACATGCTCCCTCAATAATTTATCACAAAAATATTATCATGAGTTTTTTGCCCAAAACATTTGCTCTATGGTTGTTTCACATCTTTTAGAACCACAAAAGGGAGATAAAATACTGGACATGTGTGCAGCTCCAGGTAAGTTCTATTGCATGTACAATGACAATAACATGCTTCAATGACACAGGTGGAAAGACCACTCACATTGCAAATCTCATGCAAGATGGAGAATTAATTTGTTGTGATCGCCAAAAATCAAAAGTTGACAAATTGGTGACATTACGAGAAAAGCTTGGTTATCACATGATGAAACCCATTGTATTGGATGGTACAAAGGCAACAAGAAGATTAGACGTTCAAAACGAGCAGACCGCACTGGTGGCCAAAGAAGTGACCACAACAAATGCAACACATTTTCTTGAAGAAGAATATTTTGACAAGGTTCTTCTTGATGCACCATGCTCAGGTTTAGGACTCAAAGGCTCTCTTTCTTTCAAAGAAATTTCATTAGATTCACTTAGACAAACAGCAGAATATCAACGTAAACTGTTGTCACAGGCTTTCAAAGTTCTGAAACCGGGAGGTGTGCTTGTTTATTCAACTTGTACAATTAATCCAATGGAAAACGAGGAGAACGTACTTTGGTTTCTCAATCAATTCCAATCAAAGATAGAATTAGTTGAGGCCAATTTGAAGGCCTATGCTAGTGAAGGGTTACCAAGTATCATCAAAGATTCTTCTCTTCGAAGTAGGGTTTTACGTTTTGATCCAATACACACACCTCAAACTATTGGGTTCTTTGCTGCAAAGTTCATCAAAAAGATGCTGTAGTTTGTGTGCACGAATTAACAACAAGCCTTTATCATGTTATCGTTTCAAGAACAGATTTTTCTGCTGTACGTAGTCATAAAATGGAGTGAGTAGCATATGAGATTTTATATTTATTGGGTGTCGAGAGAACCTCCAGGATCAATGATTTCAAGACCTTCAATTATTTTTAATTGTACCAAAATCAAAAAAAATGTCCCTGCAAACCACACCGCTGGACGGCAAATCAGATGCAGTTGCTTCTTCGCAACGTCTTTCAAGAGAGGAGTACAAGAAACAACAACTCATCGAAGAAGCTCGTAAAAATGGTTTGATCATGCCGGAGAAGGATGAGCAAGGAAGAGACATCAATCCGCATATTCCGCAATACATCAAGCAAGCACCATGGTACGTAGACAAGGGTGCTCCTTCCTTGGACCATCAAAGATATTTAGAACAAGAACGAGAGGATTTTTCAAATTGGTATAACAGAGGAATCAAAGTGTTGGCATCAACAAAATATAGAAAAGGTGCTTGCAAGAATTGCGGAGCAATGACTCATGCAACAAAAGATTGCACAGAAAGGCCCCGAAGAAAGGGTGCAGCTATCACCAATCTCGATATTGCTCCTGATGAATATGTTCAGCAGGTAGAATTGAAAGGATTTGAAGCAAAGAGAGATCGTTGGAACGGTTATAACCCTGATCTGTATTCTAAAGAAGTCATTGAGGTACATCAAGAATTAGAACAAGAACGAAAGAAAAATAAGGATCGAAAACTTCATGAAAAGATGATCGAAAAACAAAAAAGAAAAGAGGAAATGAAAAAGAAAATGAACGGAGAGACAAGTGACAAACAACAAGAGGATGATAACTCATCAAGCGATGATGATGAATATTTTTCTTCTTCCGACAGTGGAGATGAAGATTTGGAATCTGCACGAAATGGAAAGAAAGAAGTGAAAACAGCAAGTGTCTCCCAGTCAATGCGTACACGTGAGGACATTCCTAAATATCTTTACAATTTGGAATTAGATAGTGCTCACTATGATCCAAAAACTCGTTCCATGAGAGGAAATCCTTTACCTTTTGTTGATCCTAGTGAAGCAACGTATATTGGCGACAATGCAGCCAAAAAAACTGGAGAATATCAAGAATTTATACAGGCTCAAAAGTTTATGTGGGACGCAGGCAAAAGAGGAGAGGATATTAACTTAACTGCGGTTCCTACTCAAGCTTTCATGGGCTTTTCAAACTTCCTTACAAAGAAAAAAGAGTTGGAAGATTCTAGGAAAAAAGCTGTTATTGAACGATATGGCGGAGAAAAATTCCTTAACAAACCAACCGAATTCGAAAGTGCACAAACAGAAAACTATGCAGAATATTCAACAAGTGGTAGAATAATTGGTGGAAAACAACAGGCTACAATTAAGAGTAAATATGAGGAGGACATGTACTATAATGGACATACTAGTGTGTTTGGATCATACTGGGATGCAAAGAAAGGGTGGGGATTTAAATGCTGTAAACAATTTGACAGAAAATGCTACTGTACAAACATATCACCAACGAGTATTGCTACATCGTCATCTTCCACTATGTCTACCACGAATGGAGACGTTTTACCCTCAGAGAAATCTTCCTCTGCACAAAGCACTTCTGCTACCAACAAAATTCAACATAGCCAACCACGAACATCAAATTTAACGAATAATACATCTAGGCAAGATGGTAGACAAGACGGACGGCAAGATGGTCGAGTCGAAAAGAAAGATTTTGCAGTTCCTATTCCACAAGAAAAGAAGAGAAAAGTAGAAGAAAAGACGTCTTGGAATGAGAAGAAAACCAAGTACTCTGGATCAGATCACCACAACTACAATGTGACGGAGGAAGAAATGGAAGCATATCGTAAAAATAAGACACTTTTCGACGACCCAATGAAAGATTACAAAGATTAAAATTATTATTGTAGTTCAAAATATCTTGATACGTGCGTTGTTCTATGTGACATTCATTACATCTTGCTTCTACTAAGGGCGTTAGATTCCAACAACCTTCTCTCCAAAAAAATGATCGTACAAGGATTTTCACCTGCCCGACGCTATCCACAGATCAAGTTGGTGTTTTTCATGGCTGGAGTACTTGCCATGATCATGTCATCATTCCTACTCGTGATCTTTACCACTTCCAACGTTGTAGAGGCCAGACACTACCGACTGTCGGAAGCACCTACAGAGACCTGGGCTGATGCAGATGTAGCTTCCGATGTGTATGTGAGAATTGCACCATCCGAGCACGAGAAATGGATGGCTATCCAACCTTCTATGGAGAAGGTGTATAAACTTTCCAAGCAAAGGCTCTCTCATCGGAGAAGAGAATTTACTCCTAAAGCAAGAACCAACTACAAGACCGAATTTTTATTTGTGTTGAGCGATCACAATGAAAGTCCTATGTTTTTGGATGATGATCGTGAGACGATTGCAGTTCCGAACGGAATGAATATTTCAATCGTATTTGATACTCTCGATGAAGCTCTGGATTATGTCAACAATAATGATACAGATCCAGAGAGTGTTCGATTTGTCATTGTGATGGAACATGGAGAACATAAAATCGAAGGACGAGAGGCTAGAATTGCAAGGCCTTATACCAGTATCACATCAACAATGCCAAAATATCCCGAAAAAACAGTTATTAGAGCCAATGATATATCTGGACAGGTAGGTTAAAGAACTAGTTTGTGAAAATTGAGGGAAAAATTATTTGTGTGTGAAAATTGATTCAATCGCTCGAAATAATTTATTTCCAAAACGTTTAGTTATTTTTTTTGGACGGAACTCATGATATTGATATTCGAGGAGTCACACTTACTGGTGGTAGATTGGCTGCAGCTAATTTTACACATCCGCATGTGCCAAGACCTTGTGGAAGTGGTATGTTTTAATTCAGTTTACATTGGACCATAATAATTTTTAACACGATTTGTATTCGTACGAACAGGTTTGCTAATTTCCAATTCCAGAAATGTGTATGTAGAGTCTGTGATATTGGAGCACAATAAGGCTGCAATTGGTGGCAGTGCTTGCATCTACGCAAGTGCACAGGTCACATTCCACAAAGTTTTTATCAGAAGCAGTATGGCCTTCATTCGAAATCTTCAGTTAACGGATAGTATGAACCATTTACAATTTTCTCTTGCCTCTAACTTTAATATTAATCAAAGTATTTTTGCACAAAACTTGCCTGCACTCAACGACCCAGAAAAAGAATATGGATGTGGTGGTGGAGTTTCACTCTTCGATTCCAATGATACCGTATTTTCTTCTTGCATCTTTACCAATAACTCAGGTATGTATTTGATTTTCATGACCACAGAAATTACTGAAATTTTTCAAATACAAGCCATCAATGGAGGAGCAATTTTCACATCGAATTCTGATTTCAATATCACGAACAGTAGAATTAGTGGAAATACTGCATACAATCAAAGTAGCGCCATTTACAGTGATCTTAACAGTGATATTACCATTGATAAGGTTTACTTTTTAGAAAATAGATGCGTTCGATTGAGCTGTAAAGTTATTTACTCACCAAAGAAAGAATTATTGGATGATTTGGATAATTTTCGAGCTTATATTTATCCCATGATTTGTATGACTGGTATACTTTTATGTGTTGTATTGTTCAGCATTTCTTGTTTTGAATTGGGAAGAATGTTTAAACAACGTTATCATTTCCGAAATGTTGTGTGGGGAGATATCATTTATTTGTGGCTTCTTGGAGCTATTGGAGTGTATAGACCTTACAGATCTGTTCCAAGGCCTTTCAATTGGTTTCACAGAACAGTGGTGATCTTTGTCTTGGTTTTGGGTTGTATTTTGCAAACAATGCAATCCATTGTTGTTGCAATGCCAGAGGTAAGCGAAAAACTTTTCATTTAATGATTTCTGAATGGGGAACGTAACAATTCAATCTACATACAGTTCTATGATAGCATGGATCGAGTGAGATTTATTTTAGGTGGAGTTCAATCGGTCATTTACAGTGCACTGCCATTAGTGTTGTATATTGCTTTGATTTTAGCTGTAAAGGCAAGGTAAGTAGAGAGTATTGGTGTGAATAACGGTTGATCCATTTTGATTTCTTGGACGAAATTACTCAATGTCCATGTAGCTATAAGAGATTATTTGTCAATTATAAGGTAAGTATATTAGTACAATGTCAATATTTAAAGGTTTGATTTATAACTTGATGAAATTATTTGTTGTTCTCAATTTTCAATTTTTACAATATTATTTCATAGCCACCCATTCCAACTGAAATAGAAATGGAAGAAGAAAAAACTAGTCTCATCAACTTTTATCAAACTCAAATTGATAAGGAGTCTGAAGAGAACATCATTAACGCAAGTCCAACCTCAGAAGCAACCACCTCATTTAGAAAAAAGAAACAAAAGCACTTTTTTGATTGGAAGAAAGACACGCAAAAAACTGGTCTTCAAAGAAGTATTCACAACAGAAGAGCACTAGCAGGATGTATTATTTCGTTACTCTTTTTACATGGAACCTACGGTATTATTATTGTGGATTGCTACAATTTTTTACAATCCAACATGGACATTGCAAAAGCAACTAATCAAACCATAGGTCTTGACACCATTTCTAGTGCTATATTCTATTTAATGCAATGGTATTTGAAATTTACAATCATGTCAATGGTATTATTGACGGTATTTCTACTTTGCAATAGAATTAACTCGTATCAGAATACTTTCTTCTCAACATTGTATCATCAATTGGAAAAGACAGTATTTAACCTTCAAACTGGCGTTTACAGTTATGTACATTTGAGAAAAGAATGGTATGTAGTAGTATTCTTCCAGTTTGAATGATTAATTGTTGATTCCATGCTGAATAATGTCCATTCTCATCATACACCAACTAATTCTCTATATTTCTTTGTCTAGCAAACGATTGGTGAGATATTCTTGGATTTTAACCATTACCTATGTTCTCTTATTCTTAGCCATGTGTGTGAACGAGGTCTTGATGATTTTGTGGGGAAGTTCAGAATACAAATTCTTTGCCTACTATGTTGCTGTACTCACCATCATGATGTTTTTAATTACTCATGTGAGTTACACGAGTAATCATTGGACCAGTTTTAGATTTGATGACTTTTTAGCTGCCGTTCCTCACTCCATCACGTACGACTATGGAATTTTCTTTGTACCTGGAGCAAACAAAAAGTTCAACATTTCTGATGCCGATCCATCTACCACTGAAAATGGTAATGGAAATAACAATACTCACAAACAAAACAGTGGCATTGCATCACTAGATCATGGCACATTCCCAACTTCATCAGAAAGTAAGGATAGTAAGGCAGAGAAATTATTGCGAGATTTAACCTTTTTCCACATGTATATTCGTGATCGAACCTTTGCATATCGATTTCCTCTTGAGATTCAAATGCAAACCTATGTAGTTGTTTCTGTGATTGGTTTAATTGGTACTGCATATGCTCTACTGAAATATGTATCCTCTATATTTGAGTCCTCTCGTTACTATCAATATTTGTAAAACCATGATATGCTCAACTTCTTCTAGTTTCAAGCTAAAAGATCACACACAAAATAAGGAGCATTTCAATCTGGTCGAATCCTACCACAATTCCATTACTTTCACCATTGTATCATTTCAATCACCTGTGCAACAAGAACTGTAGATGATTATGTGCTTGTTGATTGCTGATGGTATTGACACTTTCCGTTCTCTCACTGACCTCCTCTCCGAGAGCACAACATTTCGTTTTGGCATTCGGTCACTATTATATTTACTGTCCGTTGTCAATTGCATAATTTTTTTGACTTTTCAATAACAAAACAACATCTACCTGATTTGTTTTGGAAACACGTCATCATGCTTTTCTTAATAAATGTCACGTTCGTCACGTTTTTTTGATAGACAATTTGCCTGATGTGTCCTTGCTGGAAGCCCTTTTGGAACATCAAAAAGCCAAACAACAATTAGGCAATTCAAAAAAACATCTCACCTGCTCTCTCCTGCAATCTTCTGAGTCGCGCTCTCTTCTCTGATATCTTTCGTCGGTTGTTGCAGCAACAGTCATTTTGATACTTGTACACGAGAACACAATTCGTGAACGAGAATACATTTCGATCACATTTGCCACAATGTCAACCCCACAACCCCAACCTATTCGAGTGACCAATACACACAGCACCAATAACCACCACTCAACCATGTCATCCACAACAAGGCCCATGGTTCAAACTCCACAAAATTTTCACTCTCATCCCAAAACTTCTCCCAACAATCCAAACGTTGAGTCACAACAACTACCCTCAGACAAGGCTGTTTGTGGACTCATTCTCAAAAATTGGAAATCGAGACATAGCACCAAAACACTCATTCGAAAGGCATTCCATGTTCAAGATTTTGAAAGTTCCATTCCACACGATGTGTTAATGATGGCAGCTCAAGAATTGTCCTCAGTGGTTTCATCCTCGATACATGATCATGGGCACTCGAACAAGTCTGGCCACATGATATCTAAACCGCACCACATGATGATGAAACATTTGAACAAAACCAAACAAGGAAAACAATCTTCACGGTTGTCATCGTCTGTTGGAACCAAACTCAAATTTCATCAATACCAACCCTCACAACAAGCCTTTCTTCCACCTCATCAAGAGTCCAACAATCTGAATTGCCAGATGATGGTTGTTGATTCTGGAGAGTTGACAACTTCGAGTGTGTTTGTCGATGAATTTCCGTCTTCTGCTTCACCCTCACCACCCTATTCAACGAACCACATACATGCTCAATCATCATCGACTTGTTGCAACTCTCAAATGTACCCTCCAAGCGGTATGATGGAACCTTTATCCTCAATCACTACAACTTCTTCTACAGTGAGTAAGGGCTTATCCTCGCGTAGTCATCCTGGTGCTAGTGGTGGTACTACTACTACTACCAACAACACACCATTGATCTATATTGAAAAGCAAGTTCCTTTCAAATTTGCAACACTTCCTCATCAATCGGCTCCTTCCATGAAAAAGGTGTTATCACCTCCTCCTCCAACTCCACCTTCATCATCCAACCGAATAGTCGTCATGCATGATGATGATGATGATCATGCTGAATCAAAGGAAAATCAATCTCGTCGGCATTCACCACCAATCTTGAACAATTTGAATTCTTATTCTACCTTAGAGTGGCCTCTACCCTCAAATTCATCACGTGGCAATCACTCGAGTAATACCACAACAAATCCAGACGGAGAAGCAGCATACAACGGCAGCTTCTCATTACCTCCTCTCTTGTTTGTTCATTCAAACAACAACCAAAACCATTCGGAAAGAACCTTACCAAGTTTCTCTCAATTAATAAACCAGCTTGGCGTTTAAACGCCAACAGTATTGTCAAATTTGTTTGATTTGGTGAATATGAACTTGGCATCAAAAAGTTCATCTCAAAAAATGTGTGGTGGATGGTAGGTGTATTTCATCACATTTTTCGTTGTGATCATCACACAGTGTGTCTTTTTTAATCATCGATGGATCCTAGCTATGCTCCTCCTCTCTTCCTTTTGCCCGTTATTTTCGTGGTCGAGGGCTTTAACAGCATTGGAAAAGGTATTCGTTCCATGGATGATCGAATTCGTGAGAATAACCTCAAAATTGTAAACTTGTTCAAAACAAAATCAAAAGAAATTCAAACCTCTTCAAGTCGGAATGTGGATGAGAAGACTACACTCTCCATTCAGGAAATTAAGCAAAGCGCATCTTTGATGAATATGAGCGCTTCACAGAGGGACGAATTGATCAAATTGCTCATCCATAGAAGTGTCGCCAAAATTGAACAAGGTTCATTCCAGGACGCCAAAGAAGACCTTGAACAGGCACTAGCAATGATACCCAATGGTGATCTCAAATCAGAAACCATGACCATCTCAAAACAGTTCTATTTGTCGGAATATCTTCTCGGCATTTGTGAAGAAGGGTTAGGGAACTATGTGGAGGCAGCTAAAATGTTTTTGAAAGCCACTCATCATAGAGAAGAAACTCAACAGATGCTTCACAAAATACTTGGCAACGATGCACCCCTTATTGACAACAAGATGGCCGAGTTGGAGCATGAGTTCTTTAAAATGCAATTAGAGGCCAAACAACCATTGGAAAGAGCAGCAATGAGTATTGGAAAAACATGGACCGATTTGAGCAATTCATTCGCCAACATTGGAGGAAGTGTGAAGAATTTTATCAATCATGACATGGGTCTCAATGCAGAGAAGTCAGTGATTCATTCAAAACCAAAATGTTTTATTTCTACGGAAATGTTGTATATTAGAGTTGGGTTGGCTTATTATCGAGGTGCTTTCTATTCGGATGCAATTGTATGGCTAAACAACGCCGTGGAGGAGGGTCAGAAATATGAGAGCCATCTATTGGATCAAACTTTTTACAATAGAGGTCTTGCTTTATATTTTTCGGGACATGTGGACGAAGCGATTAGAGATTTTACAACAAGTATCTCCTTAATGCCCCTTACCAAACAAAGAGAACAAGTCTATCTGATGAGAGCAGCATGCTATGGTAGAAAAGGTCTGCTCAAACCACGAGATGACGACAATTTCAAAGCCAAGCTAATTAATCCATTCTGCAAACCAGTTACATTGTTCCATTACAGACTACTAAATGATGATTTGCTGCTACATATATTTTCCTTCCTCAACACAAGACAGTTGATTGTATCAAGTGCTGCAGATAGATATTGGAGAAATTTGGTTCAACAGGTCTTTCTCACATGTGATGTCCATTATTGTGTCAATAGTTTGATTTCGAATGAAAAGATTTTTTATGGAGGACAGGATGCTAGGACAGGTATTGAAAAGTAAGTATCTGAAACACTATTGAACAGCAAACCATTGATAACATGATGCATCTACTAATCTAGGTTGTTCCTGCCAAGGCAACAGCAGTCTCCAACTGATATGATACAGACTGTTTTTCATCATCCACTACTGTTGAATTACGCGAAAAATTTAATTGTATACCAGTCCTTCAAGGCGTCCTCTTATAGTTATGGTCTTCCATCGTTAATAGAATTAGTTGCAAAGAACTTTAAAGGGCTTAAGAGATTGACATTTGTACAGCTTGACAATCCGTTAGAATTGGCTCATGATTTACGTACAAACTCTCCTCAATTAAAATATGTAGAGTATAGAGAATACATGCCATATGACACAACCAACATTACAACCTTTATCAAGAACTTGCCAAGCCTGGAGCATTTGGTTGTTGATACAATTTTGTTTATCAAAGAAACACGGCACGAAAACCAAAATCCATTTGAAGGATGCTCCAAGCTGAAATTGGTAGAGTACGTCAAGATCGCACCAGAAGACATTCAACGATTCAAAGAACAGCACTCAGGGATGGATCCTCTACCATCCTTTTTAACGTGGGAGGAGCTGGAAAAGAAGAATCCACATATTACTTTCAGAACCATTGCCCCTCGACCAAACCAGCTTTTGGAATTCAACAATGAATAGGTGTGAAATTACGAATAATTTCGTACAGCACCGATTTTGGAGGAGACGAGTTACCGTTACAAAATCAAATTTTAAGCTCAAAATAAATAGCAAAAAAATTGGTAAATGATATCTTCGCAATGCAGCACCAGTGAAACCACAAGTTCCATGTCATCATCATCGACTACGAGAACGAATAACGAATCGTTGATGCTTTCTCCTCCACGAGAGAACAAGCAAAGAAGACGTCTTGTGAAAACAAGTGATCAATCTCGGAGAAAGGAACCACAAAATTCTACATCATCATCAACATCGGGATCATCAAAACCTAAACTAGTTCTCAAAAGAAAGAAGAATCAAAATAATGCAGAATCATCTACAAGTGCATCATCAAAGAAACTGAAGCGTTCTATTGAGGATAATGGTGATGATATCGCTCAACTATTACATGACGATGAAACTTGTAAGGAAAATAGAAGGCCACAAAATGGAAAAACCACTGCTGCTTCATCATCATCCGAATCTGAAACATGTATTATTTGCTTGTGCGAAATGTCCTATCCATTGGCTAAGCTTAATCATTGTACCCATAAATTTTGTCATGCATGTATTGACATGTGGAGAAAGAAATCGAATACATGTCCTGTATGTAAGGCTCGCTTCACATCTTTGCGAGTTTTTGACAGCAAGGAATCAAGCACCTACAAGGTAATTCCAGTCCGAAAGAAGGTATTTGAAATAACGCCTGAGGAAATGGTCAATGGGTTCTATAGAAATGAACGAGATGACTATGATGATGAGGAGGAGGAGGATGAAACATTTATCAATGATCATGATGAATTTGATGGATTTATTGATGAGAATGGAGACTTATATTTGGGTGAAGCACAAGAGGATCCTCGGTTTTCGTTGCAAAGACGAGGAAATGGCGATATAGAACCAGAGAATTCAGAAGATGAAGAAGACGACGATGCCAATGCTAGTGATGCGGATGAGCATGGAAATTTAGCTGGATTTGTAGAAGTAGATCCAAATGCTTTACATACCAATGATGACGAAAGCTTTGTTTTGAATGATGATGAAGAGGATGAAGAAGATTTTGAACTTTCTCAAGTGTCACTTGTCGATGAGCATGATTCGTCCATTGTGGCAACACCTGAGAGAGCTAGGAGTGCATCCCCATTCAGAAGAAGGCCAAACCATCCACCTCATGTGATTGATATTTCTTCACCCAATGAGAATGCAGCCAGAAAAACTACAGCTAGGGGTAGGGTCATTAATATTGAGGAAGAGGAAAATGAAGAGGACGAAGTCATTGAAGATGATGTCACGGAAGTGATTGACCCGAATGAAATTCAGGAAATTATTGAAATTTTGTAAGTCGCACATTAAAAATCTAAATCGTGGTACAACTATCCCTAAAAAAATGGTCAAATCATCATCAGCGTCCCTCAAACACTCGCTTCTCACACTGCTTTCCATCATCAAATATTTAATTTCGTACACACTTGAAAAAGATCCGTTCAAATTGTATACTCTATTTACATTGCCTATTTTAACATTTTTAAGTGTACGGAACGTTGCACTCACTCGGAAATTGACAAATCAAATGACATTGGCCATAGAGTCAATTTAAAATTAATTATGATCAGCTTTATTTCACATCAGGTTTGACATTCCAAATGTAAGGAGAACCCTACAAGGGGAATATTCGATGCCGAGGCTAAAGCTTGCCTACCCTACACACACACATGAGTGTGCGAGGGATGGTGGTTCTTGTACACACCCATGGGTCTGGTCATTATTCACTCAACATGGACACGTCGAGTGTTTCCATGTCGTCACTCTGTGACTGGTTCATCTCCATGGAGATCTCGTGTCGTTGGTGTTTCTTTGGTGGCTTCTTGTGTGACTTCTTGTGTGACTCCTTCTGTGGCTTCTTGTGACCCCTTCTGTGACTCCTCCTGTGGCTCTTCCTCCTCGTACAATTGGTGTTGATTCATGAGGAAGATGTTCTTACTGCCATTCCAGTCACGGGCAAGGGTGAAATAGAGAATGATGAGTCTATTATCGAGTTGTTTAATATTGAAGTGGACAGGAAACAAACATGCATTTCGATCAGTGAATCATCCAAATTCGAGAAATTGTGATTCAAAAGAAATCTTAGTGCTGGCCCCTATATTACAATTTTGGGTGTTTTATCGGATACAATCTTACAAAATCATGGTTTAATGTTGTGCATGGTTGAATCTTGTTAAATAAAATCTCAAGCCAACAGCAAGAGAAAAAATAAGGAAAAATGCTCAAGCGTAGTAGTCTCTTGTTGTCTGGTTATTCATCTATTTGGAGAAGGCTCTACCACTCTCCATCATCACCACATTCTAATATTTTTCTTTCCCATAGTGATCAATATTGTTGTATCAGACGATTTTCGACAATGTTAAAGCCTAGCGAAAGACACGCCAATTATTTTCCATATGGGAACGAAAATTTTGCGAGTATCCGAAGAGAAAAACAGTTCTATGTGGACAAGACCCATCTAATACCTTTTTTAGAAAGAACCGGTGACCTGCTATTCTTTACTCGTCCTCCACGATGGGGTAAATCGTTACTGTTATCAATGCTAGACGCATATTATAACATCAATAAGGCAGATCAGTTCAGTGAGTTGTTTGATGGCTTGTGGATTGCCCACCCAAAAAACCAAACCGTTTTCAAAAATCAATTTCATGTACTTAGGCTTAATTTCTCAATCACTATTGATTATACTTCAAACAGCATCAAGCGACCATTATATGACGTCATTAATGGTGCAATATCCCATTTTATAAGGGAGAATGGTTTAGATGATAATATAATACATCCAACTGATGCTCTTATATCATTCGACAATCTGGTTTTTTACTGCCTAAGAAACAAGATGAAACTAATGCTTCTAGTCGATGAATCAGACAGAATTGTACACAAATTTATGTTTGAATTTCCTGATAGGTATACAGGAGACGCAATACTTTCACCAATTCGTTCATTCTTTGAACGCATCAAAAACGCAGAGAGTTGTGACTTTCGAGCTTTAGTTGTTGGTATCACACCATTTTTGCTTTTTGATTTTCTTGGTTTTCCTTTTGCCATAGATATTTCACACCTATCACAGTTTCAAGACGTAGTTGGATTTTCCAAAAAAGATTTGCAAAAGGCTGTAGCTGATATAGGTATTTCAAATGAAGACCACAGACATAACATACTCTCAGTTATGTATAAGTATTATGCTGGCTATTATTTTCCAGGTTCAGTAGAGCCTCTTTTCCATCCCCAACTTTCATTTCATTTTCTGCAACTACTGATGCGACATGATGCTTTCCGACATAATGTTGTTCAAGGGAAGGATGTTTCTATTTATGCCTTGATAGACGATAATGTGAAAATAGGCAAAAGTGTTTTTGACACTCTATCAAGAATTCCAATTTTTAGACCAATCGTTCAGCGGAGTACTTCGACAAACATGGTGAATTTCTTCAATAGCTACCGTCATGTTGGAACATATCCCAGTCCTAAATACATTCTTGACCCACCTACAAGCGCAGCCCATCAAAAGGAAGTATGGAATTGTGTACTAACCTTTATGTATTATCATGGTATGCTTACTTTATTACCATTTAAAGAATTTGGTGAAAGTACACTAGTTGTTCCAAATGAGGTAGTGAAGTATCAATATTTGGATCAGCTTCTTAAAATTTTAGCTATAGACGGAAGTAACATTGAAAGATTTATGAATTATCCAAGCGAAGATACACTGACAAATTTGTTGTGGAGTATTTTAGAACCAGTTTATGATGTCACAATGCCAGAAGATGGTCTGCAAGGAAGTTTTGAGGCTGCTCTAAGCGCTTACAACTCGAACTTATTTAAATTGACCTCAAACAGGGAAAATACACAGATTGGTGGAATGAAACCACACCCTCACGGATCAAGCCTTTTAATTGAAACAGCACGTAGCGTAATCATTATTGAATTTACACGTCTTAAACCGAACTCATTAGAGGAATATGAAAACTTCTCTCACTTTATGACTCCAAAGGAATTTAAGTTTGCATTTAGGGAATTGTTGAATGCTGATGAAAAACGTTTGCTCTCCATGAAAGTCATCTCGAATACTTCGATTAGCACTGCACCTGCTGAAACAGAATCGTTTTCCTTTAAAGACACCAGAAACAACGAAACCACCACAACCGTAGAAAACATTCTAAATGATGCTGCTGTTCGAGCTAGAGCACAAACACAACATGAGTCAAACAATGTGAAAATCAAAGAAAAGTCCATTCATACCTTTGTTGTAGTACAAGTTGCATGGCCTCTCATTGTACGAAAACTCATCTAACAACCGTAAATGACAAACCTGGTGACATGGTGATCTTCCAAATTCGAGAGACTGTGATTCAAAAACATCAAAGTATGATACAATCAAAGCATTTTTGATAAATGTTTTAATGGAGGGTGTCAAAGCATGTTTGGTAGTCTTACGGATGGTCTCCGGTGAAGACCTGATTAATTCTGTTCGAAACATGGAACGTTAATCTTTGATTATGGATGTACATGTTCATGACTATTGCTGCTTGACAACTTCTCGAATCGATTCACCAAATCCAACGACACTGACCACAAGCGTTTCATTCTTTCCTCTTCAATAGAATCTTCATTTTCCAAACTTCTCACACATTCACACTCTTCATAATATCCTCCTCCTTGCAACAATTCGAAAGGTAGCAAACAACAGTACAGAATGGTCTGAATTCCCATCCATGGACTTTTCAACAACAACCATTCTAAGGGTCTTGTGAATATCCGAGTGAGAGGAGAGATTCTTTCCAATGAGGAAGTTCGAGTGGCCCCTGGAAACACAGAAACTGCTTTTGCACGTTGAGGGAATGCATTCATGGCATTCTCTTGCTCATGCAAGTGTTGCTGCCAATGATGAGGGTTGGAGCTTTGCAAATTGTCACCTCCTGAAAACAACACAGAAGCTATGGATAAAGATCCAACGTTGAAAAGAACCTTCTGTAGCTGACGAGTGAACAAGTACAAGGCGTATTTGCTTCTCATGTACAATTGTTCATAATCAAATTTAGAAGAGCAATTTTCAATTAAATCATGAACATCGAAATTAAATAAATTGGGATGAGACAAGTGTTCAGATTTTGAAAAGAGTGAATAGGAAGAAACAATGTTCAGAAATCGAGCATGATTATTCAGCATTCCCTTTTTCAGTAATAAATAGGTTAAAAAAAAATGTCCCAAATAATTTCCAGCGAATTGACTTTCAATTCCGTTCACACTCACACCATGTCGTGTTAGAAAACTTCCTGCATTGTTGATCACAATGTCTACAATTGGTATAGATTCTTGTCGTTGAATTTCAAGAGTGGGTTGCTGTGGAGGAATTACGTGATGCACACGCAAAGAATTGTGTTGGGAGATGGAACTTCCCAATGAAGAAGAATGAAAGGAGAGGTTATCCGATTCTTGTTCATCCTCACTATCTAAATGTTCAATGACTTCACGTAGAGTGATACCTGTCGAAGAAGGAATTGCCTCTTCTTGATGCTCATGACTTGTGACTGCTGTGCGTTGAGCTGGATTGGAAAGGAGAGGTTGTGCTGCAACTTCTAATTTCTGCTCGGCAATGCTCGAACTTCTCACATTTAGTGCACTGCTCACATGCAATGAAGGATTTCCACAAAACATAATTTGCAACGAAGAAACAAAATCCTTCACACTTTCCAAATTTGACAAATCACAATGAAACACATGAACACTCTCTAATGGAATATGAGTATCCAGAGGGGCATTGTGTTGTTTCATTCGAGTCATCATTTTGTGAATGATTTGATCTCGAGCTTTCAATCCTCGTTTTGGATTCCGAACTGCCAAGATGACTCGAGCACCCATTAAGGCTAACTGTGTGGCTGTTTCTAAACCTAAACCACTATTCGCTCCAGTAATCTGTATTTTTTGAAGAGTGTTATAAAGTATGATTGTAAAATTGTTCATTTTTTGTAAAATATTGTGTTAATTGTAAAGTCACTCCAAATATACTTACAATGACAAATTTTCCTTTCATGTGTTGTTCTTGTAATAAATAGGAAGGACATAATTTACCCTCAAAAAATCGTTTCCTAATGAAATAGATCACCATCCAAGCACCCACGACACAGGTAGCAATGGGATGCGATTCATAGAGTCCCACGAAGGCGTTTTTTAATTTTACAAAAAAGTCCAAAGTTTGTTCTTTGAAGTAGGAGAGTGATTCTAGAAAATTGTTTTGGGAAACTTTGGTGTGTTCGGGTGGTGTTGAAGATTGAAGACTTTCGCCCTCGCTCTGGGATGGAGATGAAAATAATTTGAAATGTGAAGCCAGGAATTGTGAAATCATTTTTTTTTTAAATGATGAATCAAAATCATTAAGGAAATAACGAGAATGGAAATAAATCATTTATGGAAGGCTCATTCAAGATTCCAATTAGACTATGTATGACCTTATCATTGAAAGGATCGTCAACTCCTACCTTAATGGACTCGATTGCATGGCTTTGACAATTTCAAGAGCTTATTTTGAAACATAAAAAATGTCTTTTTCAACTGCAGCAAGAGGCTCTTTTCAATCACAACACCTATTATCCAGTGAAAATTCGAGTTCAACATCTACTTCTCATTATACTTTCCATGCATGGTTTTGCATGGCTGTTTTCATTGTAGATATTGTATTCATCATCGGAGCCCCAAGGATACCTATATTCCCAACGCTTCATACATGGAAGAGATGGTTCCAATGGTTACAATTTAAATTATTCAGAACAAGACAAAACAGTGATGATGATACGGGGGTGAATGATTCCGATAACAATGAAAATTCCAATGAGAATAATAATTCCACTCCGTCATCATCATCACTTCTATTCAATCATTTGGTTCAATTTTATCATATTGATTTAGATATGAGCTGGGCCTCTGTGATTGCTATCGTCGTTTTGTTGGCGAGCGGAACATTGGATTGGAATAACATGAAAATTGGACTACTTGGTGCAGAGGGGCAACATTTACAACCTTACAGCATCTTGTTACTTTTCATGTCATTGTCCTATGTTTGTGTTTCATTGGACGTCACTGGATTATTTAGTTATATTGCTAATTGGATTATCAAAAAGTCGAATTATAATGGACACAAATTATTTATTTGGTTCTCCTTGTTTGCCAGTGTGTTGACAATATTTACCTCTAATGATATTGTGATTTTGACACTGACTCCAATTTGTTGCTACATGTGTTTATCGAGTAGAAATTTGGATCCAGTGCCGTATGTCATTTCTCAATTTTTCCTTGCAAATGTTTGGAGCGTGTTGCTGGAAATTGGAAATCCCACAAATGTGATTGTGGCTCTTGCCTATGAATTGAACTTTTTGGTTTATTCCAAGTGGATGGCTTTACCTGCAATTAGTTCAGGAACTGTGTGTTTTATATTATTATACATTTTCTTTTACTCTTCAATACCAAAGAAAATTGAGCTGGTCCATGACGCTCAACAAAATGAAGAGATACGAGTACCACATCAAAGTAGGGAAGAGCTCGAGGAAGCATCGGCACAACAGGAAGGGCCTCCATCTTCTGCCATTGTAGATTCTTTAAATAACGACCCTGCCTCAAACCATTTGAGTAACGCGTTGCTGGAAGACTCTCCTAACACTGCTGGTAACACTATGGAAGAAGCAAGCAGTCACTTGTCTAAATCATCTACCTCATCCCTAGATGTGAAATCAGCAGTTGTAAAATCAGTGGCGTTATTATTGTGTCTGGTGACGCTGAGTGTTACTTCACTCATCAAATTTGGAGATACAGGAGAAACCATTCCTCCATGGATTGTGACATGTTCCTTCTTTGGATTTTCTCTCATCTATGATTTTGTGATGGATTCTCTACAATTATTCAGAATTTATTACAGGAAAACCATGAAGAAACCTTTCGATTCTTTAATTTGGAAAGTTCTTGTTCGTCTTCCATGGAAAATTATTCCCTTCATTTTGTCCATGTTTACCATTGTTCAATTACTGAATTATTACGGATGGACTGATTTATTAGCAAAGAAAGCAGCAGAAATTATTATCACACTTTCAGGAAATCAGTCGCCTGAAGCTCTGGCTGAAGGAAAAACAAGTGTTCAAGCCATCCTTGCAGCTACGATGGTCATGAGCTACCTTTCATCTTTAGCTTGCAATGTTATCAATAATCAGCCAATGACCATTCTATTCACCAGCGTCATTTCAAGTAAGGAATACAAAATTTTAACACCCGTTCAAAGAAAAGGGAGTATGTTCTCTCTTATTTTAGGAAGCAATTTTGGAGCCAATATAACATTGTTTGGAGCATTGGCTGGAATTATGTTTCTGTCTATTTTGAGGCAAAACGGTATCACCAACAAGCAAGTGAATTATTTTACATTCCTCAAATATGGGCTCATTATCACACCAATTGTTATTTTAGTGGGAAGTTTTTTCATATTTATTGAGCTGCTAATTTTTGAATGAGGGAGATGCACGTTAGTACAACAGTAGAACTCTTGACCTCTGATGTTTACTACAAACTTACAAACTTACTTCAACAAACGTCAACAGCTATGCAGGTTGACAGCGATTACAATATTTTGTAAAAGATTCGATCATACTCGCCTCAAACGATCCGAGTGTAACAAACTGCTCATATTTATGGTTGCTCTCATTGGACTTTTTTGATATCTTTCCAGTTTAATAACACATGCAAAAACGAAACAATTACCTAGAAATTTCACCAAAGCATTCTTAAATCACTCCACAATTGTACCATGACGATGGTGTTCAGTGACTGAATGGTTATGTCTGTCTCGTGTCATTCAGAATCAAAAAAAAACGAAAAACTGATTCCTCATCATCATTTCCAAGTTATTGAGCCCTGATTGTGTGGTGGTGAGAACAAGTCTTTTCATTACAATAGTTTTAATAATCATCCAAACCAAACCATAACAACCAATCATCAACAACAACTCATTCGCCGTCTGAACAACCCGTCGTCGGCCTCCTATCGACACTTTTTCATCATCAATTTTTAATATTCCTTCATCCTCGAGTTCATTAGTCTCGAAATTCCAAACAATCAAACCACCAACCACACCAACTACTACATAAACAACAACAACAAAATAAGACGACCATGAATGGTTGTAAAAATAATGAATCCTTGTTGTTGAACTTGTGCTCTCCCACCACAATGATCCTTCCTAAAACAACATCACGAGAGGACGGCAATCATCATGTTCTCCGAAAACATACAACAAGTTTGATGATGATTTTGAGTGTGTTCCTTTTATCGGTCGTGATGTTTATGGCAAATCCCATCATGATGGTTGAGGCTAAAAGTTCTTCTGTTTTAAATCATCGTTCTCGGCATGATGCTACTACGACCTTGTCTGCTACTACAACAACAACAACAACAACTGCTCGAGTAGATATGAATGGAGCCATTACTCTTGCAACCTATCAGAACACATCGGGATCATCAGGAGAGAAACTTGGATATGTTACAAATTATCAGGTATTTATTGGACGTAATTGTACTCCAGAAACTGTTGAGAAGGATTGTGGAGGTTTGGAGACTCTGGTTTGCATTAATAACAAGTGCTCGTTCTGTACAAATGCAACTCAATGTTCCGAGCAAATTCATACTATTTATTCATGTCACAAGATTGGAAAATTCCCTCCAGCTCAAGGAGGTGTTTGTGAGCACAAGGATTTGTTTGAATATGTATCATATTTGGATGTTTTGGCTACAATTACTTGCTTTATTGGAGGTGTGCTCTCTGCTGCATCAGGAACAGGAGGTGGTGGTATTTTCGTGCCATTGTTGCACGTGGCTGGTCAATTCCCTCCATCATTGGCAGTTCCAATTTCAACTCTTATGATTTTCGGTGCTGGTATTATCAACATTGCTACATTGAGTTTCAAGAGACACCCTCATGCTGATCGTCCTCTTATTGATTATGATATTGCATTAATGTAAGTGTGATTTTTATCATTTTGTGAAATCATGTGCAATGATGGACCGCAATTTTTGAAATGATTTCATACCAACTTGTCATGCTGCTCACCCATTGAAATAACAAACAGGATGGAACCTCCAACTTTGTTAGGTACAATTATTGGTGTCTTTTTCAACATGATGTTCCCTGATTGGCTAATCGTTGTATTGGTCATTCTCACGTTGAGTATTACTTCTTTCGTCATGTTTAGAAATGGTTACAAGAGATTTAAATTAGAAGCTGAAGCAAGAAAGAAGGCAGCTGAATCGACTACAGAAGATCAATCGAATAGCAATAGACCTACCACTGATTACAATCAAGTGAGCGACGACGAAGAAAGCTTGTTGAAGGTCGAAACAACCAATCAAAAGGTTGATGAATCTGAAGTTAAAATTGAGCATCACACTGAAGAAGAACAAACAGATGAGGGAGTTGGCTTCTCTACTAGGGATCCAGAAGAAGAGAAGGAATTGAAGGCCATCTATGAGGCAGAAAAGAAAACTCCTCTTGGAAAAATTCTTGTTTTGATTATTTGTTGGTTGACCGTATTTACGTTGAGTTTGTTGAAGGGAGGTCATGGTACTCCATCCATTATTCCAAGTGTCACTCGTTGCAGCGTTGGTTATTGGATTTTGACAGCCCTCAGCTTCCCACTTCTTGGAGCTATGGCATTGGGCATTATTATTTATTTATTGAAGAAGCATGAAAGAAAAGTGCAATTAGGTTATCAATTTGTTGAAGGTGATGTGCACTGGAATAAGTACAATGTCACTATTTATCCAGTTGGTATGTTATATTTGATTCCTGTGTGTTTTTTAACATTTCAAACTTGCAACCTCACATGACATTGGTGCATTCGAAACTATTCAGCTTGTATTGGTGCTGGTATTTTGGCATCCATGCTTGGTATTGGTGGAGGTATGGTCAAGTCTCCATTGCTATTAATTTTGGGAAGTGATCCAGTCGCTTCACAAGCCACCACAAGCTTTATGATTCTTTTCACATCCTCAATTTCAACTGTTCAATATTTAATTGCTGGTATGCTTCCATGGGACTATGGTTTATGGTTCTTAGCAACTGGTATTTTGTGTGGTATTTTTGGACAACTCATGTTGGACTTGTGGTTAGATAAGACTGGAAGACGATCGATCATGATCTTTATTGTTGCATTTGTGACGCTAATTGCTACGTTCTTGATGGGTGGAGCTGGTATTTATGATATTGTAAAGTCTGTGGAACGAAATGTTTACATGGGATTCAAGAGTCCATGTCTATAAGCTGTACAGCTGTTTTGAAATTATTAAATAATACTAAATCTATCAATAATCATTTTCCTCCAATTTACCTTGTAATTTCGTTTTAAAATAAGGTAAATAATTGGGAAGCAGTTTATCTAGAATGACGTCGTGTGGAAGCGTTTGTCTTGTAGTTTGTTGGTAGTGGTTTAGACAACTGATGATGAGGTCTTTGCCAGAATATAAGTCCAATAATCAACTCCTACAAAGGTCAATGCTTCAATTTCCACCTTGCTTCCAAATTCTTTCATGAAAGCAAGCTGACGAGATAGTGTTTCACAACAAGAGTGCTCGAGTTCGCCCAAAGTCGTGAGAAGAGAATCAATTTTGCAACAATCACCAGAATCTAAGGGAAGCAGACAGTTTTTGTAGCAAGGGTTCAATTCTAAATTTCCTTCGTCACAACGTTGTAAAAACTCTTCCAAATGAACTCCAAGCCATTGAATGTTCAAGTACGTTTGCATTACCCAAAATTTACACTCCTCTTCACAGTCCACATGAAGTAATGTTAGGGTTTTCTTTTCGTTGTTGAAAGACTTTGATCCATGAATGTACACATGGGCAATTTCTGCCCCATATGGATCCCCGTCTGTGAATAGATAAAGCTTTAGAGATCGTCTCTGATATTTAGCAACGTATTTAACCAATGTGACAATAAAGTCTCTGGTTGGTACGTCCGGATAACCTTTCGAGGTGATAAGAATGAATTTTCGCAATTCAACATTGGCAGCAAGCGTTTGCTTGAGTTGTTGGAATACTGATTCCTTCTCTACGATGAGTAGCGAATCCACTTCTCGAGGAATTTCAAAGCCAACAATCTGTAAGTGAGGAATTGAAGGAATAGAGCATGTGGAAAGCGCACTGACTTTCAATGACACAGGGGTGACACTTCGAGTTGAACTTGGCATCAATACTGTATGATGCGAGCTCACAACGTCATTCAAATTGCATTGAATAAAACTAAAATGTCCACAAACCTCACCTCTGGATTGTGGTACCACATGCAAGTCGTGTCTGTGGACATGCCAGTTTTCAGAAAGTTCTTTCAACACCTGGTTGCATTGAGCTTGATTTTTCATCAATGGCTTCATGCAATAGTACATGTCTCGTTTCGTAGAGAATTTGTTGTAAATACAAAGCTGGAGGATGAGATGCATCAACTTTAGTTTACAAATAAATCTGCAGGTAGATTGAGCATTAAAGAATTCCTTCAATGAAAATAGAATTCGTGATGGTGGTAGCTCTTGTTCTCGACTGCTCACATCGAATTGACCGTTCAGTTGTCTTTCATGATCACGAATGCTGCTTCCTTGCTCCGGGTTGGAGGCTATTCTCTTCTCTGCTTGTTCATTCATTTCAGGCGTTGATCCCATTGGCGATTCCAATGAATGAGAAGACTCTTCATTTTCTTCCGTAGTCATTAACTCTCTCAGCAGTCGTAACACTTGCTGCTCGATACATGAGATCACTTGTTGAGTTTGCAACATTTTTTTAAGGCTTGAACAACCTTGCTTTAGGAATGCATTTAAGGCTAGATGGAGATCCATCCACTTATTAGTGGCACTGTTTACTAGAGAAATTACATAGAAATAATCATTGAGGAAATTCAATAATTTATATCATCATCATCATAGTATACATACTAGGTGCTCATGGATATTGCAACATCCATGTGTAGTATTTTCTAGAAAAAAGCATTGGAGCAATCTTTGCGCGAAACCAAAAGGAGCTAATTATTGGTTGGTTTGCATCTAGCCGCATATTGTCGGACTCTTCTATTATATTCTTCACGATTTGACACATAGAGTTGGAATGGTTCTGCTTGAGCTGGATCTTTTTCATTTGGGTTATCGAGTAATTCTTGAATACCAATAAGTAATTGTTTGATGGTCAGAGATGGCTTCCAATCCTTTTCTTCGTTCAAAATGCTCAAGCATACCGTTCCACTTGGGAATACGTTTGGATGGAAAAGCGGAGGAACAAATCTACATTTTGGTGGCTTATCAGGATATTCTTCTGAAAATTCAATATCGAGTCTGTATTCGCCTCCTTCCCAAATTGTACCTGGCTTTCCAGGAATTCCACAATTCCACAGCATTATATTTGTTGTACCATCCTCGTTTTGTGCTGGTCTGGCCCAGAATCCCTGTTATGATGTCGGCCGATTCATTGTTATAAGTTGTTGTTATTGTGTTTGTTATTTGCAAAGAATTTTCATGATCACCACCAAATTAATATAAATCAAAATGATTGATGGATTCAATTTAAAGAATTACATTAAAAAGAGTTCCACATTTAGAAATTAAATTTTCAAAATACACAAAAATCGGAATCAAACAGCAACCACCGATTAACACCGATTAGCAAAAAAAACGTCAATATTAAAAATATTGATAATAATGAACGTACGTATGGATGGTCCTTTCTCCATGCTTTTCTTTCTTCCATGACTCTCTTTCTTGCCATCGACATTTTCGTGGTGTGATGATTAAAATTTTTTTTGAACGTTTGCTTTTTGCGCCAAAATTTCAGCGCTCACACATATTAATTTGAATCAAAAAAATTGCAAACTAAATATTTGCTTTTTACCATCATCAAGCAGCAGTTAACAAAAATCTTCGTAGCCATTAGTAGTGTTGAGTGGTAATTAGTATAAGGAGCTCTATTTGCCACTCTAGCAGGAAATTCAATTAGTTGTTCATTGTTATCACAATACTTTTAATAGATATCGGAATTTGTTGAAACTTGCCATCATTCCGAGCCATGCATATCAAAGAAATTCATATTGATGGATTTAAATCCTATGCCACTCGAACCGTACTGAACGGATTTGATAAATCGTTCAATGCCATTACCGGCTTGAACGGATCAGGCAAGTCCAATATTTTAGATGCAATTTGTTTTGTGTTGGGAATTTCAAATCTTGGCCAAGTGAGAGTCAATAATTTACAGGAACTAATTTATAAACAAGGACAAGCTGACGTAACAAAAGCAAGCGTGAGTGTAGTTTTTGATAATAGCGATAAGGACACTTCACCGGTTGGTTATGAAGACCAGTCCACTATCACCGTGTACAGACAAATTATGATTGGTGGAAAAAACAAATACATGATCAACGGTAGAAATGCTCAACTCTCCCGAGTACAGAATTTGTTTCATTCCGTTCAGCTCAATGTAAATAATCCCCACTTTTTAATCATGCAAGGAAGAATCACAAAGGTGCTCAATATGAAACCAATTGAAATTTTAGGAATGATTGAAGAAGCTGCAGGTACTAGAATGTTTGAAGTAAAGAAGGGCCAAGCTCAAAAAACAATTCAAAAGAAGGATCAAAAGCTGGAAGAAATTGCAAAACTGTTATCTGAGGAAATTGAACCCAAATTAGAAAAGCTCAATGCTGACAAGACCAAGTACATGAAATATAACGAAATTCTAAATGAATACCAAAATATGGAACGGTATTGCATTGCGTTTGAATACTATACAGCAGAATGTCAGCTGAAAAATTTGAAAAACGAAGAAGATTCATTACGTAAGAAAATTTCTGAGCTAGAGTCAAAGCATAACGAATTTCAGAAGAAAGAATCAGAAACTCAAAAGAAAATTGAAAATTTAAAGAAACAGAGACAAAGCGATATGAAAGATGAGGTCAAGGAATTGGAGAACAAAGTGGCAAAACTCAACAAAGAACTTATTCACAAAAAATCAGAACTGGAACATAAAAAAGAAGAGTATGAACGAGAAAAAGCCCAGTTGGACAGCTTACAAAAACAAATCATGGACGAGGAAAACAACAAGTTGGAATTGGAAAAGAAATGTCACAACGCTGTAGTACGGTCTGAAGAACTCAAACAAAAAATTCAGGATCTCACAAACAAGATTGATAATATGAAGCGTCAAAAAGAAGCAGTTAGTGCAGGTGTGGCTGTAAATATTAGCGATGGCAACGGTAAAACCATTACAGAACAGGTTCTCGAATGCAAACAGACCATTACCTCTCTCAAAAGTAGTTTGAAACAGAGTGAAATGAGACTTTCTCACCTTAAAACAACTCTTAACGAAAAGAAGATACAGCTATCGAAACAAAGTGCTGAAGAGACATCTCTCAAACAACAACTAGAAGAGATTGAGAAGGTTGTAAACACACAAGCAAAACAGTTGGAACAGTTGAATTTTAATGAAAGCAAATATATTGAGACAGAAAAGCAAATTGAAATGTTGGAGGCAGACATTGTTGATAGAACAAACAAGATCAATCAAAAGAAAATGTCACTCGAACAAATTTTCCTTGACTATAATAAGGAAAATGTATCTGGTAATGTAATGGGAGTAGTAGCCAACCTTTTCAGAATCAAGGATAAACAAAATACCTGTGCTCTAGAAGTTGCAGCTGGACCAAGACTTGGTCAACTTGTGGTGGATACTGAAAAAACAGGAAAAGAAGTCATTGAAAAAGGAAATATTTCAAGACGAGTAACTGTTATTCCATTGAACAACATCACATATGGCAAGCGATTTGAAAACCAAGAATTATTGAAACAAGTTCACAATAATAATGCCTCCTTGGCATTGGATTTAATCAATTATGAAAGTAAGGTAGAAAATGCCATGAAATATTGCTTTGGATCAACCCTTGTAGCCACAGATATGGAGACTGCAAAGAAGGTTGCCTTTGACAAGACTATTTACGCAAGAACAGTAACCATTGATGGTGATGTTTTTGATCCTAGCGGTACATTAACAGGAGGTTCAAGGCATTTCAATCCTGAAACATCAATACTCTCCAAATTAGAAGCTCTCAAGCTCATTGAAGATGAACGGGATTCTATTATTAAAAAGGTTGAAGGTCTCAAATCCCAGCTTAACAAAAAGCTTAAGGACAAGTACTACGCATTGAAAAACGAATTACGGCTAAAGAAGCACGAACAGTCTCTTGCACAAAAAAGAGTTGAACAAAGTAGCTATTTCCAAACAAAGAAACAAGTAGAAGAAATGGAGCAAGAAATTGTAAAGATTAACGAAAATATGAAGCAATTCAACATTGATATTCAAAACAAGCAAAAGGAGCTTGTTGATCTAGAAAAACAACAAGAACTATTTAGCAAGGCCAGCGATGAAGAAGCTGTGAAAAAGCAAAAACTAGAAATGATTGACAAAAATATTGAGAAAGCTAAAAAAGAGCTACAAACAGCAAAAACGGAATTGAAAGAAGCAGATTCTGACAAACTTTCTCTGCAACTACAGCAAATGTCAGAAGATATTAAGGAAATGAAAACTCAATATGAATCAAAGCGGACAGAAATTGAGTCCAACCTGGAAAAAACGTTTACCAAGTTGCAAAAAGATGTTGACAACGCCTCTGAGGCATATGAAAGCGAAAGCACAAATCTTAAGGCCTGTAGATTAGAATTTTCAAAGTCAGACGAAGAAATTTCTAAACTCAACGAACTGAAAGATAAGTACGCCAAGAATGCATCCGACATTCTTCTAGAGGTGAAAAGCGTGGAACACACTCTATCAAATTCTGGCAAAAATTCTGGAAAACTTGCAACTCTTTTAAATGCGCTGAAAAGTGAAAACAAGTGGATCAAAAACGAAAAGGAAAACTTTAACAAACCGGATACAGAATTCCACTTTGATAAGAACAATCAGTCGTTGCAAGAATGCAAGCAACGCCTTTCAAAACTTAAGGAAGAATGTGACAGCCTTTCAAAAAGTATCAACAAAAAGGCTATGGCCATGCATGAAAAGGCAGTAGAAGAATATAATGATTTAGTTAAAAAGAGAGAAATTGTTCAACATGATAGGCACAAAATTGAGAATGTCATTGAGGATTTGGACGATAAGAAAAAGAAAGCAATCGAGGAAACTTGGAAGAAAGTGAACACAGATTTTGGCTCTATTTTCTCAACCCTTCTCAATGGAACCACAGCTAAGCTCGAGCCTCCCTCAGACGCGGTTAATGGAGCGCTGGATGGCCTTGAAGTACGTGTTGCCTTCAACGGAGTTTGGAAAGAGTCCTTAACAGAATTGAGTGGAGGTCAAAGGTCACTGCTCGCACTTTCTCTCATTCTTGCTCTGCTCAGATTCAAGCCAGCCCCTGTATATATTTTGGATGAGATTGACGCAGCTTTAGATCCTTCACACACACAAAATATTGGCCGCATGTTGAAGACTCACTTTACAAACTCTCAATTTATTGTGGTTTCTCTCAAGGAAGGGATGTTCCAAAATGCAAATGTTCTCTACAAGACAAAATTTGTGAATGGTTCGTCATTGGTCGAACGTGTAGTTGACCATAGATCAGCTGTTGACTCCGACTCGGGCTCGTCAAGCAACAATGTAAACCCTAACTCATCCTCAACAACCACATCTTCAAGAAGAACTGCAGCATCAGCTTCATCAAACGCTCGCACAAACTCTGCATCTGTTACCGCCACCACTTCCTCTCAACAACCTGCCCAACTTGTCTCCCGAAGAGGATCCAAGCGAAAATCTGCAAATGAAGACGAAAGTGAAGAAGAGGAGGAATAAAAAAAATGTCCATGAGAAAATCTCTCAATGTCAACTCCTCGTACAACCACAACAATTTACCGAATCAACAAAAATACAGAAAAGATTCAATATTTCTCTTTATTGTGTTTTTAACACTCTTTATAATATTTGATCTTATTTTACCTTTATATAACAAGAGTTTATATGCTGGATTTGGTAGTGGTCATGGTTTTCATTATCCCGTAACAACTTCATTTGTTCAAGTAGGATGCACTGCAATTATACTACTAGTGGCAGTGCTGTTCAATCGATTAATCATGATTAAATTTATTGAAGTGAAACAACCATACTTTTTATTTAGTGGAGGACTGAAAGCATTTCTGTTGAAAGTGTAGGTTGTGTTGATCAAAATATTATGGACATGATTCATTCAGAATTAATACCACACAAAATTTAATTTAACAAACTTTATCAAATTTTCGATAATGACAACAATCTGAATATTTCATCTTGTTGATTCAATATTTCCGTATGAATCATGCGGAAAATTTGAAATATTTGAAAATATCTAACCTCTCTCAATATTTAGGAAGGAATTAATTCTTGTTGGATTTCTCTTTGCAGGAGTGATAGTACTCACAAATTTAGGTCTTGACAAAGCGTCCATCAATATCAATGTTCTTCTTCGAACCTCGAGCATTTTCTGGATCATTTTATTGTCATTTCTCATTCGAAGTGAAAGACCCACACTTCTTCAAGTCATGTTCGCTCTCATTGTCACCTCAGGAGCCATATTACTGAGTTTAGATGTTGGATTAGGATGGAGTGTACATGTGTCTAATATTCCAGCTGTTGTCGTGAATTTGGCATCTGCCCTCTGTACAGGTCTCATGTTCGTGACGATGCGATTCGTAGTCTCACGACAAGAAAAATACGAACATTTAAGAATGAATATTTTAGAAATGACCATGGTGAAAATGTTTATTGCAGCATTGTTCATGCTCATTCCAGCTTTGGTCATGGAAACCATTTTACCGTTTGCTGACTCCAAACCAACGGTATGGCAAGTCATGTTCACTCGATTAGACATGTTTGGTTTGGTATTGGGAGGAGTTTTAGTCACACTGATTTTTCAGAGTTCAGTGTTGGCTCTCACTGTTTATTCGAAAGCAATTAGTGTTGGCTTAATTCAACAATTTTTGATTTTTCCTCAATTAGCATTCTATACCATTATTAGTGCTGCTCATTTGGTACCAAGAAGTTGGAATATTCAATTGTTGAAACCGACATGGTCACACATTACTGGAAGTTGTTTGATTATTGTGGGAACATTGTTATATGCTGTTTTGAGGGTTGTGAAAATGTTGGATCAGAAACGACGACGGAAAGAACATGAAAAAGTTGTGGAGAAGCAAAAAGAAGAGGATGAAGAGGTTGTCTCATTACTTCGATCAAAAGACCAACAAGAGTCGAGAGAAGCTCAAATTCAAAATTTGCCACGGAAATGGTATGATTGGATTGTATAAAACATTGTTGACATGAAATTAGGCTCGGCTTTCGATTTGTTGTGAGAAGATGAGAAAACGCCGTTGTTTGTATCCATTGATTGTGTTCAAATAGGAGCAATCAATCGGAGTTGATGGGACTTTGCACTAGTGCATTCCCCGCAACATCCCATTGTAAAACAGCTGAAAAAAATGCGTTCTGTCCTTGTTGCTGTGTTGTTGATTGCTTGTGCCGCTGTTGTGTTGGCTCAAGAGTACAAGCCTTTGGCCGAGAGTGAAATGAAGAAGCTCTTCATCAAGTTCTCTAGAAAACATGCCAAACTCTATGGTACTGAAGAACATAATTCTAGATATCAAATTTTCAAGGCCAACGTTGAGAAGGCCAGATATTATAACCATGTTGGCAAGAGAGAAAACTTCGGTATCACCAAGTTTGCTGATTTGACTCCAGAAGAATTCAAGAGAATGTTCTTGATGAAGACTTACACTCCAGAGGAAGCCAAGAAGATTTTGGGTGCTCCACAACAAGTTGTTGTTTCTGAAAAGGATATCCAAGCTGCTCCAACCGTACGTATATTTTGTTATGATGATTTTGTTAACACTTCATAACGGTATCATCCTTCACGTTTTTACATCTCCAAATTTTGATCATTGCAATTGGAATGATTCCTCCATCATCACTTCATTTGAACTCTTAAATTTTATCTATTTCATCATCACACCATTCCGTTAATTCAACAACAGTCCTTCGACTGGAGACAACACGGAGCTGTTACTCCTGTCAAGAATCAAGGTGCTTGTGGTTCATGCTGGACTTTCTCCACCACTGGTAACGTTGAAGGTCAATGGGCCATCAAGAAGGGTAAACTTGTCAGCTTGTCTGAACAACAATTGGTTGACTGTGATCACAACTGTGTCACTTATCAAAACCAACAAGCTTGTGACTCTGGTTGCAATGGCGGTTTGATGTGGTCTGCCTTCCAATACATCATCAAGAACGGTGGTTTGGTCACTGAGGACTCTTATCCATATGAAGGTGTTGATGACACTTGCAGATTCAACAAGAGCAACGTTGTTGCCACCATCTCCTCTTGGACCTCAATTCCAAGCGACGAAACTCAAATGGCTGCTTGGCTCGCTGCTAACGGACCAATCTCCATTGCTATCAATGCTGAATGGTTGCAATACTACACTTCTGGTATCTCTGATCCATGGTTCTGTAATCCTCAAGATTTGGACCACGGTGTTTTGATTGTTGGTTATGGTGTTGGTAAGAGCTGGCTCGGATCCGAAGAACCATACTGGATTGTTAAGAACTCTTGGGGTTCAGGTATGTTTTTGTGAAAATTTATTGTTTTTTACTAAGGAATTATTTTTTTATGACTACCCAATAACCCACTCAAATAGATTGGGGTGAAGATGGATATTTCCGTATTATTCGTGGTAAGAGCAAGTGCGGTTTGAACTCTGTTCCATCCTCTTCAATTGTTTAAATCAACCAAGAAATAAATTATTCGTGTTTAATGTCACGACAGTGGTTTGATGTGGCAATGGAAAGTCAAAAACGTTTGTGTCGACATTAAAAAAATGAATCAAAAGGAAAGCAAGCTGTCATCTCATCACAAACAGGAAAAGTCATCATCAAAAACCGATCATAATCATCCAGCAACAAATGGAAGCAATCCCGATCACCATTCATCAGTTAAAAAAGCTTTCCGAGAGAAACCACTGTTGCAACGATTTAGAGAATGTAGCAACAAGCCTCGCCGACGAATTGAAAAACCAACGGTATGCACATGGAATTCCGAACAACTACAGGCTTTAATTAAAACTTTTCAAGAATATGAAAAAGCAGCACTCGATGACGTGGAACCAACATCCCAAGAACAAGACTATCAAATTAATGCAGTATCCATTGAAAAAACATGCGTGATTTATGATCACATTGGAGGCACCTATCGAACGAAGAGGATTGAAATTCCATTGGTTTCGTCGTTGTCTTTTATTACCAATGAAAAACACCATACATCAAGCTCGGAATCTCCATCACTTCCCAACACACCGCCAGCTCTCCTTTCCAGATCATCATCAACATCTTCGATCAGCACCACTAAAAGTAACACTTCCACGACTTCATCCAAAGCAACCACATCAGGCATGAAAGTAAAAAAGAAAAAGAATCCATTTATGAAAGTTTATAAGAAATTAAAATTGAAAATTGCAAACCCTGAAAAGAATATTGCCAAGCCTGAGTTGATAGAAAAGTATTTTCCAAATTTAAAATTACCTGACGATTTTGTGTACATTTTAGAGAATGAAAGAAGTTCTAAAACACTCCCAACAGCTCATAACGATAATCGATGTAACTGCACCAGCAAATGTGTGAAGCATGAATGTTTGAATTACTTGTCACAAGTGGAGTGCTCTTCAGATTGTCAGTGTGGCTCGCTGTGTGACAACAAAATGTTTACCAACATGCAGTATCCAAATATTGTTTGCTTTTACAGCAAAGGTAAAGGAATTGGTGTAAAGTGCAATCAACCCATCATCAAAAAGGGAGAATTCATCACTGAGTATGTTGGAGAAGTAATCTCAATCAAAAGATTTGAAAAAAGAACAAGCAGAAAATATCACAAATCTCTTCACCACTACTGCATGAATTTAAATGAGAATGAAATTATTGACGCAACATGGATGGGAAATATTGGAAGATTTATAAATCACTCGTGTGACCCCAATGCATGCACACAGGTTTGGTCTGTGAATGGATACGACAAGGTTGGAATATTTGCAATTAGAGATATCATGTTTGGAGAGGAAATTACATACAATTATCATTTTACGATTTATGATGAAGTGTCAGAGCAACAAGTGTGTAAATGTGGAGCTGAAACATGTACTGGAGTGATTGGAAAAAAGCCCTCATCTCCTTCATTTTCTGGTTCAAGTGACTCTGAAGCAGACACACCAGATGAGAGCGAGAATGAATCTGAGGGATCTCCGAAACGGTCGCTGGCGGTATCTAATGTTGAGTCAAACAACGAGCCAAGCCAAAAGAAGCAAAAAATTGACGAATCCAACTCGGAAGATGATGACATGTCAGAAAACGATGAATATTACATGCAATTTATCGATAGTGAATAATTTATTGGGATGATTATAAAGAGTTCTTCTGGCAAATTTTGTGCTGGTGATACAATTAAGTTGGCACACTTACGTTTATTGTAAACCACGGACAATAATTCAAGGGAAAGTGAAGAAACCACTTTTACTGATCAGATGTCTGTTGTTTTGGAATGAGAACCTTGTCAAGTAAGAATTTGTTTAGAGGAACATCCACCACAGAGAATTTTCCTGCATTATTTTGTTGGTTCAATAATTCCAACAACATTTTACCAACAACAATTCCAAACTAAATGTCACAAATATTCGTTAAATATTATAAAAATCTGAGTAAAGATGACTCACCTTAAATCCATGTCCACTTCCGCCACCAAACATAACAACATTCTTTTTACCGCTTTTAGTTGGTAAATAATCAATAATGAAATCTTCAGTTGGTGTCATTTCATACAAGCATGTCACTACACGATCCTTCTGAGAAATAATCTCCTCATAAGTCTCATTGAAATCAAGATATCCTTCAGGAGTGGTGTTTTTAAGGAAATTCACTGTTCTGTCAATTTTTTCTTTCTGAACTAGCGGTTCTTTTCCTTCATCAATGAGTGCTGCTCTCTCGTCAGGATCGAAGCCTCTTTCTACATCTTTATACGGATGATGAGATGCAGTTTTAATGTATCCAGGCTTTTCCCAACTTGGAAATCCATAATACGCCAAATCTAATTTTTCATCTTGAACAAATGGATCTTGTCCCCACATGATCCAAATTGGCTAAACAACAGAATGAGAAATGGCCGTGTTTTTGGTATGGGCATCAGTACTAACACTACATCCACACGATACTTACTGAATTTTCCAAATACACATTTTCCTTCAACCCAAGTTCTCCAATCTTCCAATAATAATAACACATTCTCAACACTTCAAATTGGATATCTAAATCAAAGTGCTTTTTAAGAAACTTTTTACAATAAGCACCAACACAGATTGCCAACTTTTTTGCTTCAAATCGATTTCCCTTATTTGTGACAATTGTAAAATTTCCACTCGTTTCGTCCTCAACCAATTGTTCAACTCGTTCCTTCTCTACAATACGGTGTTTTTCAAGATCATAGGCACTTCCATCATTGTTCAACAAAATCGAGCGGATCTTATTTGGATTTAACATTCCAGCTTCTGGTTGATAGACAGCCAAAGTATCATCTGGAAGACCAGAGAATTGAGGAAATCGATCACGCAACTGCTGACCTTGTAAAACTTCATGAGTAAAGCCTCTTTCTCGTGAAACTTGAACCACCTTATTGATGCTTACATCGGTAAGAGGACCAATATCGAGACCACCAGTCTTCTTGTAAAAGGTTTCAAAGTGAGGAACTTGAGACCACAACTCAAGAGATTTAGAGGCCATAGCTGAATAATGAACATCATCATAGGCAATTCTGTTCAGTGCATTCAATATTTTCAATTCATTGAAAGAGGATATCATGTTACGGGATGAATATTCATGGAGAAATTATTGCAAATCATCAATGATTGGAACCCATATTCATAACCACGTTCATGTACATATATTCCAAATTTTGGTTGATGATCATCATCATGAATATTCATTTGCATTCAAAAGACTCTCACCTACCTAATAATTCTTGATTCTCCATGAGATGATCCCTTTGAGTGCATCAACTCAAACTGTTCCAACAACAAGACTCGTTCATACTCTTTCGTTGCATGATGAAACGTACAAGCTCCTGCAATTCCCGAGCCAATCACACACAAATCATAAAGAACCATTTTTTTCAAACTCCGTAGGGAATGGCTTTGAACTGGAACACGGTTGTGGATGACAAGAACGTTTCAATAATTACAATTTATTGAAATATAATTTATCGTGTGAAAGAAGAAGAAGCAAGAATTTGTTGTGCCGCGTTCAACTCAAAGTAATAATTGTCATGCTCATAGTCATTGTTTACTTCTTGAGCTTGGCTTTGAATTTCTCACCCATCAATGAGACAATGACTTCAGCCATAGGTTCTAATTCGGCTGCAGAAATTAAATCAAATTCAAAGGTAAAGTACATGAACTGTAAAATGTACAATTGGAACAATGACAATTTCACAAAATTGTTTTTCAATGAATTGAGTCAGTGGATTATGGTTCAAAATACTTACATGCTTGAAAGCAGTATTAAGGTGAGCTATCATTGATAATCCAAAACGATTTAGAATTGTAACCATTCGCAAATGTCAATTAATAATTTTAAAGTTTAACGAATTAAAAAATTTAAAAATTTTGATCTCCATACCTTCTTCACCAAGAATTTTAATTTGTTCCAAGTGATGAGCATAAATATGTGCATAAACACGGAATAATCTCTTGAAAATGTTCTTTACAATTTTCGAAAAGTCCTATTATCAAACACTTAGTGAACTCGGCCTCCATTTTTAGAAAACGTACCTTTGGAAAATCTTGACTGGCATCAGTAGGGAAAATCTGTTCATTATTCAACATGGATTCAACCCATTCCATCAATAATGAGACATAATCCTTGGCACTCACAACTGTTGGTTTGTCATATTTTGGATCATCGGCATTCATCCACAAATACTCAAAGTTTTCACCAGCTGACATTTTAGGACAAGTGCTTGCTGTGCAATACTCTTCGAGAGAGCCATACAGAATGTTAATTCCATTTACAAAATCGACGACGTGAACAGCTGTAGTGATGATGATGGTGCAGTGGTGCAGTGATGATTGAATATTTCAACAAGAGAAACACATGTTGTGCCAACAGGAAAAAAGACAATAGACATGGTTATTTCATTGAATTTAGAATTATGGTGATCTGTATTGTAAAAATCAAGAAACATACCTAACCATTCATTTTTCTTCTCTCCGGCTATCATCATCATGGAGTGTCAAATGTCAACATTCAAAGACCCGAGAATACTTACGTGGTAATTTCACAGTATTTTCCAATCCAGCAACTCCCAACGATGAAGTACTCTGTTGCATCGCTTGTTTCATTCTCTCATTGAGTTTATTGTCACAATCAATATTCTTTTTAAAAGTTTTCTTTTTATCACTCACTCCCATAAGACCTTTCAAAACGCTTGCCATTTTCTTCTTGTTGTATGATATAGATGAAATGATCGATCGGGTGTATTGGTTTGTTGTTGTTGTTGCTGTGATTTGGTGTTGAGACCAATATCGCTAATGTTTGATATTTTTTTTGATTTTTAAAGAATGACAGGTGTTCCTACTTTTAAGGAGAGACATGACTTGGAATAGATGGAGGTAACCACGAAAGTGTTGTTGTTATTATTTTCAAGCTGTTCTAAAGGGTTTGATGGAAGAATTACAGTTTCATGTCAATAAAAAAAGATCTTAAATGTCTTCTTCACAAAAGTTGACAAGAGGGACCTCAGTTCATCAATGACGAAAGTTTAGGAGGTATTAATTGCGATTCTTAACATTCCCAATATTTCACAATGCCTTTGTCTTCAAATGAAATATTGGCATGCCACACAATGATGACGTCTTGATTGACAAATAAGGTAATCGAAATGATGATCCATTTGTTGTAACAAAAAAAATGATCGCCTTCATTGTGATTAGCCACATCTCACTCTATATCGGAGTCATGTTTCTGATTCTATGTGTTGCTACAGGATTGTATTATTTAGCCGAATTGGCTGAAGAGAATAGTGTCATGACTCGGAAGGTGATTTCGTACATGATTTATGTATGTAATAATCATTTTTGGAAGAACCATTTATCATCATCATCCGAATCCATATGATATGAATTTGAAATGATGATCATGGTACGATGATTGGAATGTATGATTATTGTATTCGGAATCCTGTCATCCGATGAAAACATGATTCGGTCAAAATGATGATCCTATATAATATATTGAAAACAATGATTAATAGTTGGTGGTGATTGTACATTTGATTTTATGGATTTTTGATGAACTTTATTTCTGGTGTATTTCTATTGGAATATTGTCTCATATTGCATATTATCAATTATTATCAACATTCCCATTTGTGAGAGTGAAATCTGCATCCTGTATTTTGAGCATTGGTAAGTGGTGATGAGTCGTTGAACGAATGGTTCTTAATCATGTGTGTGAAATTTCACGAAAATGCATGAATTGAATCTTTCAAATCTTACTATTGGTGACATAATTTATTATACAAATAGTCGGATTTTTAGTTTCTCACATAGGATGGTACTATTACTTTATTGATTTTTACACACCAATTTATGAATTTTCAGAATTACTAGGTAAGCATTAATTACTTTGATGACCATTTGTATATTTTCAAATTCGTTTCTATTTTGCGAAAACCATTCTTGACACATGAATAGGCTTTTTCTTCATTTGTGTTTGGGTCACTCCTCTTGCATTATTTGTAAGCTTGAGTATTGGAGACATGCAATTACCAGGGCTTGGAATGGAAGGTGGTGCAGATCGTGGCAATAAGGATATTCTCAAAAAGAAGAACAATGTGGTGCAATGGATCATGTCGCAACTGAATCGTTTCAGAAAGAGTTCATCGTCGGATACGATGCTGCCACATCAGTCAAATTACTAATGTTTTTTTCGCAAACTAAAATTCTACTGTTTAAATTTGTGTGTATTTTCATCATATAAAAAACAACAACCATTCGCAAGAAAGGAGGAATTGAACCTCTGGACTTTACATCCCTACGGCTTTGAAGGCCGCACCCCGGAACCACCGAAGATCATTCCTGCAACGAAAAAGGTGTTCAGATGTTTGTTTAGTTTTCAGTAGTTCAATATTTGTGACCAAATTAAGGTTTGCAAAAAAATGGAGTTCCAACAAATTGAATGTACTTTTTCAAACAATGCAAAGTATTCGAATATCTATCAAGTATTGGTGCATCAAAACCTGCATTATTTATTCTTGTCTGTATCGCCTTGGTTTTAATTTCAATTTGGCAACGCGACTACTTCTTCTTTTTCTTTTGTAAACTTTCCAAACATTCCTCGTAAGAAAAAGCGGTAGGTCTATCCATCAACCGCACATATTTGGGTCCTCTCTCTTTGGGAGGTCGTATGGTGAGAGCTTTTCTCAGTGTCATGTATTTACTCTCCTTTTCTCCTTCTTGATTTGTAAAGTCTCTCTCCAACTTGGATCGATCCACCAATGTATTGTTTGAAGCTTGATAGAAAATGTTATACATGGACGTCTTGATTGCACAATGTTTCCACATTTCAAAAAAGTGAGAAGCCACCTCAGTTGGAGTATCTACATTGCTATGTATCCATTTCAAGTCCTCGAACACACAATCATACAACACTAGAGGATACTCAGAGGCAATTGGGTACTGAGGACGTGCCTTGTTTGTTTCAATGTCAAGTAAATCTGAAATAATACTAGGTTCTTCTTTTCCTTCTCCAATTAAAAAGAGAACAGCTGCCATACATCGAATTTGGTGCCACAAAAATGAATATCCACAAACAACAATTTCATACATGTCATAATAGTTGTCACTTCCATGTTGTTGGTGAAACAAATCTGATTTCACAATTTCTACGTTTAAGATTTTTCTTCTAAAATTCGAAACATCCTCAGCATTAATTTTACAGAAATTTCTAAAGTCATGATCTCCAATGAATTTTAAAGCTGCTTCTCTCATCTTGTCGATATTCAGATTTTGTTTGATGAAAAAGTACTTGTATGTTCGTTGAATGCACCCAAATCGAGCATCAAAGTCTTTGGTCACAGGGCACCATGCCAACACTCTAATATCCTCTGGTAATGAATTATTTAACATTTTCACGTAATCAAAACTCTTGCTCGGGTCCTTACTGGCTCTCCCATAAAATGAAATTACTTGACACAATGCAGAGACTCCCTTATCCGTACGTCCACATCTTGTATATTCGCTCTTTTCTTCGCTTTCTATCAGTTTTACCTTTTTCAATGCTTCAAATAAATGATATTCAATCGTATTGGTATTGTGTGCTTGTCGTGCAAGACCTTGATAATTAAACCCGAGATAGGCAACCTTTAATGCAATATATTCCATGTGTTGTTTGGACCAATCCATTTCATTCTTTTCCTTCTTCTTCTTCTTTGTTTTTTCTTTTCCATTCTTTTTATTTCCATCATCGGAGGACAAATTTCGAGACTCTTTGTTCGCCATACGTTTTTCCTGTTGATAGAGTGTTGCAATTTTTACAAGTTCTTCACGAGTCATCTCATTAGGTGATTTATCTAGCAAGGATAGTTCCATACATGAAGTGCCGGAGTGACTTTCCGAACTTGCACTCGAGACGATGGAGGAGGATGCTTCAATTTGGTGTTCACTCATTTTTTATGATTTTGGAAATTCCTCAAACATTCATCGATATTTCCAGGATCAGTCTCAATTTATTAATGAGATAAAAAGCATCACTAAAAGAGTGTATCTTTGAAAAGAGAACCTCAGCAATCCCAAGATGATTTATTGAAAAAGATGAAAATTTCAAAACAACAAAGCTGAACTGAATTCTTTGAATGAACAAACTGAAATAGAGTCACTCAAAAACGAGATACAAAGAACGAAAATCACTTGCAAGAAGTTCCAAACGTAAAGAATATCATCTCTGAGATTACTTTAGAGATTGACAGGTTGCGAAAAATTCTCTCTGAAATCAAAGAAGTTGATAATTTCAGACTGAATAGTTGATGTATCCAAAAATATTTTTCATGTTGTTGGGAAGTCTATGGTTGCAGAAAAAGCATTTTCGCCAATATAAACACGCTGGGAGGTCTCAGGCGATAAAAAGTGTGTTGTTGTAAAAACGTGCATCCAATAGAATTGTTCTTGTCACTTGTCTCTGAATCGAAGTTGGAATGGTTTAAAAAAAACTAGCAAGAGATTTTCAATAACAAAAAAACAAGACAATCACGCTTAACTCTTCTTTAACGTTAGTTCTAACCTCACTACTCTCTCTCAACCTCTCGCAAGCACCTCAACATTCATCACCATGTTCTCTCACGACTCTGTTCACTTCTCTTCTGACTTGTTCTCTGAATTCGAACCAAATCCAACGGTTCAATTGTTTGAACCCTCTCCTCTTCAGAGTTTGATTCATTCATTCTCTGATGAAGGATCCAATCATGGTGTTTCTACCATGATGAATCAAGCTGATCAAGACTCCAATGACTTTTCCATGTTGTTTGAAGATGATCAAACTCCTTGTTCATCCTCTCAAACAATTAGTCATGGATCACCTGTTGATGCTTCCAATGTTGATTCTGAAGATGAGTTTAATGCATGGCTCCAAGGTTTGGTTGGACCTCTCTCTCCAACCGAAACCACTCGAGTTTCAGAGAAGGAAGCAGAACCACCTATTGTTGTTCCTTCTTTTCAAGAGATTGGAGCAATGATTGGTCGTATTCCAACTTCTCCTTGTGTTTCTTTTTGTGCACATGATACTATGAATGCTCCTCAAGCAATAGCCCATGAAGAGGTACACATCAAGAATACCAAGAAGAAGACAACGACTCCAAAGAAGAGTAAGAAGGGTCATTCTCTTCAAGGAACCAAAAAGAAGAGCTCTCTCAATATTCAATCAGAACTCTCCAAGAGATTGAATACTCTTCGTGAGGAGATCCTTTCTCTCGAGAATGATTCCACCGATCAGCCTTCCTCATTGGTTGATACTTGTCAATATCCTCCAAAGATTTCTCAAACCAGTTATGTGATCTTTGATCATGACGGAAATGCTAACAGTGAGGGAACTCATTCTTCAAATTCATTCAATCTCAACATTCATTACTTCAAAGGTCCAAAATTATCTGGAGGTCGTCTCTTCAATCCCAATGAATTGGAATTGTTGAGTTCCATCTCAGCACAAGAGATTGAATGTTCTCGACATTCAGTGACCACTCTCAAAGGATTATTGGAAAATCACTTTGGAGTGAAACGTGCGAAACATTCCATTTACATCCAATTTGATGGATGTTCGGATTATCACATGTTGTATTGTCAAAAAGGCAAGACAGACCATGTGAGAAGTTTAATTCGAGTCGTTCAACAAGAATCTTCTGATCCGATGAAGATTTCCACTCATTATATTTGTTTGAACAAGTTGTCCAATGCTGCGAGCAAACCATTGAATCATTCACCCCCAATTGGGCACAACACCTGTTCTTCTTTCTCTTCTTCCAAGAATTAATCAACTTGTTTCAAGTGATTACACTAGGAAGAACAAAATGGATGGATACAACTGACTCATGAACTCCCAATGCAAGATGTCCATATGAAAGTATCCTCAGAACTCAAAAGTATTTATATCAAACACAAAAGCACAATTCATTCTTCCACATTACTCTCTAATTTTGTTGATGATGGATTTCAACTTGACATCACCTGACGAATCAACAAAATTTTAAAGTAATGTGGAAATCAGAATGACTTGCCCTTATGTATTTTCCTCATGCTGCTGTAAATAATAAATAACAAATTTCAAACTCTACCAATTTTCACAACCTTGAACCAACAGATTTGAAATTGAATCAATTCTCCTGACATTTCGTTGATACACATTCACACTGTGCGATAATAGAATTCATTGTCGTTAAAATCTGTAAGAACCAAATGTGGAAGACGCGGACAAAAAAATGTCACCAAGGAACACTGTTCTGGAAAGGAAGGAGTTCTGTAACCTTGTGTTTGTTGGCCAATACTATTTAACCAGGCTCATTTCGTGCCTCACTGAAAAGGTCAAAAAGAAAATGCCTCCACTACTGTCACAACTCTCCTCAGACGAACTTGGTCAAATATTTCAATTCTTGAGTGTGTTTGAAATTGTTCACTCTGTCTCTCTCGTTTCTAAAGAATGGATGAATATTTGTCATGATCATGTTCCTCTCCGTCTAGAGTTTCCTCCCAAAAGGCTTCCTGTTTCCCTGTTCAAACCAAACCAAACACCACAATATACGTTTTCAAGCCAATTCAATCCAAAACTTTATGAATTCGTGAAAGTGATCGATCAAGTGAAATTCAAAATCGTTTCAGATTTTAAAGTGAGTGGTAATCGAATGGGAATGGAAGGAATCGACAAGATAATTGTACCGCTCTTAACCTCTTCTAGTAATTTATTTGCAAGTTTAAAAAGTTTAAATCTCAGTAATAATGCTCTTGGAGATGATGCATTGCAACGTCTGGTGTCTGTTTCAGCATTTCAATGCATCCCGAATTTAGAAAGACTTGATTTGAGTAACAACACTGACATTCATTCTGAGAGTGTTCAACTCTTGATACAGGCCTTGAATCAAAGTAATATTAAGTTAACTGAGTTGAATTTGAGAGGAAATACTGGAATGAATCATGCTGAGTTTCTCAATACTGACTCTCCTTCACTGTCAAGTTTAAAATTCTTGGATCTGAGTTCTATTAATATTGGAATGAAAGGATTGAAATCTCTTTTTGAAAATACGAATCTTCAAAACTTGACATGCTTGCACTTGAATCACTGTGAAATAGGTCTTGAGGGTGCTCAATATATCGCACAATGTGGAAATTGTTTTCACGACTCTTCATCTGCACCACTTAAACATTTAAAAATTCTCCATCTCGATGGTAATCCTATCCGGACCAAGGGTGCAAAGGAAATCGTTACAAGTGCATACTGGTCTTCCAAGCTCACTCATCTAGTCCTTATGCCCAATTTAACCTACAATTTGGGATACATTTATGAGAATGGTGAGGATGGTGTAACACAGGACCATACTTTGGCCCTTTACTATTACAAGAAGGCTGCAGAACAGAAGGAAGTGCTGGCGTTGAATGGGCTTGGCCAAATTTACCGCGACGGCGCTCTTGGCCAGGAGAAGAATTTGGAGAAGGCTATTGAGTATTTTCAAAAAGCAGCTGAACTTGGAGACATTCCATCGTACTATTCCATTGCACAGATTTACTACTTTACGATCAAAGATCTCAACAAAACTTTCGAGATCCTTGAAAAAGGTGCCGATGCTGGATGTATTGAGTCACAATATTTACTTGGAGTGTTGAATAGAAATGGTTACGGATGTGAGAAAAATTTTGTTGGCGCTTTTCAATATTTTTTTCTATCTTCGTTAATAGGATCCCGCAATGCAGATTACGGATTACCAATGGCATGTATTTTTAAGGGTCACATGTTTTTTAATGGAGAAACTTTGTCCAAAGAATCGCAAGAATTACGTGATGAGAAAGCCTTTGACTGTTATTATAGTTGCTTGAGAATTAGTTCATACATACCCCTGAGAAAATTGGCTTCCTTAAATATGGTTCTCATGTCAAAAATGGGAAAAGTGAAAGCTCAAAAGCAGCTTGAAATGTTGAGTTGGAGTCAAAATTACTTGAAGAAACACATGGACTTTGATGGTGACGTTGTTGAGTTTAAGAAATCCATCAAAGAATGTTGTGACAAGGAATTTGAGCAACTGTTGATAACTAGGGAATCCACTCACTGTTCAACGCCTAACTGTTGCTGCTACGAAAGGAAAATAGAGCACGATATGTATTGTGAAGGTTGTAAAATACTGAAGAGAGATCAACCGGTCATTCACAAGTTCCTGAGTGAATATTGAGTCAACATGTTCAGAGAAGATGTTACGCAGAGTTGTGAATGGTTAAGCCAAGATCAATTACTGATATTATCGTGTAAATAAATATTCTCGTGATTTCATCTACTCCTGTGTTTGATAATGTACACTTGAATTATTGATTTGCATCAGGGCAAGCATGTTTCGAGCGACAAGATCACACTTGGAAGTTTCAAGAGTCATATGTAAATTCATCATTTCTAGAGCTTGTTCCACTTGATTTTTAACAAAATAATTCTTGATGGCCAAATTATAATAATACCAACGTTGATTCTTCTTTTCTTTGGATTCCAATTCATACATCCATTCATCCATTTCAGATGAGTTATTGTCTCCAACTTCAAATAATTTACATGATTCAAATAAATAAGTGGAAGTGTTGTGAGAGTTTTGAGGAGTTTGTTGTTGTGAAATTGATGGCTGTTGAGCATTCTCACCACCCTTATTAATTCCATTTTGATCAAAAGGACAACAACTGGCATAATAATTGTCGATGAACAAGTCTTGGAATTGAATGAATCTCATTTGATACTTTTCACTGCAGTGGTGTTCAATTTGTTGTGAAATTATTATTGGAATGTTCAACCTGTTCGCAATTTGAATCATTCTATCTAAATTGGATTGAATACTTCCGATGACTTGAAATGATTTGAAATCACGAGTTCCCAAATTTCCACAAATACATTCTTGGCATGTGACTGCCATTCTGAAATTCAATTTTGTCAAACTCGAATTCAATGAATGTTGATGTGATTTCGAATGAGTTGAAGACCATTTGTGATTCTTGATTTGTGAAAGTTTGGATCGAAGTGAATCACAAAGTGCAAGTGCCTTTTCTTGATGTTTCTTCACATCATTGGCTGCATTGAAGAAGATGAGTTGAGAATCAGAATCAAAAGAACCCATTTGAGCACCCAATGATCGTGCTTGTTGATTCATGACTTCAAAAACATCACTCAACAAGTTCACAATTTCACTTCCATTCATGCATGACCACCATTCGTTCAATCCATCCAAATGAAGCATGATTCCACTCACCATTTTCTTTTCAGAATAGAGTGAAAATCGATCGATTGGCGTTTTTTGTGAAGATTGTCTTCTTGAAGAACTTGCCATGGATGAAGAGCTCTTTCGTGATAATTCTTGACTTTGAGAAACGGAAGAGGCCTGTGCATGAGAGTTCTTCATAAAAGAAAAGTTGTTGCTATCATGATCACTCTTCACCTTGTACTGTTGACCCTTTTTCTTATCCTTCTTTGTATCAAGTGCATTGTCTTCCTCTCCATGCTCATTACTCTCCAACTGAGACAACAAATGAGAAGGAATGAAGGCTCTGTATAATTTGATTCTCTTGACCATTTGAGTGAAATGTAATTGCAACTGAGTCACCTCTGTCAATTGACTCTTTCTCAAATTCAAATCTTCTAATTGCATATTTGAAACCATTTCAAAAGATTGAATCAATTGATGGAATGGTTTCACTATACGGAGAGAGACAACAACTGCCATGAGAGCACTCACCAAGGAAATGATACAAGCACTGATCACTGCAGCAATGATCGCCAAAACCATATTACTGATGTAATTCCATTGAGGAACGCTCAATACCAGCATCCAATCAATTCCATTCTCGTTACACAATCGATGGATGAGAATGAATTGATCCGCCAGTGTCATCTCAAGACGATTATTACATTGCAAATTTCGCAGATTATTATTAAATTGGGAATAGACTTTCATTCCGATCGCTTTCATGGAAGGACTCATGTCTACAATCTTTTTTCTTGTGCTTGATGAGCCAGAATGATCATCGATTTGATCGCCTGGGGTAGTATTGATTTACGAGTCATCATAGATTCATCAGAAAATTTAAAACGAAAATACTTACTGGCAACAATGAAATCTGTTTCCACCTCAATGATGAACGTATGAGATCCTGTAATGCTCTTTGTCATTTCTACCAAGAACAGAGATAAGAATCGGGCAGTCATGCAGTATCCAATAAAGTGGCTCACAGTACGATCACTCTTTGGTACATCCAATTTGTAACTCGTGAGTAACGTTAAAAACACAATATTGGGTTGAGTGGGATCTGTAAAAGAAGGCGCGAAAATGGTCTTTCCTGGGTTACGAGTGACAGTATCAGTGGCCACTTTGTCCGTGAATGCGGGAAGAATCATATCGGGAGTTGAATTTCGATTGCAATACTCATGATTGGGAACATCATGGCAAATATAAAACTGTTGATTTTGAGCATAGGTTATATTGAGAAACCATGTAAGATTTCCAAAGATGGACATTCCCAATGCACCTCCTTCATATTCGGCGACAAACAACGCATAGGAGAGTGAGGCTTCATGTTTCATTAAACTCTTCCATGCCAAATACAAATGATTTTCCAGGACATGATCCATGGCTTGATAATCTTTCAAGAGTTGTCCCTTAAAGGTTTCTAGAAAGAATGCAACTCGTGTCAGGCTTTCATCGGCATAGGAAACAATTCTTGAAAATTCCTTATCCCGAACGGAATGACTCAATTCAGAGACAGTGGCGCTGAAACAACTGACCCAAATGGCAGATAAGATCAAGACACTAAGGATAATGAGACCCACGATCATGATTATGAGGACATACTTGATGGAGAAACAACACGAATATTTGGTGGAATTGTCGTGAGAATCAAGGTGGCTCGATACCAAGGTGTTGCTCTCATCTGATACATCTTCAGCAATTTTAGTTGATACGAGAGGTTGGATTTTGATGGTCATTCTCGTTCCTAGGAATGATTTACGAATGATTTCTTTTCGAGTCGAACGAACGAGATGGAGTAGAGTTTGAAAGATTTAGAGAAATATCTCCCGGAAGAGATTAGTTTCATCTCTTGGATTTGAATCTAAAGAGATGCATCAATACCAATCAAATCTTGCATCAAGATGTACAGCTTGGTCAACTGTAAAGCGCGCAAGGTTTTGTTGAGGATGTGCTATTATCAAGCAGCATTATCAAGCGTAGGAAGAATCCAAGCCAGCAAGTGAAAAAACTCGCTTAGTGGCAAGTCAAAAAGCAAAACAAGAAATGCAAAGTCACAGTGTGAGGAGCGTTCGTAATATTACCATTCGTGCTGTTTAATTTGGATAAACATTAAAATATACTTAAAAAAAAAAATTTTGCATTAGCCGGGAGTCGAACCCGGGTCACCAGCTTGGAAGGCTGGTATGATACCGTTACACTACTAATGCTTTTCACATGGATAACTTCAAAAATTCAAGCACGTATGGAACCGTAATGATCGTAGAGGTTAGAGGTTGCTTTATTCGACATGCGATTCTAATCTTCTCTTAATGTCTCCGTATATTGTGTCATTAGTGTCGATTCGTTTTTGATATTCTGAATCAGGAACTTTTGCGGAAACGTTTCTCAATTTCTGAAAAGACGTTAGGCCTAAAACAATTTACAGACACTTACCAACATGCTCAGATATGATGCATGATCTGTCACCATGTTAATGAACCAATAAGGTACGTAGGACAATTTTGGATCAATACTTCCCACAATTTGTACATAAGTCTCCTCTAGTTGAATCAGTATTGTATCCCTCGTGGCCAACAAAGTAGTAACACATACCTGGAGAAATATATTTTACAAGAAAACCAGAATATTCGCACTCTGCACATACATTATTTGGCTTTTCAAACTTGGAAATTATATCTTTGTGTTGTGGCAACGATTTTGATGTCACACCTT